TGCATGATCCGGCACTGTTGGACGTACCTTTGTCCACACCGGAGAGGACGAGTCTAAGTCAGCTCGGACCTCAGGAGTACTCACGCGATCAACTGGAAAGCGTGGCTCAATTCGTCATCACCGACGCCCACCCGGCCTTCATCATCGCAGCGGCTCGAGCGGCCCTGGACCTACTGCAGTACTTGCCGGAGGAAGAACCGGGACCAGAAGATCGAAACGCAACTATTTTACGGTATGTCTTCGCCGCAAGGTTGGGCAACTACTTTTGCCATTACACCCTGTGGGGAGCACGCCGAACCGCCCACATACCACCAGAACTGGATACAATTGTCGCACAGCTTGGCTCACCTATGCGAAGCATCATCTTGGCAGTCTGGTTACGCGACCTCCTTTACATACAGGAACGGCACGCGTCCAAGTACGCCTTTCGGAAGGACTTTAAAGATCCTGATGATGATGCCGCCGAATTCGTGAAATGGTACCGTGAAGAAAAGCGTTACCTAGCGGATTCACTTCCCGACCTTACGGAGAAGGGATGTCGGACGACTTGGCACCCGGCGCGGTACCTAACGCACACAAACTCCGTAGAAAGGTCCAGAAAGCCAAGAAGGCGCAAGCGGAACACCCCGGTCAGGAAGACACCCCACAACAGAGTGGGCAGCCACCAGCAACATGCAAACCAGATGTCTTCCGGCGCCTTGGTAAACCACCGAAACCTGACGATGAAGAAGATGAGATTACTTCGGTGGGGACCCGCCGATCTCAGTCCCTTGGGATAACAGGTTCCCACATGCGAACCTGTGTCCCCGACTTCAACAGTAAAGGAAGGGACACCGAGCTGAGAAACAGCAAAGTCGAGAACCGACCTAGCGGAGAACCTGCCCGGCTGAGAAACAGCCACGTCGAGAAACGACATGGAAAACATGGAACGGATACTTTTCTTTTATGGACCCTAAAGCAGACGTGAACCACGAATACGCCAGAAGCGCCAACCACATAAGTTGGCCGGATTCTTTGGTCGGACCCGGAAACGTGTGGTCAGACCTGGGTATTTCGGTTCTTTCACCGTACCGTTACGTCCTCCAAGGAATCCCTGGAAAGAACTGGGCAACCGACCTCAGTTCCCCAGCATGGCATTAGCAGATCGCGAACGAGATCAGAACCATACCGGAGCCAACAGACGCCCCGGCTTGCTAACATAGCATATCGTGAACCACGTTCTGCTACCGAAGGAGATTACTCCGGCTAACCGACTCCGGAGAACAGACCGAGAGGATTACGCTAACATGGTGTCGAAAACGTTGTCACGTTCTCGACACCATGTTCGCCTGGCACCCGTGGCCGACTTTGGGACCGGGTAACCGCCCAGTAACTTTCATCACCGCAGACAGTGGTATCCTCATCGGCCCGCAATGTCACATGGTTCGGAATTGACCACAGAAGTTAAAACCGACCTGTTACGACATGACGCACTGAATTAACCGAAGGCAGGAACGAAGAACCGGACGACTTAACTTCGCAGACCGCGACTTCAACCGTGCCCCGTTACCTCAGTCAACCACAGAAGTTGACCATTTCCGAGGTAGCTAAAGGAAGTCACGCAGACCGTGTCACAGAACCACGATCCACTACCTTTGTTGACCACGGAAGTCAGCCAATTTTAAGGTAGAACTTGGACCTTCTCTAATCACGACTCGGATAACTTAGCCGACCACAGAAGTCGGTGAAGTTTCAACCTTACATCCGAAGAATACCTGGTATAAAAGGGCACCCAACACAGACCGTGTTGGTTAATTACGATCTACGACATCAACACTCCGGCAACCGGACTCCGGAGTACGAACCAGCGAGGATTCCGCTAGCATGGCCCGGAACACAGCACTGCGGTGTGTTCAGGACCATGCTTGCCAAGGCACCCACGGTTAACTCCGAGAAACGGACGGCCGATAGGATAACAAGTCCCTAAATAACATGGAATCAATTGGACCGCAACGGAACGGATAGTGTCAACTATGACCCGCTACCTAGAATCGACCACAGAAGTCGATCTGCCAACGGTAGCCGACCTTCTAAACATTGACCAACCGACGTCGACCTGACGGAAGCATATGGAAATTACAAACGGGATGGCTTTATCGCAGTCTTCACTGACCACAGAAGTCGGTAAAGGTGACCGCAAACCGCGACACCTGACTACGATTTTAGTCTGGACGGATTCTCCGTTTGAACCCGGACCTACAGGCTCTCAACCAGGAACCTGTACCTGGAGTCCAACCGCAGTCTCCCCCGGAGGATATCGGATAAACCAACCGATTCACCGGTGACCACGACTACGCGCGGCTTGACCGTGCTGCCATTACCTGAAGAGGAACAGCGACGGTGATTTGGCCACCATACCAACGACTCCGCCGCGACCTGCTTCCCCATGTCTCAAATGGAACACCCTAGGCAGACCGAGTTAGAATACTCGACCTGCACCCCCTCTTAACCCCGATGGCGATGACCACCTGCCCGCAACAGTAACGGCCAGTTGGCCAGCGTCACCGGCAAAGCAAAATTCCCCGCGGACGTGCGATGTCTTCCCCCAACAGAAGAGACAAGGCGTCGCAGGTTCGCGGAACCGAACAAAGAAACTCCAACCAGGGGAGGCGAAGTGATCTGATCCTACCCCAGGTTGCATGCTGCATGGGGATGGGAACGGGCAGTCTGGCATAAGTCGGGGCCCGACGCACAAAACGAACCAAAGAGATTACCTGGTTAAAAGGGACCACAGAAGTCCTTCGACGCCATAAGTAATCAGGAATGCATGCTGAATGGCCAACAGACGCCATAGAACCGCCGAACTTGACGGAACTCGGACCCGTCCAGAGGCAAAAACGCGAGCCCGAACCGGGGCATGTTAGAGGCACCAACCGGAATTTACTCCGAAAACGACTTCGAGGAGCTCGGATGAGTGCCCAGAGGCTTGAAACCGACCTCTTGACGGACGGAACCGACCTGGATGAGGAATCACCGACCTCAAGTTGGATAACATTATGTCCAACCTCAGGTCGGATAAAGTGGAATAACCGACAACAGGTCGGTTATAAGGACGATTCCACCGAAACGGACTTGTATGGCTCCACTTTGAGCCTGCATACCGTAACTCACTTCGGTTGAACACGGAATCATGGAATCACCGACCTCGGGTCGGATAACGTTGTAACCGACCTCGGGTCGGACATGTGAAGTAACCGACAACAGGTCGGTGGATGGAGACGCCATCCAAGATGTTTACGGAAAACGACTTCCGGACGGATGAAATCGACCTCAGTCGACCTGCGAAACGGGATAACCGACCTCGGGTCGTACAACATCATCACCGACCTTGGGTGATATAACATTGCACCCGACCTCGAGTCGGATATGTTAAGCGACCGACAACAGGTCGGTAGTTGAACATCTCTTGGAAGATCTTCACGGAAAACGACTTCCGGACGGAAGGAATCGACCTCAATTGACCTGGGATTTGGAGTAACCGACCTCCAGTCGGATAACATTGCCACCGACCTCAGGTCGGATAAACCGGTCCAATCGACCACAGAAGTCGGTTAGGAACGCCGGATTGTTCGGATTCGCCTAGAACATCAGCGGATTAGCCGAAATACGACCTTTGCACGGACCAGTCACGTGGTAACCGACCTCGGGTCGTACAGCATTACTACCGACCTCAGGTCGGATAACATACGACCGACCTCAGGTCGGATATCCATCAACCGACAGCAAGTCGGATGCCAACAGTGAATTAACAGGGATGGATGGAACAACAAATTCCGACCGGACCTTCGAGCCAGTTCGCATCGGAAGTCACAACCAGGCTCGTGGTAGCAGATTTGACGGTTTTAACCGACCACATTCCATCGGCATTACCACTTGGCGACCACAGAAGTCGCACGACACAAGTACGGTTTTGTCCGACCTGACTGAACTTTGGAATTCGGGACTTAGCCGGATTCCACGACCGCTGGTTAAACCTGCCAGTAGGTCGACCTTGGTCTGAGACCTTGGTCCATTCCCTTACTTAGAGAGGATGCTTCGGCATTCGCGAACGCGACAGTGCCTCTCTCTTTCCGGAACGGATAAGATACGAGTCGGACGTAAGTGTCAGCCGTGCTTACCCGACCTCGGACGAAAATTACCGGTTACGTGAGGTAACCCGGGAACCGACGCCCCGGACCTGACACACCGGACTGCACTTGGACAGGAGACCCCGTGGAAACTCAAGACCCGTGGACGTCATCCTAGTCGGAATAAGCCCCCGGACAGATCTCTTTTTAGTATTTTTATACATTTTCTAACAAACGGAATTGTATTTTACTTAGAATCTCTAACCAGATCTGTTTCGTATTTACTTTTTGCTCACTGGAATTGTGATTAAACTTTATTACTTTTTAACTTGTCATTAAACTTTTCTCTCATTTTCTCCGCGAGCCAACAGAAGCAAGATGCCTGCCAACAGACGCGATACCGGTCCAACAACGAAACCCGAGCGGCTTCCAGATTTTCGGCCGTGAGTTGCTTGCCTCTCATGGATCTGGAGGTGAAGGATGGGACGGTCAACAGACACCGGACTCCCATTGGAAGAGGACGCGTACCGGCGACCCCACATGGGTCGACCGGAGAGGTGCGATGCTGGCGCGGTACTGAGTCGGAGCATCCTCGCAGGAGCTCGGATTCCCGCCCAGAGGCATGTTAGAGGCACGACAGCCTGCGTGATAGATACGCCACTTTGCGTATGCGTATCACTGCACACATGCTGATTCGCCCTCTCTTGTACGTACGTGAGTGGCTGCACTGCACTCTCCGCCTATGCGGATACACCGCGGGCGCACTCACTGAGCATACTTGCTCTCTCGCTCCTCTCTCTCGCTGTATGACTCAGCGTATATTCGCTCGCGTTGGATACGAGTCCAGTCTGCGCACTCACATTCCATGTGTCTGGACAGCGTGACGCCGTTGCCGCCAGCACATTTCTTTCTCTACATTTCATTACGCTCTGGAACTAGCTCGCAGCAACTTGACTGCTCACTTTCCTGCCAGACATTGGCCTTTGTTGTGTTTTTCCCCGCATTCACGCGGCATTTGCTCCACTTTATTTGTACAATAAAGTCACCTGTGAGCTCTCTGTGCTTGCCTGTCACAATTTGTATAGCATAGAAAGTAAATCTTTTTTATTTAAGTAAAGTAAACTAAATCTTAATTTTTTTATTATTTTGTAAGTACATATTGAGAAGAGCCACTGCCTGCGTCACAATTGTCATACGTAGTTTAAAATGTCGCCGGTGTGCTGTTGCCTGCGGCTTTTATACTTACGCCTAACCTGCTCATCGCTCTGTTATTGCGCGTGGATACTACTCTATCGTATGAAGCAGTCTTTTTTCAGTTTGGTTTGCTTGTTTTCTGGAAGCGATTTGTTTACTAGATTCCGTCTTGACTTCCGGATTTCAAGTACTCCGTTGCATCTCCTGTTACTGGATCATCCAGCTTTGATTCTGAAAGCAGGTATGTCTTAGCAGTGGCAGCCTCCTTCAGCATTACATCGAATTTTCAACTAGCAATAATTGGCGCTTTTAGATGCATTACGTTAATCGTGTTTTTACTCTCTGTGTCCCATATGGAACACGAAGCTAATGCAGAACCGTTTGGACACATTTATTGAGTAGAATATGGCCAATTCGGAATTTTCACTTTTTATTGTGCCTTCAGTCTTTCTGCTCTCATTAGTTCTTTGAGCTATTTCTGGCGCAGTCGAAATGTTGGCATTGGTTTGTGGTCGTGGATTCCTTGCCAAGCAATGCGTTTCCCGAGCAGTACAATGGAACGAAACTTTTTTCAATTTTGACATTTACCAGAGAAAGTTCAGCCGTATGCGAAATGACAAATGCCGCGTTTCTTCTTTGAGATCGCGTTCTTCCGCGTGCTACGCCAGCAGTTTGGTACGAAACTTGAGACCGCACAAGAAATTAGCAGGGTTCGAATCCGCCCAGGTCGGCCGATTGGAATCTTCCAGAACATCGCTGTTCAGAGCATTTTTGTAATTGTGTAATGCGACTTTCATGAGGGAATACCTGAGTTGATGCTAACCTTGAAAAGATTCTCGAAGATTTTGCATTTCTGTGATAACACTATCAGCGGTCGTTATCAGTGGTCCAAAAGCACACTTTATCTCTGGATTACAGGTTCCTTATCGTGCACGAAACATTTGGCGGAGTGCTTTCCAGTGTGCTAGGTCTTTTTCAACGCTAACCATGCCGGATACGCAGCAGACCTCAACGGACGAAGGGTTCACCAACAAGAAGGCCTTTGAGCGCCTGCCCAAGACAGTGGTGCCGGTACACTATGGTATCCGCATCCAGCCATACTTGAAGGATGCCACTTTCGACGGCCAAGTGGTGATCCATGTGAAGGTGCAATCCCGCGTGCTGCCGCTGTTAATTGTGCCAATATGAAGAGTTTTTTATCCATAGATACAAGAGCCGACCAACTGGATTACTCTCGATTGTGCGGAAATTAAGATCACGGATGTTGCTTTCGTCTCTGACGATGGCAAAGGTGCGTTCAGGAAGCTGTCGAACGTTGTCGTTTTTTGTCTCTTGCTTATGTTTTTCAAGTGCCTGAAACTTTTGGAACATTCAGGCAATTGTGAATTATTGTTTTTCATTTTTGTAAAAAATTAATTGCATATTTTCTAAAGTACATGGATCTCAGTTAAGCCTTTGTGTTCTGTATGTAAGATATTCGTTACTACAACGCAGCTGGTGTTTCAGAACATCAAGCTCGCGATACGGAATACCACAAAGAAATGGAACGAGTGCGGTATGTATCTACAGCAGTTTGCCATGCAGTGTGCTCTCTTGCATTGTCCATTTTTTATTTTATAGTTTTGACTTTCCCGAGATGCTGCCGGTGGGAAATGGGAAGCTGCGCCTGCATTACACCGGCTTGTTAAACGACAAACTCCGTGGATTTTACCGCAATGTTTACACCGTCGGCAAAGAAGAACGCTACGGGGCTGCTACCCAGTTCGAGGTGACAAGACTAATTAATGTTGTGTAAGAAATTTTTTGGTTATCTCGGGTTTTCCATTGCAGTCCTGCTTCGCGCGCCAGTGCTTCCCATGCTGGGATGAACCTGCACTGAAAGCAACATTCGATATCACGCTGGTTGTCGACAAAAACTTGGTAGCACTGTCGAATATGGTATGCAAAGTTAAAAGCATGCTGACAAAATGGTAGTTATTTGCTTGCGTTGGAACGTTTACAGTTGTTTTCGGTGTAAAAAATTTTTTTGCAACTTTTGAAGCTATGGATTTCATGGTTGTATGTTTGTATTACCCTGCAGCCCGTTAAAAATGAAGGGCCTCTGGAGTCTAATGCCGCATGGAAAGTTGTCCAGTTTGATACTACGCCGATTATGTCGACTTATCTTGTGGCGTTGGTAGTTGGAGAGTTTGACTATCTGGAGGACAAAACCGAAGATGGCATCCTGGTGCGAGCCTACACGCCGTTGGGAAAAGCAGAACAAGGCCGATTTGCTCTCGACGTAAGTCTGTTGTAGCGCATGTCATTATACGACTATGAATATTTTGCAGAAAATTTTTTTGTGATCACGGGAATCTTATGCTTTAAATTATTTTGTTCTGCAGTTTGCCGTGAAAACTCTTCCTTACTACCGCAACTTTTTTTCGTTGGCTTATCCGCTGCCTAAGTGCGACCTTGTTGCGCTGCAGAATTTTGCCATGGTATGTACATACAGATATTTTCAGCAGTTTTCAGAATACCATGTCTACAGCAAGTGAAGTATCACCTGATTCTGTTAACAGGGTGCTATGGAAAACTGGGGTTGCATTACGTTTCGAGAGACAGCCCTTTTGGTGGATCCGGACAATTCTTCCGCTGCCGGGCGACAGCGTGTCGCTTTGGTGGTTGGTTAGTCCGACATGAATAACCTTTTATAGGCTATTTTTATGTGTCTCTCGTTCTTTCGATAAAACACTTATTTTTGTTGCTGTTTGCTAGGTCATGAACTGGCCCACATGTGGTTCGGCAACATTGTGACAATGGAATGGTCAGTTCGCAGTTGTGTACTTCTGTTATTCAGGAGAAACGGATTGAGTTACGAAAGTGTGGTTACAGGTGGACTGAATTGTGGTTGAACGAAGGGTTTGCGTCGTTCGTGGAGCATATCAGTGTGGAAAAGCAGTTTCCAGAGTGGAAAATTTGGAATCAGTTTGTGGATGACTTTTTCTCCAGTGCCATGAGACTAGACGCACTAAAGAGGTTGGGAGAAGCGCTGTAGTATAAGAAAACGCAGGCCTATGTTCTTTTTTTGTAGCTCTCATCCGATTGAAGTTCCGGTTGGGCATCCGGATGAGGTGGAAGAGATTTTTGACGCCATTTCTTATGAGAAAGGGGCGTCTGTTATTCGGATGCTGTTCGATTACCTTGGCGAAGAGGTATGGTGTGGAAATCCATAGTGATACCAACTAGAGCTGTGCAACTACATTTTACAGGGTTTCCGCGCTGGCTTGGCAAAATATTTAAAAGATTTTGAATACCGCAACGCCACGACCATCGATTTGTGGACGCATTTCGAGAAAGCCACTGGAAAGCCAGTATCCGCTGTGATGAGCGACTGGACCAGGAAAAAGGGGTATCTACGACTGTTCTGTATCACTGTTTTACCGGCCAGCGTAATATCCACAGAGGCACAGACTGACTTTGGAGTTCGTACACATTAAAAAAATATGATGTCATATTATGTTGCAGATATCCGGTGGTGCTGGCTGATATTGAGTACAAGGATGGAAATGCTTTGCTACATCTACAACAGAAGAAATTCAATTTACTGAATTGCGGAGAGCAGGAATTATGGAATATTCCCATGACATTGTCGGTGTTAGGCACTAAAAGCTCGAAAGGCGACCATGCACAGATTGTGAAGCATATGTTTGATCAGCCTGGGAGCACTTTAACGATCAAGAACGTTGCGCCTGATCAACCAGTCCTTGTACGTATTGTTGCCTCTCTTCGATTTTCGTTTTGTTTACCGTTGTTTTTTCCCAGATTAATTCAAATCTTATTGGATTCTACCGTGTGAAATATTCCGAGAAAATGCTGAAATTATTAATACCGCACATTACCGATGGATCTCTCGGTTCTTTAGACAGAATGGGCATTCAAAATGATCTGATGGCACTGGTATGTGGAGAATCGATTTTTAAAATAAATTAATATGTATTGTACAATGTACACCTAATATCTATCGTACATTTATGTATTTGCTGATATGCATTGGCTTCAGGTCATGTCTGGGAACGTTTCCATAACGGCCCTGTTTGATTTATGGCGTACGGCGTACAAAACCCATGAACGCGACCCAATTGTCTGGCAAAATATTCTAACTCATGTGGGACGCTTCGCTGGGCTGATGGCATATACTGATTCATTGGAAAAATATCAGCAGTTCACTCAGGATCTGCTCTTACCGGTCTTGGATATTGTGGGCTGGCAGGCGAAGGAAGGGCAAGGCAAGCCAGTTTCCTGTTGTAAAATGCATTACATCATGTAACTGCATGAAATTATCCTGTAATTGTCTGGGTTAAATGGCACCGTTATGTAGGACATTTGGAATCGTTGCTACGAGAATCCATCCTTGACCGACTGGTGAAATCACGTCATCCGGAAACCGTTAAACAGGCCCTGGACTTGTTCGAGAAATATGTTCAGGGTGACCGTGATATTCCCTCGGAAATTCGACGTGCGGTAAGTGCAGTCAGTCTTGTCAGTTGTAAGATTCCATATTGATATCAGTTTTGTGCCGTTTTGATGATCAACGAAAGATAAAGTAGTGTTTTTTTGTTATGCTTGTCGTTACGATTTTGTAACTTACGAATAGGTTATTTAATGTGCCGCTAAATGTGGACGCTCTTTCAGGAGGTGGACTGTAACTATACTGTAGTATACTGTACTCGTAGTGTATTTATCTTGATAAGTCACAATACTGTTTATATTTTGCCAAATATAAGGTTTATAAAAACATCCTTTCTAAATTTTATCGATGCTCCAGCTGTTTGTAAAACTTTAATGACGTTTTGGCCAGGTTACTGCAGCTGTCACAGATGTATCATGGTTGTCTAATATTTTAAACCATTCGTTAAGTTGTGGCTTATTGCAGATCTTTATTTCTGCTGCTTCCAATGGCGGCAAAGAGGCGTACGAGAAGCTGTGGAAGCTGTATGAGACAACTGAACTTCAAGAAGAACGCGTTAAATTGTTGGTTGCTCTGGGATGGACAAATGATGCAGAAATGCACGAGAAAACATTGGATTGTGCGCTGACGGTAATTTTCACATCGATCTTCCTCTATTAAACTGTACAGATTTGTAAAATTACCGTTTTTGTTCGGGTTTCCAGAAGCAAGTTCGATCGCAAGATGTATTTTACGTTATGGCGGGATGCAGCCATAGTGCGGGCGGCCGCGAAGCAACATGGCATTGGATCCAAAACAATTGGGAATCGCTGAAAGAACGACTGCATCCGTCCTTATTTTCACGCGGTTTGCAGTCGGTATTCGGTAATTTTGCTCATGAAGAGAAAGCTGTCCAAATCGAGGAATTTCTGCGCAATCATAAACTGGAGCAAGGAGAGCGCGGTAAGATTACTTTCTAGTAGTTTATATTTTTTGCATTCTGTATATAAGATATCGAATTGTGCATTTAAGAGTAGTATCTGTATCCTGTACTTAATTAAATAATATTTCGCAGAAGATGATAACTGACTCAAGCGATTTTAAGCTTGCATTGAATGTTAACTGCAACAGTGCAACTGTTAGTATGCTTGTTATTGCAGCAATGGAGCAAGCTCTGGAAATTATCCGTGTACAAGCTGCTTGGCTTCAGCGTGATGCCGCTGCCGCACAGAAGTGGCTTTCTTCACAGCAGTCATTCGGGAAGTAGTCTGTTTTGCTAAGTCGTTTCAGCTTATTTGTATTGGTTTTTTGCACTTTTTTGCATATTTTAATACCATTTTGATGCCATTAGTCATTGTATTCCTTCCAATGATTGTGGATGTAACCTTCCGAGAAGTTATTTTTTGTTCGTATAAGTAGATGATGCCATTGATTGGTTCCGTTGTTAATTTTTTTTTCAGTTTATTTTTACAATTAGTCTGGGCATTTACAGTTAGTTTGGAATTGTATTAAAAGTGAAGGCGGACGATAGATAATGACTTACTGACGGTAGACTGACAAAGACAAGCAACCCAAGCAAATCATTCGACCAGCAGGGGAATACGCACTTCGTTTAATTCCCCATCTTTGTTAGCTCAGCCAGAACTCACTGAAATAGATAAGTACTTAACTTAATGCTGCTTTTTTCACAAAAACTTGATTTGAATTACCCACGAAGAACTGTATAGTGCAAAGCGGTGATCCTATCTTAGTGCTATGTAATAATAAAATAGACCACAGCGCGACTGCAATCTGCTAACCATAAGGTCAGTCGGATATTTAACTTGACCTTAACAAAGCAAATTTAACTATGGTGTACGCCTCCTTGTTTATTGCGATAATTATGCAAACCCAAAATGCATGGCATTATGCCAGGCATTTAGCAAAGTTGATGGGTTAGACATAATCCTTATCATAACATTAGGAATTTTGATTGTTATTTACTTTTGATGTAATAATAATAACATACAATTTGCTAGTTAAGCTATAGTGCTAAGTATATACTAACCAGTAAGTCTTAAAATTATTCAAATTGTACTTAATTTGTGACGCATGCTCGTAGCGCAATTACACTATATGTAGCGTTCTGAGCACATCCCTTGCAGTTCGATACATAACGGCGTTTGTAATTGTATCCTACGCCTAAGGTGCTGAAATACTGTTCCAAAATTTCTGATTATGAAATGAAAAATTAAGAAGTAATCGGAATTTTGACGAATACAGTGGTATCCAAAACCCGGAGCATGCAAGCCAGTTGAAGCCGGGTAAGGGTGGAGTCCTTTGATGCCCAGCCAACCAGAACAAGCCTTGCTTTATCAACGCGTGCTGACTTTTGTGTGCAAGTCGCGCAGCAGCCCACGGTCTTCACCCTTTTATAGTGAGTTTAGTCTTTACGATATCGCCCGAAGTGCACTGGCTCTATCAGTTTTCCTTCTAGAAACAAAGTGCAGCTCCAGCTGGCCTCATCATAATCATCAACTAAAAATTTCAGTGTGGAAGAAAGTAATCAGGAACCGGAGAGCGGAACGTTTCCGGTTTCCTGGTTGCGTTCGGCAGAATGCCAGAATCAGTGCGTGTCAGGTCTCGGCGTCTCGTGTCAGGCAGCGCTTGGCGAGCATTTGTCTGCATATATGAATGATATGAGCTTGATGAATCTCACAATCAGCTGGACTGGCAGTCACTCGACCTGAGAGTAATTCGTCCACAAAGGGATCTGGAAAACGGCGGACCTTTTTTTTGCAACGGAAACAGTGCGCAGTATCTCCGTAGCCACTCTGACTTGTTAGTTGTACTTGTTACTGACGCAGTGGCAGCGGCATCGGTTGTGTTGTGCAGCCCTCCATTTGAGCCAGGTCGTGCAACGCACAAGGTTGCACAGCAGATTGATTTGCGTTTAGCAGTGGGTATCGAAGCGTTTGCTGGTTTAGCCCTGTCTGATGTTATCTTCCGGCGATGCCAGCCCGTGATGCACCGTTACCGTTGACGTTTCCTGCTACATACAAGCATCAAATCGTTGTCTCTTTTGATTGCTTTTGAGATTTTTGGGAGTTGGATTTTGGAGTCCCATGCTCAGTGAAGCCATCTGGGAGAACGATTTGTAAAGTGGACAGTGACTATCGTGCGAGATCTCCATGGTATCGACGATGGAAGAGGAAATTGTCCGCATTGCCAAGAAATTAGGCGAAAATCCCAAGCTCATGAGGAAGAATTTGGTCAAGGCTGAGGTAACAATACGACGTTGAAACTGACTTGAAGAAATGTGAATGCGATGATTGTAACGTGATTCAGTTCAATTGATATTGAAGGAATTCCTTATTTACTCAAGTAAACAGCAATATGGGTAGCAGGGTATGAATTTAAGGAAAATGTGTCTATCGATGTTCTGCGGAGGCATGTTGATTACAAAAATGTTTTATCTGCAGTTGCGGTTTGCTCTGTCTTATCTCTAAGATTTCACTAATACGAGTACACTTGCACACTTTGTATTTATGCTGGATTTAGTGATCTTACAACATCGCACATGATTATACATAACTGACATTAGTTATTGGTGAACGTAAGGTCACTAAGATTTGCTAATTCTTCACAGTCACATCCGCAGTGGTTACAGTATTGTGTAATATTCAAATTTGCAATTGTAAACTGCAAGCGCTTCAGAGTGGTTTTGTTTTCCTGGATATGTGCATCCTCGATATTCTCGTTATTAATGCATGTTTTATTTATTCTTTCTCCTAATAACGGCTTTTCGCGGACGTCATCCACCCATGCAGAAACCTGTGCGCGGTCATTCGCGGAAGAAGATACTCAGCAGTCTCAGCATCTGTGCGGTTCATGAATATTATACAATAACAATCGCTGAATTGCGGAAGTGGTGTAATATTTATATTCTAGTCCGTATGGCAGTATCTATACATGTTTTGTTTTGTTGGTTTCCGCCTTTCCGGGTGTGGGTATATTAAGGATCGTCTGTTTTATAAACTTATACGTGTTTACTGATTTTAATAAATTAATAATCGCCGTGGTCGCTCATTAATAAAAATTTAAGGACTGTTGCACGGGGCTGTGTCAAAATGGATAGTACGAAGTTTATTGACATTTAAATTATTTTAATGTGTGGATCTTGCAGGCATTTGCCGTTGCCGTGGACAATATTCCCCAGAATTTGGATAGCAGTTTTTATTCTACTAGCAGAGGAGACAGTTTTGTATTCGGCCGTCCACTCGAATGTCTCACCACTATTCCTACGGTTATCAATTACAATGACCGATTTTATCCCATAAATGTGCCGACGTGAGTTACCTGAAACTATAGATATATAACATTTTTGTATCTAAGCCATCTAAGCGTATCAGCATGGTGAACGTATCACTCCTTAAGCGTGCTGGACTGTAGCGGTAGTGTACAAAATGATATTCTTAAGTAGCATTTTATTTTTTCATATGCATGCGTATTACGGTATTTCAATCAATAGTTTCGAGAAATCCAAAGATTAAATACTACCGAGCAGAACAGAAAATTTTAGAGGAAACAGTTCTGCCTTCTCAGTATTTGTGCTCGCTTTACTGTAGAATTGCCTATGATCTCGGGCAGAAGCTCATGGAAAATAGTGGAGTCACTGGCATTGGTCGTATACCACCGAACGCCAAGCGAATGGAGAAAACTATGGTATGTCTGTTATTTGAAATTATTCTGGAATTTAATACATTTTTAATTGCCGGCACCATATCGCCACGGGCATAATTGACATTTTGCGTAAAGGTTAATTGTAGGCTGTCCAGCCCAGCTGGATGAATAGAGTGGGCTTCTATTGAAGTGATGATTAAGACTGTCTGGAATCATTTGTAGGAAGCAATCGATTCGGGAGCGACTGTCCGTAAGCTTCCCGGCTTGCACGTGCATGATCTCGGTGGTTTGTTAAAGCAGTGGTACGTGGGAATTGCGTTATTTCCGGACGGGCGCACCTCATTTTCTATGTGTGCATGTCTTCAAAGGAAACCTATTATTTAGCAAATGAATAGGTCTTTTAATTAATGTAGGACGAGAATGCTTCCCTCTCCGATTCTGCCGGATTTTGTCTCAATTTATTTCCTGCTGATTTGTGAAAAAATCAGCTTGCGGAAGATGAGCGAAATGGAAGCGTACGCCCAGTTATTATTCTTTGCAAAGTATATCCCCTTGCGTTACAAGGAATTATTGGCCTATCTTTCCTATGTAAGTGCTGCAGGATTGGATCATTAGAAAGGCAACACCATTAGGAAGTCATTCCGCGAAAAATTTTTGCTCAAACACGTTACCGTTCTTTTGTAGGTTCTGTGGAACATTTCGCAGAAATCTGATCTCAATGGCATGACCGCAAAGAATCTGGCTATCTGCTGTCCACATCTGTTTATTGGCTCCTTTGCACAACGTTTGGTCAGCGCCCATCAGCTGCAGTCACTGATTTATCTCATGGAGTTCTTTATTTCCAATCCGCATATCTTGTTGTCTGATGACAAAGCCGCGGTCTTGAAAGAGAATAAGGAAGAAGGTGCCGTTCACGTTTGCTTCCTTGTCAATATTCTTTATTATTGCCGACCGAGACACTTAGCACTGTCATTCGGTTTTCGCGCCCCCCGTACTGTTCCAAATTCTCAACTTCGCTGTGTGGTTGTAGTCTTCCGCTTGACGTTGTCCAAACCAGTAATGGATCCCTTTTTTACATTCCCACCCGTTTCATCTAATAGTCATGCCTTCCCGGCATCACGAACCGGAATTCGCCACAGTAACGTCCAAGGTCGTGGTGTGCCGTTCAAGGCACTAAACAGCCTGGCTATGGACATAAAAAACCGAATTGTGAGTAGGCAGCAAATCGGTGAATTATTTTCACGAGTTTTGACATGAGTGAAAGCACATATGCTACAGTAGGGTGCTCTCAATTTTGTGTTTACATAAAATCTTCGTTAATCCGTATAATATGGCTGGTTTTTTATTTCCGGTTTCCTGTGGACTAGTTTTTGCCATTTGTTTATGACGAATGTTTCTAGAACTAAAGAATAGTAACAGTGTTAGTATTGTCTGTCAAAACAATATTAGTATTGTACTTGTGAAAATACAGTACTGCATTCCTGTAAAGCGAACATAAACATTAGCTTAAAGAACAGTCGTTATGCATTTGATTATAGTTTTTCATAATATTAGCCCTGTTTTTACTTGAACCGTTGTTATCGTTTGCGCTAATGTTGACTTATGAACCGCTTTTTAACAGCGGGAAGGTTTGGGAATAGCTTGTTTGAAACCGGTTGAAGATGATACGGTGGAGGAGGCCAGCTCCAGTCCCAAGATGCGCTTTGTATCACCGGAAATGTGTTCTCCCATAACCGCGCCCGCCCTGGATGCCACACTGGACATGCCCGACAACATCTATGCGCTGATTACGCCGCCAAGGGATCAGTTTCGTGCCAAACGACACAGCTCCACCCGTGCCAGTGTTATCTCACGGCGGAGCTATGATGATCTGGATCTGCATGAGAACTTCAGCGGTGATATGGTCTTTGGTCCCTTTGCGTTAGACTTCGATCATGATGCGGAGGACTGGTGCAGTCCGCAACGCTCTTACGTGGTAGGAAAGCTGTCTGCAATTTCTTGATTAGCTGCGGGATAAGTTAAAGGCAATTTACCGTACTTCCAGTATACGAAATTATCAACAGAATAGGTATTAGGTATCTGTGCCGTCGTGTATTGTTTATTGTTAATTTTTTAGTAGTTCATTCTGCCAAAACTATAATATTCCGGTTTTATAATTATTAGAGCACTGCTAGTCGGACATTTTCTGCGGACTCCTTTGTGACTGCGAATGAAGATGTTTTCGAAAACGAGTATCGCCAGCAGCGATCCAACGTTTCGGTCCGACGGTGACCAGTTGATGATGTTCCTGTGCAATGTCCACCCACAATGCTTTCGCGAAATTGCACAACCTCGGTAGTATTTTACCTGTCGTTATTGTTCCAGCCTACCGAAATTTTTATGGCTATATTTGGTTTTCTCGTTTTTTTTCCGAGGGTTATTTTTTTGTTAAAACACACGTCGTAATATTCATTAGAAAGTTTTAATGAATGTAATTTGTTCTCATGGCTGCACTTATGAGATCATGTAATTTTCTCTATTTTTTGCATCGCTGGTGTGCGAAGATGATGATTGATTTGGGCTAGCTTTCGTAGTAAGATGTATTATTCGTCGTTTGTCTGTCCTGAGCGTCAAGTAAATGCGTTTCAGCATCAGAGAGTTTGTGTGGTAACCGGCGACTAACCGCAAGGTTGTGCTCATCGTGTTGCGGTTGGCGGTAAAATCAGGATCTAGCTTCTGGAAAATAAAAGTGCTCTGTTCGGTAAGCTTGTATTTCTACCCATATCGAAGTTAAAATTGCAGGCGAGAAAAGAAACAGGCTTCTAATCTTACGGGCCGCTGTAGAAGTGATGCGTTAACACATTCCAGCGCGAAAAAAGCTGTGAGGAATGACAACCACCATTTTGTCTATCCATCGGAATAACTAACGAAAAAAACAGGGAGAATGCGAAAACACCATCGAAGTGCCAGAAGAAAAAAGCCCATAACACTGCCACAAAACTAAAATCGATCAACGTTTATCCTCCATGCATCACTACTACAAATGCGAACAAAAACAAAAAAACGCCTAAAATTTCTCACTGTAAACATAATAATCCCCATCCCAATCGATACCATCCCACGCCCATCAAACGCGCGTTGGGAATACGCCCACGCTTCCGTGCACAGAAAATTTCGCTCAGCGGTCATCCGCATCGACGGACATCTGCGATTCCCGACGGTCGCCGTGGTAGGAGAACTCAGTGAAGTACGGCGCATCCTCTTCCGTAATGGATGCCAGGGCGCCCGGACGGGGCGGTGTCAACTCTACCGACTCACCGGTGAATTCCTGCTCGAAATATCGCGTATCCGTCTCGTCCGACACCTGTGGTTTAAAGGGCGGTGTGTACTTCTTATTCACCAAGTCGTCCCAGTTGACGCTGGCGAAGAACGGATGTGCCTTAATGTCCGCGCTATCACCGCGTCCGCCACCCAGACGACGGGAGGGATCTTTCACGAGCAGTGCCGATAGAATACTTTTGGCTTGTTCTGATAAGATTTTTGGAAACTTCACCTCGGAGACGAGAATCATCTCGAAGAGGACGTCATGATCTTGGTTGTAAAACGGAAGGCGTCCGCACATCATTTCATACATCACCACGCCCTGCATATGAAAATAATCACGTTGATGAGGTATGCTAGAACCCAAAATCGTCGTAAAAAACTGAATTGTTAATAAATGAATCATTTACAAGCATTTCTACAGATCTGAATTTCAATCTCCAAAATAGTCAAATGTTTCAAAACAACCAAAACAACATGTCAAAGTTTCAAATGTCTTCAAAATAATCAAATATAATCACATACTTCGATTATTCTTCGCAAGAATGTATTAATTAATAACTGATAATTTGAAAAACTAACCACATCGGCAGTGATATGTGCTGCCGAAATGCGTCAAGACGGGAGGACAGCGAAAAGTAGCAAACAAATGATCAGTGAACAACTACGGCCTCTACCTAACCATAAGGTTGAATATCCTGATACGGCTGATAGGTATGAAACGGTCTGTTGCATAATAAACAGTATGTACCAATATTCTTTCACGAATCTATAACCTATCCACAATTAAGTACGCATCATGCAAATATAACTCAAGGCCTTAAGCAAGATAAACCAAATCTATCGGTAGGTACCGAACGAAGCAAGTTTTTCAACGTTTCAAAAACCACAAGATACTGGACATGTGCACTGTTCGTTATGCTGATACTGTGTCAACTTCATTAATCAAGCATTCCGCTTTCCTCATTAATCAAGCATTCCGTTAATAATTTTAACCCAAAATATTCTATTGTCCCCAAAAAGTAATATTTACAAGATACAGAATTTTCAACAATCTTACCAATCCCCACCAATCCACAGCGCGCCCATAATCGTTTTCATCAAGAACCTCTGGAGCTAAATACTCCGGCGTGCCGCAGAAAGTTTTGGTTCGGGCACCATATGTAATGTACTCTTTGCACAATCCAAAGTCGGCAATTTTAATATGCCCATCTTTATCCAGGAGCAAATTCTCTAGTTTTAAATCTCGGTACACGACACCCATTTCGTGCAGATAACCAATGGCCGAAAGGATTTCGGCTGAATAAAATCGAGCCTTATCTTCGCTGAAAATCCTTTCCCGTGAGAGATGAAAAAATAATTCCCCGCCGTTCACATATTCCATAACGAAACATAGTCGATCATTGGTTTGGAACGAATATTTTAGCTGGGTAATGAAAGGATGTCGGCAGTTTTGGAGGACGCGGTTTTCGGTCAATGTATGGGCCACTTCATCCTTGGCAATGATGACCTCCTTTTTCAAGATTTTCATAGCGTAAAGCTGGCTGGTGTTTTTTTCCCGGCAGAGGATAACCTTGCCAAACGTTCCTGGAACAAAACGCATAGCTAAACCAATTTGAAAACATGAATTTGCAAACTTTTAAGTCATTTATTTGGAAATTTTCATTCGGTGTGTTTCATTCTCGTAATTACTGCCCGACTGCGAAAGGTTAGCAAATGTCCCTGCGGCAGGAGATAAAATCATGCACTTACAACTTGTTATAATACGTATTCAACGACACCAAGAAAACAGATTGATATAAAAACAAGGATAACCCAGAAAAACATATCGTATGAAAGTGAGAAATACTTCATCAGATTCGAAAAACGGGGTTCAAAGCTGTCGGTCTAAAACTCCGCATGATGTAATAATTACGGTTATCGAATAAATACTGAAAAATCAAATACGCCTGCTTTACCACTATAAATAGATTCTGTTTTTCACGGATATCACTTATTTTAGCTACTTGCAACTGCGACTTGTAAGTTCTGACTTCTGAGTATACACATATGCATAGTACTGCACACATCAACATGACACTGCAACAGACACAAATACACAGAATGTCGTTCATTTTTACGCAATGTATTCGTCATACGCAAAAATCATGGTCTAATTTTCGAAGAAAACACTCATCAGTAAATATCGTATTTAAGTACCTGCAATCTCATTATCAACTATTATCACATAAACTATTGCCAATTACTATCAAATAGTATAATTATGTTACTACTGCCATTTGTAATCGAATAGTAAAAACATGATATTGTTATTATTATCGACACCATTCGCACCCAACAAACCACCGAAGCTTTTTATTAATGAGAATGTTATGAGCTATTTAATTTAATGTATATATTATTCATACAACAAGAAACCAGCACAGCTTACTGCAAATACAATATGAGAAGGGCACGAAACCATAAAACCGGCGCCCAGTTTTATAGTGCTGAAAAGTGGAAACCGTGCGTCAGCCTGTCAATGTCAGATACATTATCAAAATTAGCAGTAGGAAGCTTATTAAACCTGCAGCGGATAATCAATGTTCCGCTCGGCATACGGTAAACAAGCTGTTATGTAAGCAGCAACGACGTGTAGGCCGTGTAGGTAAGTAATGCAGCATTCCGTGCATACAACCGTATGACTAATGAAACCCAACACGGAACGTTAACGTTGAATAAACATTCCGATCAATAGATGGGGAGCTAATCCCACTCGATATTTTCCAACAGAAAAAAGCTTCATTAAAACCAGCCATCCCATTACAAGCCGTATTAAAAATACGGATTGCTCCAAGAACAGTATGAAAACAAGCGGAATACAGGATCTGCTTCCGAAAAAATTAGAGGAAAAAAATTAAGTACCTGAAATTCTGAATTTACGTAGACTTGCTACTTTTCTAAATTACTTAACTCTAGAAATTAATTATTTGGTAGTTTGCTGTTTGCAGAAGTTTTCTGCAATTTAAATTTTTTTAATGCAATAAAAATTGCGTGTGTATACAATCTCATACAAAGTATTATGTTTTAGATTGCTGCGTTTTAGATCTCAGTTTATTAAATTCATTTCACACTAGCTTTGTCTTATAGAAAATAAAAATACCGTACTCTATGAATTGTGTAGTGGACAAAATAAATGGTGGACAAAATGAATGGTGGACAAAACGATGGGTGGACAAAACGATGGGTGGACAAAATGAATGGTGGACAAAATGAATAGACACGGAGTGGACGGTCTGTTAATAAAATAATAAATTAGAAAATTCGGGAAGAAAAACACCGACAAAAGAACCTCACCTTTTCCCAACATTTTAATAAATTCGAAATCTTCCAGAGTAATCTTGCGGCCCTCCTTGTGGACTTTACTGGACGTTCCTATGGCCAGTTGGCGGCCGGATTGTTGTGCGCCCGGTGCAATGTTCATGAAATCCTGCTGCACGGGACCGTCTTCCAGCGTCAGCTTTTCGGCGACACTTTGAATGGCTCGGCACCATTCATCGCGATCTTTGTCGTTCTCCGCATTGAACATGCGCTCAATGACCGTCGTCAGCTGGAGACCGCGGATGAGAAAAGTATTTGGCTTCGGTTTGTCCACTTTCATTATCTGGCATCCTTTCACGGTGAAGCTATTCAGCGGATTGGAAAGATCCTCCTGGGGACGGTTTTTAAAGCCAATCAGCGAGCCATCTTCAAACAGTACGAAAAAACGCGGACGCCAGTTCTTAATGTGCTCGCCGCGCTTCAGCAGCCAGCCTTCCTTGACACGACGGACCTGTGATAAATTAGCGTTTGTCGTCTCAATATTCATCTTGCACACGTTAGGGGGCCATACGCCACAATACTATTTATCGGAAACTTCCACACGAATCAGAATCACAGTATTCAGTGGTGACTGAAGGATGTTGCATCCAGAAAAATAGATCGCGAAAATTTCTTCCAGGTAGGATATTTTGCGGGAAATGGGACACAATACGGGTGAGCGCTTTTAAAGCAAATCAATATGGGATCAGCAAATGCTGCAAATGCAACATGTTAGGTTGTTTTCAAACGACACGAGACGACAGATTCTTGTTTTTCATTTTATGTTGTTGTGAACCATCTTGTCCTGTGGGGAAGTGACGTATACGACTGTCAGTGATGGGCGGTAGGGTTTCCAGGGGCCGGCTCGCCTGTCTGGCCCCCCAGACGGGCACAAGCGGCACGTCTGTGTCACTCTGTAAGTGTACGGCACAAGCGCAGACTCAAAGCAGACAGCTACAGTGATGCACGTTAGGGGTAAATCGTGAATAATTCATTCAGAACAATTTATTTTTTTGGAACGCTGCTGAACAACAAGAGCGGGTCAGCCTTGCTGAAATTTACAGAATGGTGTGGAAACAACTCGATCCTGTTAACTTGTTTGATTACAGTACTAACCAGTAAGTAATTGGTTGCTACCGCGAAACGCTTTTTTTTCTAAAATTTTGGAGTAGTTTCCAGACTTTTTGGAAATAGCGTGCGTTTAGTTTGCGCAATTGCGAGGAATAGTTCTAAAACAGTATAACTACTGTACTTTACTGCATGGTCAGCTAAAGTACTTATCTGCGTACTTTTAATTCAAATAATTATAATAGTCAAGCATCTACCAGTTATACGTACATTGTACAGGACAGAATGGCCGATACCGATAGACACGAGTACAGTACAATACGTAAGACTTATGGTTAGCTGTATCGTTAAAGCAAGTAATAATATATTTTGCTAACAGTTTCTGTGATACCGTTGTTACGACTTCAGCGATGAATGATTATGTACAGTTTACATTCAGAAATATCTCATAAAAAAAGCCGAGCTCGGTGAAATCAAGACGTGCACACAACTAAAAGTCAATTCAATACCTACTTAGCTGTTCTACGATCGAGCGGTTGACCTTTTGATATATTGTACGCCTAGTGCAAACCAAAAATAATTTCATAATTGCAGCAAGTGCCGAACCATAAACCAAGTTACAGGCGCTTAGCAAAACCATCTACTTCCAAAAAACAATTTTCATCGCAAATTATTCATACTGTTGCTGTTAAATAAGTGTAAACCATAGCTGGATACGAGTAAGTACCGTACCGTAAATGCCGTGGTAAACCGGAAACTGAGCTCTGTCCACCTTCATTACTTAACCTCAAACCCTGTTTTTGACTTATCTGACTAGCTGCCGATGGTTAATAATCAACAATTTTAAGTATATTTCGGAACGTGTAAATTTCCGGAAAATGTAAATTTTGCTCATCGTCAGACGTCAGTTATAACAATATTATCGCTGACACTGTGATGTTATAAGGGCGGCTCCAGATTTGTTCAAACTTAATTCATTCGAATCCACTGGCAGGACATTCGTCGACCATAATAATTATCAATTTCTTCATTGATCATGAAAAACGCATCGACGTGCACTGTTCACTAATTGGTATTTCGCTCTGGACATACAGATATGTGCGCACAGGTCCAGAACTGTCAGCTCAGGTGTATAATGAATGATATGCACTTCTATATATCTGTTGTATATTAAAATTTTGTTCGTTAACTACAGACATGTATAGCTGGGCACCAATAAACTCACAGAAAAGCACTTTATTAAAAACCGCTACAATGAAGCAAACTATCTGTATACAGAATATGCGGCAGATACGGTATTGTAATACAAAGAAGCTGGCGCGTAACTCCGAAAACTTTTGGCTGCATCCCATGGAAACATGCTGACCACACACACCAGTGTACGTATTTGGGGCGAGTGGACACGTGTCGTTAGCTACCATGCACGGCTCCAGCTGTAGCGGACGTAGCGTAACACGGAAACCGACACACGATCGCGATGACCTCAAAAGCTAGGGTTATCAAGCGAGCCTTTCCCTCGACTGGCATTGATATGCAACGGGATGCTCCTGGAATTTCTCGAGACGAAGGAAAACAGTCGGACATTGTGACCTCGACCCCATGGAAAAGGCGCTGGCGCTGAGACGAACACTTCGATAGCGATCTAAAATAGCCGCATCTAATTTATCCAGCAATTGCAGCGACCGGCCGGAGCAGTAGCAAGCAGTAGCAGCGCAAGTAAAACAGAACAAAAACGCGAAATACCGGAAATTTACTCTAGACTGCCTGTTCTGTCCGCTGGTCCTTGGAACTTTCTGACATCTGAAACCCGCATCCACTTGTTTGACCTCTAACTGGTAAGCTTGAAGCAAGAGACGTCCGGAAACTGCAGCTGGAGACGTTTGAGTCGCTGAATACCTGGGACAACGGATCAGCACTGAAGTCCAACGAGGACGAGCAGCATCGGCAATGAGAATGGCACCAATGGCGGCGAATTTTGACAAAATTTGTTGTGCCATTCGTTGTTGGATGTTTATACGCATGCTGCTGCGCAATCCCCTTTTGGTTGATGTCTCTTATGTTATGCTCTTTGTCAGTTTTAATGATGCTGTACATTACTTGCATTAACAAAAAATTATTAGAACAGTAAATTAAGAATAACCGTCGGTGAAACATTGTAAAATTGCATTGTTGACCCATGGCCAACCGTACAGTGCAGACAGTCCAAAACTATTCTGGTTTAATATTAGGTACAATTTTAGTAAACGTTAAAACCGATCAACTGGTCCAAAATCATAGTCGAATTATTATATAGTAAAGAGTGCAGTTCATAGCTGTCATAAAGTTCTAAGGTGTGCTTCACACCTCTTAGGATATCGTGAGTTTCTGCAACACCTTCTGTAAAAATTCTAAGGGAAGGGATCACTTGATAATTTTGTAAATCCTTGTATTGTAGTTGGGTTCAATATTAGCAGTAAGCATTAATTATTTAATCCTTAAATTACAAGGAGGTGGACAATGAGCATTAAGGCATAACTGTATAAGCAGTAAATTAACGTGGAAACGCGAATTTCTAAATCCGATTTAAATTAAACGATTTGCTAGAAACCCATTTAACCCATACTGTATGTGCCATGAAACATAGCGCGCGCATATAGAAAAGTGTTTTTAAAACTGGCATCAAACTGGCTCCAAAACCAAAGTTAGAAAGTGAGGGAAGTGAGGTCACTCGCGCATTTTGAATATAAATTCATGACTGTCTGGAGTCTAGACTGAGCACATTTAAAATACTTGTAGACACACACATTATTATTTCAAATGCTTTCTGACGATAAATTATGCCAGAAATTTTTTATTGTGATCGATGCGGCATGTGCAGACGTTCATTTGCAATTCTCGGGCAAGTTGTATACGAAGTATTCGGTACATGTATTAACAATGGATATTGCTAAAGAGTAAAGACGCAGAAAACTTAGCGGTTTTGTAGTATCTAGTAATGATGACCATGAGTCCATGATAATATTACTTTACAAACAAATGCAGTAATTATGACTTATTAACTTCAGTAATTACGATTTCGTAGATATCATACTCACAAGCACAGAGATTTATGACTAGCTTATAGCTGCTTAATGTCTAAGTTGCCTAACCCAATTGTTTACCTTTAGGTTTATTTGGAGCGATGCTGTTCGTGACATATGTTGCTTTCTCTTCGATAAAAACATTTTAATCGCAACTCACAGCTTTACAATTGACACCTTTCAATACTACTTTTAATAGATAGAATATGCCGTGCTTTTTTAGAAGGCACAATAGTATAATCAAAAGATTTTACAGGTGCATGGTCATCTATAGTGCTCAAAAGCTTAAAAGTACAACTGGAGTTCGTACAGGGAAAATTAACTAAAAAGACCAGCTGGCTCCGACATGTTTGATTTACAGTTATAGCTTCTTCAGTTTCGATGTGTAGTTAATTATGTCATAATCCTTTTGCCACATCTATGTATGTATCTTGTACACCAGATTTATTTGCTAACTGCATTCTACGGTGCTCAAGAGATGGCATTTCTGTCGCTTGCCGAATGTGCAATTTTTGAAACTGCGCATCCGTCCACAGTCACACATGCTCTGTGCTTATAAAAGTGTACATCTCGCCGTTATCAGGTGTGTGGGATAATAACCGTGACCTTTGAACTTAAAGTTTTACTACGCGGATCGATACAGTAGAGTAGCTGCTAGCACAGTACTTCTCTTACAATTTTTGCTACTACCATAGGAAATTAAAAATCAGGTTTCGCGCATACCGATAGGAGTACCGGTTAGTGATGTTAACAATTTTCCAATTCAACAGGAGTACGCTGGCACGCAAGTAGCACCGCCCTGCTAGCCGATATCGTACTACACTTTTGCAGCATTCTCAAAATCAATAACATCTCCAGTAGATTTTGGAAGCCGCAATATATATAAACACACTTCTCCGCTGTGACATAGTGCAACCTCATACTTTAATTATCAAACCAGATGATCTCCCGTGTATTTACGTTAGGACCCTATGTAAACGGTGTTATTTCCATTTTTGTGGAAGCGCGCCGCCGCTCGCTGTACTCAAGTAGGGTGAAAATCTTTGCCTGGAATAAGTGCGTAGAACGTAACTCTACACCGCATCCATATCATTCCATAATATTGTGGAAAGCATTCATCGTCGGCACTTGTGTCCCTGCGCATTTGCATGCATATTGATTCGTTTTTCCATTGAAATCGTATTTTATTTTGCGAAGAGTTTGCCATACACGCATAAATAATTTTCGCGAATGTACATATACTGTATCCGCATGCTGTGCACATTTTGTAAGTACCCGGTATCGCAGAAAGTAAACGTACGCATGCGCACTTTATATAAGCACACTTACTCGCAGGTGCAAGTTTGCTCATTATAACAATATTATCAGCGACATACGATCTGACCTATAATTCAGGATCCATATAATCTGATTCCGAGCGGAAGTATCACTTGGGACGAGCCAAGCTTGCAGTGAGCTGGCTTTTGTTCACGGGAACGATCTAATTATATTGTATTTTGTGGAAGCAGCGGGCGCGCGCACGGTGCATCGTTCCGGTCCGCTTGCACCTTCTCAAGCGACACAATAATCTTGACGGTAGGATTTAAAGTGGATTTATCGCCCACTTTGCCTTTCCTCTGGACATCTATATTCCCAACATGGGCAACCGTTCCACTGTCATGCTGCAGAAGTCTGAAATTGCGGAAATCCAAGACGAAACCGGATGTAAGTGGATATCCTGGGCATCATATTATAAATTACCATAAGCACAACGCGTAATTTCAGTTAATTTTAAAATATATATTTATTACACAGATGTAAATATTCCAGTTAGAAAGTAATTTTTTTGGTTTTCTGTTGATAATTCACCTTGTAAGACTAAGACTGGCCTGTGGAACTGCACAATATTGTGCAATCGATATTAATAATGTTATGCCAATCTTACCGTTTGCTATATATAGATATATCCCTGTGTAATAATTACCTAGTTATGTTCGTATTTTGATCAAACTGTAAAGTCATGATCACTTGTCTATAATAAAAGGTACTCTAGAGTATTCTGTACGTATAGTAGAGTATTTCGACTAGACTTGAAGTCCCTTTTACGTTATCTGCTCTTGTGCCGTAATAATATATAATACGTTATTCTACACGAGCTGGAGTATTCTATATTCTATACGTTGAATTATCAAGCGGAATCAGGGGATATTTTGTATCCGTCCTTACCCAATACTTAATTAATTAATGGCAAACTCCAAAAACTAAAACCATATGCAGTGCTGAGAATAGCTGGATTAGTTTATAATATAATTATTAAGGTTGCTGAAACTCTATCTTTTAATCGTTCAAATCGTCGGACAACTAAATTTGCAAAACATTTGAGCTAATAAAATTTGTCTTGTCAAAAAATTGCGTACGAAACTAAAAATGTTCAGCAAACTGTCTTCCCTATGATGTTAGTTAAAGCCGGTCAAAACTTATCCCAATCTATGTGTGGAGGAAGGTGCCAGCTCAAAGTTTTAATTATTTAATATTACATTAATTAAACTGATTAAATTTCGAATGAAATGAATTCGTTTTTAACAGTGCAGACTTATTGTTATCTTAATTGGCTATTGCCAAATAAAAGAATAAAACAGAATATCACAAAGTTATTTATCCGTTTGAAATGCTCACTGCATACCCTCATTAGAGTAAACGCCATGTCATAAATATGCAGAAGGGAGTAAGATAGAGCATTCTACAACATGCATTCAAAGGAAATGGTATTTTTTCGCAAGAGCAACAGCATGTCCAAGTCGTTAACCAACGTAATAAAAGCGAACACAGCCGGCAACCGAGAGAGGAAAAGTACTTTAATTGTCCATGAACTGCCGATTGTAAACGGTATATAGCGTATTGATTACTAATGAATTCATTGTACGCTATATTTTTTTCTTTCAACAGTTACCGCCAATCAGATCGTGCGCTTATACAGCCGCTTTACAAGCCTGGATAAATCCAGCACAGGATCACTGAGGTGACACACACTGTGCAACATCATTCCATACGGACCGGAAGTGCTATTTTAATGTTTCGGTGTCGTATTGCTTATCGATTTACATTTCTAGCCGGGCTGATTTCCTGAGAATTCCAGAGTTGGCTATTAATCCATTAGGCGATAGAATTGTGCACTCGTTTTTCAAAGACTGGTAAGTTGTTGCTGCCGGTAACGTTAGCTAGTCTATGTATGTACCATAGTATGAAAAATAAAGGTTATAGCTACCTCTGAAACTTCACCAAAGAGCATTTCCCAGAAAGGTTGAACCAAAAAAGTAGCAGCACAAAATTTGATTTGTTGAACTATGGATTTGTCAAAGTATACATAGACTGCACCTTTCTGCGAACCGCTTAACTCAAGACGAGTATATACCTGGCAAACACATGATCGATAAAAGGTTATGTATTGTACAATGTATGTGTATAGTAGCATGAATAACATAATTTTCTAGTAATAAGCACATAATATAATTAATAAAACGTTTAATTTTTGCAACTGAGTTCGTAGAACAGTTAATTTCTTGCTTGTAGTTGCTTCAGTTATTCGGGTTGAGAAATACGAGACATGCTTTTGCGCGTTATACTCGTAAAGCAATCTGGAAACTGTGACTATCCTTTCTCGTTTTCTGACTGCAGCCCTGACGATCAAGTGAATTTTCGTCAGTTTGTAAAGATTCTGTCGATATTTCGCCCGATGAAACGGAGTCAAGAGCCCGTAATGAATACAAGGGAAAACAAGCTGAAATTTGCTTTTCAAATGTACGATTTGGATCAGGACAACAAAGTGTCAGCTGAGGAAATACTTACGGTTCTCCAGATGATGGTCGGTGTAAATATCAGCGATGACCAAGTAAGCACAGGCAGTCACGAACTGTCAGAAACGCTAATATTTAATTTGCATGGCCAACCGGCATCCGCAAAATAAATGCGTAGAAACCAAGAAGCTTCTCATACGCATCACAAAATACGGGTAATTTACCACAGAGGCCTATAATGATGAAATTTCATATACTTATATATATAAAATAGGAAATTAACTTGCAATGTAGAGTCAAAAAGAAAGGAGAGAAAAAAATTGTAAGATGGAGGCTATAGAAGAGAAAATTTGAAAAGGTTGACATTAAAGAAGTTAGCTTAAACTTAACCATTTGTAAGAAGTTTCTGCGCGGACTGTAGTAATTAACTTTGCCTGCTTGGATTCGACAGGAAAATGTATTATGACAGTTAAAAAGTCGTCATAGTGCACATGTATCAACTGCCGACACATCACACAATACCAAATTTGGTATTGTGTGATTGTTTGGTTAATACCAAACACTTGCACCATTTAACAATACCGATAACTGGATAATGGTCTATATTTGCGGAAATGTTGACTGCCTATACAACATAATCGCATTTGGGACACGTTGTATTATTCAAATGCCACAGATCCATAAACACAGGGGAGTCATGGCATATACTGCTGGGAACATTTCAGCTGACACTTACATCATTACGGGATATGCTTGAGCATGTTCAGGAGTTATAGCGGATACCGTATATGCACGTTGTTAGCAAGTGATTATCGAATATGTTTTACAGCTTCAGAAGATTGCCGGCATAACACTCCAGGAAAACGATCGTGACCACGACGGCTACATTACACTGGAGGAATTCTGCTCTGCAATGGCCGAAAGTGATGTGGATAATCGACTTTCTTTACGATTTCTTTCATAATCAAAAACTACAGAACTCTCTCTTTCTTGTTACTGTTAAATGTCAAAGGCAGTATTTCCAAAGAACAAATCATGCTCCCTTTTGTATAGCTTTCCGCTTGACTGCCTCTGTTATATTTTTTCTTGGAAGCTTACGTGTACGTACAACAGCCTGTCTTGTGCATAACAAAAATGTTTGTTCCCATATTCGCGGTGATGCGAAATCTCTAAGGAGGTTGATTTCGCTCATAATTCATGATGGCATTTTCAGCTTTAAGTATATACCACGCGCGCCCAGCGCATTACGTAGAATAGGTATGGTTAAGAATTGTTTTCATGTGTTGCTTTGAGCTTTGATGTTTCATGTTTACTTAATCGGATTAGGATGGATTTGGATAGTAATTGGATTAATTTGCGCTCCACCCATTTAATATTCAGGCCTGTAATACGTGACTGTATGTTAATTTATTAATGCACACTCAATACTGGTTCATAATACGTACATGAAAACAGTTGTGCAATAAATGTTGCGTAGAACGCACATGTAGCAAGGAACAAAATGCAAGTTAAACTTATTTTTTACTTGTTTTCATACGAGGTAACTATTAATCCTGTATGTTCTTAACAACAAGTATTTAACAATGCAATCTGTTATATGCAGTGCAATAATGGTACCATGCACATCACTATTCTGGATGCTTAGACTCCTGGAGTAGACAAAGAACATAGCTGTGTGATATACAATTCCAAAATGCAACATAATTTATTATGAGTTCCAGAAGGCAAGATTATCCCTGTCTGCTTAATTTTCACTATAAGTACGTACTGTACTACGAAAATTTACTGCTAATCTACCGGTAATCGGTAATACAAGATCCTATGAGTGATTTTTTAAATGCAGATGCGATTCCGAAGTGTAAATAAAGTATGTCAAGTTGCCGATACTTCTGCATTTCTGATTTTTCTAATAGAGCGATAAAAAATCCGAATGCTTTATTTAGTTTGCAGACGTGTTTAAACATTTTAACGCCCATTGCAGCGCATTTCAAACATTTTAAAGCTAAAACGTAAAAATATACACTGTAGCAGCAGCTGCAACAACAGCCAATAAGAAAGTTTTAACTCATGAGCATTGCTTAAAAATTAAAATTGTACACATGCTTATTATGTATTAATCTCTTTAGCCAGATAAGAATCGTCTTTCTTATGCAGTGCGTCATCATCGTTTCTATCCATCATCTCTACTGCTACGGCGGTAACATTGGGCTTTACGTAATGGTAAAAGTGAGACATAATGGCGAATATTATGGCAAATATCCCAATAAGTCCAGCGAAGACAAAAAACTCCACGGCCTAACAAGAAAAGCGCAGTGAACTGACGTGCAACGTCGTGTATCCAAATTATGTATAAATACAATGATAGTACTGCACATGTACAGCAGTTTAACTTTGTTCCCATTAAAAAACGTACAATTATTTCAGCAACTGTGAGTAAAAAATCCTATTAAAACCTATCTCTGTAAAACAGTGTCGACATGGCCACACATGTTTTTTTGCGAAATATGCAAGTGATCTGCTACACTGCTAAATTCCACGGCTACAAAAGCTGCGACGGCCAAAATTTTGCTCCATTATGCAAAATTGGTAACGTTATCGACAACTTTTTAAATGTACACATTGCTAAATTATTACGCAGTTGCAAATTACGATAAACGTTTCGTCGTCCTGCATCTTGACCATCACGTGCAACCGAGTGTTGCGTGTTCTTGTTTAATAACAGGGAAATAAAAAGGTTACTGGCATACCTGACTGGCAATCAGGTGACCCCCGCTAAAGATCATGACAATAACACTGCCGAAAGCCGACGTTAGCAGCCAAGCGGCTTGCATAACCGAACGCATACTTTCCGGTGCCTATGATAAACAATAAACGGTTTAAAATTATATGAGCACAAGCACAAGGAAGCTGCAGTTAACTTACTTCCGAATAAGCAAAACTCAGTCCACTAACAGAAAGAAATACTTCCGCCAAGGTTATCACGAAATACTGAGGAAACTGCCAAAAAATACTGATACTGTTCGGCTGGATAATTGTGTAGCGCTCCCATGATTCGGAAGCATTAGTTAAGGCTGCGGAGCCGAGATCCTTAAGCAACACAACGTAATAACCGCCGATAGGAAAGTCAATTTGTTTTGTGCCCATTGGAGCAGCTCCGAAATGAGATCGTTGATCCGAAAGATAAATTACATACCTGCAATTGACGAAGCCTGAATGCGCATATTAATTTTAACCAATTGCAACTTTGCACAAAAGTAATTAATTGTAGGTTCGCATTGTATTACAAAAGCATATACCTAGCTATTCTCTAATCCGCTGTACGAGTTCGCCATAATTGTGGAAACGATAAAAATACCGAATAAAAATGGAAAAATAAACCAGAATTACAATAACAACTCAAATAAATATATAACGCAATTTAAAATTTTAAAATTACAGTAACATAAATGGTTGGCTCATCTTTCGTATAGTAATTGGTAGCCAGCAGGGGAAATTTGTGCACTTACGGGCCCTGATCCACGTCTGCGGCGACGGTCGTAATGGTATGGCTTCCGTAATCCGATCCATTAGTGGTACTGTTGACAGGTACAATGATTTCATGTCCCTCTTTATCTTCCGCAATGCCCGGATTAATAAGCGTGATGTTGCCGGCTCCCGACGTTGTGTTGAGAGCGAAAGGTAGCACGAATAACACTTTTGAGTTGCTGTCCTCAGGTTTCACGTGTTTTCCCTCAATCTGTATATGTAATGAAAACGATCAAAATCTATGCCCTTTTTTTAATCTATGCCTTTTAGAATCGCATAATTTTTTAACAACAGCTGCATTACATGAGGAAACAAAATTCATAAATAAAACGATTAAACGATTACACATTTAAAACTGCAGTCAAAACAAATTAATACAAAATCACAACGCATACTGACCTGCTGAACCGTTAATTGTCCATTTTGCATTCCCAGGAATGCAAAATAACCCGTCCCACCAGAAACAGTAATTGGTGCCTTTATAGAGGACTGAGTGGAACAGTTGATAGTAGAAACGGTCAACCAAATTTCCTTTTGAGAGTTGACAGGAAATGGCGGGACAACCAACATCTAAACAAAAAAAATCGTTGCTATGAGGCAGTCTTGCACATTAGCGCGTATAATATTTTTATGTTATTAAAACTCATCCCCTTACGCTGTGTGGACCGATGTGGTCCGACGCATTAGGAAATACATCACCCGAAAGAGATAAACTACATGCATTAGGGTTGAAAATCCGCATTTCACTACGATCGGCTGCAGGCACTGTCGGTAAAGTTTTCTGCAAGATTGAAACATGTTCATCTTGTATTCCAAAGATTTTAATCAGGAGATACACAGCTTCTGAAGTGACCTTTTACTAATTTCAGACAAATGTGACAGCACTATTTGAATAGCCTTTTAAAAATATTTTGAAGCATTTAACCTAAAATTTCGAATCTGACAAGTTATGTTATACAGTTAGACCGCAACACAAATCAGCACCTTACATCTATGGCGACCTGCAGGAATCCCGCAATAACAAAGGCAACTCCAGCCAACACCATCCCAACTACCATACGAGCCAGCAGTCTAACAACAAAACCATTAACTGAGAAGATACAGCGATAAAAGCTCGGCCTTCAGCTTACCGGAAAGGTATCTTTAGTTTGTGCATGACTGGATAAATAACGGTTTCGAAACATGGGATAAAAATTAAAATCAGTACAGGATTGAAAATTTGCACTTGATCCGGCTGGAAATAGTAGGTATCTAAAAACAGCCACTGCTATGTTAAAGTAATTTAATGATTTAAATGGATCAAGGGATTTAGCGTTATAGGTGCGTTTACCGGTTATTCTTCCATCCATTTTATTTGCCTGAAGTGTCCAACGAGAGCCCTAGTACAACACATATATGCTCCCAATGAACATGTTTTTTTAAATCAACGTACAAGAAATAAGAGCGGGCGCGAATGGGTTATTATTCATCTGAAGGATGCATCGAAATACGCAATTTTTCAATCAGTTTTTGAGCACTCCTGTAAGTGATCTTAACCAAATTCATTTATTAATCACAACAAATTTCAATTAGGATCATTACGATCTATAATTAGTATATCACTTGACTTTAATTTGGTTCGAAACGATCAGTATTGCTCACTTTTAAAACCCTCATCTGAAGATGTACAACCTGCATATATAGATACGATGTACGTATATCTCGCTAACATTTAAAGTACTGGATATACCATATGTCTGTTTTATAGTGATTGATAGGGATTTTAATAGGATTTTGCTAAATTAACAGGCTTGCAGGAGCTGCAGCTAACATTAAAGCCTTCGCTAATTACAAACAGTTTTCGACTTCAAACAGATAGACTAACTGGCCCATGGCTATTTTGAGCGGAATCGCTAACGTGACACAATAAAAAAATTCAAGGAAACTGAGAATTTACAACGAACTTGTTGAGTTTTGCACAAAAAAAACTGTATCAGTGATGCCGCACATGAAAAGTACAAAATAAATATACGATAAAAACAACGAACTTGAATTCTTATATCAAATTATTTGACCAAACTCGGTGTTGGGCGATTAGCTAATAAAAAAAGGAAGAGCATAATTATTATTCTAAAACTAGAATTGATAATACTGGCAAAACAACAAGGTTACCTGCATGTTAATGTTATGTACTGTATTATATACCTGCTGATCGAATAGGGCCCAAAACATTGGTATAGGCAGGAACATAAACAGCACATGCAGCAATTGTTTGACATCAGCAATAAATTCCGCCTGAGAGGAGAAAAAACCAATGCTACCTTTCCATTGTTTATCTTGCAGGAATTTAGTTACGACAATAATTTCTTACGTCGTATTTATCTGCGGCGGCATCCAGCCAGTGCGTAGTGCTAACCCGGCGTTTTCCTTTCCATATTGACATCAGTTTGCTTTTGGGCGATTGAGAAAGGTGATTGGATGGTATCTATGCATAAAAATGTTTTCCTTCAGCAAACTAGGAAGTAACTGTAATTTTTAGGAAGTAACTGTAATTTTTGAAAAAATTTTATGTAATATTTTGGCCAGATTAACTTATCCACAAACAATTTTCGGGCAATTAAGGCTAATACAACCATATATAATACAGAGCACGTTTTAAATAGATAGCATTTGAACGTACAGTAACAGCACTGTATAAGAAAACTTATTAATTTATAAATTATAGAGTACATAGAGTACATTGCAGTACATGTATTGTTAATTGTAGTAACATGTGTAGCATATAGGTATAACATGTACACTGTAGTAACATGTATAGCACGATTTTTTTACCATTGCGGCATCGGACGAGGTGGACATTTCTGACGTTATGGAAGGCTTAGGACCCTTGGCACCTGTGCGACCCTTAACGTTGTTGACGATGGCATGCTGTCAACAACGGTTAAATCAACATCAAGCCGCCTTTTGTTGTCGACAAGGACAAGAGATCATGTATGGCGGTTCAGTGCATAAGGAACGTACTCACACAAACACAACAGAATACACGGCTAATCAAGCTTCCAAAAACTGGCGTGTCCGTATAGAATGGTTTACCCAACAAAAACAAAACTGCAAAGAAGGAAACATGGCAGAAAATAAAATACTTTTTTTGCATAGTTTTGTATAACCGTTGACGATAGCAAGAGTTTACAAAAACCACAAATACGTACGAATTGCGTCGCATGGCTGTCTTAGCATTAAGCCCGAAGGTATACGAAAAAAATGAAAACAAGGAAAGACAACACAGAGAGAAGGCAATAAAGCACCGAAAAAAAGAAACCGGTAAAAAAACAGAAAATTAGTTAAAAGTAAAAACCAAACCTACGTCGCATAATTTAACGTGGTCTTAATTGTGGTTTTCGGCGCACGCTGATGGAATGTGACAACGGACGTGAATAACACAGTAAATTGTAAAAAAGGCGTTGAAAGCGGATGTAAATGTTCGACGATTCTATCGCATATAGGGAAATACACGACAAATTTGCTGCTTACCGTACGTAATTACAACTTACTCAGAGCAACTGCCATTAGTGCTGCAGGCACGCCAAACGCTAATGAATAGCATGTTTTTTCTCCAAAACATTGAACATCCGCTACAATTGCAACACGGAAAACCAGGGTTGTTGTTCCATAAAAGTACACCACTCTAAAACACAATGCTTACATCGCAAAATCGGTGTCACAAATGTCGAGATTAAGCTTCCCGCGTTGATGCAAAAATAAAAGTATGCAAAAAACCGCTCGCGATGATGTTCCTAAACAATAGATACATACAATTGTGTGTGCCTAAAAATAAACTCCAAATATAAACTAGAATGCGATGCCGTTAGTTATCTGACAATTGTGAACGCAGGACACAATCGCCTATTATTCTAATTAGATAACATAAAGCATTTCAATCCGGAAAATAAAAAAAATGTTTACGTTTTGAAAAGTCTATCACATAGATGCGGTGCATTACTTTGGGAATGAAATCAAAATGTTAACAATTAAAATATGTTTTAGGTGAAGTCCAAATTTCATTGTTAGCGCAAAACTGCATGTGTACCGTACCTGTCCTGGCTTGAATTGATCCGCTCCGTAAGTGGATACACACGGCTTAATCCCCCCAGTCCCGATAGCAATTAAAAGTAATCCGCTCATGGTACCAGCACTGAAAATTTATTTAAAAAGAAATATATTATAGACCGGCTTTTGGGCACTTTTAATTTTATACACCGTAGAATACATACATGGCATTGAAAGGCACCGGTGGCATGGCAGCTAATGTTAGCACAAGAAGTCCAAGAATGTACACCAGTGATAAATACAGGATTGTCCTGCCCGAGCACAAAAATGTTTTCACCAAATGATAAATATATTATACGTAATGTAGGGAGGGCATGGAATCTGCAGCATTTTAAAAGTTTAGACTTACCGAAATTTCCCAATCAGACTGTCTGCTAGCCATGCTCCCAATACCGGCAAAAAGTAGCATAGCATAGAAAATAAATGGTAAAAAAAGGTCGTGTTGTCCTCAGAGAACAGCAGCACTTTGGTTAGGAATAAGGTCAACACGGCTACAAAAGGTATCAAATTCGCATTATCCGAAGAAACCGGCAGAATGTTAGTGTCGTTATATGCTGTTAATGGCAACCTACTTTTCATGCCGTAATAGGTAAAACGTTCGCAAAATTCATTTCCCAAGATGAATATGATAAACCAGGGATATCTAGGTTTAGGCTGCAAAGGGCATGGCATAAAAACACGGTTTTTATATAATCCTAAATTACTTCATCATTTCTACCTTTTCGCCCTTTTCGACTTCTTTATCATCGCCTATTTCGCGATTCATTTTCGCAAAACAAGATTTCCAGTATTAGAGGGTCAACCGTATAAAGTATCGCTTGACGTAGTTCCAGTAATCCACAAATATTAATACAATTTCAAATCCACCAGCCAACAGATTCGGTTATAAGTATTTCTTATTTCTGATTACCTCGCTGTCTGGCAAACATTGAGAAATGAAATATGTTTTCACCGATTTCTTACATTATGAAAACTTCATGCATATGTAATGGTAGTTATGTATGTGGATTAGTTCCTCATGCCCAGAATTCTACACACTTGTGCCACACATGAACGGAAAAGATCACAACACCACGCTGTCAAAAAACCGATTTATTATTCTCAAATGACTTCCAGCGAGAAAGTAACACTACGTTGTCTGATTTCGCAGTTAAACACCAAAAGACCAGTTTACGCGTTAATCAAATAAAAAAACGACGATTACGGAGCTTAAGGCACTTCGGTGTACGCAGTACCGGATTTGACGTATACAACATAGTCCCGCCTCTCTCGTTAATTCATAGGTAGTAAGTACATACTCCAAAAATGATGATTACAATCATATTATCATAGAATTCCATTTTTATAAGTACACAATACGATAGCACTTTTCATCATTCTGTGTGGTTATTTGTACCACGATTTATCTTGCTACAGAAAACACTTATTTTAGGCAATCTTCCGAAACTCTGTCAAGATTTCAGTGCTTGATCCGTGAAATTCTTTGCTAGCAGACAAATGCGAGCCGCACTTTTTTAAGTGCTGGGAAATTGCAGATTATGAATACAGTTTACGAAGTACGTACATGCATGGGAAACAAAAATCCATACGGACAAACGCCATTTATTGGAAATCACAGTAATATAATAACAGACAGGTGATCAAGTTTAAAAGACTGTACTTGCAAATGTACGCCACTTACATTGTCTTGCAATTAAGTTGAATTAACCCCCTACTAATGTCGTGTTGTCGTTACTTTTTACCTTTAGCGTAACCTTAAAATTTTCCTTTCGCTGTCCACTGTCCACTGCTCGATACAATATATCTAGTATATACTTCCGATGGCGCTTAAACTTCTATCATTAGATTAACCAATGCTCAGCAATTGGCGGTACAAGTATAGTACTCACATTGGACCGTGGAGTGGATCTCCCGAACCCTCTGGATGGGTGGATGGGACGTGGAGGTGTAAATTCGAGTCTCTGTGTGTCATGCCCGATGGGATCTGGGGCGAGTATTACCCCAAAGCGCTTCGGCGCGTTTTCGCCATTCAACCAGTGATCTAGTTGGTGTGGCGTGTGGAGATTCTGAGTTTTATGCTGATATTGTTTTGTCTGACTGTCTTTAGTGTTCGGTAGATTTACGAATGTTACACGTTGTCTTTGTTATGCTATCATCGTACTTCACTGTACTTGTACTGTTGCTGAAAAACCCTTGGTGCACCATTAAAATTAACAGATCACAAGTATAGTACGTGCATTTGCAGAACATTTTAATTACAAAGCAATCGCGCCGGAAATGCTATCTTATCGTAAGGAAGATAAAACAACGTTCAACAAGAACCGGTCATACGTTTCGTGTACTTTTACTTACCGCGGTATTATAACTCCAAGCCCAGCCGCGCGGTGCGTATCGGCGTGGTTAATTTTGCAGACAGTCATAAGTATTGTTCAATGCATACTGCCAGCTCATTTATGCCTATGCTGACTTCAAACCTGCGCTGAGCAGTGTTATAAATTCAATTTCCACAAGTTTTCTGTTCACGCTTTACGGATCACATTTATCTCCCGTGGCGTTGTCAGTCCTGAGTCTTTGGAAGCCCACGCCGGAAAGAAGCTAGCAACGGCATCAGGCTGCATCGGTGATCATCCTGTCGCTACCATCAAGTGGTAGCACTAGCAACCATGGATCAGCTGGCTAATACACCCGAAGACGACGGCCATTCCGCAGAAACCCTCGGTGAACTATCCAAGATTATCCGTGATCGCAATGCAGTTGATGCGTATGCACATGGTAATTCCTTGGGATCGTTGTAAAATAGTTTTTTTGCTCGTATTTCGGATTGCGAAGATGCAAACGGTTGGTGTTTTTCGACAGATAAGGAATGGCGAGGTCCATTCTGCTTTGTGCAAGGCGCGGATCCTCAGGTACCTTTCTAATTTTATCGGTGGAATCGGTACAAGTAGTTGTAAAATAGCTGAGAAAATCGATGTAGAGAAACGGGTGACAACTTGATGTTGTACACATCATTGCAGTTCGGAATGATTGACCAGTGGGACCGGAAGAAAACCAATCCGGATGAAATACAGTGGGAAGAAGACATGCAGCTGATGCGCAAAGCAGTACAGGATATCAATCGTGTCAGTCCTATTCCGGGATTTTTCGTTGTTTGTGGCGATTTAGTCCACGAATTTGACGGTATGTGAATTTTTAAATTACGAATGTGAAATTGTTGAAGATTAGCGAATTTTAATAGCTACCTAGTTTTTCCACCTAAACTCAGGATATCTGGCAAAGAAAATGTTTATCTTTGCTAGTTATCGTTAATATGTAGTTACGAGTACATAAATAACAATGGGTACATACGCAAAATGCTTGTTGCTCTTCATCTGGTGCTGCTTGATTTCTTATTTTTAAAAGTATATCGTACATTTACTTAAGCTACAAGATTCTAGAACTAGCGAAATTGCTCTTAATTCGAATCATAAACTGTTTAATTTACTAAACGATATTAAATCAACAAACTATCTTGATAATAGTGAATCCGCTTAAAATGGCTCAAGAGCGAGACTTGCTGCGAATTCTAAGCGACATTGATCCTATCGTTCCTATTGTTCTCATTCCCGGGAATCACGATATCCTTAATACTCCAACTTCCGGTTCTGTCAAGCATTTTGAGGAGGTTTTTGGTCCTGAATATTATTCCTTCGACGCCCGCGGGCTCCGCTGTATATGCATTAATTCGCAGTATCTAAAAGATTTTCCCGAAGTAAGTTTTCTTTAATTTCGCGATTATCAGTTGTCCTGGTTAAGCTTGTACGGGGAGCGGGTTTTAGGAATCTACGGATTTGTTTCGGGAACTGCGGGAGAAGTTTTTGGCATGGTTCGATGGGGAAATTGATAAGGCAGCTGCTGATCTGAAAAGCGGAGCGATTGAACACGCTGTGGTCTTCCAACATATTGCTTGGTTTATGAATTCTCCGGACGAGCCGACAGATTATTTCAACGTCGACTTCGAAATCAGACAGAAATATCTCAAGAAATTAATCGATGCCGGTAATACCTCTTGCGAAACTATAAGTACTGTGAATTATCATAATCGACAATCGGACTGTGACATATCGGCGCGGCGCCCTTTTTGTGGTCAGTCGTTTCTTTAGTCATGCCGCTTCGCTTTTTGCTTGATCGATTGGCACGATCTTTATGCCTGCGAGTACTGCGCTTTTATGTTGCGGTAATAGCACAATAATTCCTCGGTGTGTGAAAAGGGTTTCTGCTAAGATTTGTTTGAATTATTTTGAAAGTGTAAGAACTTCGCAAGTTTGAAACTAGAATACTTTACATTCTGCTTATATAGGGATCAAGGCGTGTTTCTGCGGCCATCTGCATCGCAACGGTGGCGGTATAGCCGGTCCCAACGGCGAACTGGACGTCGTAATCACATCCGCTATCGGGTTGACTTTGGAGTTGAATTCTGATGGGCAGCTTGTACGAGGAAAGAATCCATCGGGATTGCGACTGGTTAAAGTGGATAAATCAAAGATCGAGCATGCGTTTTACCCTTTGGGTGAAATGCCCGATAAGGTGGATTTGCGTCATTAATTTGAGATTACACTGATAATTGATCTACGGTACTTTTCCAGTGATTTTTCCTGCTTTTTTAGCCTTCGGATGACAAACGATAATGCATGGTTATTTTTGTAATTATAAGAATTAATTAACAATTACTAAGATTTACTATCACAGTTCAGTGAAAACCATAAAAATCCAAAAGATTTTTCGGATGAAAACAAATTAAAACACGAATAAGTAAATTACGGACCACTTAAGCAGTTGTATAAATAAGAAAATAAGGATATCGAGTCACTTTTCCTTTCTCCTTTCGTATTCTGTTTCCTTGTCACGTCGCCGTAATACATACATATCACATTAAACACATCCCCTAAAACACAAACATCTGTTCAACTCTCGGAAAAAGTGCCAGTTAGCATATTCTAAACAAATCTTCACTATGTATACTCCAGATTATACGATATCGTCATAAACTATGTAACCTTGTGAAAGGGAACCCATACAAGTAGTGAGCAAGTATTATGCTCAAGTTCTCAACTACGTAATCTAAAACCTGCATTTTCAAAACTTACCGACAGTAGCATTCAATCCAACCAGGTGGTTATACATGGCAAACAGATCTTCCTGTAGTTTAGCATCGCCGAACGTAAAATAGAGCATATCTCTTCCAGCTTCCGCACTTGCCAACATCTGGATAATAAACTTCAAATGCTTATCTCCTCCAAAAACTCCACATCCCCAATTGCCGGTTGCTACAGCCGTTACAGGCCCAAGAACTTTCTCATCCGATAAATTTCTGGCAAATCCTACGTAAGCTTTGTTCAGTTCTCGTCTAATGAATTCTGGCTTGAACTGCTCCTCAGTTTTTCCGAATCGCAAAGCATCAATTGCTACAACCTGTGTCTGTCTTCGTCTCCACTCGTCACTAAAAACACAGCCATGGATGGGAAAAAATGCACTTAAATGAGAATGTCACAGAATTAAAGTCACAGAATAATGAGAATATAAAAATCAACCAGAACAGTAATACAAGCACACCAAATCTAATTTAAAAGTAAAGTACTAATAGACTTTTATGGCTACTTATGCTCGGGCATATTAGTACGAGTACCGAACAGCAGCATCCATGTAGGGACCGGTCCATTTGAAAGTATCACCATATCCAGAATAACCGCTAAACCTTTCCACTCCAGTAACAATAAGGCACTCATTCGGTTTTAGGCATTCCGTGAATAGGCGGCTGGCAATTAATTCAGGATAAACAACAAATCGTATCTCTTCTTGGACACATCCCCGGTGAAGAACGCCGCCACCCACCATTTTGTTGGCAAAATCGACCTTACCAAAATAAACACAAACACTTGTGATTTAGCCGCAAAAGTAATAAAAGATATCCCGATATTCACCTGTAAACATCCAGCGCCTTCGTCCTCAATCTTCCCTTTATGAGATATATACACGCGAGGGAGCGCATTGGATGAATCTTCCCACTTAGGCAAAACTTCCACACAGCGCCTGGTAAAACTGACTAAACCATTTGGCCCTGTGTAAACGAAAGTGATGCCATACATGGTTTCGTAAGTTCATTATCAAAAGATGCATATTCGACATACTCTCTTGTTTTGTTTTATGAAAGTACGTCAGTAAACATTTCAGCTTTTCTCGAATACTGGATGCTCTTTTCGCCATTGAGGAAGTTGGTAGTGCGAACAGTCTAAAAAGCAAAAAGCCAAAAACTATCAGCCGTGAAACTGCAGAATTTTTAGCAAGAAAACTGAACCTTCACCTTTCACACAATGAAATCCAACTAGGTACTTGTACAATAAAAACTTATCAATTTATAAGATGATGTTTTCCTTAATGAAATTTGGCAAAAAATTCTAATGAGTATATCGGGAAAGTGTCAACAGATCCGCAATGTAACTCTTACCCTTCGAAACATGCTCCAGGATATCCACTGACCCGTTCAGTATCGCGATCCGACTCCACGTGAAAAGTACAGAAAAACATGCTAGCCAAAAGATGGGCAATCTGGTGTTGGCTTAGCGTAATCGTATGATTCATGCCACTTTTTAACAGGGGAATGGGCTAAAACAACGACAGGTTACGGCTACAATAAATTCTCCAGTCTCTTATTTCTAACCTGTGGACAGGCAAACGGAAGTTCTATAACTAGATTGGCAGCATAAGGAAGTATTGTCTTCAAGAAAAATTCGGCTTCAGCTTGTGTCATGTCCTGTAAAGGAATGAAAACTCAGCTACAGTACTAAAAAAACATTCATGTCGAGAGTGAACATACCTTCTCCAACATCACCGTCAAATTACCAACTCTGTTCATACCAAACCCACGAGGATGGTACTCTCCCACCGCGGCGGCGAAGTCCTTAACCGAGCCGAAATTTCGAATGATGGCATTTCTAATTAGTTCCCACCGTGTTATAAATCCTTGCTACAGTGGAAAAACATTTCTATAGATTTTTACTCACAGATAGCACCATCGACCAAAAATTACCTGCGGATAAAGTGCCGATTTGGGACGGCGTAAATGACTAGAACACGGCATGCGCACATGCACATCATCCCACGCATCAACAAAAGATCCCGGAGGAGGGGCAGGGAGACCATCTGTAACCAAGGGAAGAGCCACCAGCACAGTGTGATTCGGCGAGGTAGCCAGGAGAGGCAATGCATAAGAACCGGAGCCATTGCGCACAATCTGATCCAAAGAAACCCCCTTGAAAACAAACAAAGATTTAGTAGGATTAGAGAAAAATCTGTACGCTCGCCTAGGCCAAGGAACCACCATCTCAGCTGCCGAAGTTCACAAGCTTTTGTAAAAAAGATGCAATCATTGCTAGGCAAATTCACACGGAAAAATTAACTGAACTGAATACCATCATACATTCCATACACTTGCAAAATCGTACCTACATATCAAATATTTTAAAATCGAACAACATTAATTAATAGCGGAAAGAGTCAAAATTAACTCTTATAATCAAATCAAAATCAGCTAACTAAAAACCGCTAATCCGCTATTAATTTACGAATGTTGTTTCTTGTCATTTATTAATAAGCACAAACGGCAGAGCGATGGATGATCCACTGACACCATGCAAAAATGTCAATTTCCGAATAAAAAACATTATTCGTAATCTTACCGACCAAGATGGAGCATTCTGTTCACCATCATTCGCAAGTTCTATAAAATCCTCCGATTCATCCAAATCCATCTCGGCGGAGTCGTTCAGTAATGCAGCAGCCGCTCGGTCTGCGAAACAGAGAGTTGACAAACTGGCCACGAAATCCCGTTCTGCCAATTATAATTTTCAGATTTGATTGAAGTTAAACTGATACCATTGGATATATCCATGCTAGCACAATCGTTCTTTTTTCTGTTGGCAGAAGTGGATGTGGATGGCATACCAGTAAACGAGGAATCCAAGTCCATGCTGTTCACTGACAGGAACGGAAAAGTAAGTACGGAAAGTCGAAAACCATCAGAATCACGACCGAAAATGATATCACAAATAATGACAAATTACGATCATAATATAATTTATAAGCATTAATTTTCCAGAATGTTGATCGACGAATTAACAATTTAACATACGGAAAATCATTGCACCTGTCTGGCGACTGGAGTCACTTTGTTCGCCACCCGTAGCGGATTTCAAAGACCTTGTAAACGCTTCGTCCAGCCTATCCCATGGATCCGTGATTCTTGAACTTCTTGATGAGCCATAGTTTCCACTAGCACGTTTCTGAGCGGGTTGTTGCGCTGCGCTAGCATCGTCCTGGCGGGTGCGCGAGAAGTAATTGGTAAGGCTAATCTGACGAAAATTCCGTGCCCGATCTGCATTCCCTGACATAGCTGACAGCCGAAGTTTCCCCGATGTTTCCTGTGCTGACTGTGAGGAAAACCGACTCAAAACTTGCCCCAAAACTCGGTTAGCAATGCGGGATTGGACGCCAGAAAATTTCTCGGGTCAAAGTTATTCAGTCACCGCCTTCCCGCTAAATTTAAGGAATAATTCTTAAAAAATCCACGAAACCAGCAAAATAAGATTATAAGACGAATGAAATGTTTGCAGTGCTTTTCAAAAACTGCTTGTCACTTTTTCTGTTTGCTTTTTGCTTTCATAAAACAAATTTCCAAAGCAAACTTCCGGGAGACCAAACGCGTGGCGGTCAACTGTTAGTTTGGCTGTGGAACTGCACAACCGCCTATTGGAGCCAGTAGCGGCAACGAGTACTGGCACTACGGAGTCAAGCTGGATTTCGTGTTCCGACATGATTACCGACTTTACCATTAGTACCGTATGTTATAACTTTTGGCGGTAAAAATTTTTCAAACTGCATTTCGGAGCAATCCGTGGATCAATTTGTTATTTGTGTATTAAGTATTTGTTTTTGCCAATATTTTATGATTTTGAGTTATAAGCGCATCTAAGTTTATATTCGACTAAAAATAATACTTGTATAGCTGATTCGCTTGCGGAGTATGACCGTACGAGTAACTTGATTGATACTCTGGTTGCCGGTTCCTCTCGTTGACTCGCATACGGAACGCCAGTAAACGCTTCTGGAATTTGTTGTCCATATTGATCATTCCTTTCAAACCACGGGGATGGCTACGAATCTTCTGAACAGAGGAGCGTTTATTGTATTGGAGGGACTGGATAGGTCTGGAAAAACTACGCTAGCCTATCTTCTTGTGAAAGAATTGGAGCAACGGCAAATTCCTGTGGAATTTATGCGTTTTCCAGGTACCAGGCTTGAGGCAGCGCTTGTCATAGTGTTGTCACTGCCATTGTGATCTCCTTGACTCCATTCCTGCGCTTCGTTAATAAGTTCCATGTTTCGAATTACTATTTCGATAATTCCATAATTTTCAGATCGAAGTAAGGATAACGTTATCGGAGACACCCTTAACAAATATCTGTCTAGTGGGATTGAACTGAATCCAGAAACTTCGCATATGCTCTTCACAACACAGCGCTTCGCAGTAAAGTAACCAAACGGAAAGAATTTGACATCCCCGGACTGTAGTCTGTATTTGTTGAATAATTAACAGTTTCCTGCTTTTAGAGATCAAATGCTCCAAAAACTTATGGAAGGGAAAGTCTTGATCGTTGATCGTTATGCTCATTCTGGCATAGCATATAGTGTTGCGAAGGTACTTACAACTGTCTCAACATAAACAGACACGATAAACTGTAAATGTGATGTTACTACCTAGTAAGTACCTAGTGTGTTAAGTAATTTGTTACTTTCTTAGCGCGTTGTTCTCTCTAAATTATGATCATGGTGGATATATTATCTTAAATTTCAGCGACTTCCCAGTTCCCGTTTTAAAATTGCTGCATTCTTTTGCATGATGGATTTTTTTCGTTGGAAGTACTTAACAGTAACCCAATAGCATCGGGTTGTATAGCTTGCAGTTTGTATACATAGATCGTATACTTAGGGATTGTCGCTGGAGTGGTGTAAAGCGAAAGAAAGTGGATTATTAAGACCCGACATTGTTTTATATTTGGACCTTTTGCCCTCGGAGGGACTGAAGCGTGGCAATTATGGGGAAGAGCGGTTTGAAACTGTGCAGTTCCAGGAGAAAGTCCACAATGCGTATGATCAGCTTCTTGATGATTCTTGGAAGGTATGCCAGCGGAATGTTCGATGCTATTAATTTTTTTATATTATATATACCTGTTTTCATTAATTATTTAACGATAAGTATTGTATTGTATTTTCAGATACTGTCAGCGCATGATACACCGGAAACCCTAGTGCGTTCTGCACTGTCGAACATTTTAAGAGCGTGCGAGTTGAATGCCCATAAGCCGGTTGAATTACTGTACCAATCGGGAAGACTGGATGAAAAATCTCCCCTTAAAGAGCGACAACCATTTCGGACAAATGTTCTATCGAGTCAGTAGCGAAGCTTGAAAGGATCCCATTCATCGTGTCATCGGTTGACTGATGCTTTTGATGTTAGCAGCAGTGTTGTTGGTTATCGCACACTTTTGTGCGAATGTAGGAACTCTATCTTTTATTGAGGATAAATGTTGCATATTTTGTTGATCATGTAAATCTTTCCAGTGTTTTCAGTTTTTGCCATTTCACGAAGCCCGTACCAGCACTTGACATATGCTATATGAATAAAACTAAAAGTGCCAGCATTAATATAAACGATCGAACTTTATTTCCGAAAAAATCTGAATCGTTCCATTTTATTTCATAAAAACTAACTGAACTGGAGATACAAAACTAAAAAAATCACAGGGAAACGAGAAAGGCAAACATTGTACCGGAAGCAAAAGTAGCGCGGCGCGGCCTTCAAATTCCTGGAACATACCTAGCCAGCCCAAACCACTGATCAGGCACGGATAAGAAATACCCATCCATCGCCTCCACAAAACGACTTCGATACACCTCGGGGGAAACTATCGTTGGCAGTTTGGCTACGCCCGTGCCGCCGCCCAAAATACCAGCTGATTTCACGACCATCTCCAAGCGTTTGTCCCAAGTGAATGTTCGTACATAGTCAATAATCCCAACCAAAATTTCCTGGTTGTCTTCGTCCACCCCAACCAACAGCGAATAGTCCATCACATATTGACTGGCCAAAAACTGCGTATCGGTACGTAAGGCATTTCGTAGGAACTGTTTAGCATGTGGTCGAATGTACAAAGGATTTTCACACGCTCGTTTAAGGAAATTTTCATCCAATAAGACCATTTCAGCAGAGCCGGAATCGGCTTTACCGTCCGTGGTAGCCAAACGATTCCTTAATGACCCTTTCAGGTCGTAGGCCTACGGGAACGAAATGCAGAACCAGTCTAATTAAGTTCTGAACTCCAAACGCAATCGTACAAGTAATACGCAAATTTTACTCGAATCACCATGTACAAAATCTATCAGACAGTAGCTCACCTGTTGCACTGAACGGCCATAAAACAAATTTTCCATTATCAAAAGATCTTGCTTTGCAACTGCTCCAGTTTGGGAGTTTCGAAATCCGATGCGGTAAACGCCCACTACTTTTGCTAGGACAGTCGGCCGCTAGATAAAGCGCCGTCTTAAAAGAGTAAAAGCAAGGAAAGCGGACGCTGAGTGCAAACTACCACTTACCTTTTCTTTCACTGCCTGTTTCATGTACGCAAAATAGTGCGGAGCGAAATCCATAAACGACTGCACTTCCAACCTCGACATCTGTTTTAAAACGAATCGTCCGTCCGCCGTTTTGGAAAAGGTCGAGCCAGATTTCCCACCGCTAGCCTTCCAGGCAACACAACGGGCCAAAGAACGTATGTACCTGGAAAAGTATCCCCGACTCGTAACTGGAAACGAAAGTTGGTTTGGTAATTCAACCAAACATTACGCACCGGTCTTCACCGTAAGGGAAAACCAAATCGCGCAACTGCCGAAATTCCTCCGGAAAAAATACTCGGCAGTAGAATTTCGCACAAAAATCGGCAAACTGCATTTCAATGTAATTCTGCTTGGTATCAGACACAGGCGCACTCTTGGTTAAAGCTTTGTTGCTCGGCTTAGACGTAGATGCTGTACAGAAAATAATAAAAACAAAAAATCACCAAACAAAACTGACCAGTGAGTACATTACTTAAAACGAAACCCAAGCTGATCCTAATTTCGCTTAAAAACTTAGCCAATTATAACGGCAAGAATCACAGCTAACCGAGAACATCAGCATCGACGGAAAGCGTTACAGCTGAGGATTCCACAGGTAATGAAACTGTCGCACTCTCACTGTTCTTGGACTGCCCATCCGTTGATGAGGTAGATTGTCGCGGGGTGTTATTCGAAACTGGTTCACCGCTAACATTTCGCCTAACAAATATAGATTATCAAATAACCTTTTCCGCAATTCTTTATACATTACATGATGAACCAAACTTACGACTGTCTTGGTTCTTTCTTGGTGTTCCGCTGCAATTCTGCCATCTGATCGGCATAGTCCTTCGAAGTCAATACATAGGCGATCATCGAGCTTATTTCGTCGTCGTAAACAATTACCGGCACTTTCTCACAATCTCCAGCAAGATAGTGCTCATTCGGAGGACTACACAAAGAACACAGCTATGTAATATTAACAGTGCAACGGTGTATATATATTACGAATACTGCCCATTCAGTACAAGTACTCATCTAACAAATAAGTAGTACATTGGTAAGTTCTACCAGAAACTTACTAACTTACTATATCTCACACTATAGTAAGTACTTGGTTCTACGTACACACGATGTCTTATATCATTACCAAAACTAAAAGAAAACTACCAAACTTGCAAACTATCAACCCGCAGCCCCGCTGCCCCAAAAAACAACAATCTTACAATGGGACCGGAATGGCATTGATTGCATATCCAACTGATTTGCGAACAGTCTGCGGCGTCCGGCTCAGTCCACTGTCAACATGGTCGCGTTCTCCACTCATTCCGGCAAAACCAACTGAGGTGACACTATAATGCATTCCGCTCCCGCTGAGTTCTTGATGCACTGGGGACATATCGTCCAGTTGTACTGAATCCTGAGACTCTTCATTCTCTTCGCTGTCTCCAACTTCGATCGAAAACTTTCGGCTAGGCTAAACAGTATGAAATATTAAAATCCTGCCAGTTGTGTAACTTTTCCAAACTGTTCTTACCGGACTTTCTTCTGTAATGGCGGGCGGAATAGATAAACCTGAGGTTTCCTCGCGAAGCAACTCAGGCGCCGACTGAAATGATTTCATAGCTCCCCTCTTTTCATGCTTTTTCTTCATTTCGGCCAACAATCCACTCCATTTGGCAGCCGTCTCTGTGACCTCCCGTCGTAAATTCGTCAACGTATCCATGATGTCCCAAATAAAATCTCTCTGTTGTTCCTTTTCTTCGCGTTGTAATTCCCCACTGAATTTAAGCAATGGCGAAGCCAATTTAACCTGAAGGCACTCCAGTCGGTCTTTAAACAACTGCTTCTCGGTGCGGCATGTCGCCAGTAGATTTTGCAGCCGTTCATCTGTATCTCCGCCTTGGACAATACTTAGTAGTTCGATTATCGTGGCAAAAACATTGTGACCCTTGACCGCTACTACTTTAACCATTTCGATCAGTTCGTGTCGATCGGGTAGGCTCCTGTAGTCATCCATAGCGATAACGGCTGGCGGGGAGGCAATCTCACGAACTTTTACTGCATTCAGTTTGAATGCGGCCACAGTGCGGCCGAACGCGAAGAACTGGATATGCTCCCGATGCAACGAATGCTGGCAAGATACACAAGCGGCACTTACGTACGCGGAAGCGTGAAAACGCAAATCCAGGTATTTGGCAAAAGATAACGCACTGCTATTAACCGATAGGGGTACGACCGGCCCAACGTCGCTGAAAATCACAAATACATCTTTTCAACATGTGTACTGCCTTCAATAAATTAAGGACAATTAGTACAGTAATCTAGCTCATTAATTAAAGAGAATGCGCGTAACTGCAAATTAAAGATCTGGTGTAATTCTGATGCACCCTACATTCCCACTCACCCGCATATTTTGCACCATGTCCAAGTTACAAGCCGCTTCAAACTCTGACTATTACCATCACCCAGTTCCTTCAGTGTCACGGTGATCACAGCCTCGCCACAAGCGAATCTCCGACAATGTTCTTTCATATTTCTGTGACATTGTTGGTTAGGGCAAGGAGCATCCTCCCGGAAACAAAATGTCTCCAGGTAATCGCCGAGAGTTAGGTCATTTCGGCCATAGAATTCTATCAACAGTATCCATGGCATGACACAAAACGAAGCATTGATATTTTCCTGTTCACACGCATGAATGCTGCACAGTATCGCCAGTCTTTGGTGGCGATAAATGTCAAAGCAATCCACGGGACCGGTTCGATTTGGTGTGCTGTCAGAATTCTCAACAAACGAATCATGGTGCTGGCTGCCTTGCCGTTGTAGAGCTGGCTTGGTAGAAATTCGTCCACCATACGCACGGAAATTTGCTAAGGCTTTCTGAATGCTAACATCATTAACACCTGTGGTGAATTTCATGGTCAGCAAAGGATGTGGTCCCTTTGTCCCGTTTTTAATGGAAATAATTGGCATGCCAGCTGCTGTCGTATCATCGTTAATAACACTGGGAAACTTATATCCGTCTAGTAACTTGGACCAGAACACAATTGGAGGAAGATTATAGCGATTTCGTATGAGCTCCTTTAGCTGTTCGCCCCACTCTAAATACGGCATGAGATTGTGAACAAACGGCGAAACAGATGACATAAACGAGCGCGCAGTTTCGCGAAAATCTTGTAATTCACAGCATGCGGGGCGAATCAAATCCCCTCCTTCGGGTGGTTTTGCGTGTTCATCTAACAAAAAAGCTTTCTCAAGCTTCCAGTTATACTGGCAGTATATCACAAACCGCAGAATCTTTTTCACTTTAACAAGCACGTCTTTATCTGATCCCCGAAGTAGAACCGTGCATCCCAAATGCTTTGGACATCCATCCAGGGTCATATATGCCTTGCAGTGTCCATCTGGCAGTACGACCGATTTAACATCGAATTTCGCACAGGTGCCCAAACGAGGTTTCGTGAAACGTCCGTCAATGATGGAAAACTTGTCCGCTGAAGTACATCGCGCTATTCGTCTCATGACCGTCTCCTTCATATTCGCCGCTAAGGTAATACCCTCTTGAAACAAATAATTTTGGGCCAAACGGGACACATTCCGTTCAACTAAAAGAATATCGGGCTGGAATTCTGAAATCTTGGCCACGTAATTTTTCAAAAATTCGGCTTCTTGCTGCAAAATCGAAAAATATATAAACTCACCGTGAAACTCTTTTCCGAGAAGTAGGAAAATTTTTCACAACATACGAAATTTCTACGAGTACTACACACAATCACGTCTCGCCGGTACAAGAAAATAAAGACACGACAAAAGGGAACTAAGAATTAAGACGCGTAACAATTAAAATACACACCTGCATAATGGGTTCAAGAGATGAAAATTTCTGCTCCACTCTCTGATACTCAAGAGCTGAACTATACAACAGAATCTTCGGATTGATGAAGTTCTGTCGCATCTTGCGGTGAGCCACATGTTTCGTGCAGACCACTCCGAAAATTACTCGGCTCTCATTTGGTTTCCCTCCAGGAATCTTCTTGATGTGAACGTACTGGCGAATATCCATCTCGTCGCCGTTTTCATGTACCGACGGACTGACATTTTCGGTCACTTTGGTCGCCAACGCTAGGATATGCTCATGCCACTCGTTGTCCAATCCCTCCCAAGTCTAGCACATATAAATTGCCATTAGAAGCAGATCAAAGCAAACTACTGCTGCCAAGAAAAAGCAAAAAAATAACCCAATCTCCGGAGCAATGTCACAAAATTTGATTAAATGCATAAAGCTCGACTTTTGCTGTCGTCGGCTACTGTACCATCTTCTAATGATCTTAGTACCTGAAGCTCGTTCAGCAATGTCCGAATACGATGATGGAAGGCGCTATTTAATGCATTAATAACGTGTTCGTTCTCCGTCAACTCGAAATTGATTTCAGCTGATTCGGGCACTTTCCAAAATTCTAATTCAGCAACTTTTCCAAAAGCCACATCTTCCGGAATACTGACACTGGGGGCATAAGAAGTGCTAGGAGACAACGGTGGTGGAGTATGATTAACGCTGCCAGTTTCCGACGGGTCTATCGAAACTGTCAGCGGATGTTCAGTATCAACTTGACTGCTGAGGCTAACCATACTGTCTGTTCTTTTGGCGAATTTTTTCTGCAACTGAAATGAAATATCTCGTAATAAAGTTACCTAATATCACTTCGTGCATAAATTTAACTCACTTCAGAACCAAACTCTTGGATGAAGAGATCGCGCACGTCGGGCGAAACGCTGTAGTCAAAACTGGGATCCGAATGGGATGCCTTCATCTCACCTAACTGCTGTATCTCTTGCAGCCATGTTGGCTCTTCGTTATCAATCGCCTCCACACTCGACACTATACCCACATCCTCTAGTTCGTTAGTCACTGTTTTAGGTTTGTACAATGCATATTCGTCGGCAAAAATGGTATCGTGTCCAGTAAGACAGTCCAAAAACTTGAAATTTAGTAATCCTTGCCCAATACGAACAGCCATCTTACGATTAGGTGCCATGCTTCGTTTTATCAGCCAGTCGACAATCTCCACTCCGCTCACACAATCAGGAAATGCGCGAAAACGGTGCCGGTGAATTTTCAGCTCTAATCCGTCCGAGATATGGTTCATTTCGAGCCAAATTTCCCGTAACTGCTCGAACGGTAACGAACGGAAATCGTTGGAGTGCGTCCGATGCGGCTGAGACAATTCGGTACCTTTATCGGATTCTGACTGTCCACTGAACGGCCTGCGAAAGAAAGAAAATCAATGACGGTATGTCAGAACAGAGAAGCTACAAGGCATACTGATAACGCAAAGAACGTGCAGAATATTCCGGAACATCATCTGTGGCGGTTTGTTTTTGGGCAGGATTGTTGTTCATCGAAGAGGGATCATCTGAGTAGCGGACAACACCCAGAACTACCTGAGAGCAAAAGGAGCACATCCGGATTGTACCACTGTAACCCAGCAGACGACCGTCCATTTCCTGATTAGCACAACGCGTACAAAAAATCTGCCCACACACGCGACAATGCCGACGACGACGGAAAGCTGTGAATTTTTCACCGCAATCATAACATTCTTTCGAAGATGAATCCGGCATCCAATATTGCTTAAAATCGTTGTCGCGATACGGCTGCAAATTCTTGTAAAGAAACACAAGAGCACAAAAATTAGTAAGCACTCGTACATAAAATTGAACGGGCATACTGACGGATAAGCGTTGATTTTTTCCTTAAGGATGTTTTTAAGACAACTATGGTAATTAAATCAATGAAAATGATTCACTTCTGTACATTCTGTACAGTAGCAAACTTGGAATTAACTAGTTCTGTCTTGTTAATTTTTATTAAATTCATTGATTACTGATAGGTCAGACCGAACACAGTCTGGCAATACTGCTGGCAATGCTTTAATTACAATAAAATAAAAAGAAATTGTTGAGTAATAAATTTGATAAAATTCCCATCAGTCCATGGTTATTTCGGCTATTCGGATCCGTTAAAAATTTATACCGGAAAAGCCCACCTGACTGCCTTTCGAACGAATAAATTTAATCCGCTCTAACACACTTCCGAGATTTCGAGGATGCTCTTCTTTATTACTGCCTCTGGCCATCGCAACACCTGGTACATTCTCAACAGCCGCCTCTGAATGACTAGGAAATGACGATTCTGGAGAGAAAAAAGATCCAGAGGAAGGCGTTTGCTCCCTCATTTCGTCTTCGGTCTTGCCATGCGGATCTATCGACCGGGGATAATGGCGCTGTCTGGCCAAAGCTCCATTCACATTTTGTGTTGAATTATTCCCCAAGTGCATCTCTGCCTGCGAATAGCTGCTATGTGGAATGGAAGCAGATGAAAGAGAGCCAGTGGAAGTACCTAATTGTAAAATATCAAAAAATTGCTGGCGAATAAAACAGGCAAATTTATTTATTAAATTTGTGGTTGCACGGAATGATATTACGATAAAGACAAACAATGACAGTCCAGAGGCTGTCAAGTGTCAAGCTGCAGCACTGACTGCGAGTAGCCAGTGTACAAAACAAGATTTACCAGTCAAATGGACAATTCATTTTTCAAATTAACCGCACCTGTTACTTTTTTCAGCACTTTGAAGAGAAAAGACTTTTGTCCAACAGCGGATTCGGCTTCGGACGGTAACGGAGCGAAAACAGTCAGCTGTGATGGGTCATTTGCTCCATTATGCTGCTGTTGTGGCCCTTGTGGGACGTGCGACTGCGACAATCGCCTTGTTCCCGACATTCTTAGCAATGATGATCCTCGTAATCACTGATGGCATTGACCATACTAATATGACTACAGACTAAAGGAAAATCCATTATGCGGCCACGAACTACATGATTAAAAACGATCTGAGTCTAAAAGAATATCCCATCAAATGACAAGTCCAAACTAAATTCACTTTTACATTTAAAAATTAAAAATTTTAAATCGCGATGTTTGGGCTATGCAGTATGCAGTACGCGATGAGCAACAAATGTGTAAACGAGTTCGGCCAATCGACTCTATGGCTGTCCCCCCGGATGTTACCGTAATACATTTCGGTAAAGGTGGGTCTTTTTCTCCCAGTCGGCCTGCACAACTGATGTCGATGAAAAGTGCAACAACAGAACAGTTCATTCTCGCTCCAGTTGGTTTGCAGTTTGGAATCTGCATACGGCAGACTCGTACCTATTTTTTAAACTAACGAGTGCTACATGAATTGTTTCATTTCTTGTGTGTCATTCCTAAAGTATTAAACTCACAAGTCAGTGCAGACATTTTTTTCTCGAGACTGTCATCTGTGAAAGTCCTAGGAACAGGTAAGCGGGACGCAAGCCCCGTCTGAGTACCGCAAGCTGGAGTCTAGAAAGTCAAACAGCTGATTTTCCGAAACATGACTGAAATTTCCAAATACATATACTGTAGAGTAGGGATTTATCGTTGAATGTGCATATTATCGTACCCTGTGTACCACATTACCATAAACAAGTTTTTTCATCAGGTTATGATAGAATAGTTGTGAAATATTGGTTTAGAATGGCGGACATTTCAAAGACGGAAAACGAGATTCCCAATGGAATAAAAGAGAAAGCCACTGAGAATGGCGCCGTGAACGCTGAAGAAGAGGATGAAGATGACGATGAGCCCGTCGAAGGCGGAGATCCGAATGCTCCAGTCGAAGCTGCGAAGAAGAAAAAGAAGAAGCGCAACAAGAAGAAGAAACCAGCTGCTGCAGCGGGGCAGGACGGGGCAGCTGGCGACAGCAGTGCTCCCGGAGGCCAGAATTCCGCGCCTAAGGCGGTCAGCCTGGGTCCTACCACGAAACCTGCCATGGAAATTCGCGGTCTGGCTTCGCAGGGATCTTCCGAATTCGGATTTCCCAAGGAACAGAGTTATCCGCCGCGGAAACCTATCAACGAAATTTTTAAAACAGGTAAATTCCCCCATGGCGAAGAAGTGCCCCACGGCAAACCCCGCGGTGGCGACCTGGCTGATTTTCGACGGATTTCCGGGACCGAGGCCAAGGCTAGTGAGGAGCTGAATGAGGAAATGTATCAGGATTTGCGCCGCGCGGCCGAAGCTCACCGACAGACGCGGAAATATGTTCAGAATTATATCAAGCCTGGCATGACCATGATAGAAATCTGTGAGGAACTGGAAGCTACTTCGCGGGCTACGATCGCCGAAAAGGGTTTGGAGGCGGGTTTGGCGTTTCCGACAGGCTGCTCGTTGAATCATTGCGCGGCACACTATACACCCAATCCCGGGGATAAAACGGTATTGCAGTATAACGATATTTGCAAAATTGATTTTGGCACCCACGTCAATGGGAGAATTATAGACTGCGCGTTCACGGTGGCTTTTGATCCGAAATACGACCAGATGTTGAAGGTGAGATTCTCAAGATGGAATATAAAATATATTTTGTGTTTCAAATGGAGAAAACCCAGCTCTAAAATTATTTAGACTTTCAGTGCCGTGTGGTGTTTCATTTGTAGAAGTGCTATGTTTTGATAAAAATTGTTTCTCTAATGGAGTATACGTTGTAATTTGAAATCCTACTTTTGGAGAATGATTTAAAGGCTCGTTGCTTTTTTTCGCGGTGAGGGGTTTTATTCATCCGATCACGATCAGAAATTTCATATTTGAAAAATCTTGATTTATCTAGGCAGTCAAAGATGCTACTAACACGGGAGTGAAGTGTGCCGGAATTGATGTTCCTCTGAACGAACTGGGCGAAGCTATTCAGGAAACCATGGAATCGTACGAAATCGAGCTGGACGGGAAGACCTATCCCATCAAATGCATTCGCAACCTCAATGGCCACTTAATCGGACAGTACCGTATTCACGCGGGCAAAACTGTACCCATTGTAAAGGGAGGGGAGACTACGCGTATGGAGGAGAATGAGATCTACGCCATCGAAACATTCGGTAGCACCGGCAAGGGACATGTGCATGACGATAATGACTGCTCACACTACATGAAGAATTTCGATCAGGCCTTCGTACCGCTGCGAGTTGCCAAATCCAAGCATCTACTAAATCTAATCACGGAAAATTTTGGTACCCTCGCGTTTTGTAAACGGTGGCTGGAACGTGCCGGAGCTGAAAAATACCTCATGTCGCTGAAGGATTTGTGTGACAAGGGAATCGTGGATCCATATCCGCCGTTAGTTGACGTTAGGGGATGCATCACAGCACAGTACGAACACACAATTTTGCTACGTCCAACGTGTAAGGAAGTGGTTAGCCGGGGGACGGATTACTAGTTGCTGTGAAAGCGCTGATTATTGTGTACACTATAAGCATCATTAGTTTCATGTCGAATAGTCATACTGAGGGCTTTAATGCTGGTGCAGATTTGGTATTGCGGTCTATTTACATAATTCCCATTTCATTCACTTTAGGCGGTACAATAATATTATTTTTTGTCGATGGTATTTCAGGAAATTCACTGAAAGTGTTGTCTCGTTTTTGTCAGTTGTCTTCGTACCACTGTTTGCAGGTAATTCTGATAAGGCTAATGAGTCCCAATCTTTGTTGTTCTCAGTTTTATTTAAATTAACCAAGTTGCAGTAATAAATTGGGAAAACTCAGTTCTTTGCCGATCATCTGTTGACTGTTGCAAATAGTAGTCCACATCTAGGCGTCAAGCAGTAAATTTGTTTTAGCAGTAAAGATACATGTAAGACAAATTTGTAACTTTAATCACTTCTAGGTACATCACAAATCGCACAAAATAATCTTGTCTGCAAAAAAAGTCAATCAATTATCAAGTACTTGTAAAAAAGTTTTAAGAAAACTGAAATCGACTGGTTATTGTAACCCCAGCCGTTCAGCAATGTTTATTAATTTTTTAGCTTCAAAATAATGTCGTTCAATTCTTTCAAAAGGCTTAGGATCCAAATCGACCAATGTGGCATGAAAGGCAAACTTTGAGCCATGCTTCGAAGTAATCACAGGTAATTCGCTAGGTAAATCACATTCAACCAGTTTAAATGTCACAAAAACGGAACAATCTTTCAGCGTAGCTGATGCCAAATATTTCCTGCAGTTTGTTATAGCATTTATGTCGTCATCGGAAAGATCAAACGACGCTAAACCAATGCCGGTCCAAAACGGAGCCGTTCTATAATATGGACCATCAACTCCAAGATTCTTTCGTACATTTCTTCGTTCGTTGAATAATCGACACAGTTGCAGATATTGCGAATATAGTGGTTCTATATCTATCTCGCAAAGCGCTTGAGCTCCCCACAGTCCGGATAAGACCGAAGGGCACTTTTCGTGGGAAAAGTTCAAAGCGTCCAAGACCAAGTCCACAAAAGAGCCAACACTTTCATCGCCACTGTCCGGTAAAAGCGGCCGCATTACACTTTCCAAATTGGTGGAGCCAAAGCTATCGGATCCGAAAGCTAACAATCCGTTCACAAAAACCCTTAGATTATTCTGGGGATTTGAGATAAGATGATATAATGCCTTGCGCATCAAAGTCGTATCACCGGAAAACAAATCCATAGGATCATAGTTATTCACACCCGTGATGAGACCTTCTTCGGCTTTCATGAGCTGCTTCAAAGCGTACTTGCTGTACTTCCGGCGGATGGGATGCGCACGGACATCAATAGGCATGATGCCCTCTTTGGGTTTCAGTTCCACAGAAAAACAGGTGGTAACATCTAAGCAAAAATTAAATTTAACGATCTAGGCTATTTCTATCAAGGAGATCCGACAAATTCGAAAACGCCCCGAGAGGCAATTGAACAACAAGGCAACAACCAATAGAAAAAAAAGCTAAATCTACGAATGGTTTGCAACTATTTCGAGGCAAAAATTTACCACGAGAACTAATTTTTATTGACCGCGTGGCTTCATCGACCATATTGTTATTACAATATTAGGGTACTGATACTACTCACAATCAGCAGTACTCTCTACCCAGTAGGTGGTCTGTAACTTTAAACTTAATACTGTACTCACCACAATCCGTACTCTTAGGGAGAAATGCCAGATCAGGCATCAATAAAGCTTCGTCATGGAAGGCTTGGTTATCTCGCACCCTCAAAGGATTGCGTTCAAGTTGAACCCTTTTCAAAACTTCCACCAAGCGATCTCTTAGCTCAACTACCGTCATTTTCGGAATCCATTTCGGAGAAGAGACCAGAGGTGCTATCACAAATTCCACATACTCCACAATCCCACGTAGCGTGTGCTTTTCCAGTTCACACATTGCAGTGGGACGATTCAAAAGAACTTTACGCAAACGCAAAACCAGCGGAGTCACTTCGGAATATAAAACTACGGACGAATTACCTTCGCCTCGAAAACGCCATGGGAAACCTTGATCAACGGAGTCCATCGAAGCGTCTGCTTGGTCCAACAGGAAGAACTTGTTCGTTTATCACGGGTAAGATTTTCTAATTTCTCAAATTTCAAACGGGCGCCTAAACAATTCTTTAATAAAAAGGAAAAATAAGAATTGCGATTGAACTGTAATGCTTGCAGTACATACTGATACCACATATTAAATAAGTTATAAGGGCAATCAACTTTTCACGTTTAAATCCAAACTGCCGGGCGTGTGCATTCCAGTCTGCGCAGTAGGCACCCCCCTTCGGGTTTTGTTTTGCGCAGACCAATGGTAGCGGTAGGTGTTATATTTCACGCAATCCGCCAAATCCACAACATTGGTTTTCTGGTTTTTTTTTTAATGTCTGGCTAATTCTAGTCTGAAATCTCTTTCTGAACTTTTTTGTCGATTGATTCTTTCTGTTGTACGACCCTTTTCCGACAGTTCTGAGATTCGGTAGGGATTCTGTAGAAAAGCACAAGCATCAGTTCTCGGAATCGTATTTTAATGGGCAATAGAAAACGCTTCGCAAAACAACGCAACGCAATACACAACGCTCGCACTCATTGTTATCGTATTTTAGTTGCCCGTCATTATGGATAATTTAAAGGAATTTTCGAAAGACGATGTTGAACGACAACCGAAGGAACTGATCGTGAAACATGAGGTACTGAACTTATTATTAAATTATTATTAATATTTTGACAACTGTGAGCTGATACTGCTTATTAGTTTCTGAATTTTGACTAGTGTTAAATATTTCTGTAAATACTTGATCATTTCAGTAATAGAATCATTTATCTGTTGGCCAGGGGAAGGATTTTGCGTCGTCCTTTCCGCAGCTTAGCAGCCTTGGATTAAGTTTCGAAAGCATCAAGCATTTAGGGGAGGCCGATAATTCTGCTTCGATTTATGAATTCACTTACGGACATGCGGATGAGCTGTCCAGATTTTTTGATGGCCGTATGGATGCTGTTGCTGCATTTCTCATGAAGTGTAGTGTGCAATTTGAGAATTCATCAATCGATCTAGTGAAATCCAGAGTGGGGCAAGTAATCAGCAGAGTCCGTGAGAAGTACAGATGGAGAAACAACCCGAAGAGGTTTAAACACAACGCTGTCACGTATGAATGCTACATCAATACACCTTTCGCCACTGCTACAAAGGGTCCAGGAAAGCATCCAGATCTGAAACAGCTTACGCCAGCCGAACAGTCAGTTATTTTGGAGAAGCCATCGCCGGATGGTATGTTATTCTATTTTTTGGCCTTTTAGAGCATTTAATGAAATCATTTATTGTAGTTGCTGTAAAATCTTCGATGGCGTCCAGTACTGAAAAGACTGCTTCGGGGTATCCAGTTTATTGCTCATCTCACGAAAATTACGGGCACGCTCTCAGTTATGATTTGGAACCCATAAAACCAGCGTTTGCTGCAGAATCTCTGCATCTAGCCGGTAAAAAATAAATTTTAAATTGCCGCTTTTAGAGCATTTGGCTTTTAAATTTTTCCTTTGTGATCGCCAAGTTACAGTGATCATACACCGACAGTTATCGGCGTAGATGAGTTCACACGTATTACCGGTATCTCGCGGAATGCTGAACGGGGACATTATTTTCCAGCTATGGAAGGAAAGGATGGGAGTACGAGCGAAAGCACATTTGGAATCAGCTCTTCTCCGCTTCCCAGTTCTCTCTACATTATCCCCAAACGCAGTTCCGCAGAAAATTCGCTCGTTGTAAGCCACTGCTCGTACTTCGTGGTTGCCTGTGCTTCAGGGGCAGTTTTAAAGCACTTCGGACACATTTCACTTTATACGCTATCGAAATGCGAAGAGATTCTACTCATGGTTATAATATTCTTCGCTTTTATTTTTTAGATAATGAACTCTGGTGGATTTACTTCATCCTTTCCGCTTTTAGCCAGTTTAGGACTGACGCTACAATCCACTGCAACTTTAAGTCGGAGTGATTATGCTGACCAGACTAGATATCCTTTTACTGATGGATACATTAACGAGTTGCTACGATTCTTTTCTGGAAAAGTGGACACCGTGGTCGACGTTCTCCTTCATCATAGAGTCGGCTTGGAAAATGCTGAAAAAGAAACTGTGAGGAGGAGGCTGCAAGCAATCTTGCCCGCACTCCGCCTGAAGAATAAGAGTCGCGACACAGTCACAGATACGAGTACTATGACCACTGATTTCTCCAGTTACCTTGAGAAACCATACAAAGCCGATCCTGCTGATAAGTGCACCGTTGTGCCGCCTCCGAAAGAAACTCTTGTCCCCACTTCATACACCTTTCACTTCACTACGGAAGTCAACTCTTCGGATGATGAAGAAGAGGAATCCCAAAGCGAATCCTTGCAGCCGCAGTCTTCTGCACCAGACTTGTCCGCTGTGACCGCTGACTGTGCAGAGTTGCAGCAGATCGATGTCCTTCCGAATAAAGTACTCGATAAAAGAACTTTGCGGAAGAGTTCACGATTACAGTCTCGGATGGAGGTAGAAAATGGACTGCCAGATTTAGCACCAGGTAAGGCTGTAGATAAAAATGCAAAAGAAAACAGTGAATTTGTAAATTTTTTTACGAAATGGCTGTGCGCCACGACAAACCGGGCGCATAGATTTTAGCTTTGCGCCCCGAGTGCTCGGGCGCACAGAATTTTGCTTTGCGCCCCGAATGTCCGGGCGCAGAAATATCGAAGTTTTTAAGTTTTTCCGGCAATTGATTGTTTTACTTATTTTTTTTGTATTCGATTAACCCTTAAGGTTGCAGGAGAGCAGAAGTTTACAGAGAACTGCAGAATTTAAGTACCCTTAATAGTATTGGTTTTGTTTATCCCCATTTTATCGCATGGTTTATTGAAAAGCTTACTCAAAACATCACGGAATCAGTCTGAGAGATCCTAATTTTTAGCAACTTTACAGCAAGCTTATAACACTGGTTTAATCACGTTCTGTGGGTAACAATTGTTATAGGTCTTCTAGGACAGCACAGAAGTCCACTCCATGCACCAAACTGTTGCAAAATAGAATTAGCAAAGCTAATTCCGGTTAACGCAGCGTAGATAGTTGCAAGGCTGGACGACTTGATGACCAGTGTCCAGCCGAGAAAAGCCATTAGGTAGGAGTCGTTGGGATTGGGATGTACATCCCGATGCTATTGTATCGTTGGGATGTACATACATTGTGTCGTCCCGATACTCGAGAAGTAATGCAACTCTGATTGACGATGTCGCTGATAGCGATTGCACATTTGTATTTAGTTCGTTTTGGGGGACATCCATAAATTACGTACGCAGAAAACCACGGTTTTTTCACCCCTCCCTCCCCCTTCGTAGCGGTCCGTCACGTTTGCTTGACCCCTCCCCCCTGGTTCGTTCAGTCGTAATACATGGAGCTGACCACCCCCTCCCCCCTGGGTTCGCCGGGGCCGTCACATTTTTTGGACCCGTCCCTCGCTGGTTCGCTGCGTACGTAATTTATGGATCCCCCCTTGGTTGCTATTGTGTCCACTGCAGTAAATCAACTTTAGTATCAGTAAAGTTTATTTACATGTACCAGTATCAGGTAGCTTTTTTCTCCCCCCCCCCAAATTTTTTTTGCGAAGAGACTGGGGACTGATTTTAGCAAGAACGACGGAGTCGACTGCACCGGTGACCCGAGTTCCGGTGCTAGTGTCCTCATCCAATGCTCAAGTCAATCTTAATAATTACGCATCGTCGCTGTTGCTGCCGTAGTCTGCGTCAAAGCAAATAAATTTACGGGTTGAGTTTTATAAGCTGTCATGTCTATGACAATACAACAGGAAAAGTGAGTTGTTGAATAGATACAGTAAAACAAGCCAAATAAAACATAAAAAACCTTCAGAAAAACAGCAAATCGCCGATATTTCTGCGCCCGGAAATTCGGGGCGCAAAGCCAAATTCTGTACGCCCGAACATCGGGGCGCATAGCTAAATTCTATGCGCCCGGTTTGTCGGGGCGCATAGCAGTCACCATTTTTTTAATAATGTGTCTTTAAAAATCGCTGTTCGCCAGGCTACTGATAAAAACAATAATAGAATAATGATCATTGGTAATTTATCAGGAGCACCCGAACTCAGTATGAACGCATATAAAGGAACAGTGATGAAGTCGTGGATTTAAGCACTTAAACATTGGATGATTGGAATGTTCTGTAGTCGATTTTGTTTGCAGGTGAAATGGTTTGGCATTCCGATGCTGCGGCACTGAAGTATTCTTTGAAAAATCAGGTGCAATTTCTTGCCGAAGAAAATGCAAAACTTAAACTTCGAGTGGAAGCGATGGAAGCTACCCGTGCAGACAAAGCGCGTCGCTTGAAAGCTGCAGAGATGCGTTTGTCGAGGTTCGAGAAGAGCCGGGAAAAATCGCAGAAGCCAGTCTGTGTTGTCGTCAAAGAACTGATACCGACTTCGATGCCTGCGGTGTCCTATCCAGTTCAGTCGAATCAGCCTGCGGAAAATCCTATAGCTCAAAAGGAATTACGAGTGATGAAAAATTCCAGAAACCAACTTCATTACCAACTCAAACGACTTAAGAAAGCCCATAAAGAACTACGGATCGAACATGAAAAGTTGAAAAAAGAATCTCTAACCCTTTCTCGAAAGAATCAGAGGCTGGAAAGACAGTGCCGCATCCTATCAGAAGATGACGCCTGTAAGCCATTACGAGACGATGATTCGCTGTATTTTTCTGTTAGTGCATGCTGAATAATTTACTTCCGGTTCTTTAGACAATTTTGACGAAAGGCTCCGTAAAAAGTTACTGTGGATTAAATCCCCGGGTCGGCGATACCATGAAAACTTCCGGTCCCTTATCTCCAAGTTACATCGAAATTATGGCGTTGCCTCTACAAAAATGTCTCAAATGTTGGACGAAATTTTTCGCACAATGCTCTCAGTTGATCTTGTTGGGCTCCCGTCCAAGACATCTGTCTTGGCTATGATTAAAGAAGCGGCAGTTAGCGAGAAAGACCAAATAGACAAAACGATCCATGAAGTGCTGGAAACCGCGTCTGGTGATCGGGGCAGCGTTTCATCCGGAAGTGATAGTTAAGTCCAGTTAATGCCTTATGAAGAAAATGTCTGCTGTCACGCAAAATATGGGATATTTTTGCAAACGTTGATGCCTAACAGTGGTGATTCATTTAAGCTTTCGGTAATCATAGTAAATTACTTTGATTGTTGACAGAGATTTCGGGTTCGGTTGATTTTGTAACATAGCGTAAATGTATTATATAGTTTGTAGTACAACAGCAACTGGTTTTGTTAAGTATCTTGTAATCTGTAAAATGCATTAAAACCACCGCAGTTCAAACAAACTTTGTCCTCCAGCCAGAATGTTTGTAAGGAGTTTGTGCCTTTGTCAACTAATCCTCTGTTCAAGAACCGCAGGTCATCTGCTCCGGCATCCATCACCAGTTGAACGGTGGTCTGGTTGACTTGAATTCTGGATGGTTTTCCGCTGTTTGCCAAACGGCTAGCAACGTTCATCGTTTCGCCGATGCTGCAAATTAGGTGTGAAAGTATCAAACGAGCGGCATTAAACTGTCCGAAATTTGGACTATATACGTGCGGTTCAGATGACCTTACACATTGTAGCGGGGTACTTTGAATCCGAGAACCGCTGTCACACAGGAACCTACAGAATATAAGACTTTGACATGTAGTTTATGAACTGAAATTTGGTTTCGCAAACCAGTGTCGATGCCCATCTGGAGTTGCAAATGATTATCGTAATATCTTCTCGTGAATTTCTTTCGCAGCTGAATAGCAAAGCGGCATATTTCCACCGCATGCCGCAGACCATTTTCCATCGGCACACCGCTTACAACCTGAAATTTCATTTTCGGACCGCGATGAGCTAGTGACTGCTTTTCATACATGTGTTTACAACTTCACAATAGTTGTAAACACATGTATGAAAATGTGACTCGTATTGTTTAGGATTTGTGTAAAAGGCCCTAAATTCAATGGCAACAACATCTTACGATTAAACTTTCCCCCGATGATTCCAATTTGAAAGCATCAAATGACTGAATAGTTTCGTCATATAAAATAAACATCTCTGATAGGAATTTTGTGACCCGCTGCGCCGAATGGTAGTCCGCAAAATGGGGAAACCCGAAGATGTGACAAAAGCATGCCGTCATTTGCTCGTAATATTCTGGTTTTATACTTTCTCCCGTCCGTAGCTGTTCGACAATTGACCTGCAAAACGACGAAAGTTTATTGAAAGAACCGAAGAACTCAGGACGCACGCTTTTTTGTCGACGTTCTATTGTAAGGTCACCAGAAACCGATATGTATTGTGACGTGGTAAGGTCACGAAAGTTCTGATGGTACATGGTACAAATTGCATACTTGGGAAGTAGTTCGTGCAAAACTTTGTCACATTCCTCTTTCTCTAGCATGATCTGATCCGTACGGTTATTGACAGCATTTTCCAATTCTCCCGTATGATGTTCCAACCGGTTGAGTAATTCTTCAAAAACACTGTTCGGTGACTTTCCTCTCAAACTGACAATAAGCTCGATGATTTCTTTAATGCGGGGCCGCCGCATAGGATTGGCGCTCAGACAGCGCTTGGACATATATATCAATCTCGATTCGGTGTCCCTCTTGATCGGAAGATTTTTTCGCTGTTGACCACCGTCCAAGCTGAAGTTTCGCAAGCTGCTCAGGCTGAGATGAGCAGCCGAGGTATCGTGTACCAGTTCCTGAATAATCACCCCGATGGCGTAAATGTCCATTTCCGGTGTAGCAGAATTCTTGTAATACAGCATTTCCGGCGCTATCCACACGGATTCCCGGCGAGTGAAACTGATATTGGCCGCGCGGGGGTTTGTGCCGAATACCGTCTCCACTATTTTGTCGTGACCGAGCTCAGCCACTTGTAGTGTAAAATGATTGGAAATCAGACAGCGGCTGCTTTTCAAAAAGCCGTGCACGCCCAATGAGGAAGAATGAATAAAACGGACTGCCTAAAAACGATCGTCACAGTTCTAACTTATAAGCATTGAATTCCCATTTTTTACTTTAGCAGATCACTGAGTTTCTTTCTATATCAGGCATTATTAAAATGATTCTACGGCTTCTTAGTATTATTCGCGTATTTCTTGCAGTTCCGGTCTAAAAAAAATATCTAACGCTACTGGTTAATCTGGACAATTTTTACACAAATAAATATTTCCTTACCATTTGATCTGCGAGAATCGTGAACTGCTCGTAGTTTTTACAGTCTGTAGTTGTCATGCGAATACTTGGATACCTGTGCTAAATCGGAGATAAAATTTAATTTAATGATCCAGTCCAGTGTCACGCTTTGGCTTTCCATGGCATCCTTTAATGTTCCTCTCTTGCAGTATTCACTGATTAACATCATAAGCCCTTCTTCAAAAGCAAGTCCAATAAACCTGTTGACGTTTGGATGTACACAGTTGTAAACCTGCCACAGAAATAAATTTGCTGTTAGATAATTAAGGTTTCGGAGATGATTTGCAGATTTTTCTACAATTTAATTTGATTGTTGCGCGCGTATAGCAAGCCTCATTTAATTTTATTAGCAAACGATACTTTTAATATTGGCACACCTAGTAGCCAACGATTCTTACAATGGTCAAAAGGGTTTCCGTCTTTTTGGTTAATTTTATCTGCTGCCGCACAGCGATGTATTCCACCCAGACCTTCGTGCCTTTCAACGAGGCAATGCCGGAATAGCGCGTCCGTCTTTTCTAAAACAATGAACGCCACTAATAGTTGAATCAATTTGTTCCTTGTTTTTATACCAAACACATGTTCAATAGCCTAAAAGTAAGATAAAAATTTTCTTGGTCATGATGATCTTTGCAAATTTAGGCTGAAGAAAAGCGTTTTTTATATTGTTTACGATGTAATTACGTACTGTAATTTTGTCCGTGCACGAACTGTAGTACGAGTATATATCGCTACTTACACTGGTAATGATACTTTTGCCGCGATCAGCATCCATAATGACTGGTAAACATCTAAAATTATCTAATCAATTACACCTCACACCCTTTGAAACGGAAGCGCAAAATATTTTGTAAATCCATGGTAGTCCGTCCTTGTCACGTGCATGACCTTAGCCCATAAAGCAGTTTGATACCATGCGAAACGAAGGGTGATTTACCTAATAAGGCCGCCTTTAACTTCCCAAAGGTTGTTTTCTGGAATAATCGCTTTGCGTGTTGCAGATCTGCAGTGTTAATCACTGATTAGCTTCGTTATTAAGAAGAACAGGAGCATTTTTGTTAGCGCGATAATGCCGGCAGCTGAAGCTTTTGTACCTCATTGCTCCAGTGATCATGCAGCAGATCACCAGAATACTTCCAACAATGGAAGATGTCAAGATTCTTACATTCGCTCTATATTCTGTAAAGAATGCCAAAGGCCACATGTACCAGCGGAAACGTTGAAATGTTCTGCAGGTAACAACGTTAAACGTATAAATAAACGGAAAAAATGGAGCATATTTTACCCAAATCACGGCACCGTTGAGCGGTACCGAGAAATCCACATTCGGGTTCATTTTTAATGGGCCATACCGAATTCCACTGAATGTTACTTAGGAAGTGGATTTCGCTGGTCGTGTCGTTAAAGATCAGGATATCAGTCACATCGGTTGAGTTGTTCATAAACTGTTGCATTACGAGATTGGTTTGGCGTTCCCCGACATCGTCAAACTGAACATTTCCAGAATAAGGCAACACAAAAGACCGATTCCAAAATTCCGAAGCGAATGCGCTTCCGTCGGCTAAATCGAATCCTGTCTCGTTTAACCTCTCTAACAAAACCTTTAAAAACACTAATAAGGTGCATTTAATTGCTCGGACCAACATTTTTTTCAGTGCTAGATCATAGCTAAAAAGCACTTACATTGCCGAACATCAATAGACTTTCGAAGCTGGCCACAACAAATGGATTTGGCTGAAAAGTAAAGTTTCGTTCTACGAGTCGAGTATGTACCGCCAGGTGAACCGACTAACAGCATTCGTAAACAATATCGAAAGTTGAGTAGTTCTGTTTTTTTATTGAATCAATGTTAGTTATTATAATTTCCCGCTTGGTAGCATTATCCTCACCTGCTCTCCGTCAGCGTACGAAAAATTGTAATCTCGCTTTGAGCGGAACTTCAGTTCTTTGTAAAAGGCTAATCGCTCGGAAACATTAGAATTATCCGACGCAGCAGTTATCACAAACAACGACTTGTATGCTGTCTGCGCCGCCTAATCGATTATTCAATCACAAAAATTAATAGCAATGAAATGGAGTTTTAAGTTGATAAATTGTCTGTGTTACCTCATCATAGCCATCGTAATACTGCCATGAAATATTCCCATAATCCTTGTGTTTAAATGGCTCCACCGCAAAGTATGCCTAAATTTAGGTAATGTTAGTTAACAAACATGGTTTAGTTTATCAAAAACAAAAGACATCCACACACCAAACTGCAGTTGCCGTAGACTTACGTAATCTCCATTTGCCATCCCATAAGATTGAGCAAGTAACTGGAAGAAGAGAATCGTGGTGCTTTTATCGTCCCATATAATTTTGATATTTTACAAATTTTGACATAATATGCTGTTAATGCAAAGTGTATGACGGAGCCGGATTACCAAAAAGTTCCTCAGATCTGATGCCAGCCCCAAATATATCACAACTGCAACGATAGTGTACCTCGGTCACAAATTTGTTGAATGACATGTTACTTTAATAATCACCCTTTGCTGATACACATTTTTAACAGTTTTATAAGTGATATTCATATGTGCAAAATCTCTGTGTACGTACCTCGGGCAGATATCTTTATATTTTCTAAAAGCTTTGGAAGCTTTTCCTCTCTGGTATCATTGCCGGTTTTTGAAAAGGTCACAGAAATATCTTTTTGCGTTCTTAAGAAGCCGTGTAAACTTGGCGCTAGCAACGTATGGAACGGTTTGGCAGACTTGTTGAGTACGATGTAAACATCTTTCCAATGGAATCGATGTAGTAGTGTGGAAAAAAAGTTCACATAGCTTTGAATTGCATTTTCGCCGGCAAGGACCAAATTTGGAAATAGCGCTTTATCACGAAATACTGGCTCGCCGTTTCCACTGTAAAAGCCACAAAAATAGAATCTATGCAAAAATATACATTTCCTTTTCCTCCATTTTTATACAACAAGGAAGGCCTAACTCAAAAATCGTTTACAAGTGGTTAACGAGATATAAATAATCTTGAAAATGCCATAATTATCCAATTATGAACTCTGGGCAATAAATATTTCGATTGTCTCAAGGAGGGGGTTCAATTACGGGCATGGGCTTGTATTACGGGATTGGTGTTTTTTTGCGAACTAACTTTCTTGGCATGGGCTAATAAAAATTTGAAGGAAATAGATGCTCTAGCTGAGCACTTTTCAAGCTTTCATCGACAAAATTTTTTTAAAGACGAGAAACTAACAGAATTGTAGATTTTTTTCTGATTTTTTTTGCATCTGTGTAGGCATTTAAATTTAAAATGCGCCTTTATTAAAATTATTATTACAAGATTGCCGTATAAACAAACAAAGACTATATTTTGCCGTGTTTATTTTTTAGCCCATGGGCGTCTATTTCGGGGGAACACATCTTCTATGGGAGCTCCAGTCGCAGACTTCCCCTAGGGGAAGCCTGTATTTCGAGGGAGCTTATAATTTGACAATTACGGTACTCGTAGTCATCGGATTTGGTCTTACCCCACCATCATAAAGCAGTTCCATCCTGTACAAAATTGAATGATAATGATCGGATCGACAATTTGTGAATTAGTACAAAAAATGTAAACACGCAAGAGGTCATCAACAAATATTGGAAGAATCGCGGTACGAACACGTTGGTGAACCGCCTTCAATGGTCTTACCTTGTACCAGCTTTGCCAGGTTAATTCTTTCCGTACATCCTGAAATAAGTAAAACTTCTACGGATAGTTCTATATTTTTCAGATAAAACGACAAATATATATGCCCATAGCTGTTTACAATTGGCTCTATATGCTGCAGAGTTTTCACCTATGGTTTGGTTTTTTACTGTATGCGAGTATTTTACTCGTATTTACCTGGCGCTATGAACGCTGTCATGTTTGGTGTTGATTCCCGATTGTAATAATATTCCGCAACAAAGTGGTCAACATTATCCGTAACAGATTCGCAGGTGTGATATTGTTTGCCGTACACGTAAGTGTGATCGAAGATAACCCTTCGCTTAGAGAAGTGCTCAAACGTTGTCCTTAGTGTTTCCAGGCCCATGTCCAGGGCTGGTCCAACATATGGGAAACTGGAGATCGATGTAGAATAATAGTTGCCCACGGAAATTATGGAAATCGTTACTGCGTCGTCATTATCGTCATGCTTGACCTCGAAATCGGCGCGGTAATTTACCATCGCCGGAATTGCATCCGCTGCAACAGACTTACCACCGAGTACGTTCGGTACAGACAACAGAAAAATGAAAATCATGTTTCCGAATAATTAGTTAAGTTGCTGTTTTGAGCAAAATCGACGACGACTTATAAACATGCCTTCACACTATTCCTGATGATTAGGCAATATAAATATAAACTGTAGAACACATCCGTATGATCATGATGCACGCGCAGTCTTAATTTACTGTTCTAAAGCAGATAGCTTGGTCACGCTTTTCGCTTTGATGAATACATTGTACATTCAAGTTGAGAAGCTGGAAGATATTGAAAGCTGCACTAGGATGCTGCGAAAGAACACTTGCCGGCCTGCAATAACAGCTAATTTAACATGTACTAATTCGGTCCCTTGCGGTGCGCAAACGAGTCAGCAATTAAATGGTACTTGCACCGAGACATATATAACATTCAAAAGTCCTGCATTTTATAAGCGATTTTTTCGCAACCTTTTAAAATTAAACATTAATCCTGTAAATGTGGCACGCGGATATCTAACCAGATGTTTTTGTGAAGATATGTATCCTTCAACGGATTTTAAATAAACGGGAAAAGACTTGAGCCTATATATATATATATATATATATATATATATATATATATACAGTCTGAAGTTATTTGACACTTATTACGCAAAAGGTCACAGATAGCACAACCGCTTATAGTGCAAAAGGCATTTCGCATACCTAAAATTTTTATACTCATATCATGGCAATGTGGTATGCCATGTTCATGTCTGCTATGCATGTATCTCGATGTGCTCAAAGTTTCTGTACATCGGCAGTTTACAATATTATGGCATATAACAATATTTTATGTTTCGATTTTTGTGGTGCCACATAGGTGGTTGCTCTTGAATAACTAACTCTTTTTTAAAATGCTTTGAAAACATTAAGTGTACGAATCGGTCTGCACCTATACATTCAAGTATTTACTTTTTTGCCAAACTTCACAGGGACAACTATATCATTTCCGGTGGCACATAGTGTGGCGCCAATGATTGTACGTATACGAGCAGGGCAAATTCGTACGCACCACCGGATTTCAATTCACCCTCCCTATACAAACAAGTACAGACATTCGCCTAGTGGAATAGTAGCCCGTGGCAGAACCAATCTGGCGAAGTTAGGGAAATGAGAGCAGGACACCAGCCAAACAGCCAGGGAAGGATGCGAGAGAGCGAGAGACGACGACCGGCTAAAATGTACACACTTGCACAGGGAGGAACACCGCCGCTGCTAACTTGTTTCCATCGCGGCTGCTATGTTTTAGGGTTATGTATGAAAATAGAAAGACACACATTTGCTCGGCGCTGGCTGCTGCAGCGGACGATCACGACTTCTGTTTGTACAAGAGATTTGCCTTTCCAAACACTACTCAACATCATCGCTAGAGATGCGGCAATGCTGTAATAGGTTCCGTGCAACTTGTCTTGCACTGGGACTCATCACATTTTGCAACATTATTGGGGTTATGTTTGTCGGATTGGCCGCCTAACCTAACGCGTAATAATTCATACTTGGAATATCATTATGCAAGGAGCAATGGATGCCAGTTCCGTGCGCTGCGCTGGCGATTAAATGATTTAAATCTAAGATCAATCAGTCAGCTTGGAATTCTGCTGATACCAGCTTACAAAGTGCTAACTGAAAACTGCAGTAGATTCTGCTTTTGTTTTGTTTATGTTTTGCCAATCGGCCGACATGGAACCGTGTGTAACTATGCAGGCGAAAACCTGTGTCAACAATGGAAATCGTACAATTTGCGAGGATAATATTGATGACGCTTCCGATTTGGATATGGTGAACTGGGAACAGTTGGAGCAGGAGCTGATTCTATCGAAAAAGAAGAAAAGCGACGGTTCGCGATTGCTGGTAAGATTACTGCATAATCAGTTTGATTATAACCTTCGCGTATTGATTTCCCTGGTGTGAAGTGGTGAACCGGCAGCTGAAGTTGTACGCGTAGTAGGAAAAACACACTCCTTCAGACAAAACGCACACAGGCTTTCACTATTATAAGTAACCAATTAAAGCTGTGAAATCTGCTTACACATCGCTTTGAGAGATGGGAATTTGAAAATCGATCGATTTCCTGTTTAATTTCGTTGGGATTATACACAGATGGTGCACCAAGAGAACCGAACGGAAAACAAGGCCGTTACACCAATAATCGCCTTTAGTACGTACATATTCCCGGTTAAGAAGGATACGGAGAATTATGATAATTCAGGGCTTAATGTTAACTTGAGATACATAGATTGTACAGTGAAAATTCTTTTCTAATTGATTATGGGCGAATATAATGTTATGGATTCAGGGGCATAATAAATTAAACTTTCATGCCGTCTTCCTAATGTTTACGATGCAAATGCCCGGTGAAAATACGGAATAAGAAATAATTAATTACAGTTTAAATCTATAATCAGCATATATATAAATATATAATGGATGCATAATACACAGTTACACACACATCAGTGCACATCGCGATAAATATGCATAATAAATTATGCATACTTATCGTCGCCAAATGCTAATTATCCGGGCACTCTTGTTTAGGTAATGGAATCGTTCTTTATCTACTATCCTTGTAATTAAGTAACCATTAATTAAGTACTATTTTTTCGTATACTGTGCAGGCAAACATGAGATAAAACAATTCTGAGCGCATTTTTTATTCCTTTTTTTGTTGTGTTGGTAAAAAGTGACCGTACAGTGGCAGTACATGCAACAAATTTAATTATCAACCTGCGAGCGCTTAAATGTTTCTCTGAGGTTTGTTCGGGATCTTATGTTTTACAATGAAACAGCAAATTGCTGTTTTATTTGTAATTTATTGATTTTCATTTCGTTTTGCAGAATTGTCTGAATTTGCGTGAGGAAATAAGACGACAGTTGGCCGAAGATGACGCGAAAAAGACTCCCAACGGCAATATGCGGAAAAGCAAGAGCGGTTTTTTGGACGAAACTTCGTCTTCCGAATCGGACAACGAGGAATTAGTGGAAGTCCCCTTGACCGATGGCTCATCGTCGACATCGGTGGACGACGGGGATGACGATAAAGAATTCTACCTCAATCATGAATTCTCCACAAAAATAACCATACAGAAACTCAGCAGCAATACCGGCACCGCCCCGCGCGACGCTGACCTTGATGGTGCGGCCAGCACGGCTGACAACGGCCACGCGGCGCACCATGCACGGCACACGCCCCCGCAGCTGGTGGTGCGCCCCTTACAGAGCCGACCAAATCTCAAGACCAGAATCCAGAACCAAAAGGATCTACAGATATGCTTCCTCAACGAGCTTCCCGGGTCTGTACAGCGCATCAATTCATCGTCTTCGGGCCGGTCGTCTTCCGAATCGGGAAATCCGGTGGTGATGCCGAATAATGCCAATCATAGTAATATGTCAGAGGGGCCAACAATGTTTAGGCAGGATTTCTGGTCGCCACCCGCTGAGCCGTCCGGCCGACCGGTGGCGACGACGTCTGTGATGCCCAAATCGCAGTCCATGTTCGAAATGGACACAGAAAAACAGAAACTGGATAAATTACTGTCAATGCGGTTTGAGGACCTGGAATTTCAGTGGAAGCAGCAGATGCGCAATAAAATCCAGCATATGCATCAAAATATCCGGCTGCAAATGCAGCGCCAACGGAAGCGGCGCAAAAGATTTCCCATAACGACAAAGGTGAGCATGCAAACAGTTACTCACTGGGTTGCGCTTGTAACTGAAAATTCAGCTGCAGAATTCTGAAATTCAAAGTGAATCATAAAGCAGAAAGAATACAAGCCATAATTCAAGCAAATACACAGAAAAAAATATCTGGCACAGAAGAAAGGTGTGAAAATTACATTTCGTTGTATTTGCTATGAAACCGGAAGTTTGTTATGCATGGACGTGTTTAGCATACCGTTTTGGAGGGAAATTTAAACAGGCGACAGGATCGATCGATTCTCCCAGAATTTCGAAGGACTGTGAATGACAGTCGTACAATGCACCCGTACTTCCCGCTTCCTGGCCATCACCAGTGGCATTATCGTGCGCTTTATTGCCTTTACACAATGAATTTACAAATACGATAAAATGTCTGTAAAGTGCTTTAATAGCTCACGGAAGGGTACAATAAAACTCTGTAATACAAAGAACGCTCGGCTATTAGAAAGCACTGCGCATCCGCACACAGTTGTTATGCATGGCAGACGTCCTGTGACTTGAATATTCTACTTTAATTATCTGTCATATATACTAGGAAACTAATTACGTTAAAACATTTAATAGATTGTCTTGTGCACCACGTTAAGAAAAAAGGCTAGTGTGATGCTTGTGCCTGCTCCGCGTACTGCTAAAGACTTCTAAATCATGCACCGACAGGCATCCCTGAATTTTCTTTCACATGAAATAATTATAGCGAAACAGAATGTGTAATATTAATGATGCTCCCCATAGTCCCAGATGACCTTCCGCAATAAGCCTCATCAACATATTTTAGCACCACGCCCTTGTGCAGCTGCACGTGCTGTGACACGATAAAAACTGCGTGTTTTAGAGCATAAAAATTTGATAAAAATCCCGCGTCTGCATGTCAGCTAAATGCCGATACTGTTTGTAAAAGTGGGTACTAGGAGCAGTACTTTGTTTATTGTTTATTCTCTAAGTTTATGCACATAAAATTACATTATGGATACTTTGGGTGTACAACTAAATAATGCAGTAACAACTAAATAATGCATCGTCGTGAAATACTCGTACAATAAAATTTAAGTTACTGTAGGTGCAGTTTCCTCATGGAAAGACTAGACTGGACCGGCAATTCCTTAGCGATTTGAATATTGCCTACCTGCAAGTGATCCTTAACGATCTCCACTGTCAAATCGAAAGTAAGACTTACAAAAATCTGTATATTTAATGTCAAAGAAAGATCAAAGTGATTCAATAGCTCCAAAACTGTATTTCGTGTAAAGTAGTACAGTCACTACAGTGTATAGTTCGTGTGTGTAGTTAGTTTCGTGTACAGTACAGTACAATGCAGATCCGTATTTCTTTACGCGTATACAACTCTATTGGTAAGCTTAAACAAAATTTTTTGCTTCATTAGCACTCAATGGTGTCGTGTACTTCTATCGTAACTGATGGTGAGATGGATTAGATGCGCCCAAAAGTATGCCAATGTATACATCTTATGCAGTTCTGTTAATTTTACTTTAGAGTAATGGCGGTGCACTTTAGTTAAATTATTTACGAGTGATTGTGTCCTTCATCAGTATTTGCCATTTCGTTAACGTTTCACGTAATTGTTTTAGCCTTGAACGAGGAACTTGTACGGTATCTGGAAGAGCGCGATGAATTGCACATGGAGCAAGATTCCAAGTTGGTCGATATCGACGATTTGTCAAGGCACGTTTGTTTGCTCGATTGATTCCGTCGCGCATGAATTGTTAATGACTTTTGACGTTTTTATGGAATGGATTTCGGTGTTTTTTAGGAGATTACAGGAACTATGGATGGTGTCGTCCCGCTGTAAGGACTCCGCACAAGGCGATTGCCGGCAGTCCTCCCCAAATCCGTCGTCGGCGTTTTTTTCCCGCCTCAAGGCACAATCCGCATCACACAATGATAATACCGATGAGATTAATCAACACCACTCACCAGAACCAGCTGTGACCACTCCAACCTCGCTTAACGGGAGTTTACAAAATTTCCGCCAACGGATTAGAAGTCTTTTACAGTAATCAACCGCGGATTGTTTGTGTCATTACTAGAAACCGTTTTGAAAAATCAGCTTTCACTAATAGTAATGATAATTATTGCGAAGCCTCTGCTGCACCGGCCGGGCATTCACCGGAATTGTTGGATCTGGGGAGCAGATATTGTTGGTTTCTATGCTTATATGGAAATGAATACGTATTGAACGCTTTAATGATGTGATGTTCCGATTCAAATCGGTTTCGCTAACGAAGTCAAACCATTGCGAGCGTGCAATTGAATATTAGAGGTTTGCGATATAAAGCTTAAGGTTTCACTGTAGAGATATACCGTCTCTTTGTTTTTCTAAACAAACGACCAGGCTTCACACAGGTCTCAAAGGGGCACTTATGTATTTCAGATTTACTATTTTCGAAAAGGTGAAGTTTGTAAAGATGGTCTGTACTCTGTACATAGCAGATATTGCGAGGGTAGGCGCTTAATACGGACATGGCGGTAAACTGAGGAAATTTGACCATACAGCATCTTTAAGCAAGGGTTAGTGTACAATACCTGCCCAAAACTGAAGGCACGCTAATTATTTATAAAGCAAGCGCTTCGGCCTCATTTATTGCACACAGGAAATAGAACTGCACATAAATTCGTATTTTTCCGGAAAGCTTAAAGATTACCGCTTCTTGATCTGCATATTCCGCATTTCTCCTAGGACCTTTTTAGCATAAATTAACATTTTAAGCTGCAGCTCCCAATAAAGTGCGAGCCTTAAACGATTATTTAAAATATTATTTACCCACATGTATCTACATTTGACTCTTTAAATATAGCAAAATTGTATATTACCTAAGGGAAATGTTTGCAGCTTAGATTTTATTAAGGCTTACACCAAGTGACAAAAATTGTCAATTAATTCCATAAATACGTAATTCAGTAACTCCAGCATTAATCACAAATCAACTGATATCATGAGCAATTTCGACCCATCTCTGTCGAATCGACAGAATCGAATCGACATACGCAAATAAGTAAATAAGTACGCATCATATTGCACCTGAATCGTCTACCTAGGAGTTCCGAATGAAGATTCGGAAGCCTGACAAGATTTTTGGAATATAAGTTGCGATTACCTTTGGGCTTTGAAAAACACCACAACCACTGTACATAGTCCTAAACTACACTGTACGAGTAGGAGGTCTGGCGACTCTGGCGAATGACCCTGCCGTTGTTCACTACTATTGTTTAATCGGGTATAAGCCGTATAATTAAGTGTAAAATAAAATACATATGTACGAGTAGATACAGCAGCAAAACGATTACTCAGCGAGTCAGTGTGTAAATCAGCTGTTTTTGTTGACAGATTGTAATACACTAATATGAAAAGATATCTTATCAAAACTAAGCTGGAGATTTTGATATTTTTGTTGCAAACTCAAAGAAGCCAAGTGTAAGATCAACTATAGCTAATTTAGGGTGCTTATATAGATATGGATATTAAATAGATAAGTACTGTAACAGTAACAAACATTATTATTCTCTGACAGCAAATTTGTTGGAAAGCGTATTGTGATGTGTTGTGCTCGTACCGCATGTCGTATGTGTTTCTCCATACAGTTATCTACAGATATCACGAGTCCGCGATCCTGTTTCCGTAAAGGATAAAAAAAACAATGTACAGTACATAGCTTTCATCGCGTTAGTTCGACATGTTTGAAAGCTCTTAGCAGCTCTCAGTCGTAAGTTTAGATCTCTTAAGGTGCAGTGTGTCAGGCCAAAGAAAGGAAGCAGTTGCAGTTATACTCAAATTTGTTAGCTTGTTTGTTTTGTTTTGTTAGCTCCAGAAGTTAAAACAAAAAAATTAGAATCCAGTACAGTGTTGACCACGAGATAACATTCGGCTTTGCTCTAACCCGGAATTTCCGGTTTCCCGTTTGTGTGACAGCAGCGCCATCTGCAACTTCTTTCCGACCTCGTGTTGTGCAATCAGCGTAGGGAAATCGAAGATCATGATTTGCGAAGTTCTTCAATCTTCCCTCATAATAAGTAATTTAGCCTGGAGTATCCTTATTTGAGTATTCTTTGTTTTTGATAACTTCAAAATGGAAATTTAACGGGAATATTGTCTTGAGTGAATAATTGCGTTTGTCTGATGGGAACTTTGTTAACTTCAATCGACGTGGATATGCCAGTGAATATTTAATCGCTTCTTCGTAATCGACAGTATCAGAAATGTGATCGAACATTTGTCATAAGTCGCGCGTTCTGATGCATTCGCTTATTGGATGAGTGTTTGGACGGCTAGATTAATTTCGGTACTCGTGTTTGCTGTTACTTATCCCTAATTGTCTTTCTCTCACCATTCTTACATTTTTTAACGTAATATGAATGGTGTTTGATCTCGGCGGTTGGATCTTTGGTTTCTGCTCTCGCTTGATCTGACCATGAATAAACGTCAAACGCGTCCCTCGAGCAGCGCCAGTGCCAGCAGCTGTAGTAAGAAATCCCTCACCGATTCCAGCCACACGTTCCTGCAGGGGAATTCAATTTTAAGTACGGATAATACATCAATGTACAATGGGAGCATCTCCAATGGTTCCATTGGGCAGCGCGGATTATCCACTAATAACGAAAATCTGGCCCTGTCACGCGGCAGCGCCAAACATGAATCGGGCAGCATCAGCAGAATTCTACCGTCACAGTCGGAGAACAATATCCGTAAATCCAATCCGAGTTTACAATCATCCAGTACCAAGGAACGGCGGAATCGCGATCGTCTATCACTGCGAAATTTCATCTCGCGAACGTTATTTCCCGTGAATGATGGGGATGGCAGTAGTTCGACGAAGGCTAAGAAGACCAACACTGCCTCATCCACGGAGAAGGAAACGCGGAAGGGACGAGATAGGAAATCTTCAACTGCTTCTTCGAGATCTTCTCCCAACGCTCTCCAGGTAAACTAAAGATTGTGTCAGTGAGATCTCACATCTTATGGAAACCACAGAAGATAAACGTGGAGACTCGACACTCGAGTCGTGTGCGTTGCCTTTAAGATGTTTTTGCTTAGTCCCAGATGGTTTTTCTAGAGATACAATTACATGATAGGCTGATATCTTACTTTAAACTATTTACATTTTTCTGGACACGAAGTATTGTGAATCTTTTATGTTGGCAGATACATTACTCATGAAAACAGGTTTTCTTATGACCGTGTTACGGTTTGCTTTCAGAATTTTTTGCAGCGTAGTCGCCAATTTTTTTAATTAAAAATACGTTTTTAGCTAAAGCTTCGAAGTTAATTTGATATGGGGCTGTACTAGTATGGTGGAAAAGATGGAGTCGTCTGAATTCTTCCGAAAGGATTTTTGTAAAAATTAAGAAAATAACTACGTTGTATTTTTTGAATAATAATGTGTGGGTTGGTAATTTGGTACAGAAGTAGTGATTTTGTGAGTTCCAGAATTGTGTAGACCCCAGAGGTACAAAATTTTAGAAGACCAAACCGTGAGCTAGTTGAGTTAGGGAGAAGTACAAATGCCTATGCAGAGTCTTACAATTCTTAATGGTTTTCTATTATGCTGTTGTATATTGGCTGTATTGACAGATTGTAGTGCTAACATGGTGTTATGCCAATGGCATTGAAAGAACTCCAGCATGGCTGGTGCAGTTGTCACTTCCGTTGCGCGCGCATTGTGAAAACTTAATGAGATTATTGATCATTTTCCAGTATATGGTCATAATTGTATTGATTGCTATTACTGTGTTTGAAGTTGGTATAAAAAAGCAGGAATCTGTGGTTTACAAAATTAGTACGAAGAGCTTTAACCCATATCTTTTTTGTGATTATTAACAATAAGAAGTACTAATACTTGTGAATCTGCATGAATTTAAATGATAAACCTTAGCCGCTGCAGTGCGACCCTGACGTCGTATCGTGAAGCATGCATTTCGAAGGAATGCTACTGACTTGCGAGGTGTGTTTGCATATCTGTGAGACGGCAACTTATGACGATGTGTCGTATCGTTAAAGCGCACTGAATAATGATTATCGATTCGATAATAATGGATTTAAAATTCCAACTGATTTCCCTCTGGCCAGTCTCACGATATATAGGCGCGCACGTGATGTGGTCAAATTGTCAATTAATGTGTGCTGTGTTTTGACTGCCACAGGTTCTGCCAACACCGACCAGCAGTGTCTTCTCATCGACGATCCCTGAAAATTTCGCCGCGGCCAGCCTGATTGGACTGCCTGATAACGCAAGGTCGTCGTCAGCAGTGGAACGGCAGCATTCATCTACTAATGCCACTGTTGAAGATGCACAGATGCAACATCAAAAACAGTGCTCTGTGTGCTATGGATTATTCCCTACCTCGGCCTTTCCGGTCTTGGATAAAAATATGAAATGCAAGCACAGCGCTTGCTTGCAATGTTATCGATTGTATCTGACCGTGCAGATTACCGAGAGTCGTGTAAGTCGTGAGATGGCATACGTTACCTTTTGTTGGTACTGGTATTAATGTGCTGCAGGCGGACACTGTTGGGTGGTGCGTAAATAATAATCTGGGGTTGTTTGTTGTGATAACTGATACGTTTTGAAACCGGAAGAGAGTACGAAGGGAGACCACGGCGTTTTTTAATACCCGCTTTCATTAATGATTTTTAAACTCAAACATGCCGATTTCAGGACTAATTGAGTGTTGTGTAAAGCGTAAAGCTTCTCTGCATTGAACGTATTTTAACCGTGTTACAGTCTGCTTTATTTATTGTGCGACATTAATCCTCTTGTACTGGCGGATTTTGCAGACAAAAGCAAATTGAAAGACCTTATTTCCTTTAGAAGACTTTTTTTCAGTATTGGTTTAATTGAATCATGTGGGTATCTGATCGGTAATAGGCTCCATAAATCAGTGATTGTTCTTTTGTTTGCATAGATCGATGTTACTTGTCCGGAATGTGATGTCATGCTGCACCCCAACGATATCCAGGCAATCCTGGATGATCCTGTATTGCTCAGCAAATATGAACAGTTTATGATACGACGCGTATTGGCATCCGAAGTGGATACTCGGTGGTGCCCTGCTCCAGATTGCGGGTAGGTCAATACTACTGTTATCGTTTTGCACTTCCACTGCTGTATAAGAAACCGCTGCATAAAAAAGGCAGGTTTGCAAAAAAAATCTGAAAAAGTACTTACTGTAAAAGAGAACGGGCTAGATGGCAGAGAGTAAAAGTTTTACTGCTGTACTACTTACTTCTGTGCATCGTTACGGATTTCCAGACGTGCATTTAATTATTTTTCCTGTTGAAGATACGCTGTGATAGCCGCCGGATGTGCCGAGTGCCCTCGACTAGTGTGTGAGCGCGAGGAATGTGGGACGGCCTTTTGCTACCATTGTGCCGGCGTGTGGCATCCGGTCTCCACATGTGATGAAGCGCGTGCGCAACGTTTCGGTCTGAACATGGCCGCCGTGGGGGCGGCCAGTGCAGCCGGGGTCACCTTTCGACGCACAACCAATGCCTTGTTTTCCGCGGCTCCTTCGTCATTGTTAGGGAAGATTAAACCGTGTCCACGGTGTAAAGCCCTCATTGCCAAAATGGACGATGGGTCGTGTAACCATATGACCTGCACCATTTGCGGCGCAGACTTCTGCTGGTTGTGCATGAAGGAGATATCCGATTTGCACTTTCTCTCGTAAGGGACAGATAATTATTAGGAACAATTCCGTAATACTAGTGAAATTAATAATTTTATTTCCAAAAACGCGATAACAATATCAAGAATCAGTTTCGGTTGAAGAAAACAACATTTTCAACCGTTTCAGTACTAGTTGCCGGTGTTATATAAATAAATGGCTGTTTTGTAATTGGATATCGTTTTTATCTCGTAATTATGGGCGCAAAAACGTCTTATTTGTTTGTAATGGAAATTAACGCGATTATGTGTTACAGGCCAACGGGATGCACATTCTGGGGCAAGAAGCCATGGAGTCGGAAGAAGAAACTCATATGTCAGTTGGGAACATTGATTGGCGCTCCGGTGGGAATAGCACTGGTGGCGGGTGTAGCCATTCCATCCATGATCATTGGGATTCCCATTTGGGTTGGGCGAAAAATTCATCGGAAGATGACGTTGAGCAAGCGGTACAAGCGTAATTTGGCCATCGCCAGTGGAGTTACGGGAGCGGTTCTGCTTTCCCCAGCTGTGGCTGCATTAGTTGTTGGTATGACTTCCAAATGTTAACTTTCGCGAGAACGCAGATAATAGATACTTCTGTTTGTTCGAAAATACGGTGTTTAATGCAAGTTCATGGTTAAAATTATAGTTATGTAATACAGTGCAGTTATTTTGTTGTCACGTTGGTTTTTTCGTGTTATTTATTGGTCTCATACATGGAAGGCTTCATATATTTCCCTAATTCTTGCACTGCACATTACATATTGCAGAGCCTGAATTGAATCACCGACGTTGTTTTGCAGGGTTTGGTGTGCCTCTGATGCTAGCATACGTTTACGGAGTTGTTCCCTTTTCCTTATGCCGGAACGGTGGGACGTGTCGGTTTGCCTCGAACTCCGGAAATTCCATTGCCAATTCGACCTCCAATCTATCATCGGAGAATGCCGTAACAAACCACGCTGAGGATGAACTATCTGGTGGTCTCCATTTACGCAACTCCAGCCTGGCTGATACTGGCTCGCTGGACATTATCACCCAACAACTGCACGGCAGCAAGAGCCCCGATGAACATCTGATGCTGCGTATGATGATGGTGTTGGACGAAAACGATGTGGTATTTGTCAACCACACCGGGGACGGTTTGACCGATTCCAAAAGTGTCAGCGGAACGTCTGCGCGTATTCGACACCGCGCGGAAATCAATCATAACCAGCAGGTGGATCATGCCAATGCGTCCATTGGAGAGTTCTCCATGGATTCCTGTGATGTTCATAGCCGGAGGAATTTGGTACTGTTGGATCCGTCCGGTCACTCAATAGCCGATGTAGATAGTGGGACGGGAGTGCCAGTGGGAACTGAGAGCGGTATCGGGCGGATTCGGCTCAATACCGAGGGCAAACCTAGTTTTGATAGCGCTTCTGCCTTAGCCTTGCATCTTTCCGCGTAAGTCAGCATAAGCGGAAAGTAAAAATTTTACCACTGCCTTTCGAAATTAAGTTTCAAGTTAACGGTGAAATTTGAACCGGTAGACTATTTTGTAGTGTTTTTTGTGTTAAGTTTTGAAAATGCTTTAGTTGATTTTCATTTGATGCGCTGCAGAGTAATTCCATCTTGTGTATTGTCATAGGCGCCGACAAAGTGCCAGCAGCGATTCAGTGAACTATAGCATGGGTGATCGTGTCACTTTGGAAACATTGTCAACCGATCTGGAATATCTGACCACAGCCTATGGCAAGGACACTGCAGAACACACTGTCGAGCAAGATAACGCCAGCACAAAAGCGTTAGCGGGATCCATTATTGGGCACAGGTGAATATCTTTTTCTTGTCTATGGGAGCGAATTATATAACTTGAAAGGTGAGGGACTTCTTTGAGCCAGCAAGCAACATAATAATCGTGTGTGAAACGATTTGTACCATCTGAATCATCTGCAGGGGTCATGTCCAGATGGAGACGACTGGGGAGAAAAGTCCTCAACAGTGTTCATTGAACCACGTGGATCAAGGAATAGTGAAGCCATGAGTGACACGCACACGGTGATCCGACTGCATCCAACGAATATGGACAAAAAACGGAGTTATTCCGTTAGTCATACATCGCCGTGTGGGTTTATGGGTTACATTTTTGAAATGCCCATTTCTTTTTTAATTGTTTGTGGATAATAAGCATGTATATGATCGTAGATTATGTTTTAGCAGAGAGTTTTATGTACTTAGAATAGTGATTTAATCTGTAGCGAAGTGATTTGCTTGTATAAAGGGTTCTGATTTTATGTTTGTGGTTTTAGTTGTTCGTGTTCATCTAATGATAAATTTTGCATTATTATGCGGATATGGGATATGACTGTGTCACTTGGTGCGATTAAACGCAGTTTATGGGTTTCATTCGACCGGAATGTTCGTTATCGAGGTTTGAAAGTTGAACTTGTTTTTATGCCTTCTCGTTAGATCCATGGACTGGGTGTTTTGGTGTTTATTACAAGTTTTCTTTGGTTCATTTTTAAGTAACGCTTTTGGAGTAATTATTTGTATGTGTCATGTGTGCTTTTCGGCTGTCTAGACGTCCACCATTAATTTGTCGCAATGATCGTATCAAGGTTATCATGGTCAAGCTCTCTTGCATGATTAACTTAGGTTAGAGATGTACGTACCGTTCTCTGGAATAACTGAAATGCCGCAGGTAGAATTTATGCGAGCCTAATTTAATTATAGAGACACATCTGCCGCTATATGCATAGCTGCATATACTCGTGCATACAGATATGCATCCAGCAGTTCAACAACATCCGGCCTCATCCCCGAATGTTCACACAGTGCTTACTGTAGGATGTACTCTATTTGCCCTATTAAATTTTGCCAACTGGTTTCACAAACTCTTAAGTAGCGATTGGGTTCTACCTGATGTAAACCCAGCTTGCAGCACCTAGCTGCTTACTTGTACATCCATGTAAAACCGCATTCAGCGATGCTATGAGTTTCCACGTGTATTTCATCAACGCAGCTGCCTGTTGTTTTCCGAAGTATTGAGTACAAAAATCAAATGTTAATAACATATCAGATGACAGCAATATGCAAACCTTCGTTGCACGAAGGGCACGTTCTCCGTTCAGGAAGAACTTTTCCATAAAACAGACGTAACTGTTTCGTTCCTTTTCGCAGAAATTAATACTACTGTCAGGTTAACGTTGATGTAAAATTTTTTACGCGCAGTGCACGTGGGGAAATGATATCATAAGGCCATAAGCTTAAGATTATTACACTTTAATGTTAATAAGATTTCCTATACGATCTTTACTGGAATAACCACTGTCGATATTGAGAAATGACCGCAGTTTCATTAATGTTGGAATTATTTTTTAGACGTAAATAGCGTTATCTTCTACAGTTACAACTGGCGACGAATGGGATGATGTGATACAGTAACTATTTGCTTGTGCCGCGAGGCCGGTTGTAAACGATCGAATTAATCCTGGCTGGTTTACGGTTTCGATGTCTTCATCATGTAAACGATCTGCTGCCCATTGTCCACAGACTTAAAGCTACATCACCTAAATCTCCCAGGATTTGTGTAAAGATAAAGAAATGATAATACTGGCAGAACTTGTACTGCCTATAATATTTATCTGCAGTTTATGTATGGAAAAAGAAAAGCTTCTGGCAATAATTAAATAAAAGGCAAGTGCAGTAGAAAGCATTGACTACAAAGTCAACAGTTGACGTCAGGATATTTCACTTTGCTTACGCAACAAAGTGTAACGCTACCATTCATACGTCGAGGCGTAAATTCATTATTATGACGTGATATTAAGGCGGATTATCCTCAGTGGTGTTTAGCCGCAGTTGTCGGAGGGGGAACTGTATATATCGCGGCAAAATACAAATAATTCCACCGTATGCCCGGTGTCGCATCAGCAGCAGGCAACGACACGGGATGACATGAAAAGTTTAACGTTGGGTACATTCTCTTTCCGCGCGCTTATAATACTCCAGACCATAAGGACTCAACATGGGTAAACGATCAATAACTCACAGAGGATCAAATACCCAGCGAGCCTTTATATCTCACACATTTATATAGCCCGCCATCGCGCGCTCTTCCCTGTGTTTCCTCCGTCAGCGCCGGCGATATCATCCCAGCATTAACCGTTGCATTTTAAGCCGGTTGTCAGGCCATTACGGCTATGTGGTCCTTTCCGGACGGTTCACTTTATTGTTCACATTTGGGGGATCGCGTACATACTTATACACAACCGCGTACACGTTGAGCTATACAGTATAGTTTTTGTCTTGCACTCCAGAGCACCGCATGCCGTGGATAGCACTCGTAGAATATTGGCTGTATTGGTAATGTTGATGTTCTCTTTGTAAATTGCACATTTGCCTTTTTTACCACCGGGTAACCTGTGGATTGCGGCGATAGAGTGACGGCGTGTGTTGGCTATTCTTAGCCGACTGTTGTTGTTGTTGCCCAACGTGGTTGTTGTGTGATATATATACGATCCGGGATACGGAAGGAGTCGGTCAAAAGAGGAGTCGTGTGTGTCGTTTATATCGAGAGCTACTCCAACCACCATGTCAAGCAGCCGACCAACACAGAATTACCTCGAGCAGTTACTGGGACAAGCTGATGGTACTTTCAAAGCTCTAACGGCCTCTCAGTTTATTACGGCATGGAATAACTATGACCGAGATGGTACGTACATCGCGTGCTGTAACGATAACATAATGCATTTTTGATTGCAGTTAATAATTGCTCAATAGCCATTACGTGATTACCTACTTAATTTCCCGTAACTAAGTCCCCTGTTTAAAGACGAGAATGTAGACCTTTGTGTAGGGAGATTGGTTGTTGCTCCAAAAAATTAATATAGTGCAAATATTCGACCACCAGTATGTCGTTGAATGCTGACTACGATTAGTAAAGATCGATGAGTTTCAGTGATTAGCATAGGATTTTGCAACAAAAATAATGAATATGCACACGTTTACTGTGTTTTGCAATATGAAAGTGAGGAAGTAAAATTAGCGTGCTGTTTTTGTGAATTTTCTTCCGGACGGCAAAAAATAAGTTTATCGGCATCGTGAAAGGGCTGTGTATGAGCTTTACGCACACATTAGCGTCATAATCCAATTTTTTAAGGATTGGCTTTGACCGTTACGAGTGCATAAGTAACGCGCATAATTTGTATGCATGGCTGCGATCGATGCCGGTCGCCTCTAAATTTGGCGGCATTGTGAATAGAGGTGCATTATAAGCCGAGGAAAAATCAAATCCATCGTAGTGATCTAGTGAGTGGCACCGTCGATAATCAATGAGCAGCTCATTAGACTTTTTACATGAGAGATACATACGAGTTTATATTTAGGGCTACCTCTATAGTAAAAACCACGACAGTTATTCAACAAAAGACGATTCGGCAATACGCTGCGATAATTTGGTTAAAATTTTTAAAACATTATGTTTATTTATTTGTTTATCCAAATTTTGATGTTTCTAAATGAAACAATTGGCACGGTCCACACTGTCAGTTCCAGATTCAATCGAAGAAAAATAGAGATAAAATGCTACAGCGGTGACCTTATTCTTCCCACTGTCTGATTAATACTAACGAAGTTAGATCCATTTTGCGCCGAAGAAAGACCGCATCGATGGTAAATATACAGCGTTATCCCTAACAATAAAAAAGTATGGTTGGCCACATTGTAGTGATGACTAGATCGATGTTGTACAGTGATAAACTTTGGAGTATGGACACATGAAAATATGTTAGACAAACGGGAGGAAAATATGATCGATTGGACACGGGTTATGCATCGTATTTATGATTGCGACCGGCAGTAAATTTGCTTCTAAATAAACGCTAAGTGCAGCTACATGGTATTCTCTAACAGGAAACGGCTTCATCGAGGGGAAGGAACTGGAGAAATTCCTTAAGGACTTCATCCTAGCGGAACACGGGGCGCAAGGGGTGAGTACGTTGTACTGGTCAGAATGGTGCGACTGAAAAGGAAAAATGCGTTTAACACGCGGGATGCGACAACGGCATTGCTGGATGCACTTGAATAATCAATTGCACCATCATAGTTTTGACTGAGACCTCCTGTCTTTCCATGCACTGTCGCGCACAGCAGGCGTGAGCGGGTCCACGTTTGGTCCAGATTAATTGTGATTGTAATGCATCAAAATGTGCTTTGAATCTTTGCAAATAGTAGAAAATACCGCTTGTCGGCAACAGTATAACCCAAAGCCGGCTTTCTGGAAAGTATTTTTGCCTTCGAAATAATAGGAATCTATATGTTTATTAAAGCCGGCGAAACATCATTAAGCCAGAATTTGTCCACTATGTATATAAAACAGCTGGAAAAAACTTGAGGAATTTTATTACGTCTTAAATTTTATGATAGATTTTTGGGATATGCACTACAGGGCATTTATTAGCCACGACAACAGAGTTCCGTATATGCTTGAGAATGTTTGTGCAAAGTACGTATATGAAAATACAATAAGGTGCATTTAACTATTGGTACTTTACAAAAATTTGCCTGTATTATCTGGATTTAATAATTATTGTGCAGATATCATACTTATTACTTGCTACGAACAAACGAGATACTTTGTATAATACTTACTATGAACAAACGAGGTGGCGTGTATTGTACACACTGAAACAGCTCATTAAATATTTACCTGCCTTAGCTTACGTTCCATCATGCATATTTTTTACATTCTAAAGTGTAACACTGCCCGCGGTACTATCGCTTTACAGCTGTCACAAATTTGGCCCAACTCAGACAATTTCATGCAATCCATTGTTTCAGACATTCGCTATTCGGGTGTTCTGTTTTATGTTCTGTCAAAAATACGCAGTTTATGTAACCGTCGTCTTGCGCTGCTGCAGTGCGGTTCGACGCTTTATCACCAGAAATCCTCTTTGGAAAATTTTTAATTTGCTTGTTCTCTAATTGTTCCAAATAATTAGCTTGAACATTCACTTGAAAGTGCGCGCTCAGCTGGATCTGTAAGCCGTTTTCCCAAGTGATTCAAAATTGCTGACGGAAAAGACACTGGCTACGCACGCAGTAATGTACGAAAAGCCGGCAGTGTTACAATTCTATCATTGAAACTCATGCACGGCCTCACTTTTTATCGCTTGTATCCCTACGGATCTATTTATTCAAAAAATTTTAATTAAATGTCAGCACCAGTTGGGCTGGAATTTTTATTGGTTATTTGCATCTTAATAGTATCGGACATAACAAAACTGAATTATTCGCCTATCTACGGCTCAGACCTCCTGCATGCTGGAATTTTGCTAACAAAAGCTCGCGCGGCATAACGTACTGAAGTTTCTGTATATAAAAACTGATTATTCACCAAGCATATAATACCAAGTAATAAATTATACAACAATAAAATCCTCCTTGATACATTCATGCACGCCCGGGTGCTCCAAGTGAATATAAAACTCGGTCATGTAATTCTGACGCTTTAGTATAAAATGAGCAGAATTTAGCAAAATTAGTTATGGTTTGGACTTTTTACAGTGGCAAGAGATCGAGTGCGGATTGCACATTATTAACGAGGTGTCTGTTTGTACCTAGCTAGTATTTTGATCGGGCGAAAGCAGTGCTGTTTACTCGATAACAGGGTAATTGGCTATTAACGAGTAACATGGTAATTTGAGTGCCAAATGTCATTATCCGATTATTTTAGAAACATGTTAGAAAAAAGAATACAAGGGTAACTATATATTAGTTCATGTAGCATTTATGCTGATTGAATGGAACAGCTGCTGATGGTTGTGTCCTGAATTTCACTCCATTATTCATTCGCTTTCCAAACAAATTAAAACAATATAAAATTTTAGTTTACTTCAGCGAATAATAAATAATTTATTGTACGAGATCCGGACAACAAGATTTATTTTTCATAGGCTCTTCTGTACAAAAAATGCTCCGGCTTGATCAACGAATGCCACCGAGCGAAAATTTAAACGAAAATGCTTGTAAAAATTGTTGTGAAACCCTATAATCATTTCTAATTTATGTGTATGCGACTATTAGCCACTAGTATAAATAGGCTCATTTTCGTGACATACCATATTTATCGAATTACTCGGTTTCTCTAGAAAACCATAAGTGCCGAAGAACTGCAGGCCTTGAAACAACGCTTTCTCGAGCTGCATGACGCAAATCGTGATGGGAAAATTGACATCAAGGAGGCAAGTGCAGTGTGCCATATTTCAATGTGCTCCTGGTAAAGAAATGTTCATGCGTTTGATGCATTTTCTATAGCTTGCCAAACTGCTGCCCTTGGATGAGAACTTCTTCCTTATTTTTCGCTATAATGTCCCTTTAGAATCCGGAGTGGATTTTATACGGGTGAGTTGTCGCGAAGCATAAACTGAGTTTGCGTACACTGCTAAACATTGAATAAACAGCGAACACCGGCGACTTTGACAGATATGGAAAAGATTTGATAAAGACTTCAGCGGGCAAATTGACGTCACAGAATTAAAGGTCAGCATTACACAAGAATATTGCCTACGCTATAACGTTGTACATAAAAAATCTTATAAAGTATTAACAACTTTATTTTCACATGAAATGTCTGTTTGTGGTACTAAAAAGCCTACTTTTGTAGTTCCGTTTTCATAATCGGTATTGGCAATCTGTTTTTAATATTAATGCTAGCCCGACCTGCTATACTTTTCGTGACAGTTTTCTTTATACGGGTCAATATGGTGCATTATACATTGGGAACCTTTACAGGAATTTTTAAGGCAGCTCATATTTTTGTCCAAACCTCGAGTGGAGATTGATGACGGCACACTGCGCGAATACGCCGATACAATAGTAAGAACAATTTCATTTACTTTTAAGAAAATGCGTGCTGAATTCATTGACATTTGAAACGGTTTTTCGTAGTAAAGTGTAACACTTATCCTACAGATGAAGATTTACGACACAACTAAAACAGGAAAACTGAAGCTCAGTGAAATGTCCAAGTATTTCCTTCTCAATAGAGTTTGCATGCACGTCAGTGTAACACAGCTATAAACTCGAGTTATGCCACTGTAATTGCAGACTTTTGCCGGTCAATGCCACATTCCTCAACGCTGCGATTAAAAAGGTCACTCTCACGTATAGCCTATGTAACGCGCCGACGTCTGTTATTTGTAAGGCAAATATCGCCATCAAGAAAATTGATACTAATTACAGGGAAGTCGACGAAAGCTTTCAGGAGAAGATGTAAAGAAAGTGTTGAAAGTCTATGACAAAGTAAGTTATAAAGTACAATAAGGTTAGATCTCTATATATACATACTGTAGGTATAAAATTATTATGATTAACTGCCTTTAAGCCGGGCAGTGCCCGCACAGTTGCATATAGCTCAGCAGGCGTTATTCCTTTCAAGATTTAAGCTAATATTTCGGTATTAACTGTATTCCAACAAACACGCAAATAATCCAATCCTTCAATAGAAAAAATGTCATAAATATCCAAGACAAAATTTCAAGACCTGAGTTTCTCATTAGGATGGGAGTGGCACAATCGAAGGCGAGGAGTTGACGGGCCTGGTAAAAGACCTGTTAGCTTATTACTGCGTGGAGTACGACATAAATGATTTGGAGGATACGAAGAAAGCCCTTTTAAGTTCCTGTGATTCCAACAGTGATGGAAAAATAAACCTACGGGAGCTCTCCATGATCCTGACAGTGATGGCGGATGAAACAGGTTTGAGCATGCGATAAGCATTAAGCGCCCTTCTCATTATTATATACTCTGTATATTTTCAAACACCATGCATACACCCCTTTTTGATTAACCTGCAAACCTCCCCTGTGTTTATGTTCCTTCACAGAAGTAAAGAACATTCTTTGCAGTAGGAAGGCATCTAAAAGATCCTTATAGTCCTTTATAGTCTTCTTGTATTGTGCGTTGTTATTCTGTCCAGCATGATATTTCATGTCGATTACAACTGACTTGTTGAATATATAGCTAAAATTGTCAATTTTCTTTGTATTGTCTCTGTGCATATTGACATTTTCAGCTGACTATATGTTTATGCAAATGTTGGTATCTGAAGTAATTTTATTAATTAAATAATGTTGTTTTATTTTATGTATCTGTACATTTATGTGGGCCGATGCTGCGCTCTTTATTTTTTAAACGCGACAAATGATGCTAAACAAAAACGCTAAAGAAAACAGTTACGGCGAGTATGTATTGCAGCATCGATCATAAAAGCAGATATATCCCGTCTGTTTGTCTATGCGACTTGTACCAGTCGTTCTAATGGATGATCGACAGACGTAAATGCCTGGACATCGTGTTTGCCCATGCGACAAGACGTTGTAAATGTTTGTTGAAAAACTTATGGTTGAATTTAATGAGAAAACACTTGAGGCAATGATAATAAAACATGTAAATCTTTACGTCCATCTGCTGCATTTCGCCGGCACGCATCGCCAAACAGAAACCCATTAAAAGTTACCATCGATAAAACAACAGCTCCGGCCAATGAATATCTAGCAATACTCGTAGATACTCTGCAGATACACAATTTAATACTTTTAATTTGCATACTTCAGATCTAAATACAAGGATCATCTTCGTGTAGTATTTTGTAATATCACGGGTTGGGATTTTCTTGGAGTTCGATTATATTAACAGTTTAGTATGGGGTAGATTTTGAAAACGCCAGAGCGTTAAATAAAGTTCTTAGTTCTTACAAACATTAAGCAGGGTTTTGCACAAATGGACCTGGTCGACAGAAATTAAACCATAAAACTGTCTATCTGCAAGTGATCGGGATTTCCGGCATTTCTGGTACATTATAATATATTTCTGGTGCATTTCTGGTACAGTACATTATAATATAATGTGCATATATTATCTGTAACCGCTAAAAACAGCCTTGTATACACATGAACCTGCACATACAATATATACAGAAACACATTACAAAGCGGTAAGCTAAAAATTTTGCACGAAGTATTAAAAGTTCAAAACTACAATGAGAGCTTTCTAAACTTTCGCTGTTCACTGCCGTACAAAGAAGTATTTTTGTGCATATGGGAATTCTAGGCCATCGGGTGACTCAATTTAATCACATATCGCTAATAATGCAGTGAATGCCATAAAATGATGGTGAGCCAACGTTGTACAATACTGTAAACATGTGCCTAGATTCCGGTTATTAGTGGTTACTTGGCATAAGTTTAATGATGATGCCCGTTGTCATCTTAATCCAGCGAAACACGGATGGTCCATATGTGGAGCAGTATATAAACGCACAATTTTCACCATTAAGCGTGCCAGTGCAGCCACTTTTTTTGCGCCCAACAGGTGCGCTCTTAGAATTGTAGTTCCGTGTAGGAACAATCAACAAGAATAAGCCGCTCAGACAATAAGCAATATGTATCGCCCTTTTTTGCTAGCTGTGGCCATTGCCGGCTTATTCGTGGTTGCGAGCCATGCCTTGGAGAAAGTGAACACCAATGATCTCCAGTTCTTAATTGTGGTAAGCTCGTAATTAAAAGGTGACGTAATGGAATATTATGCAGGTGTGGCATTGCTATGTAATACAAGCAGATAATGTTGTAGTAATGGGAAACGTTGAGAAACTAAAAACAAAAGGAAAATCACTTCATATTATTTGTTGATGGCAAAATTCATATGACTGTAAACTGTTTTTAAAATTAGATCACTGACAATGAATGGATATTCTATCGATCTAGAGTTTATTTGTATCTGACAGATACAATCAGAACAATAAAAGGTGCGTTCGCGTGACATTAATTCACTACTGCACTACAATATTGTTATTATACGAGTATCTCAAGAGCAACAAGTCATGCACAATGATTGTCATAAAAGCGTTGATTTGCAAATTTTAAGATCTTTCGCCATGGATATCGAGCAACCGCGTATACCTACAAGAACGACCCGTATGGAGAAAAAGTGTGGCCTGGTGGCTTTAGTAGTTTGACAACCGGAGGAACGCTCCAGCATTACAAGCTGGGCAAATACTTGGCTAAGCGATACGACGGTAACTAAACCCGGTAGCGTCCGTATAATTATGATGTAAGCCACCTAATTTCACAAGGGGTATGCATATTCCTTTAGGCTACATCGATAAGGAACGCGCTATTCGCGAGGTAATCTCATATCGGTCCTATATACGGTATATCACATCTCACAATAATTTTTGCAAGAACTGCATAAAAAATTAACGTCTTGAGTGCTTATGTTATGTATATAAACACAGGTTTATACGCAATCCACCAACTATGATCGCACCTTGCAAAGTGCCGCAGCCAATATGGCGGGCTGGTTTCCGCCCACAAAAAACGAAGTCTGGGACAAAACTCCTTTGGCCAAAGCATGGAGACCCTTCCCGGTGCGAATGTCCAGCGATCCTGCATTGCTCGGGGAGACTGACTGTGAGGTCATCGATAAGCGACCGTACAGACCAGATCTGCAAAAGATTTTCGACGCCATTGAGAAAGAACACAAAGTTCGTATTCCGCCATATTATATGACAGACGACGAAAAGGTCACTTAACAATATCTTGCAACTGCTGAATTTCCTACAGGAATTCCTGGACATGGTTCGCAGAAACAGCGGCGAAAGCACTATGACGGTAGCCAAAGGTTTGGAACAAGTGTCAGATGTTCTGCGCTGCCAGAAGTACGCTGGTATAAGGCTGCCAGCCTGGGTCACACCAGATGTATACAACAAGATCCAGTATCTGGACAACCTGCGGTAATATCGAGCAATCAGAAATTTTTTGTTGACTGATTTTAACGGATAGATCTACGCGCAAATGTTGTTGTACAAAGCTGTATTACCCGTGTTTGGGATGAATTTGTATTTATTTGCAGATTCCACATATGGGTGGGTGGCAATGGCGACGTCGAGCGAACGCGAGTTAACGGTGGAAAACTCTTCAAATACTTTATGGATTTGTTCGCAAACAAAACCAAGAATGCAAAAGATTTGCAAAAGCGCAAAGCTTATGTTTTTGCATCGGTAAGCTAGGGTGTTGGCTGCATGTAATGCACTTGTGTGTATCACGATGTAAACTGAATGTTTTTGTCTTATATTATACTAGAAATTTGGCTTGCTTAATATAGGAATCCAAAATAGAAAAACTTTCTGAATATTTCATGGCCAGAATTTATTCAGACCTACATAATTAGATCAAGTTATTTGGGAAATTTTAATTTTACTTTTGACAGCACGATAACTCCGTTGGTGGATTGCTTTCTGTTTTGGATTTATACGACTACGGCCTGACCAATATAGAAAAAAACATGGCGATCCCCTTATATGCGGTACGATCGAAAAACTTGATGGTGACAAGTTGACAACTAACTAGAAAATTATTAATTTTACAATTGAGAATATTGACGGATATAATGTTACTCTTATGAGTCTTATCTATAATTTTGATTATTTTACAGAATACATTGATGTTTGAGCTTTACAAAGATAATACCGTTCGCATCCTTCACAAGAATGAGTAAGTGCAATCTCTTATGTTAACTGCATCATATAATTATACTCGTATTAATCGTAAGCTACACTGACAGTGAATATAGTCATATAGATATAAGTACAAGTACTCATAGTTATACATGCCGGTAGTTTATAGATGATAGATGAACTCAGAAGCGTTTCGTCGAACTTCACGATAAAAATAACCGAAAGTAGTATATTTTTTCGAATACTAAACGCAAGCTACGCCCGGAGGTCAGAATAAGCTGTCTATTTTGGTGCCCCTGTTCTCATTGTAGTTTCAAAAGTTTATAAGAAATTAGTTCTTTAAAAATGTATGCATCGTCCTACATCGTTATAGAATGTACAATATATACATAATTATGTACGCATATAATGCATATATTACGTAAATATATACCCTTCTTTTTAACGCGCTGCATGCGCTCTTTGTCTTAGTACGACAGAAAATAACTTCGAGAACACGGACCCAATCGTTCTGAAGCACGCTAAATGCGATGTGCGCTGTCCTCTTACAAAACTGGTGGAGCTGACCAAAGATTATTTGCCAACAACACAGGAATGGGAGACGGAATGTGAGGACAAATCCCGAAGAAGATTCCCTGTGAAACGCCCAGTGAGGATTCCTCAGTAAATTTTTCACAAATTTCCACATTTACTGTACTAGATTGAACTGTTTTGACGGGCTTGAAATCTTGATGAGACAATTCTAACCCTTTTAGCTTGCGCAGTTTTAATGCTGTTAATTGCAAGATTTGGATGTTGACATAAAAGGAAAAAAGCCGCACATGTAGCCCGTACAATACACGCTTCTGACTTAGAAAACAAGTTTACAATTGCGACCTAGGTACAAGATTACAATGAAATAAACAAAACAGGGCGAAGCAGGCTTTCATTTAAAATCTTTAAGCTACATATGTATAATGATTGCGTCTGTACGAGTATTGAGTTGTACAAAACCCCAAGTCACCTTTACAAAACTCCATGTAATTACTGTACGTACTTTATTTTAACCAGGAAAGTAATAATGTACCCGCGCTAGAGCTACTGCATATTGTTATTTAGGTGGCTATTGCCTATGAATTTCATGAACTGCGTAACTTCAAAATTCATGCTGCAGAAACTAAAGGCACATTCCATAAACAAGTATAGTTTGTAGTTTTGGTATTAAAATCACGATACTAGAATCAATGTATACCAGTGCATGCAATAATTTCTTTCCTGCAAAGCTGCCTTGAACTACATGCATGATCAAAGGTCACCATGTTAACGTAAATTTTAAATCAATTATCTGTTACAGCCATCTGGTTTTTTGGCAAATAAGTAACCATAAGATTGTGTAAACGTATAAAAGCAGACTATACCTTTAAAGTTCGTTTTCAGTTTGTTGCGGATTAAATCGTCGGTACTAAGCGTAGCTGCGCGACATCTGACCATGGCGCGACTTGCGGCCGGCTTACTTGTAGCTGCAATAGCGGTGCTGTTAGTAGGCGAAACCGCTGGGCTAGAAAAAGTTGGAAAAAATTTGAAATTTTTGATTGCGGTAAAACTTGGAACATGTTTTGAATTGTTTGGTAGTACCTAACTTGTAAACTGAAAGCTGCTTATTGCTGCATCCAGATTTTTCGCCATGGATATCGAGCAACCGCATATACATATAAGAACGATCCCCACGGAGAATCGGTTTGGCCATCCGGATTCAGCAGCTTGACCCCTCGCGGCGTTCAGCAGCATTACAAGCTGGGAAGCTACCTTCGTCAGCGGTACTAAACACATATTACAGTTAACAAATAACATCATTCAATCAAAAAATAATTATTCTTATAATTATGGACCAAAATAATTATTATTTTGGTCTATTATGGCCCAATATGTTTGTTTATAATGTGTAGGTACGATGGATACATCAACCCAAAGCGTGCCGTTAAAGAGGTTGAACAGCAGTTTCTACGATATATTTCATAAGGATTAGTCGATCGTTAATTAAGGTTGTCGTTTTTATGCCAGATTTATGTCAGAGCTACCAACTATGACCGCACAATTCAGAGCGCCATGGCCAACATGGCTGGCTGGTTTCCGCCAGCTGCCACCGATGTCTGGGCCAATACCGCATTAGGAAAACTGTGGCGACCTTTCCCGGTGCGACTGGCGGATGACCCCACTTTGCTGGGCGAAACTGACTGCGAACGCATTGATGACAAAGCGTACCGCGGACGGCCGGATCTACAGAAAATTTTCGACACCATTGAGTTTGAACATAAAGTTAGTGCAATTTTATCTCACCATCAGCGCAGGAAATGCGCTGATCACCAACATTTACCCTATCTCAGTTAAATAATTATGTACTGTAGTATATCCACATTATTTTCGTGTGCAGTTCACCATACTCGTGTAATTTAATAGAAACTTGACCTATAGCGTGTACGTCCACATTATTTTCATATAATTTTATTGTTTAGATATTTTATGTAGAAACCACCCTTATTCACATTATCTCGTATAATTTCGAACTCAACGATCGCACCAATTATTGTCCACCAACTCAGCAGCTGTATACCTCATCAAATATACATTGTCGCAAAATATTACTTACGTAAAATTTACTAAACAAATTAACTACGGTGCGTGTGCAGTTCACCATACTCGTGTAATTTAATAGAAACTTGACCTATAGCGTGTTTCTGTAGGAGTTTTTAGATCACGTTCGACGTCAAAGCGGAGAACCTAACATGCGCGTACAGAAAGGCTTGGAAGAAGTGTCTGATGTTCTGCGTTGCCAAAAATACAACGGTGTGAAACTTCCAGAATGGGTTACAGATGAGGTCTACGATAAGATCCAATATCTAGACAACCTTCGGTAAACCTGACTTGCCTTACGCTGTCGCATATAAGCGTGCGACTTCGGTAGCGATAGATTGCATTTCGTATCTGTGGTCCAGATTCCATGTTTGGGTCGGTGGGAATGGAGATGTTCAGCGAGCGCGCGTTAACGCAGGAAAACTTCTACGACACTTTATTACGAGTTTCCGGAATAAAATTAACAATGTCACCAAAGTAATGAAAGAATACAAAGCCTACGCCTACGCATCGGTAAGCTAGAGAATAACCGTTTGAGCCCAAATGAACAGCAGAAGTACGATTGCTACAAACTACGAAGTATGTACTATATATGTACCACCCTGGTAATGTATATGGCTATAATTTGATTTTCAGCATGACAATTCGATCGGAGGTTTGTTATCTTGCTTGGATTTATATGATTATGACCTCAGAAATCCCGTAGCCCATATCCCGCTCTATGCCGTACGTATGAACACTGCCTCATGTTTAAATTCTTCGATTGCACATTGCTGCTTCAATAATATTTTTAAAAAAATACACAATTTGGTTTATTGGTAGAATATGCTGCTTTTTGAGCTCTACAATGACAACACCGTGAGAATTCTTCATAAAAACGAGTAAGTGCTTTGAATTTTAGCGCGCAGTTACATAATCGGATTATACTGGGGCGGCCCAATTTACTCTGTATATACCAAAATATTTTATTCTTTAATATCGGACGTACTTGTAGCACAACTGAAGATGATTTCACCAGCAAAGATCCCATCGTCCTGAAGCATCCAGAATGCGATGTTTACTGCCCACTGGACAAACTTGACCAGCTTACAAGGGAATATCAACCGGACAGCGATGATGTATGGAAAGGAGAATGTGAAAATCATTCCCGGCAAAGGTTTAGGGTGAAGCGACCAATCCACTTTCCGCCGCCTCCACTCAAAACCAAACCCTTCGAGACTCCAAAGGGACCCTATCAACAAGGGTAATTTTTCGTTTTTTATGGATCAACTTTATTAATGAAGCCGCCATATTTGATACTTTTTTTGGATGCAGTTAAATTAAATGTTTCTCGGTGGTTGTGATTCGGAATTACTGCCTGCCATGCAACAGAAACGGCTTTTCGGTAGAAGAAAAACATAAAAAGTCATACCGCACTCATTCTATTCCGACATTCGTTGTGTTTTATATCATTATCGTACAGAAGTAAAGCACTTCTACGAAATATTCATTTCTGCTGCATGGTACTGCATCACGGAACTGTTACGGTGTTTGGAATAAAGTCAATAAACCTGGAGAAAAGGCATATGCTTTTTTGTCACGTTCAACGCTTCGGTAAAACACGTAAATGGTAATGCAGCAATTTAATTTAAGGACCCTGAACTAATTGTAAGCTTATTAATTTACCAGAACAAGAGAAGGGTAGCGGATTATGCCGGAAAGTACCGACGAATTGAACTTGTATAAACGGTAAATGACGAAATCAGTAAACATGTAACTGATGTAACTGTAAGTATTAATTATTTGATAAGCTTTTCGACTTTATGTAATGGCACATTATTATGTTTAAAATTTTGCGATTATCCAGATAATATATTGCGTAAGCTAGGGGCCTTACTGATCCCATTTCGTGACCTTTCGCAGGTAAGTATTATACAGATAATCCCGATTCCCCTGCATAAAATGTATTGCATAGAGAACGCAGAAAATTTCAAGGTACAAGTGCAAGCTTGGCACTCTCAGTTCTAATCTAATGTTGAAACTTTGGAAGTATGTTGATAAATTGATATGTAGCTGTTATCTTGATGGAAGCAACCAATACCGATAAAGAAGAACAAAAACTATGTACTTAAAAAATCAGAAAAACTGAATATGAAATTGACAGTTTCTCAGTTTGCACTGCAGAATATTTGAATTTGGAGACTGTTTTCGGAACCAAATTAAATCAAAAGAAAGCTTAATTTTTGACAGTAAGTAGTAAGCAGCGTACAGCAGCCCCTGAACAAGAAGTTTCTAATTGCGTAGAGCGCACCATTTACTACCGTTTGCCGTTCAAAGAAAGTTTGCATTTCCCGCTCAACTCAGGAAGACCTCACACAAAACTGATTTGTCATGTTGTGTCTTTTTTATTTTCATCGTCAGAAATTCCCTTTTTTCCAGTTTTAATATCTTTGTGTAACTGTATTTTTTCTTCCTTTTTCTTTACTGATTCAAGTTGAACTGCTTTTGTTCCCTCCGCACTGCGGATTCACTTCAGGTTTGTTAATGTGCTTGTTGGGGTGTTTGTAAACAATGGCATCTGTCTAGAGCTACGTGAGAATAAAAATATTGCAGACTTCAAAACACAGGCAGAGAGGCGTTTGAAACGTGACTTTCCGGGTTGTAACCCGGAATACGATCATTAACGAATACGATCATTGTAGTATTCGTTATTGAATAAAAGCCTGAACATTTGCAGACATGGAAGTTGATTCTGACGAAACAGAGAAGCAGACCCGCGACAGCTTTGACTCAGACAAGATGTTCGTCAAACCCACCGAGGACCTCGAAGCCAGCGATATGGACATGTTTGACGATAAGCCCAGCACAACGCTCAAGCGGCCCACTCCTGATCTGCACAATACCTCCAAGAACACAACCGTTCAATCCGGTGTGCCTATGGATATTTCCGAGCTCCCCGATACGACCCAGGAGAAGACAGCGCTCAAGTTGACAAATGGCGGTCATAAAAGCGACGACTCGGTCCTTCATCAGCCCGAGTCACCGGGGATGATTCGCGATACCATTGAAATTCAGGAAACACAAGATCTTTTGGCGGCTATCAAGGAGCCTTTCAGCAAAATTCCCGAATTCTTGACGTTAGTGGCATATTGGCATTGAAGCCTTGGAAATAAATAGTTAATAATAATAAATTATAAATATTTTTTACGCTTTATTACATGCATCGATTTTAAAGCGTATAATATTAATTCGTTATTTACATTATTTATTTTTCATTGTGTTGTATTTTCTATGTTTTTCCCTTTTTCGCAGATCGACAGAAATTCTCATCGAGCAGTTGTCGATTGGTGTGCATAAAATCACCGGGGATCAGTTTACCAATTTTCTACGTCAGTTTAAGGAAGAAATGGAAGCGATCCAAGATTCCATTAATTTGATGGGGAAGATCCGCGATAAGATGCGTTTGAATAAGCCTGACATTTTTAAGGTTCCTGTTCCAGCAAAGATGACAGTTGTTCATGAGCCAAAATCAGCAGAAAAGCCTCTGGTTAACGGCGATAAAGTGGCTGATGTCAGCACTCACGAAAAGTCTCCAGTTGTGCAAAATGGTTCACCAGTGGGCGCTATCGAAAAAACATCGTCTGGCGTGAAAAAAACCAACATTTCTGGCCTTAAAGACACTGAACCTTCATCTAACGCCACAAATGGTCATGTGTCGGAGGAGGAAATGTTTTCAGCCAAGAAACGCCAGACGTATGCCGCACCGCGATCCAGCGCTGTTAAGAAGGCCGTGAATGCTGCCAAGGAATCACCGAAAGAGAAAAAAGGACAGAGTGATGACTCGGCGAGTGAGGATGACAGCACTGCCAAATCTGCCAAAGGCTCGTTGAAAATCATTGAAAAAGAGGAATCGGATAATGGGGAGGATAGTCTCACTAATGTTTCCAAGCCGCGGACGAAGACACTGGGACTGGGACGACCGGGGAGTCGATTGGCCAAGAACAAGGCGAGCGAATCGGAGGAGATGGATACGGATGTTCAGCCTTCCACTAGCTCAGCTCGGGGTAGTCGCGCTGCTGCGTCGTCCGTGACCAAGAAAGGCGTTGCTCCGAAAGGGCGAAAAGCTGCACAGTCTGACGAAGCGGAGCAATCTGATCATTCAGACAAGGAAGAAATGGGCACTGTCAAAACAAAAGTGGCGGCCATGAAGAGCATCCCGCAGAAGAAACTGAGTAATGTGGAGGAAGTTCTGTCTGATTCTGAGACTACCACAGTGAAAAAGCAGGTGGCCAGTAAAAAATCGGCGAAAGGACATGGCGAAAAAGTTAATAAGGGCAGCGCCCAACGAACCGCTAAGGAGACGCTGAATGATATACAGAAGAAAAATGACGAAGAGGAACCATCTGGCAATAGTGCTGCGAAAAATGTGGCGGCGGAGGTTAGTAAGAAGGGAAAACTACACTACGGTATGCTGTATGTTACAGTTGAGATGAAGTACTTCAAAAATTGTACCTTCGAGAGATCGGTTTACTTGCTAAGTAATCAAACTAGGTGAATATTAAATAACCAACTCAGTGACTGGTGATTTTTGAACTTGGTAATTTTTAGAAATCACTGGAGCCTCAGGCGAAAGAAGTTAAAGTTAGTAAGCCACGTTCGTCGAAAAGTGCGGCTGAGGAAAAACTGACTACGAAATCCCGCCCATCTGTATCTGTCGCAAAGAATCTCTCCGTCAAAGGTCGAGGAACTGCTAAGAAGGGTGCAGCTTCGGAGATTTCAGACGACGAACGTGACGATAAGAGTGCTTCTGCAAGCCGAAAAGAATCCAAAACTGACTATGAATTTACTGAGGACGATCCTGTGCCAACTACAAATAAGCGTCCTCCACGCCGAAGCCAGGCTGCCGAACGTAACACGAAATCGACGGATGCCCATACTGAACAGCCATCTAGTAAGGTGATTCAGAAAAAAGCTGCGCCCCGAACCTCGAAGAAAGGTGACGACAATAATGGTGATGCATCTACCAAAGAGACTACCAGTGAAGGCAGTAAAACATCCAAAAAGGAAGCAGATCCACGAAAATCGCGTATTAGTTTGGCGGTCCCGGTAGCCAAATTTCCGAGCGAATCAAACAGTCGACAGGGGAAACGCAAATCAGAAAGTGCGTCGACTGAAAAACCGAAAAAATCTCCGAAAGTGGATGCAAAATCAAAAGCGTCGAAATCGAACGATGGTGATGTCACTGATATTGTGTGCTGTTCTACGACTGTGGATCCGGCTATCATTACATCTTTCGAGAAAGTTGCGGACGATTTCGGATGCCACTTCTATCGGGATTTTAAGGAGGGCGCTCAGTATTACGTGGTCACCTTGGAAGAAGCATCCAAGCTTCCCAAGCGCACAATCAAGCTGTTGAAGGCGGTGCTTTCTGGGTGTTGGATCGTTGCTTCAAAATGCAAGTCACGCGATATTTTCACTGAAATTATTACGTGAATTTCCCTCTTCGGTGTTTTGTAATTGTGATTTTTTAGGGCTAACTGATTCCCAGAAGAACAACCAGCTGTTAGAGCCAAAGAAATATGAGGTCAAGGGCATGGTTAGCAATGGTGAAAAAGGTGGACCAGCTCGAGCGCGAACAAGTCTGGAGGACGGGGTATATTTCGTTAAGGCCAAGTCAACCTTTAAACGTTATTGAGTTTCGTAAAATCTGTCCTTCATTGCGCAGGAAATTATGGCTTATTAGTTAACGTGTCTTATTATGCCTTATTCGTTAAAGGTCATGGTGGCTGATTTAGGATTTCTGTAATTTATTATGTATTATTTTACGCCTGACATGGTTTCGCTTCTTAATTCTTCGTTGATATGCGTCTTCGCTTGTTTTTCTTGCAGGAACAGAAATTGTTCCAGAACTGCTCGTTCTTTTTCAAAGGCGACTTCAAAAATGCTAACATGGTTAAAGAATACAAAGAACTGATTAAGCTGGGTGGAGGGGAACTGTTGGCCCGCGAACCGACCAAGCGCAGCATGAAGAAAGGGGACGGACTACCTCATGCTCGAAGTGATGCGAAGATATATAACTGTCGCTATTTCATTGTTCAGGATGAGCCGGCAGTGAGTCAAGATCTTCTGGATCACGGAGGAGTATACATAATGCCGTCGTGGATACTGGACTGTATTGAGACATACCGACTGAATGATATCGACGTGGAGGAGAACGAGGACGAAGTTTGAAGTTTATGACGTCGATGCGGTGTTCTCGCTAATTTATCTCCTGACAATGCCTGATAACTTCAACAAAATCCAAATTGGGTGATGGTTTTCTCTTTTATTTTACGGTTTTGCTGCTGTCGTTCTTTTTTATTGATAAGATTCTAACTCGGTTCCATGTTTAGAACGAAACCACATGTGAGAAGTTTTTTGAATGGTTTGGCAGTGATATTTTTTGAGAGTTGGGAATGGATATAGAACTTTTTAGTTTTACAAGTCATTTGCCAGTGACCATTATAACATTTGCAATAAAAATAAGTTTCGTTTAATTTTCGCTTATTTGTATAGTACTGTCCACGACTCAAAGTTCTAAGTTTTATTATTTAGCAGGATGAGTGTACCACATACGATGACATATCTAAACAAAACATGCACATCTGAGCAACTGTGTATTTCGTCTGTTACTGTAAATCCTATTTCGTGTACTCATTCATGATAATAACAGAGTGAAATTCTGTAATCTGTAACAAAATTATGCAAAGCTAATTGCATTTTTTCGAAGAATGGAAAGAATTTTGCATTTACGCGATTAATCACGTTGCTTATGGCTGCTTATGCACCGGAAGGTCACTGAATAGATACTCCGTTAACAAGCCCAGCACGGATGAATAATGTCTTAGGATTTCGAGCATGTATAAAGGTTAACTGTATATGTATTAAATAATGGCACGATGTCTATTACGTTAAGGAGGCACGAACAAAATAAACAGGCGTGAGCAGTACCTGTTATTTTGCTTATTCGCAGTTCGCTAATTTCAATGGCAATTCGATATAACAACACATAGTAACAATCTGGGGATTTACAGTTAGCCCATGTTAAGCTAATGGCCACCATGGTAACAAGCTTTTGAGTGACCACTGGACTGTGGGTACTGGGCTTTCCAGAAAACTGATGACGCAGGAACACTCTCGACACTGAGAGGATTCTGTAGCACTTTAGAGCGGGCAAATTGGATGTGTGGAACGCGAGAAAATTGGTTACAACGGCAAAGTGTCGAGGACCCTGGTTACGTAGTTAGTATTCATATAACCAGCCTACGGGATCTACATTCGTACACAAACTTTTGCGGCGCAAGCTTGTTACGCTATGCACACTTCGCAACGGTTGATTGCATTGGTCCTAGCCGCTAAGAAAGCTACGAAAACTAAGAAAGAGGAATCTAAGAAAACTTGAGAAACCCTAAGAAAGCCTAAGAAACCTAAGAAAACAAAGAAATCCAAGAAATCTAAAAAACCTGAGAAACTTAAGAAACCTGAGAAACCTAAGAATATCTAAGAATACCTAAGAAACCTGAGAATACCTAAGAAAACCTAAGAAATCTAAGAAATCTAAGAAACCTAAGAAACCTAAGAAAACCTAAGAAACCTAAGATCGTGTCCATTCATTTTGGCCACCATTCATTTTGGCCACCATTCATTTCGGCCACCATTCATTTCGGCCACCACTGATTTGGTTACCGCGTTCGATTTTTGTTTTTTTGTTTTCTTAGGTTTTCTTAGGTTTCTTAGGTCTTCTTAGGTTTTCTTAAGTTTCTTAGGTTATTCTTAGGTTTCTTAGGTTTTCTTGCCCTCGGTTTTTTGGTGTGTTTACTATTTTAGGTTTATGTTATTAAATTTACTTGTTTTCCTTATGTTTTCTTGTGTTTATTTTTATTATGTTTTATTTATTGAGGAAACATTGCTGGATCACAGGCTCACAGCGTAATGAATGTATGTACTCGTATTAGCTGACAATCGAACGCGGTACTAAAATCAGTGGTGGCCAAAATGAATGGTGGCCGAAATAAATGGTGGCCAAAATGAATGGTGGCCAAAATGATAGGGCGCCCCTAAGATATCTAAGAAATATCGTACGTATATGAAAGAATACGAGGTATACCGATCACGCTGGTGGGATTGACTGAGATTAATTTTTGCACATGTTTTTTAAATTTTCAATACTTTGGAACGTGCCGATGCCGAAGGCCGCGATCTGTCTCGGTTTTTCCGAACGGTCCGCAAACAGACAATGTATTTACCATGTATGTCTATGGGGGCCCATGGCAACAATTTGTTTTTTGGGGCTACTCCTTCCCTTTTGGGGCGTATCGATGGCGCAATAGCGTAAGAACATTCGCGCCGTTGAGACGAATTTAACGCACTTGGCCGCGTCGAAATCGGTTCAGCCGTTCGCCCAAACATTGGCTACATTATCAATCGTGTATACGTGGTTACGGATGTAGATAACAAGATGAGCACGGATGAATATTGTCTAACGACTATTTAAAATTACGTCGCGTCTGCATGTGTTGGATTGTGGTGCAAAGTCAGAATGGCAAAGCCAGACAGCTACTTATTCAGGATGGTTGCCTGCGGTGAGAATCGTGAAGTATTGACCTTTTGCACTTAAAGTTTTTTGGTTCATGACTCAGCTGCTACGTTTTTGCTTATTCTACTGAATTCTATTGAATCTGAGAAGCTACTGTAGTGGCTTATCAGTGGGCGAGGTGATTTTTAAAGTGTTTACTCAGCCAGGGGAGCACAAGAAACGCAGAGGCGAAGCCAAAAGTTTTTCTTGTTCAGATTTATCATGCCCGTGGCAACAGAGCTGCCCATCTTAGCCCTATGGCATCCATGGTAACAAGCTTTTCAGTGACCACTGGGCCTACCGCGATCGCGATGGCGAAAGGTCAAGGGTCTAAGAACACTCTCCGCACTGGGAGGATTCTTGTGCAATTTGAAACAGAAAAATCGAGTGAATAGAAGCGGAGATCATGCGTTACAATCAGGAGAGGCCGAAGGTCTGCAAGAGATGTTTAGTATTCATATAACCAGTTTACGGGATCTCCATCCGTACACAAACTTTTGCGGCGCAAGTTTGTTACGCAATGCAAACTTCGCAACGGTTGATTGCATTGGTCCCAGCCGCTAAGAAAACTGAAAAAACTAAGAAAGAGAAAATCTAAGAAAACTTGAGAAACCCTAAGAAAGCCTAAGAAACCTAAGAAAACAAAGAAACCCAAGAAATCTAAGAAACTTAAGAAACCTGAGAAACCTAAGAATATCTAAGAAATATCGTATACCGATCACGCTGGTGGGATTGACTGCGATTAATTTTTGCACAAGTTTCTTAAATTTTCAATACTTTGTAACGTGCCGATGCCGAAGGCCGCGGTCTGTCTCGGTTTTTCCGAACGATCCGCAAACAGACAATATATTTACCATGTATGTCTATGGGGGCCCATGGCAACAATTTGTTTTTCGGCGCTACTCCTTCCCTTTTGGGGCGTATCGATGGCGCAATAGCTTAAGAACATTCGCGCCGTTGAGACGAATTTAACGCACTTGGCCGCGTCGAAATCGGTTCAGCCGTTCGCCCAAACATTGGCTACATTATCAATCGTGTATACGTGGTTACGGATGTAGAAAACAAGATGAGCACGGATGAATATTGGCTAACGACTATTTAAAATTACGTCGTATCTGCATGTGTTGGATTGTGGTGCAAAGTCAGAATGGCAAAGCCAGACAGCTACTTATTCAGGATGGTTGCCTGCGGTGAGAATCGTGGAGTATTGACCTTTTGCCCCTAAAGTTTTTTGGTTCATGGCTCAGCTGCTAAGTTTCTGCTTATTCTACTGAATTCTATCGAATCTGAGAAGCTACTGTAGTGGTTTATCAGTGGGCGAGGTGATTTGTAAAGTGTTCACTCAGCCAGGGGAGCACAAGAAACGCAGAGGCGAAGCCAAAAATTTTTCTTGTTCTGATTTATCATGTCCGTGGCAACAGAGCTGCCCATCTTAGCCCTATGGCATCCATGGTAACAAGCTTTTCAGTGACCACTGGGCTTACCGCGATCGCGAAGCCGAAAGGTCAAAAGTCTAAGAACACTCCCCGCACTGGGAGGATTCTTGTGCAATTTGAAGCAGAAAAATCGAGTGAGTAGAAGCGGAGATCATGCGTTACAACCAGGAGAGGCCGAAGGGCTGCAAGAGATGTTTAGTATTCATATAACCAGTTTACGGGATCTACATCCGTACACAAACTTTTGCGGCGCAAGTTTATTACGCAATGCACACTTCGCAACGGTTGATCGCATTGGTCCCAGCCGCTAAGAAAACTAAGAAAGAGAAAATCTATGAAAACTTGAGAAACCCTAAGAAAGCCTAAGAAACCTAAGAAAACTAAGAAACCAAAGAAATCTAAGAAACCTAAGAAACCTAAGAATACCTAAGAAACCTGAGAATACCTAAGAAAACCTAAGAAACCTAAGAAACCTAAGAAATATCGTATATGAAAGAATACGGGGTATACCGATCACGCTGGTGGGATTGACTGCGATTAATTTTTGCACATGTTTTTAAAATTTTCAATACTTTGTAACGTGCCGATGCCGAAGGCCGCGGTCTGTCTCGGTTTTTCCGAACGGTCCGCGAACAGACAATGCATTTACCATGTATGTCTATGGGGGCCCATGGTAACAATTTGTTTTTTTGGGGCTACTCCTTCCCTTTTGGGGCGTACCTAAGAAATCTAAGAGACCTAAAAAACATAAGAAGCCTAAGAAACCTGTACCAGTTCTATTGCGCGCTAATTAAACTTATTATAAACAGCTGCTTTGGATGTGATCATTTTGAAAACTGTTCTTGCACAATTATTTTTTACCATAACGCTTGTTGCTAGTAGCGTTTGCAACTAAATGCCAATATACGTACGGTTATATTTCTAACGCTATCGATACTTGTACGGTTGCTATGTTAAAAACTACGAAAGAATAATGCGACGTAGCGAAATCATTCTATGACTTTTCGGTATTCAAGAAAAATTAAATTAGGCGACATACTTTAGGTTGTAATCGTCCCTATGTGCTGCTATATATACGCCAAATTCGCCAATTGCTCTTAAATTATGTTGCTTTTCAAAGGTTGTGCATACTCAAACTCCTTCTTTATCAAGCCATTAAAACAAGTTTAGATTGCAATTCAAATTGATCATCGGCCACGATTTGAATGCATTTTTATTATTACAAATATATACAAGGCGGTGCTTCGGCTGTATACGGGTATCGCACTCCGACATGTACAAACAATTTTTCAGCTAAGTTCAAATTTAAAACTTTATATTACCACATGCCTTATACTGAGCGTTAACGTTTGTACCTGATAGCTGATGTCATCAAAAGATGCCGTATCATACGATTAGCGCAATAACAAAAAGAATATAGAATGAGATGAGAATAGGTGCGATACGTGCATTATGAGGTTATTAATCGTAAGACAAAACTGCATACTCAATGGTGTGCAATAGCCTGTCGATAGGATAAATCGGCTGTTGACGTTAGACTGTTCAACGGATGCCAGGGGACACTCAGAGATGCAGCGGAATACATGGAGTTCCACGTGGGAAAATACCATCCCGGCAAGGGCGTGGGGCGCACGGGATGCGTGGGAAGAGGGGCGTGTACCGGTGCGTACTGACTGTACAGCTGCAGCCGTTTCCGACTTTCGTGCATCAGCCGCGCCTGCAGTTCCGGCAGAAGACGACGTGTGCGGCCGTTCTTACGACTGATGGTGAAATCACGTGGATCAAAGCCTTCTTGTGTGATCATTTCCGGTAGTATTCTGCGTCTGGCATTGATAAACCAGTTGCACACTTGGAGGACGGTTAGATTGGCCCGTTTGGCTAGTTCGGCTTTCTCCGCATCGGATGGATAGGCATTGTAGCGATGTTCGTATAGCCAACAGCGTAACACTTTCACGGCTTCCTTCGGAAGGTTGCCGCGGCGCTTTTTCAGGTTGGATTCCGAAAGGTCAACGGGGTCATATTCGCGTTGGCTATCGTTGTCTTCGGAATCGGAGGCTGAATATCCTTGGCTATCTTTGCGGTCTATGGAAATTGAAAGCTCTGTACTGCTATTACATATATCGTTAATTATTAATTAAAAGATTATAGGTTTTCAGCTTTGCTTGATACACTGCCACTCTGATGCGTTCGATATTAATGCATAGTACACGCGTTTAGTTTATGTTGAAATGTGATTTGATAGTTATTGATCTATAATTAGCATGATTATCATAATATCATAAAATCAGATTTCATAGTTTCAAGCGTATTTTAAATAAATCAAATGCACGCAGTTAAAATTGCTGATGATAACACCAGTTACGGTACGCACATAATTAACTTAACTAATACGCTGTTGGATCTTCCCAATATAAATAATTTTGCGCAAACATAAGGAAACATAAAGTTGCCAAATAATAGCCTTTAATTATGAAATGGGCAATGGTTTTAAGATACTTTATTTGCTTATAAATGTACTTTGAAAATCAAGCTAATTATGCTGTGCAATTTAAGGCTGTATACAGTATCGGAAACAGTACTGCATTAAGTAATACATTGCAGAGCGCTAACGCAACTTCCTGTGGGAATTCTAATTTACCTCGATCTGCAGACAACCGATTCTCAAGATATCCAGCGGTTTTAAACACAGGAGCCATTTTTCAGCTTTTGATAAACTGTCAACTTTTCACACATGAAATGTGACTAACTCAGCCGCGTCAAAAGAAGATGAGTTTATATGCAGCCCGAGGTCACTTGCCAGGGCGACGGTGTTTGCATTGATCATTTGGGCGCTCGTCTCCGCCACGTTTACCGATAAGATAAGCGGCAAAGCACCAATAAGAATCCGGCAAAGGAAATTAGCGGTAAGTATTATTTATCTCTGTTTGAGACATTCTGAGTGATGTGTGATTTTAAAGTCTTGATTGCACAGCGCTAGCGTCGTTTAACGCAGACAGCGGATGCACGTCACAGTACAACTGGTCTCTAAAGGGCACCATATAAGATTTGGACAATTAAGCGTAATTTTAACTACAAGAAAATTCTGGTCATTAGCAGATTGACCTGGGCCGCATTCTTATCGCACCGTTGCTAATGACCAACAAAGTCAATGGAATAACAGTCCAGTTTCGGAACCTTGTCATTAATTAAGATTCTTCGTGTGGACGATGCGACACATTTCGCCGATTATCGCGGTTTATTGCCGCAAACGTTCAGAGAATGTCGGCAAACTGTCCGCACTCGTCCAGGGATATCATGAAGCGCTGACGACTACTTATCGTTGTATACTGTTAAATGACCTAAATTAAAATCTGGACCACACTTTTGGCAGACGTTCAAACTTTCTTTATTGCAGTTATCTTGGTGTTTCTAAACAAATTTAGCCTACAAAATAATCGGTTCGACCAAATAAGTTTAGCTAAGAAGTTGGTTCAAAATTTTATGTAGCATTTCTTGTCAAAGTAAATTACTGACGCAAATTAAAGGCATATTAAAAGGAAAAAAGTGCATATATAAATATATATATAATAATACATGTCTATATCTAATCGGTCTATACCGTGGCAAAAGTATAGAAAATGTACTTACGGACTGCAAAAATATGAAATGACAAAATAAGTCTTTTTACAGTTCGTTCAAGCGTTGACCTGGAAAATTCTTAAAAAGTTGTTATTATCTGTCGCTTTTTAATTTGATGTGGTCGGTCACAAAATAAAACTAATTATCGTACTCATGAAGTAAAAAAAGTCAGCGTTCTGACTTATTAGTGCCATGTTGTTAATCTACAGTATGAAATCCTTCACATGTGCAGTTTTTTTTTAGTTTATATGAAAATGGATTCGTTGCATGTTAGGATAACAAGTAGAATTTCAAATTTACTTAATCATGCAGTAATTTGCCTGCGCGGTATACAGGCATGACTTGCGTAATCCTGCTGGCTTCATTTTGCTTATTGTAGCGGCCGCGCAGCATTAATGCAAATAGCATTGTATGTCATGTCATCGACGCATTTGTTGTATTCTAATTATCGTCGAAAATAAAATTGTGTGGAGATTACTAAGTATGCCGCAAATGGCTTCAACTCCGGGATGACCGGAAAATGATAAAATATAATTCATTGCCTCCTTTGTTTTCGAGGTGCGAAGACGAGGTTTGCCAGTCAGTCAGCAGCGAGGCAGTGCAAACAAACCTTTGGTCGGTTTTGTTTGAAGGATGACAAGAAGTGTTTGGATAAGGATAAGGCGATTTATGTACTGTAGTTAAAATGGCGACTGGAAGACAAATAAGTGCTTTTTAAAGAGTTTAAAGCTACTCATCACTTGCCGATTCTAAGGGAGTAATGCCCGTATTTTGGCACGTGCCGCAAAGACAATCAAACGATAATATAATATTTTAGTAGCTGCGGTCTCGCTCTGTCTATCAAAGAAGAATATCAAACGTTACCGTTCGACAATTGTCTTTCTCTCCTGCACTATTAGATTATCTTGCTCTTTGTCATATAATTGGAATTAATTTTCCTACGTAAATAACATGAGATATGCCGCCACTTCTGTCTTACGCTGAAGTTTATCGGTTAAGCGTGGGTATACTCTTTAGTCTTTACATTAGTATGCCCGTGTACAACACTACTGAGTACTGTACAACTGACCGAAAACGCCGACATTCTACAACAGTATTATGCAGAATTATCAGTAAGTGGCGAAACGCGGCTCAACGTGGCCCACGTATAACGTATAACAAGCTGAGCACGGATGAATATTGGCTTGTACGACCATTATTAACTGCAATGCTTTAATTTCTACAGTTTTATGTATTATGCCGGTAAAACTAAAGAAACAATCAGAATGAGCGATATTATAGTTTTCAGTGACCTGCCTACATACTTTACGTAAGTACTATCAGTATTACACACAAAGATGCTTTGCTTTTCGTTTTCTTACATACTCGTAATGAACATACTTATGTTTATCGCAACACGGACTGGCTAAATAGTGTACAGAAGTTATTTACACATAGTTTACGCTGATACTTTGTACTGTACTAAAATACGAGCAAAGATACTGCTAGAATGCTAGTGTTCCGCTGGGTCAGGTCGGGTTAGATGTGTATGCATTTCTTATCGTGTCCATGGTAACAAGCTTACGACTGACCACTGGACGTAGCCAAATGATTTTAGCAAAAAATCAACAATCTATGATCCACCGCCACATTGAGAGAATTCTGATGTACTTTAAAGCAGCAAAATTGGTAAAGTAGAAGCCGAGATCCTTTGCCTCAAAGGAGAGGGGCCAAAGTCCTGGCACAGATGATTAGTATTCATATAACAATTACGCAGCTTTATGCTAAAAAAATTGGCGCAAATTAAAACTGTCCATCTATTTTGTGGCAAAATGTTTAGAATCATTACCGCGCATAGTTAAAATTGAGCAAGCGTTCGCGTTTGATCAACGTGTTGATGTGAGGTGTACACGGTTGTGAAATGTGATCGACTACCACGTTGCGGCATATCAATACTACCTATAAAATTTGATGCAAAATATACGCTATGCCATAATATTACTAAACAAACTGGGTTTAGTAGTATTACGGCTATGAAGCACTTCCGTAAATTTTACCTTAAGAGGTCAGGGAATAAACAATACGGAAATGTAAACAATGTTATTTAAAATTTTCGAGGCTGAGCGAACTAAATTTGGGAATGCAACTCGAAGAGTAAAAAGCTATTTGCGAACATGTTCCAAACCGCAATGCAACGCCACTGCGTGGGCACGCTTATATACGGAGTTCGCTGAGTGTCGGTTTCTGTAGAAATGAAATATAAAACTAATAATCTGGTTTTATCTCTGGTATTGTAAAAGAGCGAACTAATTCTTTGTAGACGCTTTTGGTAAACAGCACAAGATAGTCATGAAATGGGTTTCATCGTAAAATAAACACCATAAATGCCGTTATCATCGTCATTGTATGTCATTTAAGTTCCCCAAAGTCGTCATACAGTGAGGTAGCTTTAACATCGGAAATACTAAGACCAAATAGATAAACGTATCTGATAAAGTAATGAATTTTATCCGATAATTAGCAGAAGGACCGGTATATCGGCGCCATTGTTGCCAGTTTATTATTTTTGATACTAAGTTAACAGCAGTCATTCTAACCAAATCCGTAAACGTTTTCTTTGCAGCTTATTTATGCACAAGACAGATTTAGTCAGCATGAAAAAAACAACGGTTGTTTTCAACAAGCTGCGCACCCTTTCCAGCTTCCCGTTAAATTGACCACGGTAGAGTCTATGGAGCACTCATTTTGGGATCAAAATTGGTCCAGCCAGTGCATTTGAATTATACTCGTGCTGATCGAGCGGCGGTTTATATTTCACAGTCAAGGAACGAGAAACATGTTATGTACCTTTACTGCAAATTGCAACCTAAAATTAATTTTGCTTATTGTTTGCGAAAGTCAGTTTTAATCGACATTTACAGGTTTAATTTATCTAGCTTGTGCAAATTTAATTGCCCTCTCAAACGTAGGCAGCTTTGATAAATTCTTTTATGCAGGCAGGCCAGTGCGGCAGTCATCATTGTCCGTTAGTTCACTAAAACAATAGATTAATCGGAATATTGTCTATACCGTTCATTTGTTTCACGGTTAACCGATTGACCTTTATCTCAAAATGCCGACATTGCGGTTATCGGCAACCTTTATTCAATAAGTGCTGTTTCTCAAAAGGTCATTGATCGTCTGTGTCTGTAATTAATTTATCTATTCATTTTTGTAGATCGGCTCGCATTTGGTACAACAGATCGACGATTTGCAAACACATATTCTCAAACAATATTCGTAACAAAAAAGATATTTCTAATTCTGTGTTACTATCTGAAAGGATATTACTACCGGCGTTGCTTCTTTGCTGGAAGCTCCCGAATAGTGCGTCACTGGCGCCCAAAAAGATTTTATAATTTCAAGTTTTTGCACATCCTTTTATAATTGCGATTTAGGGCTAATGCATATCGTTCTAATTTAAGGTCACCCATGAGATGTAAAATATTCCTTAAAATAAATAAACTATTGGCGAATGGACGACAACTTAAAATCAAAATTAATGGTATATCTTTTCAGACCCTGCTGGTCCGATAACCTCAGCTCTCAGCTAACAGTTCTGCTGGTTTTGGCGACAATTTTTTGTTTATTCCGCAGGATGGAATAGATAAAATGACATGTGGTGGCACAAGGAGTAGCGTATGAATTATTTGTGCAAACAGAGGTGCGAAATCTTATCCGGAATGGTTGAGACTGCAGACGTCTGTCGACATACATTATACGCACTTTAATTTGATAAATGACAGCCAACAAACATCACCACAAACTTCTCGATAAGTTTAATTTTGCAGCTGCAAGTATTGGCGAATTTGCTGAATTTATGCTAGGTATACCTTATACATTAGTAGCGATGTGTGCATTAAGTCCATTGTTTGATATCGTATCATGACGCCGATGTGCAAATTTACCGGAAGTGCAAGAATACGGCCGGTAATGCCCCAATAATTAAAATGGTTGGTCTGCAGGAAATACGATCTTATGCCGTCTTTTATGTTTGAGTACACTTGGCCTACAAACCGATTACAGCTGGTAAAAATGATAATTTACTCGAGAATGGGTTTTGAATAAGATATAAAAAACATTAAACAGTCTCCTAATAACACTTATAAGATACGAGCAATATACAAGTACAAGTACATTACAGCGGTAGTGACAGGACAATATCATTGTAAGATTTTTTTGCACTGCATAGGATATGATTATGTGGCGTAATAAATGATCGGTATGAAAAAAAACACTCCACTTACAAAATTATGCTTCTATATACTGTACTTTTTGTTGCTATACAGGAATTCTCAATCATTAACTCGTAGCACTCATGGTCAGCAGATGAATGGACACTGGACATTTAGAATCATCCACCTGGCAGTAAAAAAAAAGACAAAAGGAACATGTTTACAACTTGACCGTCACTAATGTAAGTGCTACTTACAAGTACCAATAGTTATTGTATCATTAATTTGTATGCATACATACAGTTTACAGATGTGTAAGTTTTGTTCTGCAATGCCGTATTATTTATGCATGTACGAGTATATTTGGACCGAACGAACCTGTGTTTTAATGTCACTGATTTGCCGAGCATCATAAAACAGTCAGTATACTTACTATACTCCGCATGAAATTTAATAAAGATTCGAACGCTCGGACCATTCCCGTTGGATCGCCGCACTGTCGGGAAAAGATCCGTCGAAAAACAAGCGAGACGCGGACAAAGGTCAGTCTACGCCATCGCCAGCAGATCTATTGTGGAATAATGAACTCCAACATGACGTACCTTCCACCCTGGGAACAGCGCCAGTTTCGGCTAATTTGGACTATTCCCTGCTTCGGCCGTTTATTTCAATTTGGTTGTCGATGATATATAGTGAGTATTTTGGCAAGATTTTCTTCGAGAAATCTATATACCCGATAGTTTTTCTACTAACTTCAATATATCGAATTTAAAAAATCACCGAATTCAAAGTAACCTGTAAATTATCGCGCTAGCTGTTCGTGTAGAAGTACTAAAGGAGACCGCATACGTTCTGCAAGGCCCGCAACGACAGTCCTTGAATCAAGCACTGGGAAATTTCCGCTCATTGCTTTGTTAAGGGAAGTGGGCCGGTACATGGTACCGAATTCGTGTACATGCACGAAAACTTTAGCACTCCCAAACATTTTTTGTTTGGTTTATGACGTTTTGTGAAGATTTGTACACGGGCGTGAAAACCGTTTGCGCGCAACATCCGGTTCGGGAGTTATGGCTGTTACAGAATTCAAAAGTTTAAATGCGTTCAGGTGTACCAAAAGTCTCATTATGGACCGATCTCCTCATTTTGCACGTAATGCACATAACCACGAAAAACGTTTTTACACCGATCCACTGTTCTAGCATGTTTTTCAAATTTTAAAATGAATTTTAAAAATTTTAAAATTCATTTTAAAATTTGAAAAAAATCATGGAGGTCTGGATCGGTGTAAAAACGATCTTCATGGACATGCGCATTTACGTGCAAAATTTGAGAGAGATCGGTCTATAATGAGACTTTTGGTACACCTGAACGCATTTAAACTTTTTGGGATTTCCTAATAGCCTTAACTCCCGAAGCGGATGTTGCGCGCACAAACGGTTTTCACGCCCGTGTGTACAAATCATCTGGCTACAAAACGTCATAAACCGAAACAAAAATATGTTTGGGAGTGCGCGAAAGTTAAAGTTTCCGTGCATGTACACGAATTCGGTACTATGTACCGGCCCACTTCCCTTAAGTGAAAGTTCGCCTAAAACTAGACTGGCAATTTAACAGCAGTTTACTGTTTGCAATCAACTTTGACATCAAAACGTTTTGGCCTTTTTGCCAGTTTTTGTTTTTTTTTCCGAACTTTCGCTGTACTTTTTGTGTTTTACGTTTTCCTTTAATTTTGGACGTATTATTTTTATTGGGATATTTCTTTCATCAGATTTTAGGTTATCTGGCACTAGGAATTCGCTGCCTGTGTTTACCATTCCCCATTTGCTACATTTAGCAGTCAACCTATCATGCCTCCGAAGCGCTCGTCCAAATCCAAAAGTCCGAGCCCCCGGAAAGCTTCCCCAGGGAAGAAAAGCAGCCCGGACGCGGACACCAAGTCAGCTGAGATGGGCAAACGCAAGCGCGAGGAATCCAAGACCACCGACGATAATCCTAACGCAGACATCTGCGAGCTGCTGATGGAGTTGGCTGAATACGAGAAAGTTGCCAGCGGCGAGCAGTATAAATACCTCGCGTACCGTAAAGCAGCGCAGACGCTGGCTGAACAGAAAACCCGCATCAAAAGCGGTGCTGAAGCGCAGAAGCTGCCGGGAATTGGGGAAAGCATTGCAGGCAAGATTGATGAGTTCCTGAAGACGGGCAAGATGGAGAAAGTGGAGGAGGCTCGCGACGACGACACAGCCAAGATACTGGCGGATTTGGCACGGGTGCCCGGAATTGGCCATGCGCGGGCCAAAGAATTGTACGATCAGGGCATTAAAAGCATTGAGGATCTCAAGAAGCATCCGGACCTTCTGCCCGAACAGCTGCAGAAGTCCCTGAAGAACTTGGACGCTATTGAGTCTCCCATAAACAAGCAGCAGGCGGACAAAATCAAGAAGTATCTGGAACAGCAACTAGAGGTAAGCTTTAATTGGCGATTTGTCATGCCTGTCTACTGCATTTTTTAAAACTTGCAATTAGCTGAAATTACTGCAGATTTGATTTTACTTTTTAACAGTATTTGGATACAGCAAGCATTCGCTTTGTCCCGATTTCTGTTACAAACGGGAACAGATATTACAAGATTATATAATTTATATCATTAAAACTTTTAATGCTGTATATTTGTTTGCATGGACATATGGCAAAAAATTTTCTATGGCAATTTATGCAATAGAAGTAGTAATGCTGTGAAAGATATTTTATTAGTGTATTTCTCAGAATATTACTCAGTATATTTTGAGAATTCTGGCCATGCTAAAGTTTCCAAATGTTTTTGCAGAAAGGATTTCATCACCTTTCTTCTACGGTTTTTAAAATAAATTAACAACTGTAAATAAATCTTTTTGTTTTTAGGGTTTGGATGGTCGGTTCAAAGTGACACTGTGTGGCGCCTATCGCCGTCATGAGGCTACCGTACTGGAATTGGTTGCTGTCATCACTCATAGTGCTTCCGAAAACAAAACGAAGGATTTGCTGCACGAACTAACCGAAAAGCTGAAGCATTCTGGTTTTCTTCCAGAGACCATGACCGAAGGCAACCATCGCGTTAAAGGCATTTGCCAGTTGCCGGCTGCCCATTCTCCGAAGAAACCTGAACGCAGCAGTCCTCGCAAAAAAGCGAAAAAGGATGATGACGAATCTGCGGCGGATGAGGAAAAGCATGGTGAGCAGCACATGTTACTGCTGTGCATGTATCCCGAGAGCCAGGAAGCTGCGGCTGTGTTGCACTGGACGGGCAACGATGTCTTCATGCAGGAGATTAGCTCCAAAGCCAAAGCCAAGGGATTCTTGTTGAATGAGTTCGGACTGTACCGGCATCGAGGTAGTGGCGACAAAGCGGATAATGTCGTCAAAGTGGACAGTGAGGAGGATATCTTCAAAGAGTTGGACATGGAGTATGTGAAACCGGAAGATCGGAACGTGTAGTTCTCTCATCGGTGAGGTGTTTCTGTTGTTTTTGAAACCAGTGGTTTAGCGTTAACTGCATTTCCTTTTCTTGATCTGTAACTGTACCGGAGCTCCGGAGTTTGTATCATATGACATAGGGTTGGATAATTCTCTTGTGTATTAAACTGTGTTGTGGTTTAAGACAGATACATGTAACGTGTATTATGTGTGTATGTATGTTCCATCTTTCGTTAAATTGTTCTTAATGTTTAGTAGAGTTCGCTGTTCGGCTGCATGCTGTAAATGTCACAAAACAAACTTGCTCCATTAATTGATCCCGAAATAGCAAAATCGTCAACTTTAAATACACAGTAAATTAGAAAACCGAAAACAGTTTATCAAGATTGCGGCTGCACTAAACTGTACCAAGAACACAAGCAGCATTGCCCCGTTGTATTTCTAAACTGCAACGCTGCAACAAAAACTGTTTCGCACGGCTTTCTCCAGTTTGCTCCCGAATACGTTTGGCCAAATCCGAAATAAAACCACTGGTACTTGGTCCACAGCATCCCATAGTTTCGAAAGCAAAAGGCTGGACAATGTATCGATCCCTCAACTTCTCATATTTTCCCAGTTTTCGAATTTCAGCGGCTTCCGCAGCAGCGCCAGGGTGGTCAGAAGTCTGGCCACCCTGGCTGTTTTGCAGAGTTCTGCCTTTTTGCAGTTGTTTTTCGAACGTTGTCTTTTCGCTATAAACCGGAATGAATTCTTAATCGAGACATTGACTTTCGAAAAGAAATATTTGGAAGTAGATTGAAATTATTGAATAACCTTCTGGTTTAGCCGAAAACATTCAGAAGTCGCTCAATCGGTTGGAGGCTTGGAGCCGGGAGGAGTTACTAGTACAGTACTATGGTACTCGCATTACGAGCATGCACTGTAAAATTAATAATGCCCCCGCAATAGAAGTACTTACCGTACTGCGGATCGAGATGAGACTGATGAGTGCTGAACAGTGTACTAGAAATAAACAACAACAGTACTGCTTCGGTTATTTACTACGGTAGTATGCTTGTTTGTGGTCACTTCATCAAGCTGACGGAAGGATCGTTTCAGTTAATCTTACTGTTCTTGTGCGCAGTTCATTATGGGACGGCCTGTCCAATGTGTATCTATTAACTGTTCATTTCAGTTTAATCCTGAACCGATAATAAAAATTTCGAATTTCGACTGACTTCTCAGTTCTCACCGTTGTATTTTAAAATGTCCGCGTCTGTATTGGAAGATACCAGCATTCTGGTTTTGGAGCCATATCCACCAACTGGGCCAGGAGATGCAGGAAGTGGTGATATATCTAGCGAAGGATTGGGAAACAGTAAACACGGGCAAATGTGCCGCTGCGGATCTACTTCGGGAAAGGGCACGCGCCGAAAAAGCTATCGACCACACAGGTAGCATTTAGCCGTAAAGCATTGATACAGTCAGTAAAATTCGAAATCTAACCAGATCCGCCGATGTTGATTTGGAATACGTGCGTTCAGTAAATCAGCGGATCGTAAATCAAGGTTTGCTGCCGCATGATCCTGTTTCGCTTCCTGTCTTTAAGAATCTGCAGGGAATTGAGCAGGTGAGCTTTATTCTTTAACTTTACATACGGTTATCAAGATTTACTGTAACCCGAAGAAGAGAAATTACTATCCTGTTTATTTTCAATATTACTCAAGAGCATCTATACAGGATTTATATGCTGATCGATTTTTTTGCATCCTGGATAGTGGAGAATGGAGATCATGGTTACTTGCTGCCGCACGAATTGACCGATTTAGCCAGCGCTTGTTTGTGTCGGAACTCGGAAGTTTAAGTTATTGTTCATATCTATGATGCAAATGGTAAGTGCATGATTAAAAAAAACCCTCCACCGTAACTTCTATTGCAGTTTGAATTACGAAAACAGCAGGCAATAATTGGTGGAGTAAAATGGTAAATGTAAATAGAAATCACAATTTATAAGCGAATGACGGATTCACTGCTTCTCCGTGACCGGCTTGTTATACAGCCGATCTGATTCCCACATGTAAATCCTGTTTTCGACATTTATATTATGTACGGTAGCATATCAATATATATATCTCAACCTTTATTGAGTTCCGTTTGCTGTTATGCGGCAAAAAACCCCTATTACAAATTAGGGGAAAAGGCACGCATAACCTATTCTTTTTTCAAAGTTTTGTAAACAAAACTCGTGCAACGGAAGCAACAATAAGGTAAAAAGACCGCTTGCTCTCCTCTACTTTACACATGGATTTTTTTTGGTATTTTAAAAAAAGAATATATAAAGAACAGATTACATCGAATAAAGAGTATGGAAAGGACAATCACAATACAAATTACTTAGTACATTGCATTTGTTTCCCTGTGGGATAGCCTGTTTAACCGCGGTTTTTTTAAGGAAACGGCTCCATTGATCAAGGAGAATTTAGTGCCGTTCTCACATGCTCTATTGCCGGCAATTCGCTGTCGTTGAGCACTCAACAGGTGGAGCACCTTACCAGAACGCTCTTCGATGCCATCGACAAGGATATGGATGATGTGGTATCCTTCGACGAGTTCCGTGCATTTCTGGACAGCTCACCGGAACTACTGGACAGTCTACAAGTGTCGTGCCTTTACCATTAATATCGGTCGTTTATAAGGTTTCTGTAAAATCAATTTATCTTCGAAGAATTTCGCGCTTTTTGCGCCCGCCACGAATACCGGATTTTGAAGTTTCGGGTCCTTTAAAAAAGATGCATTTTTCGTTATTGTCATGTTGTATATGCACCGGCATCCATGCGAATTTGTCTGGGGATGGCTGTTTTTGGTATCTGTCGTCGCGTTTTTCACGTAGGGAGCCGTGGCTGCTGGATACCGACTGTATAAATTTCTATTACCACCAACCAGCTTTTCCTGTTTAAACATTGTAAAACAGACTTCAAAAATATTTCAGATGATTATTACGGATCTCCTTGCATTTATTATTACCTAACAGCAAAGGGATTCGGCAATGCCATCAACTGGACATCAACCCTGGCCGTTGTATTTGTGCTGAAAGAAAGCATGACCTTTGTGCGTAGTACAGTACATCGGTAGGCCGGCTCGTTCCAGTGGACTCAAGTGGTGTATATCCATAAAGTCAATGGTTATGTTCTGGTTGTCGCAACATTCGGTGACATCATCATGTATTTCGCGACATACGGCTATAGTGCCGTTGTTTGTTGTTAACAGATTTGCGTGGTCTGATAATTACAGTTTCATAAAAACTTCGCGTTTTTACTGGTGTTCGTTCCAGTGGACTCGATGGTGTATATCCATAAAGTCAATGGTTATATTCTGGTTGCCGCGGCTATGAGCCACATCATCATGCATTTCGCAGCATACGGTTAGTTCCGTTGTGTGTTGTTAACAGATGTGCGTAGTCTAATAATTACAGTTTCATAAAACTTCGGGCTTTGACTGGTGCTCTATTCCTTTTTGGGCTGTGTTAAGTTGCGTGGATTAGCCTCGTTGAACTATTCAATTGCCGGTGAAACAAGTACGAGCACAATCTTGTCGCCTACGATGGATATCGTTTCTGGTTGGTTCATTTTCGCCGGCACCTTGCTTATATTAACTGGATCATTACGTTGCGTGAGAAGAACTGGCCATTTCGATGTAAACAGACCGCTGCGTATTTTGTCGTAAATAGGGTGTTGTTTCCTTAGAAAGCCGAACAATTTGCAACGAATATTTCATTCGAAAACATACCGTAAGCTGCATCACGCGCTGAGGCGGTTGCTGTGAAGAACAGTCGCAAACGCTCTAGAAGAGTACTGTACTGTAGGACTTTGAAATTAATTTTGAATGGAACAGTGGATCTTCGAGAACCTCATATTAACTAGAAGTAAATAACTGAGCTTTAATTCCCTTTGTTCAAGAATCATCTGCGGTCTGTATTGTTTCTGTGACTTATGTCTTATTGTTTTCGTTATTTCAACTCGAACAGAAAGCAGTACTGTAACCATGAATGCAGTGGCGAACCCAGCCGTGGTCCGATTGGGAGGTGTCATGGGTGCAGCTGTCGGATGTGTATGTGGGATCGTCATGGGCGTTGTGGATGCCAGATTTTCCGAAAAATCCAAGGATTTAGCGCAGGGAGATGGAATACTCTTCGGAGGTATCGGTGGTGGATTAGCAGGCATTATTACCGCAAAGGTGGCCGCACGCGAAATGGTCCCGGGACCATTCGGGATCATCAATGCTGGAAGCTGGGGAATTGCGTGTGGAGCCGCAGTAGGATATGTTACTGCCGGTTACGTGTACGATAAATTTTGCGACAGTCGCGGGGTCAAAGTGGCAGATTTTCGACAAGATGGAATCAAGTAACTTACTGTGGGTTTACACTCCACATCTTTTGGTGATTATTTCTGTAGTATTCTCCCTATTCTGGTTAAGCCAGTAAGCTGTAAGCGGCTTCCGATTCTAAATTTCGTTCTGTTTCTCTCGAAAGCAGCAGATTTCTCTTGACTGTCTCCGGTATAGTTGCAGAATCGGGTATAGATGAATGCTGAATAAGGCGTTCCAGCTGTTACCTAAATTCCCATTCACGTCCCTGTTCACAGTGACATTGAATTCATTGTATTTACAAAATAGTTTAGTCAACTTTAGTGTAAGACTCTTACAGTAAGAGTAAGTACATGTGGACGTTCGGTTTTCGCAGACTATAGCGAGCGTGCAAAACGTCAAAACCACATCCGAAATACCTGTGGTCAATTCGCAAATGACACTGCGTTTATTTAAATACGAGTAGCAAGGAACCGGGTGGCGGTATTTTAATTAAGTACAAATTGTACTGTACAATTTATCTGGCGCCATCACTGGCGAGAACAGAGCAGCGTGACATTGCATCATAACAGGAACAAAACACATCTTAAGTTTTTGCTGACGGGATGCTGCATCAGCAGCAGAACTTGTCCGTCTCTGCAGAACAGAGACTACAGCCCTGCTACGCCAAGTTCGGACACGTTTGAAAATAAGTTGACTTATGAGATATTTCTTCTGTCGTCTTGTGTCGCTCTTTCAACATTTCTGATATAAGTTTTCATTGCGAATCTGGCAATATCAAATTCATGGCGATCAGCCTTTACCACGATTATGCGACTGTTGGGATGAAAGGTGGCACGGCCGGCAACGATGCTGGCCGAGGACGCTCTTACTGATGTAATGCAATTACACAGGTGGCTCCGATTGGGATGACACAGGTTCGTCCCAAGCGGTCAAACACAACAACGTAACTCAAGGCATGTTTAATGACAACGGCGTTCAAGAAACGGAGCAAGGTTTAGGGCAAAATTGATCAAGTACAAACTGTGTGAATGGTGCAAGCTGTAGCAAGCTGAGTACAAGACTGAATTCTAGAAATTCATGAGAAAGGAAACTAGCCGGTAAAGTGGACAATTCATATCGCGATGGAGTGATGAATCATAACTGGGTGGTCTTATCGTTCGTACAAATACTATCGCTACTGTGGAGCAAGATGAGTGCTGTATTAGAAATAAACATACCAAGTTACCAACTACTACTAGGTCCAGCAACTGATTCGAGTTTGACGACAAATAAGCCGAACGTAAAAATATGTTATTAAACACTACTCCTACTAACGTATTGTACATGCAAAATGCATCCGATGCATAGGAGGAGAAAATGTATATGCAAACAACGAAGTCATGTCAGCTGTTCTGGCATTTTACATTCGAAGTATTTACTAGTATCCTAATTCTGGTCACTTCATCACGCTGACGGATGGATCAAAATCATTATCATGGATGGATCATTAATCTTGTTGTTCTTAAGTTGATAATTTCATTATGCGAAGGCATGCCCAATCTGTATCCAACTGTTTATTGTAGTTTAATTCTAAATCTATAACAAACATTTTACTATTTCGACCGACTTCTTAGTTCTCACCGTTGAAATTAAAAAATGTCCGCGTCAGTATTGGAAGATACCAGCATTCTGGTTTTGGAGCCATATCCACCAACTGGGCCAGGAGATGCAGGAAGTGGTGATATATCTAGCGAAGGATTGGGAAACAGTAAACACGGGCAAATGTGCCGCTGCGGATCTACTTCGGGAAAGGGCACGCGCCGAAAAAGCTATCGACCACACAGGTAGCATTTAGCCGTAAAGCATTGATACAGTCAGTAAAATTCGAAATCTAACCAGATCCGCCGATGTTGATTTGGAATACGTGCGTTCAGTAAATCAGCGGATCGTAAATCAAGGTTTGCTGCCGCATGATCCTGTTTCGCTTCCTGTCTTTAAGAATCTGCTGGGAATTGAGCAGGTGAGCACGTTTCTTTGACTTACATTCGGTTACCAAAATTTACTGATTTACTGTAAAACGAAGAAGCAGAAATTGCTATCCTGATTATTATTCGAGAACACTTTACAGGAGTTTTATGCTGATCGCTTTTTTTGCATCCTGGATAGTGAAGGTCATGGTTACTTGCTGCCGCATGAATTGACATCTAGATTGACCGATTTGGCCAGCGCTTGTTTGTGTCGGAAGTTTAAGTTATTGTTCGATATCTACGATGCAAATGGTAAGTGCATGATTCAAAAAACCTCCTCCACCTTAACTTGTATTGAATTACGATTTACTAATAAAGCAAGCGATAATTGGTGGAGTTAAAAAATATCTGTAGACATAAATCTTAATTTATTAGCGAATGACGGATTTACAGCTTCTCCGTGACCGCATTGTTATACAGCCGATCTGGTTTCCACATGTAAATCATGTTTTCGACGTTTAAATTATTTAGCAGAACAGTACACACATTAGTTTTCAGCCGGGTAGCACACCTAAGCTTATAATTTGAAGGAAACGGTTCCATTGATCAAGAAGAATTTAATGCCATTCTGACACGCTCTATTGCCGGCAATTCGCTGTCGTTGAGCACGCAACAGGTGGAGTATCTTACCAGAACGCTCTTCGATGCCATCGACAAGGATATGGATGATGTGGTATCCTTCGACGAGTTCCGTGCATTTCTGGACAGCTCACCGGAACTACTGGACAGTCTGCAAGTGTCGTGAGTGAAGTGTCCATTGCGCTTACCATTCACATCGGTCGTGTATAAGGCTTCTGTAAAATCAATTTATCTTTGAAGAATTTCGCGCTTTTTGCGCCCACCACGAATACCGGATTTTGAAGTTTCGGGCCCTTTAAAAAAGAGGCATTTTCCGTTATTGTCATGTTCTTATATGCACCGTCATCCATGCGAATTTGTCTGGGGATGGCTGTTTTTGGTATCTGTCGTCGCTTTTTTCACGTACGGAGCCGTATCTGCTGGATACCGAAAGTGTAAATTTCTATTACCACCAACCAGCTTTCCTGTTTAAAAGTTGTAAAATAGACTTCGAAAATATTTCAGATGAGTATTACGGATCTCCTTGCGTTTATTATTACCTAACAGCAAAGGGATTTGGCAATGCCATCAACTGGACATCAACCCTGGCCGTTGTGTTTATGCTGAAAGAAAGCATGACCTTTGTGCGTAGTACATCGGTTGGCCGTTTCGTTCCAGTGGACTCGATGGTGTATATCCATAAAGTCAATGGTTATGTTCTGGTTGTCGCAATATTCTGTCACATCATCATGCATTTTGCGACATACGGTTAGTTCCGTTGTTTGTTGTTAACAGATTTGCGTAGTCTCATAATTACAGTTTCATCAGCACTTCGCGCTTTTACTGGTGCTCTACTCCTTTTTAGGCTGTGTTAAGTTATGTGGATTAGCCTCGCTGAACTATTCCAGTGCCGGTGAAACTAATACGAGCACAATCTTATCGCCTACGCTGGATATCATTTCTGGCTGGTTCAGTTTCGCCGCCACCTTGCTTATTTTCACTGGATCATTACCCTGCGTGAGAAGAACTGGCCATTTCGAGGTAAACAGACCGCTGCAGTATTTTGTCGTAAATACTACGTTGTTTCCTTAAAATGCCGAACGATTTGCAACAAGTCTATCATTCAAAAATAATCTCGAAATGCAATCAGTAGAAACGAGAGGAAAAATTTGTGCAACCAGAAATTTTGTTGGTTTAACATTTGTTGAGTTATGCATATGATGGGTGTTGCTTTTTTTCCGTTGGGTTAAACTTGTTAATGTTAACTCCACAAAGATAGTTTGCAATACCCATCTTTTTATGCCAGGTCTTTTTTTATACCCATCTTTCCGGATACGTCACCTTCTATATTGCACTCTTGCTGCACACGTTCCATCATAAATTTTGGCAATTCATAATTGTTCCGGGAACGATGTACATAGTCGAAAAGGCATACGCCAGCTGGATGATTCACCGCAAATCGGGATATAAGGTGATGATAAGGAAAGTCGTCCAGTGGCCATCCGGTGTAAGTCCACATTAGGTTTTTCAACGATAAATCACAGCCGTCTTGCCCTTTCTGTTAATTACAATTAGAGATTTTTTACAGGTGACCCAGCTTACCGTGGATCGTCCAGCACATTTTGTTTACAATCCCGGTGACTATATTCAGATCAAAATACCCGCTCTCGCATGGTTTGAGTGGCATCCGTTTACTATTAGCAGTTGTCCGGAAGAGAAAAGTAAGTGCTGGGTTGAATATGTATAAGCATATGCGCTTTCCGCAGATTGTTATTGCAGCAATATTCGAGGTCAACGGTTTTGCATTAATCTTGACATCCATAATATAGATTTCCTGACTTTGCACATACGGACGGCTGGAGATTGGACTCGGCGATTATACAATTACTTTGCCGCCCATTTACGTGATTCATCTACGTTTGCCATCAGTCATAAACCTTCGACTAATTCTTTGCGGCAATCTGTTGTTAACCGCTCCAGTCGGCGTGCTCGAGTGTCTATCTTCTATAAAAAGCGTCTATCGGAAGCCGGTCAAATTCTCGTCAAACCGATCAGTACCGTGGTAAAATGCATTATTATACAGTTAACGTTAAGCTGATACAATCTAAATTGTTGCGATCTTACGAGAAAGAGACTTGTAATAAAAGGAAGTTGGCTGTTTTCAAGGTCCACATTAAAGGTCCCTACGGGACACCATCCGGAAAGATCTTCCAAGCTCAACATGCTATGCTCATTTGTGCCGGCATCGGGGTCACCCCTTTTTCATCTATACTTCAGAGCATAGTTATTCGTCATCGCAATGCCCTATCGCACAACGTTATTCAGTCACACGAACCGATTTCATTGGGAAACACCACAAAACTGCAAAAGGTTTGCTGGATGACTGAAAATTTTTTATGTAAAAGCATAATGTTCTGCTGTTCTTAATCAAGGCTGTCGTACATGCTTTAAGGAAAATATAGATGGTTGAAAGCAGAAAAGTTGAGAAACGAGGTACTGCAACAGCAGAAGTAGAAACATATTTTTTCCCTTTCTAGTTTTTTGCATTAGAATTTAAAATGTAGAGAGTGTTACTTTTATACTCATAGTGTTTTGTATTGTGTATACTCACAGTTAAAGTGGTGAGTTTTGGTTGTGGGTTACAACCAGCGACTAATTTTAAGGTTGATTTTATCTGGGTGGTTAAAAACCAGCGGAATTTGGAGTGGTTTATGGAATTGCTGGAGGGATTGGATGCCGAGCAGTATAAAGAGGAGCGGTTTCACCAATTCCTGAATATACAGATTTATTTGACTTCTTGCACAAAAATGGATGATCTGCATGCCTTTGCTCTGATGTCGGCTTTGGAAACGTTTTACAAAAAGCATAATCGGGATTTGATTACCGGAATCGCTGCACGAGCGAAGCATGGTCGTCCAGACTGGAACACGGTAACTAAACGGTGCTGAAGTCTATATACTCGTATCATGGTTGCATAAATACTGTACCAGGTTACAGTTTAATACTGAAAACATTGTTTGAAAATATGTAGTTTGCGAATATTGTTAGTTAGAGAAAAGTGTATCTGATCATAAATGTAAATATTTGTTCGTAATTTGTTTAAACGCCACAATGTAAAATATTTCAGGTTTTTAAAAACGTGGCTGACAACCGTCGCGGTCATGTGTCGGTATTCTACTGTGGGCCACATCCGCTGAGTAGAGATCTTCGCCGCTACAGCAGTCAGTACGATTTCCGGTTTTTCAAAGAATCGTTCTGAATATCTTGCAGCCGGTTACATTCTATGTTCAGCTTCATTATACCTATATATTATATCTATATATGTATTTGATACTTTTTATTGGTATCGCATTATGCAGCTGATGTGCCTAGCTACTGCATGCAAAAATCGTGCAATGTGGCGGGATTTAATTTTATTTTTATATCAGCATTTGTTTTATTACAACCGTATTGTATGGGTTTTTCATCTCGTTAGTCGGCGAAAACTTATATAACTCTGTGATTGTGAATAAAGTTGAACTTAAATAAACGCATGTACTGGAAACCACAGCATGGTTGCTTTTAAAACAAAACATGTCCTATACACTTCAAAGCAGGCTAGCTGCGCGCACGGGGTTAGGGAACGAGTTTGGCTGTGTGCACGGCTAAATTCTCTCCTTTTAAAGTATTTCAGATTTCTTCAAAAATTATTAGCCGATTTTTGGGTTGGGATTTCGCGGTGAAAACGGAGCGCCTAATGGTCATATAGTTTTACTAGATGTGAGACAAACGGGGTGGATGTGGTCAGAGAACGGTGTTAAAAACAGAGGGGCGTAGAATAGGCGGCTCTTTGTTATCGCAACGGTCACCGCATGTGCTTGCGGGCTAGACATGGGAACGGCAACAAACATTCGAACCGGAAATACTAATGCGAGGTCATATGAAGGCCGCATTCGAAACCATCGCACCATTCACTCCTGGCACCGGTAGGATTGACAGAAGCCCGGACGATATGAATTTCTCTGACTACGAGTATGCCTCGATACATATACTTTAATCGGCTTAACTGGAATGGACAGCGCCGCAAAAAAGAAATCAGCAAGGTTAAATGGAAAAAACGGTCCCAGTTCGCGCGTGAGGGAACAATTTAACAATTAAGCGAGCTCCCATAATATTACTGGAATGGAAATGCCTGGTTTGAGGAATTGGAAAAGTGTTACTCTACACTCCTAGATCTAAGTACACCTTTTGTATACAGAGTACAGACAAAAATTTGCCATCGACATCACCTTAATTATTGCATCATCTCGCTGCGATCGATGCAGAATGCAGATTCGTTAAACTGATTAAAGACAACCGTCTGTTCTTGTACACCGTTTTTTTCAGTATTGGATCTTCAGCAGAAAATATTAACCATGAAAATGCTGGCGAATCCAGCTGTGGTCCGACTCGGAGGTGTCGCCGGTGCAGCTGTAGGGTACGTGGGTGGCATCGTTATGGGTGTCGTGAATGCCAAGTTTTCCGAACAATCCGAGATCAAAGCGCAGGCAGATGGAATACTCTTCGGAGGATTCGGTGGTGGATTAGCATTTAGCAGGAATAATTACCGCGAAGATGGCCGCACGCGAAATGGTCCCGGGACCACTGGGAGTCATCCATGCTGGAGGTGCGGGAATTGCATGTGGAGCTGCAGTAGGATATCTTACTGCCGGTTACGTGTACGATAAATTTTGCGACATTCGCACGTAAAAGTGACAGATTTTTGACGAGATGATGACGAGTAACGCTGATTTGCAACGTGTTTAGTAAACAGTGTTTACTGTTCTTTCTGGATAATTATTTCTGTGGTTTCTGTATCAATGGCTTCCGGTTCATTCAGTTCCTCTCAGAAACTGGTTTTTCATTTTTCTTTGCTCTGTACGAAGTCGTGCCAGAATACGTACTGCAAAAATAAATACTGCATAGGAAAATTTCCTTTCGAATTTCACTGTAAATTTGTACGTTCATTACTACTGGGCATATTTTTGTAAACTACAGCGAGCGTGTAAAACAACCCGCAATGTGGGTATTTAAAATTGATTAGATTTCATCGGGATAATATCCAGTATTATCAACATTAGTGTCGAGAACGAAACCAGAAGCGCAAAACGGTAAAGATAGCTCAAAACAATGCGTCATTCTATCACAAGATTCACAACAAAAAAACGCCTTTACCGGCTGCAATGTTAATCAGGAGCAGCAAAACTTGTTATCCTCCTCAGTCATACAACGATGTGGCTGCCGGATATTTCCACCATACTTCATCGTAAGTGCGATCAAACTCCTATAATAAAATGATTTTTCCACTTAAAAAGTAACCAGAACGGACAACGTCGAAGCAGCATAAGCTCACCTTGCTTTTCTCAATAAACCTCCTTGCGCTATTCATCGATGTGTCAATCTTTTTCTGATCGTGCGCTGAAAACAACAGCTTGATTACTGATACTTCAAGTACCTATTACAAGTTTTCACAACTTACTATATTAACGCAATATGAATGCAGTGGCACGCACTCTGTTAAAAAACTGTCGAAGTTACCGTAGATTTACCAAATTGCACGACTAAACATATAAGTAGCGCCTAAATCAACCAACGTCCAAGTCTGAACATTCGATCTGCATTTACTGCCAAAACTTTGAATCTCTTTAAAATTTCTGTTACTTATTATTACGGATCTCACGGAGAAACATTACGTAAATATCTTACGTATAAGAGCATCTTCAGCAGGGACAGGTGCGTGTTGCGTGGGCGCCGCTGGCCGCATGCTGGCATCTGTGACAGAGGAAAATCCAGCAACTGCTGCTGGTGGTACTCCGGGCATGGCCGGCATCTGCGCTCCATAGTAACCAGGATAGTACTGTTTGTAATACTGTTCATAGTTGACGTTCATCTGCTGCTGCCACTGTTGATAGTAGGAATGATACTGGAGATAGGACGCGTAGTAATTAGTCAACTGCTCCGAGGTCATTTGTTGTTGCTGCTCCGGAGTCTGGCCCATTTTACTGCAAAGTGAAAATGAATTATACAAAAGGCAGAAAACAGAGTAATACTGGCAAGGATTTTACCGAACCCAATCAGAAACCAAACCAGGGGGAGCACACCTATTCACCCCAACTCCATTCCAACTCATCGACTGGTTGCAAAAACTTTGCTTCACACTGTCTTACAAGGAAAGGTGCACAGTACAAGCACAAAACAAGCCAGAAGCCCACAACCAAAGCGTTTATCTGCGACAAAAACCATCACCAATATCGGAGAAACAATAACCATTGCGTACTTTTTCGGCGCGGCAATACTGACGCGGATGGGCTTGGTGCCGATGATGACACCCTGCATTTCGGTCAGCGCTCGCTGCTGATCGTTCTCATCAGCGAACCTAACGAAGCCATAACCACGACTGTCGCCATGCTCATCCACAACCACTAAAAACAAAAAATTCTCCAGTAAAAACTCCCTGTTCTAAATCAATGCGAGGATCCAAAAAGAGGCACTGGAACTGCACAAGCCATGACAAGGCATAAATATTACTGAAGGAAGGTTATGACAGTGTCACGAAAAAATTAAAGAAGCGGCCACAAGCCAAAGGAAGTCTAACTAACCTCTGGCTGACTTCACTGATGAAAATCTAGCACTGAAAAAATTAAATAACTGCAGATCGTCTACGCTGTATTCCAGATCTCCAATGAAAATGGCGAAGTCTGGTAGCAGAGGATTATCTCTGCCTTGATGAGCCATGTTCAACTTCCATCGTTTCGGCTGAAAAATAAACATCTTAAAAAAATTAAACCTAAAAAACCTTTCGAACTGCGAAAAACACGCTTCATAGTAAGCCGTTTTTACAGGTGCTGTCCCGGGCATGGGTTTGCCGTTTAAGGAATGCAACGTCTTTAGAGCACTTCCGTCGTCTCTGAATTCTGCAAATAACCACAAAAAATTCAAAGTAAAAATTTACAGCTTCCTGTCTGCAACACGATTACGACGCACACTAACACCTCACTGCCAAAGTTTGTTGTGCAGTCAGCAATGTGGACAACGGAAAGGTACGGCAAATTAAAATAAGATCTCCCAGTCCAGCTATGTCACTGTCACCAGGTTGTTTACGCAGAGTAGCATGTACCTATAAAGCCATATCCTTGGGAAGCTCCAGTTTGTTTGTTCTTGATAATTTTGATACTGAGGACATGATCCGCAAACTGCGCTAGAGCTCGGCGCAGAAATAAATCATCCATTAAAGGATCGAGATCTCCAACCCACAGCACATTGGTCGACATGGTAATTTCTTGTTCAAGTCGACTCGACACAGGACGCAGCAAACAATAAATTTCACTTCGAGATTCGAAGATGTCTGCTGTACTGCCAATAAAAAGCAAATTAAATCGCTCGGATATTCATGCAAAATATAATCTGAACAATGGAAAACTGATTCGTAAAGAAAAGAAAACCCTTTTAAAAATTTTTAAAAAATCACGTATCTCATTGAATGCGCGCTCGCGCATGTGGAAGTTGTACGTACGTACGTTGTACTCGCGCTTTCTGAGTGCAGCATATTTCTAATTTTGATTGGCTGATAGAAGTCATACCCTCAAATAGCTAAAGGCCGAGTATAATATGCCTGCACCTCTACGGCTCCGCAAAACTGAATTGGAGTCACATCTCCATCCACGATAGAAATCGGTGCACGGCGGACTGCACGCTATCACGAACCGAGGAATTTTGCGGTGGAATTTGGCATTTTTCTTCGTTTGAACATTATCAACTTTATTAGTTTTATTGATTGTTCCTCTTGATGCTCTAAGGTGAGTTGGAAATTATTCAATGCGAACGATACTTCGGGTTTGAGGCTGGGTTCCGATCGTTTGCACCGATTGACTTGCTTCGTGAATGGTAGAACTATAGGGACCTCCACAAATCTGCGGATTTTCGATCAAAAATAACACGGTACACTTGAGAAGATAAACTGATTGCTGTATTGTTACAGAATGTCTGACAACTGGGATAATGATAATCAGAATGAAGGCGACGGAGAGGCCGTGGAGGACATCGGCGGCGGAGCGATCAGCGGCGGCGAACCCACTGGCGAAGTGAAGCTCTTCGGAAAGTGGTCCACATCGGATGTGGCCATTTCGGATATAGCTCTTACGGTGAGTTGAAGGGTATACATTCCGATTTTTCCGGATATTTCGTTTACAAGCCGCTATGTCTTAATAGGATTACATCGCCGTCAGCGGCAAACATGCCAAATTTTTACCGCACTCAGCGGGGCGGTTCGCGGCGAAGCGATTCCGCAAAGCGCAGTGTCCCATCGTGGAGCGTTTGACTAACTCGCTGATGATGCACGGGCGGAACAACGGAAAGAAGCTGATGGCGGTGCGCATCGTTAAGCACACACTGGAGATCATTTATCTGTTGTCTGGGGAGAACCCTCTGCAAGTTTTAGTGAATGCTGTCATCAATGCCGGACCCCGAGAAGACAGTACGCGTATCGGTCGTGCCGGTACAGTTCGTCGTCAGGTACGTATCTCACCTGTAACTTTTTAAACGGTCCTGAGTTCGATGTTTTCAGTAATCTCTGCTTCATGCCCAGCGCATTTTACTCAAGCTCGTATGTAGTATCTTTTGTTGTTTATTTCGTTTTTTTACGTATCGCTTAAATCATTAACTGTAGATTTAAAACAATAACTGTAGTGACTGTAGTTCTTAAAAATGCGGTTTCATGTTCCCGAATATAATAGATCAGATCCGGTGGTGATTGTCTCGTTCAGCTTTATTAGCAGTTTTGTAATAATGTCATCAGAGAGACGAGGGTGTAGTGTAGTCATCGTCAACAAAACGTGAAATTCATCAGATAGTTTCCTGTTTGCACTTCGAACGAATGCTCTTGGGAACGCTTTTATTAATGATAGCTCGGCTTTGGGAGAGGCTGACCCGTCCTTCAAAATAATTCGCGGTATTAGGCACTGACGGTCACATTTGTAACTTTACCGGTTTTGCTGTAAAGTGCAAGTATGTCGCTGGCAGTAGTTTGTTCTGCTGTTTGTGTGTGCTTTTATATTTTTTAAAATTATCAGAGGCGCAGTGGAAGTTTCTCTGGGGATTTGTGCGAATGCACGTTCAGCACATCGTTCATTCGAGAACAGAGATGTGAATTTTTTTGTGATTTTTTCGTTGGTAGGAGTCTGGGTGATGCAGTAGTGGTCACGGACCTTATTAGTTTAATACGTACGCATTACATTTGTTTTGGATCACACGCCTCATAATTAAATCATACATCTTTTTTAACCATTGATGACTTTAAGAGAATGGTGTGGTTCCAATTACGTCTGTGCTTTTGATGATCGCAAGATACGTAAGCTGCTTGAAATTTTAATTTAGACCTAGATCGCCTTTGTCGAATAGGTGTTGAGAGGCTATTAATTTTTTACGCGCACTTCTTATTTGAGTTTCGAACTTTGTTAGATGTGAATGCGATCAGGTGATGCGCTATCTGGAACAGTTTAAAAATTAATCTGTCAGGGTTTAATGTGTATTGTAGCTGTTTGTCTGGTTTTGGTGTTCCTGGTTTTTACACTTCTTAAAATTCGGTATTTAAATGTAGTATTATTAATCAGTTTTGTTCAAATGTTCTTGTACTAATACCACATGGTAAGCTAATTCTGTCTAACTTTCAGGCAGTGGATGTATCACCATTGCGGCGAGTCAATCAAGCGATTTGGCTTCTATGCACTGGCGCGCGAGAATCAGCGTTCCGCAACATCAAAACCATTGCTGAATGTTTGGCTGATGAATTGATCAATGCCGCTAAGGTTAGCCAGTTAATTTTAATTGTAACCTTATGTTTCTTGTTGCAACATTTTTCTTGTTGAACATGTTAACATGGTTGTCTTTTCGCTCTTCTAGGGATCGTCTAATTCATACGCGATCAAAAAAAAGGATGAGCTGGAGCGAGTCGCAAAATCGAACCGATAAAATAAATTTGTTCTCTAAACGTTTCGGGTATAAATTTTGAGTGAAAGTGGGAAAATAAAGATCACAAAAATTCCGGAGGTGTGCGCTTTAATAAGTACGAGTATTATCAGGAAACACAGATTTGTTTGACTCACTAGCCGTAAATGTCGCCGAATGGATTTAATACGGGACAGTTGCTTGTTTACATGAGGCTGTTTACAGACACACGAAACATCAATCCTGCTGTCCATGTGATTAAATTTAGAGGATTTCATTTGCACCTGGATAGCATTCACATTTCGTATTAATGAGAAAATGTTACGATTTTGCGCCGTGATCATACTCTTTTGTGAGAATTGGTTGTTTTCTACCAGCGAAATGTTCGTCCCGAGGTCGTCCTATAAATATGTGCTTGATCGCTAATTCAGAACCCATGTGCGGCAGTACAAACATAATATAAATACCGTATGCAGCATGTATCTGTAATTCAGTAATCTATACCCTTTGGGTCATCTTTGCTCTTTGAAAAAATAATTACCGGTTAGATAATTATGGCGCTTGGCGGGTATGAGCAGGGAATCTTACCAATTGTAAAGTTCACCTGATGTATTTCCAGGCTAAGGGCGTTACTGACTGTAAATGCAGACAAATTCGTGGTAAAGTCGTGTATGGTAATATTTTATTAACAACTTATTATTCAATGATTCTTGTGAATGCTTAAAAAAGGCAGCAATTAAGTGTTAGCCTTATTATGCAAGCTTCATAAATGATGAAGAAACCAGAAACTGAAAAAGTCAAGAAATTAACACCAACTTCACATTATGCGTTTACGTTTTCTGCAATGGGAAACAGCGTGTTTAGTTTGTCATTTATCAGCTGGACGCAGAGTCGACGGTGCCGTGAAGTGGCACTTGATCTGGACTCATGAACCATTATACTATGATTTGGTCAGTAATATTCTGCCACAATTTTGTATCAGTGGTCGTAGACTTATACGTGCTTATCTGGCAGACAAGAGCTGAAGTGACAAAATTTTCGAGAACACTTGTTATTTATTATTTTATTACTTATCGATCTTTCATAAAAGCGCTAAACTGCCGATTGAAACAAGAAAACTAAACACGCCAAAACAGAGATGTAAGCATCATCAATATTTTTCAAAAACATCACCCAGAGAAGTTATAGACTCAATATTCGACATATACATGAAAATTGCTCGTCGAAAAAATGATTGCATCTGATGAGATGGTTGCTGCAAAAAAAAGTTGTATTATTTACAATCATCTCCCAAGATCTTTCAAAAATCTCGCGTTGGATTTATTTTTGCGACTCAGCTGTTTTAGTTTAAACTTCTGATTGTCAATCCGAATCTTCTCTCGCAGAACCTCTAGTGGGCTGGTTATGGATAGCGTCAATCCTGATTCTGTATTGCCGTCTTCATTCATAACTGGCTCCGGGTTGCGCTTGCTAGCGTGACCTTTGGGCAGAGTTGCTGACCACCGAGACAGCGCAAACGTGTGCACTATGCCTTCGCTACCTTCTGGAGCATCTGGAGTTCCCGCATTTTCGGCAATCGGGCTTAACTCTAGGCTTATTTCCATAGCTCGTTTACCAACCGGCATCGACAACTCGCGTAACCTTTGTCCAGTGTCGCCCAAAGCCGGTAGCTGTCCGCTGTACACCTGCAGCACCGGACTGCTTTCTCGGTTTATTGTTTCCATGTGCGGATAAGTCGCCGATGCACCTTGGCTGACTCCTTCCTTGTCTTCGCCCGATTCATCCTCCTGGATCGCGGAATAAGGTATTATCGTGTCGCTAGAAATGAGCCGTCCGCCATACCGTCGCTGTGAATTTTCATTGATTAGCGACAAATCATTGGATTTTTGGGGCTCGGGAGATAAAGCGATAAGCAGTGATAACGGCACATCCGACGATGACGGATGCACCGCGGCAATTAATGGCGTTAAAAAAGAGAATACGAATACAGCTCGATGGCATGCTTTCAGCATGATATGTAAGGTCATGGTGGCACGATATCTAAGTCAGGATTTAAAAGAAGCACAAGTCAAAAATCGTGTATGCTCAGTAGATGAAACTGAATATAGCGATGTAGTTCCGGTATTCCCATTGTTTCGTGTCAAATCAAGTCGGATAATGCAATAGAAAAATACTTAATATACATATGCAGCAAAGAGGTCCAAGTCGCCTGAAACCCGAAATTGCTGGAGGATTTTTAGGAGGATAAGTGGTACATTAACGACGATTTATCCACTGTCTACAACCAGCGCTATAAGTCACTGTCGGAGATGCCAACGTGAGTCTTTTCATATAATACGGGAGTGATGCATCGACGCAAATCCATTTACGCGACTTATCCAGATAATCATGCAAGAGATGATACAGGAAACGCTTATGGGTTCGGCTTGCAATCAGGCTGATTTGCTGTTGTGTCCAGCTTATGACAGCGCGCTTGCAGGTATAGGAGGTATTTTGCTTGGATGCCTTGCAATTGTATGATTAGAATACACATGAACCTTGCTGGAGCAGTTAATTGTTGCCGTGCATTGCAGTAATTTCTCATTAGCTACAGATATAAACAATTAGGCGTGCCGGAAAAGGCACAATCATCGTAAAATTCGAGTCATACAGACAACTGCTTACACACCGATACTGCACGTTCTGGTCAAAATTCATACAACTTAAGCTGATCTCTATTCTCTTCGTTCAAAAGGTAATTTGCTGTTATCGGCAAACGTATATCGAAAGGGACATCTAACGTGCACGGAATGACAGCTACCAGCTATAAAACGTCGAAGGATGCTGCACGAATGTCATATGCAGTTCGTACGAAAAGGATGTCATCAGGTTATATATAGGACCGAAAGATTATGGATATTAACAAATTAATGTTTAAATATTGATAAACGTGAACAGACAGGTCCCGGTAACGCTTACCACCACAATGACGTGGTTGGCCGTGCGACTACTGAGTAATATGTATTGTGGTCGTTCAAGTACACTGTCGAGAAAAGAGCGCAATTTGTTTGCGACATTCCCCTTTTCTTTAAGAAATCTGTGTGCGTAATTCGAGTACGGCAATGCTGTACAAATACGCAAACGCTGTTTACGTAATATTATTGTATATCATATAACTGTACATAACTAATACACAGATTTTTGGCTTAGGTTTGGGCATGCATGGTCAGCATGGATACCATCAAACCAGTCGTAAACGCTCTTGATTTTAAATACCGTACTATGAAATAATGGGCCGATGTGACGCTGCATCAGTACATGTTTTTGCGGGTAATGCGGACGTCTCTAGCATTGTTAATTAATTACATTATGAAGTGACAAAGTATAGAGGACACTTATTGGATGCAAGCTCATGAATCTACGCACGCGAAGGCCTATAAAGATCCGCTGAAAATTTTCCCACCTCATATTTCCACGACTCACGGACTGCGCCTGCGCTAGTGGTTCATAAGCACTTTGGGCTTTCTTGTGAAAATTAAAAAACCAGCTGCGCATTATGGCAGAATCTCGATTCACAGGAGCGGTTACGTTACTCAAATTATGTACTTCTACAGCTATATCCCGTTCGCTTTTTGCAAACCATTTATACCCTGGTCTGCCAACATCAGTATCCATATACTACGTTTTTCCAGCAAAACATGTTTACGGAAAATTGCCGTAAATGAAAATGTCTGAATATTAAAGTAACATGCATCTACAGATCTTCTGCTTTGCATCGCTAAGCGGTGAGAAGCTACCCAGCCCAAATGTTGTTGCAGTAAATACACCAATATCAATGCAATAAAGCTTATTGTTAAGTCGAACGTGCGACAGGTCTGCATCAGCAAATGAAGTACTCGTAGCTAGATAAGCCTTGCTTGCGGGCTCCGTGCCCTTTACTTTTTTATAGCACGCGTTCAGATTACATTATAATTAGTTCCGTAATCGTTCAGCACCAAGTGCTGAAGTGAAGGATTTTTGTCAAGAATGTAAAGGTCAACTCTACAAATTATTCGGATTATAAAGAAAGCTTTCAAAGAGACAACATACTCCCCAACGGCGCAGTTTTTACCAGTTACCCGATACACCGGGCTGAACCCCGCTCTTATACAAAGATAAAAATAATTAGTACCGCCAAATCTGTAAGCATTGCTCGGAAAATATGGCATATGCTTCTCATTTCTGTGTTATTTCATCAAATTTTTAGACTACGGTGAACGCGCTCCAGTACTTATGATGCCTCATTTTAGAGATCAGAATTACTCAAGTCTGATGAAAGAAATGCTCGCGATCGTATTGAGACTGCACATGAATTAAGCATGTACTTATACCGATGCCGAATCAAATCACTTAAAAATGTACTACGGTATATATAGAAAATAGAAATCTATGCAATAATTACGTAAGTAGCCGTACTGTACTGGAAAATTGTTGGTCCGTACATGGAACAATGGAACAATATAGCGCTTGAAAAGTATATTTGATATCATTTTTTATGAACCATTGCTGGTTATTGGCGCGGAGGTGGTTTACAGCGTACAAACTGAACGAATGTTGAATAATATGACTTAATAACACAAAATTAATATCCACTATCCAGCACTGTGAGTACGTCGGATAAAACGAAAAACTTACGGAATATGTCGTCTATCAGTCTTGTAAAGAAATAACAGTTAGTGATTGCTACTGTACTTTCTTATAGCTACTGACAATTCCAAGTACCGACTATGCGGAAGACAAGACAATATCAAAAATTAAGCATTTCACGTGGTGCTGCATACAATATGTCCGTAATCAGTGCGTTAGGACAATATAACTGCACGTGTGAAATAATGCAGTTAAGCACGCATAAAAACGCTAAATCCACCAGCAACCGTTTATCCTCCCCATTTGGCAACGAATCCATTGATCTTTTTTGGATTACGATCGGACTGCAGATATTCCTGGACACCTTTCAAATGCTGCAGACAGGTAAAAAATCACATGACGCGATAATATGGCGTGAACAGTACAGCAGTGCTTAATCAACGGGGCAGCGTTGCTAACCTGGATGCGATCATGGTATTTCTGCAGATTAGGAAATTGCTGCAAGAAGTCCGGGAAGAGCTTGGTGTTGATATCCAGAATCTGTTCAAAACGAGGGTATCAGAAGTTTACGCTCTGGCTTGAATGGCTAACACTCAGTTTTCGACCACATGAAATAACCTTAAGTGAAGCTTGTTGCTAACCTCGAAGAAGATGAAATCGTTATAAGTGAGATAATCTCCGACAAGAAACTTTTGTTTGTCCAACATCTCGTCCAGCTGCTTCATCACCGGATCGACACGAGCATGATATCTGGGCTTGTCAGTTTCCTAACTGCAGAAAAGGAAAATTGTTAGAGTTATTCTTCTCTTCAGATTTTAAAATAGAGGAAATATTATGATAGCATCGAAAATCCTAAACTTTCCTAATTTCTGTTGAACTTTTCAAACTATATTTCTTTACGGAATGTACCAGTTTAACATTACATCAATACTAAAAAACCCTGTTCAGAAACGTTCAACTACTTTTACCTAACTGTAATTATAAATTTGCAGCTACTGCACAATGTGTACACCTACTGCCAGTCTGCAATGAGGTAATTATGTGAGCGCTTACCAGATCATTGCTAGAAACATATACCAGCCATGACCAAAGGTTACGGAAATCTTGCAGTAAACCATCCACGATATCCTGTTGGATCAAATCATCCTCATTTTTCGCAACTAAAACACACAAACCACAAAATCAAGCAATCGCACAAGCAAGCACGTTTGTAGGTATGCCGGGGAAACAGCAAATGTTAGCCCAAATGACTTACCAAGCCCATGCTTGCGGGCTAAATATTTAATAATCGCGCCAGACTGGCTGAACTTTTTGTCTCCTTCGATGTAATACGGCAACTAAAACCCGAAGAATACAATTATCGGATGCGGAAATTAATAAATTAACAGCGGTAAATATTTTAAAAAAGTATCAGAACTAGGTTTTAAAGAAACACAAAAACGAGACCCAAAGTTTGAAGGACAACTCAATAGCCGAAATAATTGTAGTACAACTTTACAAGTAACAATTAACTGGAAGCATTTCTTGCAACAAGCTATCTCAATACTGCCTTGAATGGGCGTTACGTTCAACAGATTTAAAATAGTGCTACACAAAACTGTCAAGAAATTGTTACCCCAGACCTGTAGTAGTAACGTGCTTAGTAACGCAACGGAAAGTCTCTGTTTTTAAAAGCATTCCTTACGTTTGGGAATTTGATATCCAGCTTGTCCTTCTGAGCAAACCATCCTGCAAAACCAGTAATGTTGACATCGGCGGCAAGATAGTTTCACAATCAAAACATATATATGAGGATAAAGATTCGATCTGAGAAGGTAGAACTGAGATAATGCTTTGATGACGGTAATAATTATTCAAGTGTGTAAGCAAGCCGGAGGAATTTTAAAGCCGGTAAGAGACGTCTTCCTGGTTCCACGTTTCAGATAATGTGCCGTAGTATTACGCATTTTTACCGGTTTCGGGTTCGTGGTCCCAAACCTTGAATTCATACTTGACTCCCACGTGCTCCAGCAGCATTCGAATCGGGTTCGCCAGCTAAATTTCAAGAACAGTTTTGCATGGTATCGTACCGAGGTGCGACAAAACAAGTACATAAACAATGCTTTTTCTGCAAACTGTAAGCACCACCCAATAAGCAGAACATTACAACGCCCTGTACAAACTTTCTACTCACCCCGCGAATATCCCAGTACGCAAGAACAGGAGTGGATGCCATTGCGTTGTCCGGAAACTTTAAAATCAAAATGGGGAGCAAGTGTGCTGCTGCCAAACCGATTTAACTGACTGCGAGTGCGTGCTCAGCTATAGCGAAGTACTGTATACTGTATACTGTTTTCAAGTGCAGCGGCAACTTATCGAAACGAGCACGTCGCTAACTGGTCGCCGATGTATAAAGCCCTTGAATCTAACCATCCAGTCGAATCGGTTGATAAGGAAGAGAATAGAATTAATTATGGCATCCATATAAACTGGTTTAACTAACGCGCGAAATTACTTGGCACCACCGAAACTGGTACATACAGACCAAGAAAATGAATTTTAATTTCACACATAATTATGCTGTGTATATAATATTATAGATGTGAAAAAGATTTGCACGTGAGATAATATTTTATATGAGAATATCCAGGGTAGCGTCTTGCAAACGTACGTATGTAGCGTAATACAGGTAACCAAACATAAACCTTATGAGATCAGTTTGTCTTCTTATAACTTTTAAAATTAATATTATGCCGTTGCCGCACGTGGCACTTAAAAAACTTGGCAGTTCGCTTCCTTACCGATTATTTGCATCAATGGTATTTACTTTTTCCCATTTTTCATACACCAGGAAAATGCGCATGTGTAACAATGTTAATAAATTAATCTGAGAAAATTTGATCTAGTGCGGCAAGACACGCTAAACCACAACAACGTATTTCGAACGACACACTGTCGAAGCACCGGCGTTGTACTCATGGTCAGTTACCGGCGTAATCTTGTGAAGAAACAGTTTACATTACACCGGCAGGTCTGTTGAACCGTCTCTGTGCATTAACTTCTGGAATAGTTTCCAAAATTTTCACTGATTGCGGGGATCTGCCATTGAGTCCGTTATCCATTTTTTCAATTGGAAGACATCGGTGTACGCTCCTGGTAGACCGGCCTGGGCACATCCGGCACCGAACGATACAATCCCGTACAGCGCGTAACTGTTGTAAGTTGGTGGTACAGCCATCACGAGGGGTCCCCCAGAATCTCCTACAATCAAACAACAACTTGGCATCCTGAAATGCGTTTCAATTTGGCAGGGATAATCAGCGAAAACTTTAGCTAACATTGATTATATGAAGTACGCTTGCCCTTCGGGCTGAGACAGTACTAATAGACAGCAGATTCCAGAATTAAACTTGCCAGAAATCGTAAACATGGTATGTGAAAGTGAAACGTAAGAGATGCACCGTGTAAGCGCAAAAATATTAAAACACATTCCATTCTAACCGCAAGTGATGGTGAGTTTACCTTGGCAAGAGTCCCGTCCACCTTCAGTTATGCCACCGCAAATCTATCGAAAAGCGCAGAACTCAGAATAGTCTGACCTTTTAAATCTTTTAGCAGGGAGTCAACATTACCGCAGTGTCCGGGAACCGTGTGTTCCCGTAATCGTATGCTTTATGACAGTCAGTGCTGCTAAATATGTCGATATTGGTCTGCCGGAGCTGATCACTACCGGATCCAATTGCTGCATCACTGTTTTCTGCAATTTTTAAAAGATCGCTTTCGTCAAAGCCACGTAAACTGAGAGTGTATAATACTGTATATCATTTCACAATACGAGTTAAAATTTTTACGTTGTCCGGACTGAATCGTTCCCCAGCCAGCCACATATGCAAACGGACGACCTGTGGTTCTGTTATACGACTGTGCTTGGAAAGTTCCGATTGCCTGGCTTGGCAGACAAATTGGTGATACCATGGAATTAGGGAAATTCGGAATAGGCGCAGTTAACTTAATCAGTGCAACATCATTGCTGAATGGTTGGTTTCCCGTATTGTAGTTCGGATGGCAAATGACGCGGGCGACGCTGGCTTGCTAAATGTACAGTACAATACAAGGTATCAAGTTATCATGTTTTTTATTAATTTATAGCTTTTATAATTGGGTCAAAATTTAATCGACCCAATTTATAATACGGATGAATTTTAAATTCCTGAGAGTAAGTACGTGGTATTTACCTGGCTGTTCAGCAAATTCTGGCTGCCGTAATAAACCTAAAACCAATACATTAAAGTTTTAACGGCTCACAAGCCGCTAAGAGGCTCAAAATTGTCATTGCAAAGGTTCAGTTATTTAGAAATACATAAAATCCAACCAAGAAGTATAAAGCCTAATTAATGGTAAGCAGTTCCATTATTTTTTACTCGGCATACCGCTATCCCATGTATGTACTGCACTATGGTTTACGTATTGTATGTACAAGTACAATACCTTCACGTTTTGCTGGAACTTTGCTTCCGTACTAGTATTAACGCAGTGCGCGGCGGTAACAACCCACTGGCTATTTAACTGCAACGGACAACATTAAAATTAAAGAATCAAGTTTTCAAATAATTCAATAAAAACCTATTCTTAAATTGCAGATCATACATTATATGATATCTCTTTAACCACTTAGTTTGGAAATTTTCAAATAACCTACAGGTAAGTATTGCTACAGCTGTGAAAAATAATTAGCCTACCACAGTGGCGTCGCAAAACTGTCCTCCATACTGCGTGTTAATCAGACCAACTGCCCACGGCCAGGAGTTGGATGCGGCCGGCACACCGCCGACAATGCGAGTCGACGCCTCAGTCTGGAACGCGGTACTTGGTCGGTTGTTTGAGTTGATGGGAACACCACAGTTAGCGACTGCAGGATTAGTAACTGTTGGTTGTGGGGTCGTGGTGGTTGTCGTGGTTGTTGGATTGGGGTTCGTCGGAGTGCGTATACAGTTCCAGCTGATGGCGAATCCCAGTCTGCGTGTGGGATCGTTATCCAGGTTGTAAGGGTCAGCGCAGAAGTCAAACACCGCCACATTGGTGCTGCTTAAAAAGGTTCGAGTTGCTGATTTGTCGGAAGTGGTCACCGCTGCGAAAGGATATTTATTTTTTACACTACGTTCAGAAATTAATCCATAAGCTGAAAGAACGTACATTGGTAGTTGGTACCCTCTGCAAAAGAGAAGGAAGACATTATAAATACAATGCATAAAAACTAATACTTGTGTTTCACCGGCTGATAGCCAGTTCGATTGTATATTAATAGTTTTAAGCCAATATATTAAACGATGAATCTTTTGACACTACCAATTGTTTAACCGTACTTTGCTGGAGATTCATATAACTTTTTTGGTCACACATCGTCGTTCCAATATTCGTGGCCAGTTTCCCATCGAACATCACCCCAAAGTCGTAATCACGAATGTTAAACGTGTAGGTGTTGGTCATGTCCAGGGATAGCTGGGCTCGACAATAAGTGGGTAGAGTGATAATAAATCGCTTTCTCGTTCCGGCGACGTACGGCTGCCGAGGGTAGCTGTAAAAGCCCGGATGCGAATAGAACGCGCCGCTTTCTTGACCGGAGAAATTCTGCATCGCTCGGTCCGAGTCGTATGATTGTAGGTTATAAGGTGCTGAAATTTATCGATATCCATTAACTACTTTTCGAAACTGAATAAAAATATTTAAAATTTTTGAGAACTTACTAGGCATAGTATTAGTATTTTGAGCGGAAACGCAACTGATGGTGAGCACTGCACAGAGTGCAAAAACTGAGGTTGTAAACATTCTCTTTAGTATGTTTGGAAACTATATTATTTGTACAAATTTCACAAAAAAATATTATTTACGAACAGAGAATGCTAACAACAGGTTTCTTACCGGCTACTTTGCAGCCTTTTATGGCATCCTCATCGAAGTAGGACGTGTTTCACGTTTCGGGCTAAACCATTAGAAAAATGTATGATTTAGCAATATTATGTGAAGTGTAATGCTGAATCCAGAAAATCGACAGTCGTTCAAGTAGACAACACTTTCGTTGGGTAAAGAAGCGATTGTTTCAAAGGCGTTACCACCATTACTTTAATTTCCTGAATGTATTGAAATCTAACGTGACTGACTGACTGTTGCATCGCATTCGCGGGCGATTAACGTCATTTCAGAAAAATTGTGCAAACTAAAAGAATTTAAGGTCAAGTTTGGTAAGTCAGTTATATGCCCTGGCCTTCCCATACTTCCCACGTGACACAAAAATACAAACAACACGTATACAGATTTACGGAATTACTAGTAACGCGGGCAGCATTCATTGAACGCCTGCGTCAAATCACCTCACTTCAAAAAGTATTTAAGCTTAAAAAATTGTGCCTTGTTCTGGAGAATTTGCAGTTCAGTTAGTTAAAACAGAATACATGTTCGAATGCTTGCAATGCTCGTATGTTCGTTCAGATGCAGTTTCAAATTTTGGTATACGATTACGACTGCGCTTTTGCCAGTTCACGATTATTATTCAAAACGAATTCCATGAAGATTTGTCACGCTATACATACAACTATTTGTGCATACTGTAGTTGATTCACTGGCAATGTTGAGACTGAAATGTTGCAATATTTAGTTCTGCAGTGGAAACGGTCTTCTGGTTTGCCGGGCATGTGATGTGGGAGAAGCCAGCCTTTTGACTTTTAACACATTTCAGTCCCTGATTGCGGCACTTTAACATTTTCCTTACATGTACCACTGTTTGAAAAGCTTTTTTGCTGACAAAATCAATAAAGAATTCTAATGCATACGGAGTTTCAGTTAAAACGTAAATAAGGTCATACTAATTATCGTTGACAATTGATAATAATTATCATTGATATTAGTAATAATTATCGTTATCACTGATACGGTACGTGCAACTGCAGAGCGGCGATTATGACTCTGGTAAATGAGTGTGTCAGAGTACCGATGACCAAAGGCTACTTTGTAGCTGTCAAAGGTATTATACGCCGGGCATGAATGCACAGCGCAAATGCTTAGTACGGCGGTACATAATATTCGTACAATATTTGCTATGGAACACGCATGATTGCCTGCCAATGTGGAAATGTACGATTGTATATAACTGAAGGTAAATGTTCAATATAGTACTTAATGAAGCGTACGCCAAAACAAAAAATCCCCCATGAATCCGGGAAAATTACGAATGTATGCGATTTGATTGGAGATGTCGCAGCATATACAATAGACTCAGATTGTGTGCCCGGTCACGCCACTATAAAATGATGCTCGTACTCGCTCTATAGCTACGCTGATGTAACGGTATTTAAAATTATTTTCGAGCAGGCCATTCGAGAAAAATTGGATAAAAGAAATTTGAAATTTCGTAGCAGTACACTATCATTCAATTTGTTTGCTTTTCCAATCCAATCCGAATGACTTGCACTTATCAGTGTGCTTGAAGTTTTACTAGAAGAACTATAACTAGCCTGTGATCATTGTATGTGAATATCTTTTTTCCTTCGAATCGCTTTGTGAAATGGATCGCGGGCGAAGGATGGCCGCATCTCCCTATTTTGCAGCTGCGGCTCTGGTTTCCTCGGTTCTGCTGATGAGTCTTGGGATAACGGAATGTGCCAAGAAAATATCTGGTAAGTCTTTTAAAAGCGTGACCGATTTTAATATGAGTAGTAAATGCTGTCCTTACCGGTAATTAATATCAAAAATCGAAAAGTTAAAAAATTATGCAGAATACAGGGTAATTCGCAATAGCGCAGTTGCTGAAAGGTCGATTTTACTCTGCCGAACCAAATCCACATTTGTCCGGCCACATTTTCTTTGATTTCTTGCTCGTTAAAAATTTGCTCACGCAGGATATTGAATTTTGAGCAGTTGCTTATTTTTCTGGTTTTCTAATATATAGATTTTAATAATGGTTGTTTGCAGTGGAAAACTTCGTCAACAGCGCTGAAGAAATGGCGGTGGAAGCCGGAATTCTGGCAATGCCACCGAACTGTAGTAGGAAATGCGAGGTCAAGCCGATGACGGATGCTACCAGGAAATGCGCTGCTGTTCCACATGCCATTCTGCTGCCGGATCGGTGCCACTGCTACAATACCTTCTTCACGGCCCAGAACATCACCGGTCCCGGACTTCCCACTTTTATTAATGTTACCAACTTGTGCAACGAGTTCAAGCTTTTCAAAGGTAAAGAAAACCGAGAAGAAATCATGTAACAATTTAATAATTTAATGATACGAGTTAATAGTAAGTACCAATCAAAAATTATATAACATTTAATAATCTAAATGTTCCGCGTTGATCTTAAAAGCAGTCATATTAGAGGTTGCTATCGCAATTAAAGGAAGAGTATATATACAAGCATCCAGTTCATACACTGTAACCGAATTAACGAATAATCATTATTTTTAGTATGCAGATATGGCACATGTTACTTGACAATGAAATATGAGCTGTTTGCAGTTTTGATCAGTAACGAAACACTGGTCGGAGCGCGCTTTAGTGTCCCGTGGATTCAGCTGGTACGAATTCGACTTCAGCAAGTTGACCGGCGAGGAACAGGCGCGATTGGGATATATCCCACTTAAAACAGTAAACGCTACGTTCGGTCGGGTCAAGCGCCAGATGGGCGAGCCATGGCTTGAAATGGACGACGACGCCGCATCCACGACAACAGCGTCAAACGTCGACGCATCCAACACAACCACGGCGACCACATCCGGATCAACGGTGAGCGAAATCGCATCAACGACACCGGCACAGGACGTCACAACCGCTGCATCCGAGGCGACAACCACCACGGCAGAAGTTACAACCACCGCACCCGAAACCACAACCACGGTTCAAGACACCACAACCACCGCTGTCACGGAGGCGACCATCACCGAGACTGCAACTACAGAAGCCAGTACGACGATGGCTACTGAAACCACTACGATGGGGACTACAGATGCGCAGAGCTCCACTGCCACTACAGGGATGACGACTGGTGAGACCACGGAAATGCCGGTCAAGCCCACTGCGCTGGTGACGGATGCTTCCATGGCCACCACTGCCACATCCGTGGATACCTTCTCGACGACGTTGCCCACGTCCACTACACTGCCGATCGTGGTTCCGGTGACCCAGGCGCCTGTTCAGATGATATTGTACCCAGCGGCGGATGGTTTTGGTAATTTAGCTCAATTCAGTAGAAGTATAGCAAAACAGCGGTCAGCGAGGCAGAAAATCGCCGTGCTCTGTAAACTGCTAATTAAGCTCGTCAGTAACTTTTGGTTGCTGCATAAAATTCTAAAAATTTTTGCTTCGTGATTTTTTCGTGATAAACTTACTCTTTTTTCTATTCAGAGAAAATTATTTTCAAACAATAATAATATATAAAAACAAACTATTCATAATTTAACAAATAATATCGTTTTTCTAGGTGGTTACTCTTTGGTATCTGTCCCTGTCCAAGCCGTAGCTGGCGGCGTCAATCCCGGCATCGGAGTGGGAACCGTTCGAGGGTCGCAAGCCCCGCTGACTGCCATCGCCTATCCGGGCGGCATGTTTACCAGCGGCAGTGGTCTCGGGGCAAATTCAATGGCCGGCTCCGTTTCGCCCAGCATGATTCCGGGATCGGGACTTGCAGTTCCACCTGGCCTGGCGCATGGCCTCTTGGGTCCGGGACCTTTCAAAGCGGCCAAACGGCATCTGGGCGAACCTTCTGGGTGTCCCGGCCCGTGCGGGAAGTGTGCCAGCTCGTGCCGGTCGAACTGATCTCGGCGCCAGTGCGGAAGACGAAAGCGATGATCAGGATGTCGGTGAGCAGCGTGCAGTAATTGGATGGGATGTTTTGTTTTTTTATACAGAATTTTTGCGATTTTTTTACTGAATTATTCTAATTTTTTACAGATGACGATGACACCATTGTGGTTGCGGGAAACGGCACCTCGACGACCTCTCCTCCCATTAGTTAGTATTCTACGAGTTATTTTGTATTTCTCCAACGGTACTTTACGGATGAGCTCCTTTTCAGATGCTATTTCAAAAGAAAACAGCGCGCTGATTGCCGGTACCTCACCCCAGGACTGCCATGATAAATGCCACACGACGGGCAATCAAGCCATCTGCCAGATGATTTGCGCTTCGAAAGGGGACAACAAAAACAACTTCGGAAGCTTTGTTACTTGGAGCAAGGCCTTTTAAAAATTTTAGGTTGTTTTCTAGTTTAAATAGTTTTGCCGCTGGTACGGCAAATGGGAGTGACTAAAATTTTTATTTTTGATCTTTTATCAGGATATTTCAGTATTATTTATTAGTGCTCAACAGGCTGGCCGCTGTTTAATGCCACTGATTAAACCGTGTTCGTATTTTGCGCTGTATGTATTTTACATTGCGTGTTGTATCTGTACCCGTAACATTTACGTTACTGACAAGTTTTTTTTCCTTTCGATACCAAAATCACAGAACAATAAATCAACAAATGGCAGGAGAGCACACTTCTGGCGAAGAAGTGAACACTCACAACAGGCCAAGATCAAGTTTAACATTCATCACAGAAATAAAATTAAATCACCGGTAAAATGCAAAAACCTGCGTCGACTAATGGCCCTATAAGGGCACATAATCGACTAATCACTACGCAATGGCAATGAAAACAATCACTGCAATCGTATCACCAAACAATCCCAGCCAAGTCAAACCCAGGATAACCTTTCGAACCATATCATCCTGCAATGATAAACACAGTTCTCGAGTGCATTACAAAATGGGAGAAAAGAATCGCGGTACGTACCGGTTCCAGTGGCTCAATAACCGGTTCCACCTTTTCTGGCTTATCATCGGTTTTGGCCAAATGCTCTCTGGACTCGCGGCCTAAGCAGATAAAATAAAATTAAATAAAGCGCAGTATTTATTAAACCACGAAATCGGGAAATAAGAAACACAACCATCAGACAAAAACCGGAATAAATAACAACAAGCTCATGCTTACAGGAAAACTTATTAGCATTAGAGAGTAAAATCTAATAAATCACAGTAAACCTGTTAACTTACGTTTCTTATTTGCCTGTCCTGCTTTGTGGATTTCCAAGATCAGCTGCAGAAGGGCATTGTAAGCGTATGCTCCTACCACAATCCACGTAGCCACGGGATCGATGTCCAAGGCGTCCAACAGAGTACCCAAAGCCATTGTTACACCTGAATAAAGGTTTTTCGCTTAGTTAATAAATTTTACGGTCACTGTTGGAGTGTGGGCACACGCGATCAAACATTTCAATTCGTTCGTATCTTTACGTTCAGTAAATTTCAATCTTCCTTACCGGCTAACAGCAGTGCTCCGTATCCAATACTCCAGTGAATCCAGTTGAAATATTTGCGATTCGGCGTACCCGGGTGGGGTCGGAAGGTGGCGATAATCGGCTGGACAAAGGCCAGAGCGAACGTAATAATGCCGGTGTAGGCGTGAGGAACATCCAACCATTGCTGTTTATCCACAAAAATTATGACCACAGCCGTGATAGACAGGACAACTGCGGAAACCATGTGCACACGATGGATCTGCAAAAACAGACGTTTAAGCCAATTTCTTCGCAATTGAAAATTCCATTCGCTTTCATTTTACCACAAAATCCGAAAGCAAATGTTAAGCTTACCGTAAACCACAGTTTGACCTTAAAAGGTTGAGTATCGGGCCACATGTCTTTAGTATGGCGTGCAAAAAACATTCCCATTGCGGCGCAGAAGTTCCATGCGAGTACCATCAGTATTGCTAATATTGAAGATAAACCAAGAAGAATGATAAGTAATAATTCAAATACGGAGCAAGTCTTGCCAGGTTAAAAAAAGAATTCGACAGACGCACAGCGCAGGCTGCGCTTTAACAGGTACTTCCTGCACTCACCGTGTGTTTTTTTCAAAGCGTTGGTAGTACGAGCAACAGGAATATCGCCTCCAGACGTACTATTCACAACCACAGTTACGGTCGACCAAACCCTCTTGTCCTGATGGTAATCTTTCGTGTGGTCTAGTCGCAAAAAAAACAATAATAATTCACTAGTAATCAGGTCTTAAACCAAGTATATGTTACCGTTAGTCACTGATCCCTTAGCTAGTAGCAAATAATAAGGAGTATTCAGATCGAAGGTGGCATTTTTGTCGTTCCAGAACACTGTTCGTACTACGTCGACTGTCATGGAGCAAGTGAACTTTCCATCGACGGCTTTCATAGAAGTTGCCATTACGCCATTCATGGCCTGCAAGGGAAAATACAATTGATATTATTCTAAATTTAAAAATATCATCGATATCCCCGTCATATGTTGTGGGCTGTGCTCGTGTTCTACATTTTTTTTACTACTCGTTTTCATTTTCAAGATAAAGAAACAAATTGTTATGCCAAATTTGTAACACTTTACGCTGACCAAAAAAGAAATGCCCGCACAGATGCTCATCGACAACCGAATTATTACCGTTGGAAAATTTTTGTGATCATCGCTGTTGTACGATGTAAAAACTCCCGGCTGGGCTGGCATCGAGGCGTTCGATCGCCAAACCACGCATTCCAACACCATGGCATTAGCCTTCAAGAGTAACGGCAATAGTTGAAGCAAACAGCTTGATATAAATCATCATGAAGATTCATCGAAATTCTGACTGTGAGCTACTGGATGCTGCTCAAAATTTACGCTTAAAAACCGTACGCTCGCTTCCGTTAAGCCAACAGTCGCTACTGACCATTGACATGCCAGGTGCCACTCCCAAAGCAAACCAGAACGTCTCCTGCCCGGCATCGGCTTTTCCTTCCAAGGTCACGGCGACCTTTCCATTGTCGTCGGGATCAGTTTGGAACGTGGCCACAATGGTGCATGTGTCAGTGGTTTCGCAGTCTTTCGGGAAGACAAACTTTCCGGTGGAATTTGTTGGTGCTACCGTTGTTAGCGGCGGAGTTGTTGGTACTGTTGGTGGCTGGGTGGTTGAGCAGTTGTCTTTTGCGCAGGCGAGAGCCACTTCATTGGCGGAAATTCTGGGCCTTGAGAGATGTTTCCCTGGGAGAACTACAACGCACAATCAAGTCAAGTCAGGTGTAAACCAGACAGACATTTCAAGACCACCACTCACGAGTGCCATTTCTTTCGCGCAGGCCACCGCTTCCCAACAAAATATGCATGTAATCGCGCAGGTCGAACGTTTCATTGGAAATCTCACGGACAATATCCAGTTGGAATGTACAGCCGATTTCCCCATCCGTCATCGAAACGGACGAGTTATGAATACCGTACAGTTTCTGCAAAGGTGAACTAACTGCTGCAACTGAGGTCGGCCAAAGAGGAACACTAGTTTCAGTAATTTGCTGACTCACGTCCGGAAGAACGTCATACTGGCGCCCGTTTCCGTTATAAGCAGCCAGCACTTCGTTGTCCTTATCATCGGGTCGCTTCACACATTGCACCACAGCGGCATTACTCTAAAAAAATTGACAAAATATAAAATCCAAAAGGGACGAAAACAGCCAAGGTAAACAAGGGAAAAAAGGGCACCCAAAGGCAAAACTCGAAAAAAAATCCGATGAAAAACAAAATCGATCTGTTTAAACACATTGTGCAAAAGAGCAGACTAAAGTAATGTCTTTGTTTATTTTAAGATAACCAAAGAGATAAACTAAGCGCATACCATGTTCTTGGTGTGCGTAACACCGAAACCAATCCAAAATGCCGAAGCGTTACCCCGGTCAGGAACGCGCCCGTACAGTCCCACTTGGATGACCCCGGCGGAAGTTGGCTCACCATTGGGCACAGCACTCCAGGCGAGAAGGGCTTGACAGTTGCCGGTCTCTTCGCATCCTTCCGGCACACCGAAGCAGTTCTGACCGGTGCACGCACTGGGCGGACAGCGATTCCCACAAGCCATTACGACCTTGGGGGAGAATATCGTCGGGATGGTTTCGTGATAATCTGGATTACCTATTCAAAAAATTCAACTGTAAAATGCATAACTTGTACTGAATAATTTAACTTTTAAAAAAATCTCAGATTTAGTGACTGCTTTTAATGCATACGTTATCACATACCGGCGCCTGTGATAGATCCACTTCCAAGGAGAATAGTATACGGTGTACGGAGATCAAACACAACATTGGAAATGGTGCGCGTCACATCAAGGTTGAATGAGCACTGAACATAGCCATCCAGAACTGCCGAGGAGAATTCCGAAATTCCCAGACGGGTCTATGTACCAAAGAACGCGCCAATATTTATATGCTCAGTGCTCTATATACGTAAATCGTAAACCTTTATTTAATAAGTATCACGGCACAAGTGCAAACTAAGCACCAAAACAAAGTACCAGAACGAAGTCAAAACAATCCTCTTAGTTTTGAGGAAAACTTACATTGACTAGTACGTCGTACTGATGGCCGTCGGTACCGTGCGAATTGTATCCAGCCAAAATACCGGAAGATCCATTACCGTAATTCATGCACTGAACGACTGCGGATGATTCCTGTAATCGTATACGTAAGGACGTATTAATATTAAGCTGTTTGAATTACACAAACACAAATTTGCTATCTGCAGGCACAAAGAAAAAAGAATCTTCTAAGAATCATCGTTTACCATTTTGCCGCTGATCGAAGTTCCAAATCCAACCCAGTACTGGTGCACCTTGGGATCATTGTTCACACCATAAAGATCAACTGGAATTTTTGTGCTGTTATCTGATGAACCATAGGACAGCAACTGGAGACAATTTCCAGTATTCAGACATCCTGCTGGAACTCCAAAGCATCGACGCGATTTTCCGCACTGATCGTAGACGGCGGGAAAACCGGTTGTGGGACTCGGACAGTAGTTACCGCAAGCAAATGTGACATTTGGTGTAATTTGAGGCTTCTGCCAGTGCCACATCAGCTGGTCTGTAGAATACAGTCACATCGTAGTTGACATTTTGATCAAACCATTAAAAAAGTATCACTGACTATGCATTAATTTTTACACGCTCCCAAAATACAATTTGTGAATCGGAATCCGTTTCCGAAAATTAATAATTTATTACAGCTAATCAAATACGCACACTCATTGGGCATCGTTTCGTTGATCCATCCCGTTCCCAGTAAAAGAGTATAAGGGGTATTCAAATCGTACGTTGTTCCGTTAATACTTCGTTGAACATCCAGATGGAAACTGCACTGGAGAGCACCGTCCACCAGCAAAGCATGTCGATGGGTAATGCCGATATACCGCTGCAATATCACAATACAATTTCCTTACAAAGTGCAACAAGTCTCTTCTCAGAAATGCTAAATATTATCATCTCCACAGCTATAAAAACTTAAACGCCAGTGCAAACAAAATTGCGCCAGTGCAAACAAAATTTTATTAATTTTCTACCTCAGTCAACGGTTGATATTCATGGTCGGGTGCGTTGTAGGCTGCTACGATGTCATTCGTTCCGTTCGAATAATGCGCACACTGAACTACTGCCGTTTTATCCTGCGAAGGCAAAATTTGGTCACCAATCGCAAGAAATCAACAATAGGCGGTCTGAGAGTTGTACCATTCCGCCGGAAATCGAAGCTCCAAAACCAATCCAGAAATCATCTTTGTATGTGGCATTATAGGGAAATCCGTACAACCACATGGGAATTTGACCGTTCAAAGCTGCTTGGTAGGCCAAGAGTTGTTGGCAGTTTTTCTTTTCCACACAACCTTCCGGCACACCCTGGCATTTGTGTGCTTTTCCGCATTTTGCGTACAGATCTGTGACAGTGATTTATTAAGCAAAAATTCCTTATATTCAAAACCTTTAGTGGAAAAGTATAAATAAAAATCCAAATATTTACGAAATCCTTATGACATCAAAATTTGGATCCAGCAAGAAATACAATGCATCCTAAAACTTGCCATCGAAACTTGGTAATTCAGCAACTTCTTCTTCGGCCGAAGATCGTCGATTGCGGCAATGTTTACCACATGCCATAACGATTTTATCTTTCGTTGCGTACGGCTTCGAGAGATGCCATTTCAGTTCATCTGTATTGTACAAAAAAAAAACATGGTAACGCAAAAATTTAGCCTGTACACAGGATTATGTACGCCCTTCTACGATTCTGTAACAAGGTCTGAATTTCTGAATTACATGTACTGGGAGCCGTTTCGTTGATCCAGCCAGATCCCAGAAGGAGATAGTATGCTTTACGGAGGTCATAAGAGTTTCCAGCGACATTTCTGGTCACATCCAGTTTAAAAGCGCAGTGAACGAATCCGCCAGCAAATCTAGTCGATATTTGCGAAATTCCGTTGTGGCGCTATAAGCGAAACCCGGGATGTCACAAAACATTTTCCAAAACATGTTAGACAAAACCTCACATCAGGTAATGGTTGATAAGAATGCATAGGTGCGTTGTAGGCGGCAACAACATCGGAATTGCCATTGGAGAACTGCGCACACTGCACAACGGCGGTCAAATCCTGCAATTACCAAAAGTGTATCAACCGCAACATTTTGGCTGCGCTCTTATTGCGTTCCTAAATCTTCCCTTGAATATGTTAATAAAACAGTAAAGAACAAAAAACTGCTATGTATTTAAAGAAAAATGGGATCGAAAATGGAAGCCAGAACTAAAATATCGCTAAGCGAGTATACACTGGAAGAATTAATCGAGATATCTTTACCATGCCTCCAGACTGTGACGTTCCGAAACCAACCCAGAAATCATTCTGATATGTGGAATTCGGAGCTGTGCCGTACAGATCGACGTCCAAAGTGTTGGTACCAGTGTTAAGATTGCTGTAGGAAAGCAACTGCAGACAGTTTTTACTATCCACACAGCCGGTTGGAACACCGTAACACTGCCGCGAATTTCCACAATCATCGTAAACATCTATGTATACGGATAACGGTAAAAACATATATTTATAATACTGCGCATGCGGCTTTTGCGCAAACTAAAAATTGTTAAAATACTAATGATTACCAGCGATTTCCGGTTCGTTGTCTCCACATTTATTCCCACACGCCATTACGATCTTATCCTTAGAAATAGCCGGCTTCTGTAAGTGCCACTTCAGTTCGTCTGAAACATACGCCAGTCCATGAGATTATTAAAAAAAGTAACCACGAGTGAAACGATACATCATTAGATGGTAAAGCGTACAAGTATTCGTTGCAGTTTGGTTAATCCATCCGGAGCCCAACAGCAAATAATATGGTTTGTGCAGATTGTACACATCATGGGCTACTTTTCTTCTAATATCCAAATGGAAGGAACACTGCACATAGCCATCATATTTTGTCGTGGTAATATTCTTGATCCCAGCATGATGCTAAAACCAGTAAACCCCTTATGGCTTCATTATAATACAGGCTTTGAATGGTATAAAAAATATTAGTATGGTGTTTCGAAGGCAATCATAAGCAGTGTTCGTAGGACTGGTAAAAAAATAAAAAATGCAAATAGGTCTAACGACCATTCCAAGTACGAGTATGAATCTACAGATAGTATAAACATTAGACCAAAAGTATTTTGTATCCTTAGCTTTTCTGGTGTAATTTTCGAAGGAACGTACATGCGGAAGCGATACGTATTTGTGGTCTTTGGCGTTGTAAGCGGTCACAACGTCAACGGTGCCGTTGGAGTACTGCGCACATTGAACAACAGCAGTGTAATCCTGTAATTAAAGAGCCGAAGTAGTTAAAAGAAGACGATGTATAGCACCATCTTTCTCCAAACGAAACAGTGATAGGCATGTTACAGTAACGATTATATTACCATGCCACCGGATTCCGATGCTCCAAAACCAACCCAGAAATTGTCGGCATACGTCGCATTCGGTGGCGCTCCAAAGATATCAACGGGGATGGTGCGGCTGTGTTTGTGAGCTGCGGCACCATAGGACAACAACTGAAGACAGTTTTTCTGGTCAACGCATCCGTCCGGCACACCAATGCATTTTCGTGTTGTTCCACAATCGGCATAAACATTCGATAAAATAAACGTTTCTATGGGAAGAAATTTTAAATTACAATACTTTCAACTCCGGCAATTCATGACGAATTCAAAAATTTTAAAACACCAAAGAGAACAAAATTAACAGCTGCACCTACCGGTTGGTTTGCATTTATTACCGCACGCAAAAACGATTTTCTGGCTGGAAATAAATGGTTTCTCCAAATGCCATTTCAGATCATCTAAAAAGGTGATCATCACAATTTTAAAAATCAGACATTTGCATCCGACTTACATTTATGTCTTGCTGTTTCATTGATCCAGCCCGAGCCCAGCAGCAGATAATACGGCTGGCGAAGGTCGAAAAGCATGCCCGAAACATTGCGCTCCACGTTAAGTTCGAAGGCGCATCGCACGAAACCGTTCTTGAAGTGCGTTCTGATGTGATGGATACCTTCGTGCTTCTATAATTCGAGAACTGATAGTATTAAGCGAATATAACTTCAAAACTCTCTATAATTCTATTAACTAAATTCTTCCATTGAAGAGTGCAAGCAAAATATTATGATACAAAATGACAAGAATGATACTGTCTACTGGTATCTGCTACAAAACACTTCAAACAAATTTCTTCTGCTTACCCGAGTAAGCGGTTCGTAATTGTGCTGGGGAGCGTTAAACGCGGCAACAACATCAGATTTTCCATCCGAATAGTGCGCGCACTGTACAACAGCGCTCAGATCCTAACAGAAACAAGTTTTTTTATAACTTTGAGAAGTCGAAGAAACCATGCTGTTACGCAGTACCATGCCGCCGGATTGTGAAGCTCCGAAGCCAACCCAGAAGTCTTTCTTGTACGTCGCATTGGGCGCGGTTCCATAGAGATCCACCGGGATACGGTGGTTATGCTGCACTCCATATGAGATCAACTGGGAACAATTCTTTGCTTCTATACATCCGGCTGGGACACCGTAACACTGCCGTGTTCGGTTGCAGTGGTGGTATACGTCTACGATGAACAAAGATTACATTTAGAAATACAGCGTTTATAACAATATAATTCCCGCACAGCCAGATTTACTTCCGTCAACTATTTTACCACCGAAAAGCAATTATTGTACTATACAAACACATTCGGCCAAATTCAACAAATTTACATTCGAAACATCCCGGTATAAATGTTCTGAACTGTGTAAATTACTAAAAAACCTTTTGCATAATAAAAAATTCCTTAAATTCTAAGGAATTGAATGATACTATGTGCGGGCTGTAAATCTGTCGACTTGTTTTGGCAGGTCAGTTTTAAATACTCGTACTGAAACTACAGTGCTATGCTAATAAACGAGCAAATTTGACCGATTCTTTTATTGTCACTTTCTCTTTCTATTCGTAAACGGCGCAAGTTACAATTTCACATACTTGAAGATAAAGTATGAGCAGAAAAAGTCAAAGATAAGCACCAAACAAAGGCAGCACTAATCTTAAGAACAATCGAATTTCACTAAAGACGAAATTTTAAGCAAGCAGAGAATTCTTTAAAAATGCAACAAGCTTTATCACAGACAAACCGCCGGTAAATATTCAATCATACACATCATCATGATTGAATAACCGTATGTATTCAAGCACTCATCCGAATCCGTTACAATTAAGAACATTTTGTTCCACATGCCATGATGACTTCTTCTTTGGTCACTTTAGGGATGTCGAAGTGTTCCTCTAATTTATCTACAAATGTAGTGAAAAGGTGCACACTGCACGGGCTCACGTCTGCTTTGAAATTTCTTACAGTGATCTTCATCATCCACCTCATCCCAGTCATCGTCATCTTTCACTTTTCCGGAGCCCACCAGAATATGATACGCTTTCTCCAGATCATAAACAGTCCCATCAACTGTTCGCTGCACATCCAAATCAAAAGAACAATGCTGATAATCGTCCTCCGAGGTGACAGTGATATTGCTGATTCCAAGTTGTCTCTAAAACAGCAAACATTTACCATTTTTGAATACAAAAATGTCGTTTTTGGCTAGTTTTTGCAGACTATACATTTATCGCTATTCATATCAGGTCATCAGATTTTCTGCACAAGGGTTATTATTTAAAAAAAATACTACACGGTTTCATGGCTTGATAGAATCTCGAATGTACGTATGTCAGGAATCCCAGCAATACTTACGTTGTCCAGCGTGTGATACGAATGTTTCCCACTTGTATACGCAGCAACCACTTCTCCAGAGCCATCAGGATAACGCGCACACTGGACAACGGCTGCATTTGTCTAAAAAAATTGCAAACATCAGTATCAAGACGCTCATGCAACAAAAACAGGTTCAATTTTCAAGTTTCACCACTAACCATTTTCCCTGATAAATTAACTCCGAATCCAACCCAGAACTTGGTGCTATATTTTGACTTGGGAGATTTGCCGTATAGTTCCACTGGAATTTTATTGTCACCACCAGCGGCACCATATGAAAGAAGAAATTCACAACTTTTTCCGGAAACACAGCTATCAGAATCTCCAATGCATGCACGCGTGGTTCCACAAGCGGCGTAGACGTCTACAAATTTCAAGATCATTAACGCACACATAGTCAAATATTATGTAATGTAGGCGAAAGATTGTCGAAAACTCTGTCATACCATTTACGTTCCAAATTGGAGACAACGCAACGCCAAACAGTTCAGCTTCGTCAATAAGGAAGTCGGGACGATCTACGAGCAGATTCCGAAAGAGAAAGTTACGCAGCGAAGCAAGAAACGGCTGTCCATCGACGAAAAGATGCCCGCAGATTTAAGAAAAGCGAAAGAAGATGGTACGAAGCCGATATAAGCATCCATAGTACAAAGAAAATAATGAGCTGTTTGACCAGAAATGAAATAAAATGGGATAATTCTGCTCTTATGTTGCAGAATAAATGCGGCACTTATAACATCTTACGCAAGTACTGCTACTTTTACAGTTAGATAACCTAACTTGTAATGACTGTTAGGATTTTCAGGAGCGATAATTTTCTCCTGAATGCTGCCTGCTGTTGCAAAATAATGGTTATATATTAAATAAGTACACATGACAATCGTTCTATAAAACATACTTTATGTATAAAATGTAGATATATGTGATTAACCAATCAGCCGAACACCGCAACAGGAAGACAGTCTGCAGTTCATATCTCTGCTTCATTTGCACGCCACAATGGCACAAATAAAACCGATATGAAGTATTATAAACTTCAAGTCTCCATTAATTAGTTATCACTCTATGGTTGTTACTTGCTAATCTTATCGCAAGGCCTTGGCCTCTAAAATGATGCACGTTACAATTATGAAAGCTAACGGCATCTCAAAAATCACATGATGATATGACTACAATTAGGCGTTGATTCCTGAGAAAAATAACTAAGTGCTGCTGTAAGTTTTTTTGCGCAGAATTACTACTAACAAAATCCCATTCAAAAAAATCACTACCTGTAGACTATCTTCTACGGTCAACTGTTATTCTGATTTTGAGACTGGAGATACTGTAAAGTAGTAGAAGACTCCACCATGAGTATTGAGTAACGCTAATGCGACAAATTTGAATTTAAAATTTATGTAGTTCATTACGTCAATTCCAAAGCAGTTTTCAGTCCAGCACGAGTAAATGTACTCGTAGTGTCTCGTACAGATGGTACAGTACTTCTATGATTCTATCTGTGATACAAAATTGTCATATTAAATAGATCCACGCTTGCAAACTTGTTGATTCACACTCTACAAGTCTGCATCATGAATTTTATCGCAGTCACCAGGGAGTTTATAAAATTTTCGATTTTCGCATCATCGTATGCAATGAAAAAAAATCGATTTTTAAATTTAAATGGACCGCTCAATCAGCTGATGGACTTACCGTCGGCGATTGCGCCATTCTCCAGAAAATCCTCCTCCCAGGAGCTGCCGTCTCTGGATGGAATCAGCGCCGCATAACTAAGTCCCACAAGCAACGACGTCGCCAGGAAAGCGGAGATCTTGAGAGGCATTTCTGCGTGCTAGGCGTCGTACAGCGCCGTGGATGGCGAATACAGTACAATCAACGGTCCGCTGGGCTGCCCGCACTTAATCAAGTGATCGGGAAGTGAGCAAGTCCGTAAACTGAACCCGTCGACACCGTCGCATTGGGCCTTTATTTTATTCCGGCAATAATGACGGCACGTATGTGGCAACAGGGTCTGCTACAGTGAGCTGATTAGGAACAAAGTCCATCCTCACTGCATGCTGCACGGTATAATCTGCAATTCTGCATTTACAGCTGATAACCGAGCATAATTGCGCTAACTGACACTGAATGTCTTCGCCAATGTGACAAAATTACGAATGAATGGAGATATCAAAAACACAACAAATAAATTTTGTCACAAGGCACGGCTGTCAGGAAAAAGATAATGCTCGCAAAAGAAAAGAGCAAATTAAGCGTAGAAACCGAGAAGTTTCTAAACTTCTCGATTAGCGAGTCGTCCTAGTTTTCGACGAGGCGCTCGGCATGCAACGAAGAAGTTGCACAACACGAAGATCGCGCAGAAATGAGAAATCAGCAAGTTTGTTCGCGCATACAAGTGACTGACCGCTACAGGCGGGTAAGTGTTTGTAAAATTGGAGTTCTGGCTTTGTCTTTATCGAGAGCTGTTTCCGGTTCCAGGTTTGAGACGCCGGTGCAGAGTGACCAGACTGAACCCTAATACGCACAGTAACCTAGTGTTTGGGAAAGGAATCCCATCCCCCATGACAAATCTTTAAATCATAAATTTACAAGCACATTCTTAATGCGTTTTCGCTGTTTATACGCGTATCGATCGTCAGTCTTTATGAGGATTCCAGACCCGGCAGTGAACTTCCAAAATACGGGCAATGGATGAACAGAACTTTGTTGGCGCAACCTGGAAAATGTATGCCTTTTATTTGAACATTAACTACAGAATCTGTCTGGCACTTATGTCTGCTATTCATTATTCTAGGACAAGAATATCTGGCGCTCCTGATGGTCATTTTGCCACATAATAAGGTTTATCAAGATGTGCCGGAAGCATGGACCGAGGGTGAGATAGTGTTAGCGTCACTTTTTAAATTCGACTGTAGGATTCATTCAAATTAATTGGATACAGATTCCACAAAATCCTTAAGAAAGTGTGTTATATGGTACTGGGCGTTCGAGTCGGCACCCTACAGATTTCGGGATCCCGGCTTCTCGACTGGGAAATCTTAATTAATGAAGAAGTTAGGCATAAGGAATTTATCCCGGTGCAGCATTTTGTCTCAGCTCATTTGCAAGTTGGCAGCGTTTGCATAATTTTGGCACATGTGCATCCTTGTATGGTTTAGATCTTGCTATGTCCAATATAACAAGGAATTAAATATTGAACTATAAAAGAATGTTTCCCGTATTATTGGCCCGTATACAACTGCATTTTAGCAAGTACGTAATACAAACGAGAAGTACTCTTATGTTTTAGACTTAAGTGTAATAATATCTTAAAATGCTGGGTATCCGAATTCTATTAGTATCTACTATCCATTGTCCACCTCCCTGCCAGAACTAGTGCTGTAAAACCTTGCAATTTGCATTACTGTTCGCACTAGTGAGATGTACAATATCTTTACTGCATCATTGATTTCATACAAAACCAAATAACCAAATCGGCAGAATCAGAGCTTCAATATTATAAAAATATTAACAAACAGAAAATACTTGCAAATGCCACAAACAATAATCGTAATTACTTTTTTCGTATCGTACAACACAAAAAATCACGCATACACAACATTCAAAAGGATAATAAATTTATATCAAAAGAGTTGGCCAATTTTTGATCATCTACTTTAGGAAGCCCACAGGAGTGATTCCGAGGATTTTATCGCCCGACTACAACATGCTCAGCATCCCACTAGCCGTCACCGTCATCCGATTGTCAAGCGCGTCTGGCACGTCATACCGTCATCAATCATGACGCCAGAGACAGCAATTGTCCAGAAAAATTACTCTGCCCCACTTTTCACGCGTACACGCATATCCCGCTCTGCGCGCTGGGTTGATCTGTCACAAAACCCTGTGTGTCGCCGGTTATTTCCCGCGCGTTAAGTATGTGCCATCACTGCGTTTGGGAGGCGGCGGGGGTCTCCTCCTCGCGCTCTCATCACTGCTGCAGCTGGGAACCGGTGATGAGATGCCTCGCAATAATTCCGGCGGCGGAGGCGGTAAATAATCGCTACCCTCGGGAAGCTGCGACTCATTGAGCAGCAGCGAATGCCGTTTCTTCTGGGCTAGCATTCGCACTAAATCCGCCATAAATGCCGGATTGGGTGAGGCTAAACGCTGGACCGGTAGCGCTTCGTTTCCTAACGAAACGCTGCGTTCAAAAGAATAACCCATCTCTTTCCGTTCTGCGTCCGTCATGTTCAATTTCGTCATGTCACTTCGCCGCGGCGGTGGCGGGGGGAGTTTGGCTTTATGACTGGGACTCATGGACTGCGGCCGCGGCGCATGTCCATTGACTATCCGCGCTGGACTACTGGGCATTACCGGCGACGGCGACGCGACCGGCATCCGTGCCGGCGATGACGGTTGGCTTAATATATCATGCACTTCCGGCACAACGGCCAAAACTTTTTTGGTCACAAGAGGAGACTGGGATTTGGTTTTCAATTCGTGAAGGAATGGCAGATTATTGGACACCGGTTGGTTGGCACTGGCCGCACTGGGACCGATACTGTGTCGCGATTCCAGAGCCGGCTTCTTGCCATCCAGACTGGGTTTCCGCTGCAACGCAGCCGGTTTTGGTGGGGTCGGGGGTGGAGATCGCAATAAGGTCGGCGACAGAGGCAGCGATTCCATCGTTGGAGACAGGAGCTCTGGCGGCGGCGGGGGAAGGATGTCCGGCTCGGATAGGTCCGAATGTGATGTGACTGACGTCCGCGAGGACTGCGAGGAAAATGACCGCCGTTCGTCGGCATTGCGCATAAGGAGCTGCGATGTTTTGGGGGTGAAGGGCAGTTTTGGCGTGCTGGAAGGCGGATTGGTGTGAGGGGGCTTGCGTTTAATGGTGCCGGTGGGGGGCTCATCATCGAAGGCGCCGTAATTGGACTGCGGGTGGATGGGATCGTTGGGATGGCGGCGATTAAGGACAGGCGTCTGTTGAGCGGAGGAATTATTGGATTCCTGTGCTGCTTCCATGGCAGCTGCCCTCTCAAGGGCCTTGTTGAAATTCTCAATAAGATGCCGACCATGTTTGGCAATCCTGATGCCCGTCATCCACAACTCCAGACTGGCCTGGTCATCCGTGCAGATGAAGCGAATGTTTTTCAGTGCTTTCGCTGATTGGATTTGCGGCAGTTTCAGTGCGAAGCCGTAGTCAGTGGGCGCCTTATGTTTCTTCTTCCAACTTAATCCTCGGTATAAATTTACCGCATCGAAAGCTGTCAGGCAAATTAGATCGGCGCTGGATGTTTGCTGAAAATATGCACAGGAAAATGTATCTCACCATTGATTCAACGCTTTTTGGTATATTATTGCAGAAAATACAAATGCTTGTACCCGTACTATTATTTAAGGCTAACAATAGTAAGCGTAAATGAATTGTCTTTGAAACACTCCAATTTTACGATAATTTTATAAAAATTTCGAGGCTATTAATACTGTCATGAGATTAAGAAGTAAATTGTATGTACTAATGTTACTTGCATTAAAATTCATAGAGAGCGCAGAGTTTACATTAAAATTTATAGAAAGCATACCGAAATTGCACGTGAAACACAATTAAATTGGAAGTATTCGCTAATACCTTTGCTTTTGGTTTGGTACTGTAATATAAACCGGATGAGCGCAGAACGAACCAATAACGCTTCCATGCCTTTTTGTCTGTTTTCAGATATAAATAATTCTCTAATTCTGGAGGCGAGATCGCGTGACTAGAGAAGTAATCCTGTAATAAACGGTACAAAGTCAAGCACTTACTCTTGTACACTGAATGTGCGAAATACGTGTGATTTCCAGTCACTAACCTTTAACAACGCCCGGCGAGACAGTTCATCGTAATCTGTGTCTTTGCAAGCGAAACCGACTAGATAGACTTCCGGTCGGACAATAAAGTGGTATTTATCCTTCCTTTCCACATATAACAGTTTGTTCTTGCTGTCGCGGTCCCACATAAGATAATTTTCGACTAGATTTTCGTGATCCTCAAAAAACCGTTCTGCAAAAAGCAGCATAATCTCCATTAATACATGTGCGTGCCGAATAAAACAATGATCGCAGAATTAGTATACAAGTACACATCGTATACTCGTATAGTTAAAGTATTTGTACGCTTCGGTCTAATTGGTATCGTTTGATATTAAAGTATGTCACAGCACAATCCAGCATAGGAGGTATCTTTATGCCATTTAGGGTTAAATTCCAAAATTAGCTTGATTTCGCTAAAAATCGCAGCAGTGTCGGTTCAAATGGAAATCTTCAATCAAACATGCAATGCCAGTAGCTGCATTCTCCAGTGCATCTCGCTGTTCTAATTTCACCGTGAAACATGTATGGCCATATATTTGCTCTTTCTTCGGTTTCCCTTTCCCGTTTCCATATGTGCGTGAAACACGGATTGAGTTAATTGGCCCACATTTTATGTTCATTTTACTGCGGAGCATGCCAACGGGATTCAATGTGTGCGATATGAGAAATTTCTGGCTACTGTGTGAGCGAGACTGTGTGTGTGTGTGTGTGGCGGGTGAAAAGGATTTCTTGTTTGTCCGCTTCACGGAAAGGATAGATCACAATCTCTCTGGCTACTGACAACCGAACCACCCTGGATGAGGATCATGTGTGCGCAGGGGCAATGGAGAGTATGGACAGAGGGCCCCCCGAGCATACTCATGATATAACCATCACCAGTTGTCCACTTTTCGCATGTAAACATATTTGATGGAAATTTCGAGACGTGTGTACAGAGTACCTCCTCTGCTCTAGCATTCAGAGCGAAAGTGTGCGCCAACAAAAATTCCTTTTCCGGAAATATAGAAGTGTTATAAGCCTGCGCTTACATAAAAAAGCTAAATAAAAATCATGAAAGGGTATGAAATTAAACAAAATTCATTTTTTGCGTTTAGTTAGATCTTATGCACAACCATGAATAGCAGCGGATGCAGATGCCGGTATAGTACACCTGCACCAATGTAAATGCATTTTGCTTTTTTTATTTTCGTTTCCGCACGTTTTCAAATTTACATCATATTTAGTTTTTGAAATATCTCATTTTCAACAAATCTTTTAGAGGTCCGTTTGATCCACAAAAAAATTTGGCGCGGAAGGAGCGTTCTGGCGAGTGTCTTTCTAAAATTCCGTTGGCGCAGCCATTAATAATTAATTGTTACACGCTGGGTGGTGACTGCGGGTAGTATGTTTAGCATGATATAATAATCATGACAATATTATGGTTCGTTGATATTTAGAAAGTTACACCGGCTTGTGATCTGTCAGGGATACAAGTTATCACACGGGTGTAAGCAAATCCCAAATCGAAAAGATACCCCTGCCATTAGGTCGTTATGTGTTCCTGTCGCACCAGTATACCGACGCGTGTGAAATGCTGACCTAGTGTCCGATTTAGTTACATCACACTCCATATCCCGGCAAATTCATTAGGCAAACAGATAATGGAATGTTCCCTTACCAATATGCAGTTCGGGTAGATACTCCACAATTGTGCAATCAGGAGTGAGCTTCGTATCGCTTCTTTCCGCCAAACTCTGACACACATCCAAACACTCCATCCTATCGTCAATCGACAGGCTTTTGCGCAGTTCATCATTGAAATGGACGGTGACAAAGCACTGCAAAATAACCAGCTATTGATCTAATTTTATACATAAAAAACAACCAAGTGAAATCAATCATGAGCCAACACAGGCGGCGCAGAGGAAGAGCGTTTATGCGATGAGCATTATATTGGTGTTATGTGACAGGAATAATAGTCTGTCGCTTCCTTTGCTCTACTTTTCCGCTACACCCGGCAAAACTTGACCGATTTTTTGCAGTCCAGCTATCGCTTCACATTTTCTAATTCGTTTTAACGCAACAAAATTGTAATGATAATTGCTTTTATCATGAAATAAGTTCTTTTATTATTATTATATTACTGTTGCCGGTCAATATAACTACTTGTACTGTTCTGTTTGTTTATCTTGAAACTGCTAACTGTGCACGGATGTCTCGTAAAGATATAACACTTCACTTGTCAATCGAGATAAGCAGCAAAAAATGTATCAACCATTCAAAAACGCAGGTAATACTCTGTATATCAACTTTTTCAGTTTCATGCACATGTATCCGACTGTCTAAGCTCTGTGAGATTCTGGTGCTGCTGGACTACTTCGATATTTTTCACCTGGATTACCTATATAAATAAGCAGCCACCTAGCATGCGCAAAGATACACTACACAAGAATATCTCTGCAATGTATGCTACAATGTTTGAAATGCAAATATTAATCTTCTTCCCAAGCCATATATATACCTTACCGTTTTACTATCTCCGTCATTGATTTTCTCCAGCGCAATTTTAGTCTTTTCGGCCTTAGCTAATGCTGATCCATCGCCAGATCCGATCGTCGTCTGCATTTGCCGAAAAGAAAAACGAAAACATGTTAATCCTCAGGTTATATGTTACGAACTTTGCAACGCACAGCTTTTAAGCACATATAGAACAGATTAAAACTGCTAAAAATAATATTAATGGACAGCAAACAGCAACTGACAGCATACATTACTTGGAATCTGCCCAAATAAATCATCTTATGGAAGGAGTGTATTTTTTCTTTGGTTACTTGGTTTTAAAAGCATAAGTCAAAACATGCAGGAAAAGGATGAAAATATTTGGAAACGAAATTAATCACATATACGGACATAACGCACTGGGGGAAGAAGACGAAGCCATAGCCAAAACCCAAGAGATTATATCAGCCAAAAGTGCAGTGAACTTACGGGAGAAATATTTTCCTTCTCACCCACTTCAGATATGCTCGCAAGACGTGCTACAGAAGTGAGCCGCTGTATATGCATGCAAAGAGTGTAAATTAAACTGTGTACAAATATGTAAGCAGCACAATAATAAATAGGAAAAACGAAAAAAAAAGAGGAAAGGCGCATAAAAATATAAATCATGTGTGTTGGAACAACCAAAAATTACACAGCAGCTCCTTTGGTGTTATCGCACTGCCCATTTCAGCAAACAGTTAAAGCTGGTCAAACCTGAACAGCAAATTATATTTCGCGAAAAAAGTAAATATGTAGAAATTTATAGCTATTTTCGTCGCTTTTGAAAATAGTTTCTTAGTTTATAATCTACGATATCCAAAAATTGACCAAGTATAACAGAAACTAGCTTCCGGAAGAAGACTATCGAACGAGCTGGGCAATTACACAACCCGAGCAAAAAACAAGCAAACTGTCCAAATCATTAGGTACAATCAGTAAAATGGCTGTCTGTTTGGCATTTTGCGACGGCAAAACGAAAATTAATGACTTTGAAACTGGCAAATCAATCACCGATGATATTAACCATGCGCCTACTGTAGCGTTAGCTATCTTGAAAACTATTCGTAGATGTATTTAGAAATTTTTCCTAAGAGTAAATTATTTGAAACAAAATCCCGAGGTACCTGTGTGGGGGATGGTGCATTAAGCGAGCCATTGCTGCTTTTGGATGATCCACTTGACATACACGATGCATCAGTGCGGGATGCCCCAGATTCGGACGATATACAGGACACATTATCCGAGAAAGCCGAATCATTATCGGGACTGTCAGCATTGGCACCAACTTGTTTATAATAATGCTCCACTAGATCGAAACATTCCACCGCACCCGCACCACCAGATGCATGGGTCTGCAGTCCAACCGGCGAAATGGACTTTCCATTAGGAATGGTCATCTGGTTCATTGTGGAGTGATGACCAGGTGAAAGAGCTTCCTCGAAATGGGGCTTTTGTGGTAGTGGGGGTTTTATGGAATTCGGTGAGAATTTACTAGGTATTTTACTGACATCTTGCACAAGAGAATTTCTGGATGCAGCAATGGAAGCAGGGGCAAGTGCACTGATCGCCGTGGCGTGTGTGCTGCTGCTGTTGACGGCTTCCACCGTACGCCGTCGCTCGTTCTCCAGTTCATCTCCCAGTGCACACAACTCGCCAAGGATGGCGTCCAGATCGACATCCTCCACAGAATCTGCAAACGCGCGGGCGTAAATATATCCCATATGGATGACTCATGCAGTCATTAGATATCGACCCATGTGCAGCTATGAATAGTAAACCTTATAAACACAATCACAGTCCCCACCGGAAACAGCCGGCGCCCGTCACACCCAGTTTTAGCTGGCTGACCGAATGACCATTTTTCTGTTACAAAGCTGGTGTGTGCTTTCGGTTTAATTTTACCATTGTACTCGTACCAACTGGATATAATATTATACAAACAATTTTTTCAAACCTAAGTTTGCGATATCACTAAATGTAAATTTTAAGTTCAAGAGAAATGCGTAAGTTTTAAAAACTGACTTCAGTATAAAAGGTTCCAGTCGCTTTGACGTACAGTAATTAATCGCTTTCTAACACGCATTTTTGCAAGGTTCACTGCAACCAGACTCCTTCTATATGTGATCCACCGACGAAAAGTTTCACTCATTTCATAAAAAAACATCATATACTAACTATATGAAGCAAGAAACTTGGTTATTCCAGATTATGATTAATGATTCGTGAAACATTCGAACTACAAGGTATTTACTTGAAGAGAATTTTACGAAAAAACCGGCTTGAATGATCTACAATAACATCGACTTTAGTACTTCAGTGATACCTATAGGCAGCAATTTAAAGTGTTGATGAGAATAGTTAGACAGCAATACAACCATAACTCTTTTGCACTTTTGAAGTTATTATACAATTTTCACGCCTAGTTTTTGTTGTTAAACAAAAGGTAATCAATAGCAGCCTTTCATATTTCTGACGTCCAGCCCGCGGTTAGAAGCTCAACGAACACAGACGCCGGACCGGTGTCCGTTCAGAAACCGACTTGATCACCCACCATCAATCAATATGACGTAAGGTCGATATGTTACTCCCTGCACTGTGTTGCACGTACAGTTTCTAATGTGTAATATTCCTGCACTCTTCCATCCAAATCTTATTTAGGGAATCATGTAAACTGCGGTATACAATACATATACATGCAATCGTATGCATAGTAATGTAGGGCAACATTAGCATAACCCGGCGAATCAGTGCGCACTGCACACTGTAAAGTCCAGATAACAGTCTATTAAAATTTCATTGACACGTACCTTCTACGGTGGCCATGGATGAACGATAATTATCAAAGGATTGACTCCAGAATCCAGAATCGCTTTTGCCGCTATCCACTGTCGTTAGGATATCAGAAATCTGTCCTACCATGGAGAAATCGGGACAATTGTCAGCAGCAGCTGCTGCAGATACACGGCATTCCTATAAGAGAAAATGACCACTGGTCAGTCATCGCTCCACGCTTCACATCAGATGCGGCTGCTATTGATATCCCAGATAAGTCAAGGAATCAAAGAAATAAGAGGGGGTTGCGTTTGTAGGATATTCGTCACGACAGATGCACATTTGCGCAGATTTTCTCAAAATGCTGGCACGAGGCGGAATGGACTGTGTCTGTAGCACCACTATACTGCCGCACCAAATGTCCTGCCCGCTAAAATATGGACTAATTTAAAATGCATCTGACCAAAGAGTGTCAGCTGCAAGATGGGTCAGTCTCGTTTCTCACTAGGGAAAAAAATTGCACATGGCGTCTACGACATCCGAAAAGAGAGATTTCTATAAATACATGAACCGGTTAACAAGTATATGCATAATTGTACAACGAAAATCCATCTACAAAACACCCATCGGCAGCTGACAGGGTATTGCCGCACACTTGTCCAACTTATCTTTCATCAAACCTTGCTCTGCTGCATGAGTAACTTTTCTAAAACTGGGTTGGGAATTTGTGTAATTCATAACCGCCCAGAATTCTATGGTAATTAAAGTACACAACAAATGCAGGCCAATACAATATAAACAGCAGGACAAACATATGGCAAAAATTCAAAAAACCTACGGTTAATGGACTTAAATTTCCTGATTTGGGCGAGTTCGGGGCCGACCAGTGGCAAACAATATTCCAAATAGTTTGTATGTGCGTTGCACACAATTATATACAGAACTGTATGTGTTTCAGCTGCATGAATGACATTGCAGTATAATTTGTTTGGCATGCTGCTATTTAACCCTTAAAAGTGTGTCCAGTTGGCTCTAGTCTATGATCCAAATGAACACCATGCTGCACGAGTGTACTTAAAAATAGTCCCCAAATTATAATTCATACATATGCGCACGAGCGCCACAATTGCTATTTCAGATGGTCAGCTGGAGATCAGGCACCTGCTCGGGTAGATTGTTATGCATTAACATCCATTGTCCAGACTAGTTATCCCCTCTTTTAGCCAACAGATTTTGGCGCCACTTTCCGAGCTATTCGTTTTACAATTAAGCGTCATTATCCCTGCTCAACACTAATGGACCTCGTCTAAGGCCATCAAAATTTTCCCCGCCATCAGTCGACTCAAGAGATTTAAAGTTTCAAGCCAGAAAAACCATACCAGAAACCATCCAAAAAGTATACATCTGAACTCACAAAATAATTCTACTTAATGTCCACATACTCAAAACAAAAACTGTTTGTTTGCGCTCATCAAAAAGCTTTTTTTTATCCAAAAACGGCTGATATATCACATATGTACGTTGATATGTATCGTAACTACTAACCTAAGTACTGTAACCGGTAATATAAATTCAGAACCATGTACAACTTCGCACTCAGTCGCAGTATCTTGTCAGTTCGAAGGTTTTCCAATTAAAGAAGACAGAACACAATTTAGCGATAGGGAATACCATATTTATAAATATAATACACCTGTTTTTGCAAAACCATGAGAAAACGCACAAGCAAATTTTTGTCGGTACCATATTTCCGGCGACAAAGGAATCGTTTAATTATGCAGTTAAAAACCAAAACAGCTGGACCAATTTACATTTTAACTGGCAAGCTGTCAATATACTTTTAATAATATCTGCTTTTCATCAAAATGTGCCCCGGAACACAGGAAGCAAAGATGACTAACAAGCCCAAGTTCCTGTTATGATAAACTCGTGGTATGAATTTCTCCCAGTCATCACGTGCTGCTCATGTAAATACCGAACTGACATGACCATCTGATGATCTGCTAAAGGATTGTCCGCTTCCGATCTATCTAATAATTGTAATATTTAATTTCTGTCTGTGCAATTTCTCAGCGCTTGCCGCAATCATATTTCGTTTTGTGTACACAATAATCGCTCGAAAACTCCATACATTAATGGTTAAGACTACATCATGAATTTATTGTGAAAGCTTATATGTTTAGCGCACACTCGTACATTTCCATAACAGCTGTCTAAACCCGACCACAATTCATTTAGCTAGTAAGGGAAATCAAGTGGCCCTTGGCTAGCCAACATGTGGTGTCTCCTTCTGTACTGACCGGAAATCTGCAAGCTGTAGCTGTATTTTTGCACGTGGATAACGGGCATACGCCGGTCAGATAACTGGCTGCACGGTTCAAGTTAAAACCAATTTTCGAAAACTTGTGTAATTTTTATCCATTAAAGAACGCCAGCTAAAAACTGCGCTAAACCAAAATTGATTTCGCGAAATTTTTTTAAAAGTATTACGGCGAAGCGGGATTAGCGAAATCACCACAATACAGGCGTTAATTACGCAATGTGTCCTGACATGCCCGGACACCAGTGTTTATACCGCGAAGAACGAACAATTTGTTCTGGTCAAAGCGGCCTCAAATGACCGCATTAGGCGATCAACAAGACCATTGATGGCCGGCATTGACCCAAACACAGACGATATTACACATTGTACAACTGCTGAAAAATACATGCTTTAAATGATTATCAAAGCAATTAATCATAAGGGAAATTTTTCCATGCGGGATGCCACTGCGATAACACTGGCAATTTTCCTCATTTGCATACCACTTCGCCCTGAAGGCTTTGTGATTCTAGACCGGACGGTGGTCAGTTGATGAATAATTTTGATAACGACTTGATTGGACCAGTTGCGACACTCTCATCACACCCCAGTTCGCCGGGCGCGATGGGAGACCTGCAGCGTGCTGGGCAATGTGTGTGCACGCAGTCCGGAAACAAGTGTTTAAGCAGACGCCTTTGACCTTCAGCTCCAATGACCACACCGGATCTGCGAAATAATAATCATTCCACCTTCTCCAGTTTCCCATTTGCGAACGATTGAATTGGTCATGATATCGTGGTTAAGCGAAAGAAAAGCATGCAATTACATGTGCTCTTTAGCATAGTTAATGCATTACAGTGTGTGGCAAACCAAGCCAACGGGAAAGTTCCCAACACATAATAAAAATTCGGATGTTGCAGTTATTTGTTCGAAGTTATACTCAAAAAACAGTTTCAACACGTTAGCGAACTGTTGGAACTTGAGTTCATTTTATTTTTAAAGAAGTTTACTGTGGCAGTGAAGTACGATTTACGATAATGCAGGCAACATCACATCGGTTTTTCAGATTTAAAAAGATTTTACAAAATTACCGAAGGTTGTGCCGGTATTTGTAAGCTGTAAAATATCTAAGCATACTTACTTTTATGGCACGCGTTCTTCATATTTTTAGGGTGCAGAGGGCATTTTCGGCTGTATAATTGTGCTACCAGAAGACTGACCCTGATCACGAGTAGTAAAGTGTCTACAATCCCAGACGTTGACGGCGTCGCTGTCGGGTGGCTTACAACAACATAATTACGCTTGCACAATGCGGACTCCTTTTTTCCTTATCTCGGTCTGCTCGTTTTCTGCGTCTGCACCCAGTTGACCGACATTCTTCTTCCCCATCCATTAGTTCAAGTGTTTTCATGGTAAATTATTGACCTAAACATGCTCTGCAAACATACGACGGACAGTCGGAGATTGCTATCGACAAAATGGACAGTAGCCGAAGATTGAACAAAAGACACGCCATAAAGCTAACGATGATCCAGTCACTGGCAGTGGCCGGTCTCCAGCCGGATTAATGGCGATCTTGGAGCAGATCCCGGGCAGCGGCTCCTTCAATGCCACATGTAATCATTTCTTAATAGCCACTGGTCATGTTCTCTCCCAATCAAGTCCCTTTTGGCCTACGCCTCCTCAAAAGCTCTTGGGGAATAATTTTCATTTGGCCGGACATTTTACTAGGATTTCCTTTTCAAACATCAGCGCATAATTATGTGACAGATATGTCTTTTCTTTATTTACTCAAAACCAATCGTTCAGCGCGCATAGTTCAATGTGGATCACATTCAAACATTGCTATCTCATTTGATCCCAGTAGCCCACAATTTCTGGGATGATTATGTGTCATTCCAAATATTACTGTATGCAGTAATTCGTAGCAGTAGCACTTTATGATGTTTCAGTATAGTATCATAGTATGTAATATATAGATATTAATATTAATATAGATTTATAAGTAGTCTGCGGTGGTTATTTCTGCCTACAAGCGATAAAATACAGGATGGGGGACTTTTTACGTAGTACCTCCAATCGTTACTAGTAACACCGTACCTTGTTATATACAGTGCGCAGATTCTATGAGCAACACAAATGAGTTACGGGAAAATGCCGCTAAAACATTACACGTAAAGATACAGCAACCCCAAGTGTTAATGTAATTACCAGCAAACACTATTAAATATGCTTCATTAAGTGCACATTTAATCAAATCTCCTGTGCTGACAGGAACTCAAACTAAATCTCTTGAATCCGGCTTGAAAGCAACCGATTACATTAAGAGCTTGGTTGTACGTGCATCAGTAAAAAAGTGGCTTGAAAATAGCGGAAGGCTTAAAAAAATGAAGGCTTAAAAAACTCTTCTAAAATTTTCTAGGGAAGTGGTTTATTTGGAACAACCCTGACATGTGAGAGGCACAAATTCTATTGACTAGTAGGGATTGTAGGATAAACAAATTTCTTTGAGCGCGTAAAAAACACTGCATTGAAACGGAATATCTGTCTGTATTCCTCGCTCGCGCACACAACTTTTCTGCATCTTTATGATTATCATGCATTATACTTCAGTTTAACCACTTATTATCCATAAGAGCATTCAGATTTATGGTGGAAATGGTGTCCACTTCCTGTTATTGCTGATGTCGAGGACTATCGCTGCGGTAGACGCACAAATAGAGCAGGGATAACAAAGCTCTCAATAGCCCCACAAATTCTTATAGTGGACATTATGAGAGCAATTAATATTTCGGCATACTTTTATCACGAACCCTCCTACAGGGATAAACCATCCACAGCCGAACAAAAAGCACTTGCCGGGGCGTTTTTAATATGGAGCGAAGTCCAGTAAAGCATATCTGGGATCTGTCTAGCCATAGCATAAATCAAGCAGCCATCAATCAAGCCCGGTGGCAAGGTCGAGTAGGACTCCGTGTATAAGGATGCTGAATAAATTACCACGGGTTGCAACTTGCATTTTATCGTGGCACTGATACATTTCACACAAAAGGAGCGCTCACGCACGCACTGACCAGCGGTCAAGCCGTATGCATGTGTGCGCAATACAATAAATCTATCGCTCGGTCGATATATTTGGATTATTTAATGTGACACAATAGATCTGTTGAGGAGCATAGCTACTACAGAGTACTTTTATTTCTCTCTGTTTGGCTCAGTTGAAACTGCATGTTCTCTTATCTAAAAGCACGCTTTGATGCACGCAACAATGATCCCGATTATGTGTTATGAAACCTCCCATTTAAGAATACAATAATATCTAAGCAGAATTTGAAATATCCAAAACAAATACCAATTGGTAGTCCAAGTTTTATGCATAGAGCATGGGAAAATAATACTACGAAGCCATCGGGAATCTGAATCACCCACCTGATTACACACGTCCATGTTGCAAGTTGCGATATCCTCGAAGAAATTTCTCATCAATGCTAATTTCTAGGTTACAGATTTTGGTAAAAGTTTAAAAAAGCTTGACCATGTTATTGCTGTATTTGCCAAAATATATTAGCATTTTTAGAAACATACTATATACGCGACCGCGTACACCTGCACCGAGTTAAGAAAGAAATTAATTTTGAAACCTCCAATTAATTAAAAAATTTTCAAGTTGTCACAAACCTGTCAAAACGAATTCGGGCCATTCGGATCGTATGCCATTCAAATGCATCCAACGTGCGACAATAGTCCTATTTTCTACCTTGTTTCCTTTATAAAGCATAAAGCCTGTAATTACGGCTGACACAAAAACGCTTCATTGAGCGGTACTTAAGAAAATCAACACGCCAGAGATTACACAAACAAAACCATTATTACAACGAGATCTTGTCATTTCAACCCAATACAGAAGCAATTCAATAATTTCAATCAAAAACCAACGATATTATTAAACTGAACCTGCTGAAGGCGATAGCATGCCTATCGCGATGTTATGGTGAAATTTTTTATGGAAGGCAACGAACGGTAGATCGGAAAAAATCAACCAGTTGAATACAAGTATGTTGCCTTTGGAAAATCATACCCGTGAATAATATAACAATGTAGAAAAATTAATTCAACCAAATAGACTTTAGAGATTAAAACGACTCAGTTGACTGCTTTCCTTAAATAAATACAAGTATGACAAAAGGAAGTAAATACGTGCCTCTCTCATGGTTAGTAGGATCGCAAGCAGTGGAGCTTTTTTTGTCAATGGTTTAACATGAAGTTCATCGAATTCAAAAAAGCATTATCTGGACATGGTCGGTCAAGCAGCTTACCCACACTGATACCGCACGGTTTAGTGGTTAACCCATATCAAATTGCATAATAAAATAATTCTACTCTGTGCAGCACCAAAGCAATCGTGACAAAAGGTTCACGGCGCGAAGGCCGGCTACAGTTTTATTTAAAAACCAATATTATTAGGCTTCGAGTAAATATTTTCAGAAAACTTTGTGCACATAAATTTGATATGATATTTATTATTCAGTCTGTGATTTTATTTTTCTCGTATTAATAACCGCCGCAAATCTCTAAACTGTGCGAGCATGTTCGTACAAATAAGTACTTGTACACTATTTAAATACCGTAGTAGCTTAAATTTCATATTCTGCAGGCTGATGCCGTTATTTTGTTTTAATCAGGATTTCTTGTTTCAGCGTAACACAACTGGACATCTTACCCCAAATCATTTCAAGTTCAAAATGTCTGGTAATCGTGCGCAAAAACCCATTAAACTACGCTAATCGAATTTCAACACGCCGGTTTTAAAATGTTCTTAACGCTGCTACACTAGGACTGACCAGTCTAAAAATACCGCATTTGGTCAAAACAACATTACACACGGTCACAGAGCCAAAAACTTCGAAAACCACAGTCACGCTCTACTGAGCTGACAATTAAATCAAACCAATTTCCAATCCGTCTTAATAACAATTTATACTTGTCATCTTTACCCGCAGTGTTATCATGTTTTTCCGAACAGCGCCTCTCATATCCGCGTCGGCTCTATTAGCAACTCTTTCATTTAACGCATGAAAACGCCGAATTACTTTTTCCCCGGTAGCGAAATTGAGGCATTTATACCGCTGTATCAAAAGCGGCTTCAGCGCGATCTCTAATTTGTTCTAAAAGTTACAAATTTCCAATTGACATTGGAATTTAAATTAAGAAAACCGCTTCCGCGCGTGCCGCGCATACATTGTGATATTGGACTGCCACCTGGCAAACACGTCAACTTATCATAAACGCACCGACCATGCCGCGGCTATAGCCGACTGTCCAGCATCTGTCAATCCAGCTTGGAAGATCAAGAAGTTGGGGTTAAAATTGTTCACAGGTGTAAATCATTGACAATCTGTCGACATGTTACGGGAATCCTTTTTTATATATGCCCAAAAACTCAGCATGGTTTCGATGCGGAAAGTTGGAGAAATCAATTCATCACCGGCGTCACCGCATATCTTCAATTAAATTTTCTTGACCGAATAATTTTGACCGTTGCATGGATTGTAAGATCGACATTTTAAACCGGAAACGAACAGCAATGACCACTTGTACCCGGGTATTTGGCCTTCTGCTGACAATTAGACGCGTATTAGATTATACACTTTCGTAGCACAAATACTAGTACCAAAATTTTCTTTGACGTAAGTTAAATAGAACACGGAAAAAATAGAAGGGAGGATTAGGCAGTAGTTAAGAAAACGTAAGAAAAGCATTTCACGGAAAACAATTAGAAGCCGACCGGCTAGTTTAATCGATTCGATTTGTTTTGGATTTCACGGCTTTTTTAAGCAGACTAAAATGAAAATACTGCGGTTGTTTTCTGACAGTGAACCGATAAGTTTCCCTTGAAACTTGACCGCACTGGCCTGCTTCAAAGCGGAGAGCATCGCTACTGTTCGCTTCTGACCTGCTGAAAATTTGCAGGTGTTGTTTATTACAGATGACAGTATAAAACTTACCGTAGCAGGGAGTAGTTGTATTTTATCCAAATTTTCTAAACATAAATCCAGCGTGTGCTGCAATACTTCTTGGCAATAATCAGCTGATGAATCGGTAATATTGTCCGTTATGTCGATGTCGGTATCGGTGGTGTCTTCAACAACAACTGGCAATGAGGTCCTGTAAGAAGATAACGTTGTACACGAGCGAGCTCGTAAAGTAAACATCTTGACGAAATGTTGTGTATTTGCTAAGAAACTTGTGAAGTTGTTATCTTTGGCCAAAAAGGGGCCGAGTCGAGTATGGACTGCACGATATTCGGACGTGTACAGCGCCGATTACAAGTTTCGAGTGCCTGCATATTGTACAAAACATTCGGTAACAGGCAATCATTTCTTGACATATGCTACGCCCCTTCACGAAAGGCGGAGAGCACAAATATTGTATATGGCTTTTACCATTAAATGACTGGATATCATATGTGTTATTTCCACTGGTCAAGCCTGGAGAACCGGTTTTGCCATTGGTCAGTTTGGATTGTGGTATTCATCACTCCAAAAAGAACGAAACATATACACAGCTGCCTCCCGTGTAGCTTACTTACTGTACTATAACTCTCTCTCGAATCTGATTGATGTGGCCAAATTTCAATTCGACACTTATGTGCTTTAAAATTCATAAAAATCATCAAGGGTATCGAAAGCTCTTCTCAAGTTTCTTGATCATGTAACGACGAAAGTGACCGGTCAATGCACGTTAAGGGCGCACAGCACAAACACTAGTCGCTACCTGGGCAAATGATAAACAAATTTTGCGTTGATGATGTAACACATAACCATTTCCGAATCTAATCTTCCAGTCGCCCAAACAGCGGAGCATCCCCACAGGGTGTTGCCAGAAGCGGCACACCTATGAGGGTATGTCGCGCTTGATCGATAAGGTTATTACGAAATACGCAATTCAAATAGCCATCTCACCGGCACATGTGGAGAATCACCTGTTTGCAATGATAACTTAACAACTATGCAAAAACTCGTTAGCGGCTAGGACGGATAAATGTAATCAACATGTAGAGATGATCTCCGGCCGGCGTCTGCGCCGCGGCATACGTGCTCCATAGATAATTGCGGTTTTTCAACTGTAGAATGTCGTAACCCCTTGTGTAAACATTCAAACATTGCATGTGCCGGAAACCGCAGCTCATCATGACAATTATGTATTCAACAAACAGGTTTTTTTCTCAAGTACCCAGAGGAACATCATCTGAGTTAAAGACGACGGCAAAAGGCAATTGATTCACTTAAGCTCGTACGGTTATGGGCTTACGTAAATCGGAAAACGGAAAAATGCACGCTGCGGATGCCCTTTTCAACCTGTGACGAAACGGGCGCGCATCGCTTTGTGTTTTCCTGCTCTCGTGCGCAATGTGCATGGGCTATGGCACGTAAGCGGATTATTCGTTCGACCGGAAGAGTTGCCCAGATAGATAACGGTGTGCCACAAAGCGGTGCACCGGAAGTACAGTACATAGGCATGGATGGAAAGTTACTGTACTGCTAATAAAATTAAAATAAATTTTCTATCGTTATTATAAAATACATTTCTACGCAAAAAAATGGTAAAACAAATTGCTGCTGAAAAATTGTTGACAGTAAATGGATTAATGTCACAATATTTACTAATAAATTCTTGCGTACAAGATGGAGCACGGTCGTGGATAGTAGTAGTGTTGCAACTTTTTTTGTACAACGTTACTACAAACAAAACATGCCATGTGTAAACAAATCATTTATACAAAACACTACAAGTACTAAATTAAACAGATACTTAGTGTCAAAGCAATCGTATCACAACAAATAACGATATTCTACGATGTAGTGCTGTCCACCTAGTCAACAACATGATACCTTTCCTGCAAATTATAGTAAAGAATTTTTTATTTAATAGTTTAATTGGCCTTGTTTTGCGTTCAGCGTAATCTTCAAATGGTAAATCTTTAAAAATTATGAGAATAGGCTTCGGCACACCGACAACAGTTTTCGGCAGTTTCCATATCTTTCATGACAAAACAGAAATACTTTATACTTGTATTACATATAAAATTTGGTTCAAGGATACAACATATTTGTAGTTTCCGTCGCGGGAAAATTTTTGTGTAAATCAACAATGTTAAGTCGGCCATTCGGTCCATTCCAAAAACGATAAACTACTTACTACTCGAGTAGTCATTTAGAATTCAAAAATATTTTTATATTATTTTTGACAAGTTTTTCTTCACACGAAACCGTAAACTGAAGGTTATATGCTTACTGAAAAAAAATATCACGCAAACTAATTTGGATATGGTGTGTACTTGATCTTATTACACTTATATTTTAATGGAACCAAAAAAAACCCCGCGAAGCAACTTTTTTGCAGATTCCGCAGAACTGAAGCAAATTTGCTGTACTCTCAGTGTACTATACCTGTATGTAGTGAACAGTGAAGTTTGAACACTGAACAATGGGGCTAAAAGAAGTTCGCATTCTTACCGGTACCGGCCTTCAGCATCACGTTAATCAAAAGCTACAAAAATATTTCGCTTGAGGTAATAGAAAAATAACACTTATTTGCCTTTATGTGCGTTCAACTGTTGGCATTAACGCTTATAAATACCAAACTCTCTTGTTTCTTGCAAACAAACGAAACAATCATTTCTGCTCGCATCAATCAAGAAAATCGTATAGCTACTTCGGAACGCCGAACAATGCCACGGAAAAAAATTATCAAAATACTAAACAACTGTAAAAACACGTGTACCCTCTACGAACTGGCTCCATTATTATTACAACTGTGCAGACTTCAAATAATTCCATACAAATTTCTATGGTATTCAAATTGCATATTTCCACAATTTTAGGCTGCAGAATTTCACCTAACGGTAAATGCAAATGTAAACTAGTTTACCTTCACAATCACAACGTAAGTCGTATTTCTTGAATTACAACCTTACCCAGTGCCAGGCTAATAAATCTTTTTATGGCTGTATATATTGCCGTATCAACGCATTCGTTCCGTTGCATGTATTAGGACAATTTGTAATAGGCACTCTTGCACAACCGGAGCCTTGTGATCAAAATACGATTGTTTGCCAACCGACACGAAATAAAAAAGTCATAAAAAAGATAAGCAGGACATTTTTGATAAACTGGAACATTACGCACAAAACCTGGCTGCTTTGCTGTTACAGAATGGGGGCACTTAAAACGCAGTCATGTACATTTGGTACACACAACGGCGGGCCAAAGTGCATGAATTGTCTCGGTACAAGCGGCAAATCAAGCATGGACAAAATTGTACCAAGCGCTGATTATTAAACCTGCATTATGCATAACGACGACCGGCATAATGTGCATGCTATGATGCCTGTTTCATTAGCGATAAATGCCGTCTGTTCGTGAACCTTGCAGAAATATTGGTATTCACAGACGGCTTTTGGCTGCCACCGTAAAAATAGCGTCTCACCTCTTTCCAAGGTTAAACACTTATCACTTACATTGGCTGTAATTGGATTCTCTTCCCAAGCGGCATTGACGAGCTGTACAATATATCAGCCAGTATATAACTGGTCGATTAATCCAAATTACTGCAGTGCCTCCTGTGTGCATGCAAATCCTCATCAGCTGGACATGAGAAATTGAAATCCGATCACCAACAGATTGGCCATATCGCCGGCGCTATCGCTGAAAAAATGTCCCCGAATGAAAAGGCAGCGAAATATGCATAGCTAGCCAGTTGGAACATCGGCCAAGCACAGCGCTTTGTCAGAAATGATGTGAATTATACACAGGCTAGCCAAAAGATTCCTTTCCTAACTGTAGCCGCTGTGCTACACCACTACGTATTTGCATCTATGTCGTTTTCATATCGTTGCATTGTACATGTACAACCAATTGGTTGGCGAAGAGAGAACTGACAACGCCTTTGTAATCTATTGTGACCAGTACGCGAAATGGTTGTGTGTGCTTGCGTCTACTATAGAGGCACGTTTATGAGCGTGGGAGCGACTACTACCAGACGGCTGCTTGATCCATTAAGAAGGAAAGGAATGTTAGGGAAATCAGCAAAAACCAAGACGGAAACAATAATTAGGACAAACTCATGAGAAATTGCGCATGCTATCTACCAAAACTTTGTATCATTTCGAACTATATATGTGTTAGCGTAAATCATAAGTACCTTATAACATATCGCAAGCTTTCGAGCTCGAGTATATGTATAATGTACATAATTTAATGGTATGTAATAAGGACATAATACGATAATAATTTTTGTGATGTAAAAGCTGACAGTATAAAAACATATTGCTTACCTCATACCGTATATGTTAACGTATGCGCTGGGCGCGGAAAGGATACTACTATAAATTAAGGTCACGGTTGCCGGTCTGAAAACATTATAAATATGTTCAGAATATTTCGCAATAATATCCAAAAATGTTTTCCTTGAACAACCACGGCTACGCAAATACTAATCGTAGCGACAAAAACAACACAGAACACTAACTGAAACAGAAGACGAACTTAACCAGTTAAGCATAAATCATTTTCGCCAAAGCTTGGCAGCCTTGGCCTTCACCAAAACCAGCAAGGCATCCAGAATGAAGAAGCACTATCATCTTGTAAAAACAAGTCGAAAGATGGCCGGAGTATGTCAAGCCAGAAAACGACATTATGATGAGAATTCCAGTCAAATCGATTACGATCAACATAATTGCTGAGCGACTGCAGCGTTCTTCGCCAAATCAATCTAAGCTGACCAATACTCCATTACGCCTTCTTCCACTACCTAATCGTCCGGTCTGATCACGGTTAACGATGTAAACGATTTCTCTCGAGTATTGCTGAAGAAAAAGAGACAAATTGAAAACGCTCAAAGACAGCACGCTGCAGTAAATTTAATTTTAGTCAATTATTACAACGGGACACTCAGAGATTAAATTTAAACACGAATACAGCGACCAGAAAAACATTTTCTTGACTAGCCAAAACCAACGGTAAAAATAACTGACCAACTAAAAAAATCTAAGTACTGCACTACGTACAAATCTGCCAAATCTCACATCATTCGTATAAAAAGACTGGTAAAATCTCCGAGACCAAAGGGATCCAATGGTGACCCCTCAAATGAGCCGAAGAAAATTCCCATCACTTATTAAAGAACAGTACAAAGCCTCTTTGCATCGATTACAAACTGTCCCCGCTCATTTCCGCTCCCATTTTCATCATCCGGGCCACCTCCATCCGGCTAAGGGAATGGTCCAATTTGCTTTTTTTCATACATACAGTAGCTGCACTCATGATATGGTCGACTAGCTCTCCTTCCGCAGACCAGCTACCCACGACGACACAACGCCGCCTACCGAAGGAAGAGCACAGAAGCGCGACCGATAAGCATATGTCCAAACAAGAAACTGCTAAAATTACGCTCGACCGATAACTGGCCGAGGCGCTTGCCCTTGGGACCTACCCCATGATTTGGTTGTCTGCGCCACCACTTTGCCAGTTTGGTTAACGACATCAACGGCTGCTGTAATCTTCTTTGCTCTCTCAGGAGTTATCATGCTGTAACCAATCGTACAAACAACACTTGATAAACCATCAGTGTTCAAGGTTCACAACACCGCACATATTTCATCGGAGACTCTTCCGGCAAATGCTTACCTGTTTACTCGGGCTTTTATATCACTGACACTGTACTGTCCCGAGCATGGATGTCTGCAACCAGACATGATACAAGGTTTCCAAAGAGAAACAATAAAAAAAAACCAAAAACCAGCTTCGCAGAGTTTTACAATAAGTTTTAATTTCAAATTTACCCGGTAACAAACTCATCCAGCTTGTCTACTGGATTTTCGTTCCAAATTCTGAAATTTTTTGTCTTTCTCCAAGCCGATATAAATGCATAATTATACTCATCTAGGGTTAATTTCTGGTTTTTGTCGAGAGCCGAGAATTTGGACGCCGTTCCCAACATCGCCATCACTACGGAACATATGTGTCTGTAAAATCTGATATTTCTGTATGTTGTGGACTATCAAGGATGCGATCTTACAGTATGTTCGAAACTGCGACCGAATCCATTCCTCGCCTCCCTCCCAACCTACAAGTATCACCCGTGCGTGACGGAAGCCATAAGAAAGTCTCATCCGGTCAACAATACCGTACCAGTTCCATGGAATGCATCGACCCGACTCGGCTCGTCGCAGACCATCTTCACCACATAATCAGCAAAGCGCAAATCCTCTGTGGTCAACTGCAGCTGCCGTTTAAGATTTGCCTCATACACCTCCACTTTACCTTCAACAACCTAAACATGCATATGTCCATTAGTTCATCATAACCGTACCAAACCCACTCCCTAAGAAGCTGGACCACAATAACTAATAATTCAGTTCTCACTTGTATTAAATTATTTCAACCAAAATGTTAATCACAAAATTAAAGTCAAAATTGTCGATATTGTAAACGTGTTAAAAAGACATGTAGATTGTACGCAGCGTTTTCAATTTTTTGAAACTTCTTTCAAATTACGCATTTATGCTGCAAAGAGTTGCGCAGCAGTAATTACAGTAAGGTTATTAAATGTCGAGAATGCCTGTCGGCACCGTGATGACTTCAGATAGTAAACATTCGGAAGGAGCTATTTAACTAGAATCTAGAGCGAATTTTCCACTCGACCGCTACAGGATGAAGGCCTGTATAACGGTGGTCAGCTGGGTATGTAAGCACACTCATTTACATCGACCAGTGCATCGGCAAACTTCTTATGATGATGCAGGAACAGCACGTTCGTTGCACCCACTACGAAGCCCGGGATCGATGGATCATTAACCAGATCGTAGTACGGTAAGGACAAATATGGATGGCAAACATATCCCTGTGAACAATTCAACACCCGCTGTCAAACTATCCTCTAATATTTCATTGATAAACTAGGCCAACGTGCACATACACACCTTGGTGAAGATTTCCAGCGGGAAACCATATTCATCTTTTCTGCTGAGAGAGGGTTTTATGGGATATGTCTTTATGCTTCTCTGCTCATCGGATGCCGAAGGTGTAGCTACTGCCGGTCCAGCTGATTTTCCCGGTACCAGGGAGGATACAGTGGGTTCTTCTTCTCCAATGGTCAAATGCGATTTCGAAAAATCCGGTGCTCCATCTTTCTCATCCGTCATCGTTAAAGCAGAATCAATTTCCGCTAACAGATCCATTTCAGAAACGTAGGAAAGCTGAGGCTGATCATCTGGGATAGGCGTGGTTACTGGCTGGACCGATATGTCAGTGTCCGGGAGCGACGGTGCAGAAACGTAGTGGCAGGCAGACTCCACTAGGCCGTGTTCCACCATTTCCGGGAACAAGGAAACGAGAGTCAGGATAGACGATGAGAGAATTTTTACGGGTGACGAATGGACCAAGACCTTAAAAGAATTGCTGAACTATCAGGGTGGAACAAAGAGAATTTAACGAAATACAGCCTTACATTGTTACAGAAATAAAATGTAATTATAAATTGAAATCCATGATTTGCAGAACAGTAAGACAAAATTCAGCCGAGAAGCGTATAAGTGACCAATTTGTATAGTTCCAAAGCGTTCAGGGTAATTGTGAAGCAAGGAAACGATTCGAATATCAAATCCAATAAAGATAATGTGAAAATTTACCTTTTTTTCCAACAGGAGGAGTTTAAATAAGACCAAAATCCGGTGCTTGAATCTGAGTACTAAATCTCTGACGGAAAGACCTAGAAAATAAATTTCTGTTAATAATCTCCAATCCTTCAGGTCACATTGCTGACCAGGGAACGTATTCCCTCAAGCATTCCGTTAATCCACTAAGTGCAATCTCAAGTGTTTAAAAAACCATTACATAACCCGGGCATCGATATAACGTATTACGGCAAAATCCCTATTTGGTCTAATTCTCCTATTTACATGTTCGATGAATTTAGCCTTAAAAGACCAAAGCAAAATGGAACCGAACCATGCTATAACAAAAAGCAAAAAATATCACCAAAAGCCAAAATCACGCACCGAGAGCTAGGGCGGATTCACAGAAACGATGAAAAGTATGAAGTAGATAAAAAAATCCTTTTCTGCATTGTGCATGATTAACCGGTTTTGAAGACAACATTGTAACTACATCTTAATTAATAAAAAAGGAGTACCAAAAGTAATGCCAGTCAATTACACAATTTTAACAAAACAAAATAAAATCCAAAAAGACGTTGACAATATTATTCTATCATTCAACACCCAAAAAACGGCGACCATTTTTCTGTCTTCAGCCTATTCGTGAAACAAACTAATTTGTATGAAAATATCCACCCATTTAAACCAAACAAATATGAAATACTGCAAAATAAATTCACCAACGTTATCAACTTACCAACAAAGATCTGGCTTTCATTCAACAATTTCTCGCTCATACTTTCATTGAGCTGGTTGTAAGTGTCTTCAAGGAGCTGCACTTTACTGAAGTCACGCTATAGAGCAAAAATTCAAAACGTTTTTGCCATTTCAGCGATTTTCCTGTCGTACGTACCTCTTCGAAATACGCATGCGTAATTAGGGCCAGTCTGTAAAAAGACGCATCAGCGAGGAAGAAAATGGCTACCGAACCCGGTTACTCACTTCGCCTCAATGATTCCGTATAAAGGCAGGCGACTAATCACACAGACACATTTTTGCACGGTTTCCCTTGTAACATCCGAGTCTTTACGCAATAATTTCTGCAAAAACCACTTTTTCTGTTGCAGGTGTATTTACGATAATAAATTATCCTGTCACTTTCCTAAAAAAAAATATAGAAATGCTCTTACGTCCGCTCCAATCTGCCTGTAGCACGACACCCCGAATACCGTCCGATTGAATGGATCCTCCAACGAGGGAAGATGGAAGTAGACGGTGTCTGAAAACAAAAAATTCAGGAATTACGTTATTGCAAACTAATACTCCCTCCACAATCGTAAGCAATCATTTGCCAGGCCGACTCTAAAACCATTTTTTCTAAATTTCCAATAAAAAATTATTTTTGCCGTTGCTGCTAAAGAATATCGTCTTCACCGCTTTGGTAATGATGCGCGCCATCCGGAAGCGCAAGCGATGGTAAATGCTTCCACAATTCTGGCAAGCCAAGTTCTGGACCCTCGTCCAGAGTTTTCTCACTCGAAGAATTTTCCGAAACAACCGTAGAAGGAAACGAAGGGAACGTATATTCCAGCTGAAACAATTAGAATATAGTGTAAACTCAAACAAATAAATGTTCGGAAAACCAGATAAGCAGAAAGATTAAAATCCCACTCCACCACACATTTTATACCGTACATAACTACCCAGAGCAGTTCAGAATAACGAAAAATTCGTTTTTTCAGCTTTCTGAGAATCAAACATGATCTAGTCGCCAGTGCGTGCAGACCACTAGTACTGGATTGTGATATTACGGTAATCAAACTGAAGACTAAATACGCTATTCTTTCTTGCTTTACGCTATTCTACCACACACCTGACATCCCTTCTTATGATGGAAACCCACGACCATCACATACGATACAACATTGCTGCTGGAATCCATCGCTAACACTGACACCACAAGATACCTCAAATACACAGGTTTGGCAGGTTCTCGTTGTCTTTCAATTGATAAATCAGGGAATTGAGAATTTCTACAGCGCACTCAAACATGGTTCACACACTCGAAACACCAAAATGTGGGACTGCGGACTACCACAAGAAATCCACAAGAAATTGTATAATATAGGACCATAAGGGTAATCCGTAATTCTCGACAAAGTTTCGCGAATAGTAGACATTCAGGCATTCTAACTTCTTCAGATCGGATGGTGAACGATATAAAAACAAGACTTTAAAAATTAATATCGAGGTTCAAAATTTATCAGTTTCAGTTTCTAATATCGTGTTTGTTGTTGTATTTTCAGAAGTCTCCGAAGCGAAATTCCACAGTCCAAATGGCAACTATAGTTACTAAACCCCACAAGACCACCAACCTTTAAACCTACTGTACAAGTACTACCGGGTACCAGTACCGGCTATATTCTCGACTACTTCAAAAGTTTAATTTAAAGCATACAGCTTCTTTCACCAATGATTTTTTAAATAAAGATTTAACGTTTGAAGCATGTATATATTATTGTTCATAAATAAGCAATACTTCATATGCGAAGTTTGTTAAAAATACCTATGTTCTAGCCCGGAAGATAGCACATGTATAATGTGTCCCCAGTGCCAGAAGGAGATCTTTGATTTGCTATTTTTGTGCGTTTACATTTTGCCGTCCCTTTCGCTATTATTGATGTAGTAGAATTAATTAATCGTTGTTTGGCAATGTTTGTGCTTATTATTTTTGAATTGGTTAGCCTGATTGTCAGCACGAAACGGAACCACTGTCTGGCATGTTGCGCACTTATCCATACGAATGACTATCCACACAGGACCACACTTCACAGCAATACACCGTCTACTCTGCAATACTTGGTCATCTGTGTGCTGTGGACGGCCGCGGTTTCTCAACAAGCTTTTGCTGCTAGTCAGCTAGTGCTAACCAAATATTTAAAATCATTTGTTTGAATTTGCAGTGGCGACGTTGACTTGAAGTGGTGAATTGACCGACCCATTTGGATATTTATTTCTTGCATTCACCACTACGGTTCACAATTGTTATCTTTACTGGCTTTGTTATTTTTGTGGAAGCAACCTGCAGGAAGCCTTGTCGAATATGATAATATCTTATGGTGCACGATTATTGAGGTGTTCCTCTTGCGGATGCTTGTCCGCTTTCAGTTCCATTTCGTATAGCTGTAACTCTTACACTTTTCTGGCCTATAGATCCTCATTTTAAAATTAGAAAGATATCACAAATCAGTAGCATGTTTGATGCGGGCGCTGTTTGGTAATATACTGCCGCGCCAGCTGTAGTTTCGTGCGAACAGCGACTTTTTATCGCGGTGAGGTTGCATCACACTTGTACAGCTGGCAGCCTGATACGGCGTGTGATACGGATACGGAATCCAGATCCCCTTCCGGTGTTCTTTCGTGGATCTCTATTTTATGAAAATCCATGCGTCGAAGAAGGATTGTACAGTGGCTTCGATACATCGCAGGCGCTGCGTGCTGCACATACTTTGTTTTCTTAACAGCAAGATATATTCAGACGAATAGATCGCAGGATGATAACTCCAATGAAATTCACATTTTCCCGGATGCTTCGGTCGATATTAACGTGAGCAAGGGCAGCATTGCGTATTGCTTAATGTTTATGTAGTTTTTGACATTGATGATTGGCCACTGAAAATATTTGTTTTTACAGATCAGTTGACAGGTCAAATAAGCATATTAATGTTAACTCTTGTTTGTCAATACTCTAGGCTGATCATGTTTCAACGGATCTGGGCAAAAAGATTGATTGGCATAATTATCAATTTATGAGCGATGAAAGCCGGAGACGAGGTATTTACATGCTCTGGCTGACTTTCTCAAACTTTCAAAATTCGATAAAAATTGTACATTTTTTTCCTCTTGAATGTCTCATAAAAGTTGCAAGTTTATCATGCAGCTGTTTTATTTAACGATAACTTATTGTTGTGTGTTTTACTTTGTACTGTGTAATGTACTACGATGAATTTTTGTGCTTATTTAGTTATTTGATTGAAACATAGTAGCATACCTAATTGGTAAATGCAGGTGCCAGCACTTATATTAATTTTCACAGTATACGACTGCTAATTAATAAGTGTCTCAAAGTAAACAAAAATAATTTTTATAACAGGCCCTGGTGAGCAAGGCAGCTCTGTTATGACTTCCGGGGATGAAGCCAGCAAGAAAGACCAGCTGTACAAGGAGAATGGCTTTAATGCGCTAGCAAGTGACAAAATAGCGTTGGATAGATCTGTCAAAGATATACGACATACAGGGTAATTTTTTCGTTCGCTTCGTAAAAAGCTTTCTTTTACCTCAGAAAGCATTGATTCATTAGGAAAACATTTTGAGTGGTCGGCAGATGCTGTGGCGCTTACTTAAACAGTTTTACACTGTGACATTGTACTGTACTTTTAGTTTGTTGAAACATTAAATTATTGTGCACAACCAGTAAGTTGCTCATTTGTAGAGCATTCGTTTTTAATTTTATTTTTTTCAGGTGCAAAACGAAGTTATACTACGAGCACTTGCCATCGGTTAGCGTCATTGTGCCATTTCATAATGAGCACTTTTCAACACTCATTCGTACTGCCACTTCGGTGCTAAACCGATCACCGGAACATTTGATCAAAGAAATAATTTTGGTTGATGATTTCAGCTCAAAAGGTACAATCATGGTTTTGTATTCAGAAGAGTACAGTATACGTATTTAGTTAGTACGTTGCTGCGGAAGTTGATTTAATGTGCGAATAACGTTGGGAGCCTTTGAAGTTATTGCCTCTGACAATTTGCTAATTCTCGACACTTGGTGCAATTTAGAAGCGCTCAAGGATAGCCTCGATGCGTATCTGCAAGAGCATCTTCCGAAGGTTCGCGTAGTGCGCGCTCCAAAACGCGAAGGATTGATCCGCGCTCGTCTTTTGGGGGCGAAAGCTGCTACCGGCGCGGTGCTGATTTTTTTGGATTCACATTCAGAAGCTAATACGAATTGGTTGCCTCCTTTGCTTGGTGAATTATATTCGTTGTGTTAGAGTTTGACAATTGACACCTTGTAACTTGAGTTTTTCCGTTTCTGTAGAACCGATTGCTGAGGATTACCGGACCGCGACTTGCCCGTTCATCGACATTATTGACTATGAAACGTTTGAATATCGCGCCCAGGATGAAGGCGCACGCGGCGCTTTTGACTGGGAGCTGTATTATAAACGCTTACCATTACTGCCGGAAGATTTGAAGAATCCAACGGAGCCTTTCAAGTGAGTACTTCATAATTATGTAGTTTCTGCTGGTGTGACTATAATTTTCTAATAAATTAATTCAAAGATTGCGTGTTTACTTTGACCTCAAAATTAGAATTTAGTCACTTTTTCGATCAAAGGTTATTGCTGGAATCTCTGTTTCTATAATTGTTTTGCATCTGTATAACAGGAGTCCCGTAATGGCTGGAGGCTTATTTGCGATTAGTCGAAAATTTTTCTGGGAGTTGGGAGGGTACGATGAAGGCCTGGACGTGTGGGGCGGAGAGCAGTACGAATTAAGTTTTAAGGTTGGGTACCATTTGGCAGTGAATCGTTTGTTACGACAATGAAGGATTCTTTTTTCCCATTTCAGATATGGCAGTGCGGAGGCAAACTTGTGGATACTCCCTGCAGTAGAGTTGGACAGTAAGTTGCCGCATGCTTTGTTTATCTTCGAACAATATAAATGAGTATTCATTGTTATTGTAGTATCTACAGGAAGTTCGGTAAGTATCGCGGTCACGGTCACTGATTTCACTCTAGGATTATGACGTCTACCCTTGGATTTCATAGCCCCGTTCTCCAATCCTGGTGTCGGTGATTTCGTTGGTCGTGTAAGTTTATATCGTGAATTAAATTTTCTTGGTTTGGAATGAATACTTTGGTTTGATACAGAATTACCGTCGCGTGGCGGAAGTATGGATGGACGAGTACGCTGAGTTCGTTTACAAAAAGCGCCCCCATTACAAGCATATCGATGCAGGTAACTGTTAGTCTGTTATTACAATCTTTTGCAAGCAGGTTGCCGTATTGAGATTTAGTTCGGTCTGGCCTTTTTTCCGTAGATTTTTTTTCACCGGTTAGTGTTCGTTGATGGCCGATATTATTTTTAGGAGACCTTTCGAAACAGCGAGCTCTGCGGGAGAATTTAAAATGCAAATCGTTCAAATGGTTTATGACAGAGGTTGCTTTCGATCAAATGGAACGGTATCCACCGATAGAACCACCTGATTTTGCATGGGGCGAAGTGAGATCTACAAGCTCTAAATGCTGTAAATATTGCATTGACGTATCACTTTGTGATTTCAGATTCGGAATGTTGGCGGCAATTTATGTATCGATACCAGATTTAAAAGCCAAAATGACCGTTTCAACCTTGAACCGTGCATCAAAGATAATGCGGATAATGGAGGAGAACAGGTCATTAGTGATTTTGAAGCAACAGATTAAAATGAATCTTGATCAGCACGTGGTAGACAGTGTTCTTGACCTTTATGTACTATGAGTACATGCCCGGTATGGCAAGGTATAAAATTATTCGCATAAATTAAGCGGTATTTTTGTCTTATTAGTTGTGGAGAGTTTCCGCTTATTCCTTTGTTTGTTAATGCATTGTTTTCTTTCGTAGTCTTTCGTATTAACGTGGCATAAGGACATTCGCCCACGAGGACGCGCTGTATGCTTCGATGTTTCTTCGAGCGACAACAAAACACCGGTGATATTGTACAACTGTCACAATATGCAAGGAAACCAACAGTGGAAATATAATTCGGTATGGTTTACGTCTATGATCTATCGGCATGGTTAAGTGCCGCATGAGCTAACTGTGATATCTTGGATAATTGGAATTGCAGGATACAAAGAGTTTATTTCATCCCGTGTCAAGCAAATGCCTAGACTGTGATACTGAACGGAAGGAGATCTTCGTTAATGAATGCGACAGATCGAAATTAAGCCAGCAATGGCTGTTCGAAAATTATAACGTAACGCTGCTTTTAAAGTTGTGATTTTGTGCCATAATTAATATGGAATAGTAGTTTGTTATTGTGCTGCAACTTGCAAGTGCTTGTCACAAGTTTATTGCTGTGAATGCATATGTGCCTTTCCTGCGTAAATCGTTCGGTATTGTTCCTGGTTCGTTCTTGTAATTTTACAATATTGTTGTTTTTTGTTTAATAATGTTGGTTATTCGAATGGAAACTGGAAAGTGGGAAAACGTTAAAAGTCATGATGACGTATGCTCGTACTACGACTGCTTGTACTCTATCTTGGTACAAAGAACACTACAGTACTGTACTTATGTTGCTGCTGAATGCCGATTATATGGATTACCAAAAAATTTCGCATATACCATAAATCAGGGTAAAAAACAAGCATTAGTTGTTTGAAATATAAAAAAGCATATGCAACGGAAGTGAAATTTAAGGTAAAAAAAAGCATGGCCACTTGCTTTGTCCTGATACCGGCCTAACATGGGATGGTCTCCTGTAGTAGTCACGATGCACGTGAGCGCTTGCAGCCTTGCGCTTGCAACGCATTCCAAGACGCTTTCACTCGGTTTGGTATTTTTTAATTGCTCCTCACAGTCAGTCCTCACCATCAGGAGTCGCAAAACGTACTTCGAGAACTGCTTTTTTTTTGTAATTTTGTTGTTGTGATCTTTTCGGTTTATGACAAGCTCTCAATTTAAAGTTAAATTCGAATTTATATGTGTTATTGTAATGGAATTTTGAGATATTTCACAATCCGACAAGAGCAGGCTGAACAGCTGATACAGGATACTGGCAGTGGAGGCTCACCAATAGCGGAACCCTATGTGTGTAGGAATTTTCCCGTTTTTTTAAGCTTTCTGGAGCGAAGCGAATTTGGAATAAGTGGATTAAATTGGGGGCTTTCGTATTTTCCGTTTTACTTTCCTGTTGGATTACGTTCTGTGTGGTCACTTAAATTAACTGAGGTAAGTCGTTTCTTACAATAAATTAAGGTAAACAAATACATAGAGTAGGTCTGATTCACCGTCTGAGCGTATCTTCGAGGCATTAGTAGTTTACACTGGGAATTACGATCTCATTGAGTAGGTTTGTCAGGCAGCGTTAGGTTATCGCATGGCAGGATTAATTAAATTAATGATGGAGGATTGTTGGAGACGGATGGTTCATTTTGGGCATAATGCAAAGAAGCAATATGGTTTTAACATATAGATATTTTATATTTTACTGACTTACATTACGTGAGTGACTCGTGTACAGAAGTGGCTTCCATCTGATCGCATTGAGCAAAACTTGTGGCATGTGCAGGCTTTATAGTTGCAGTTTTTGTTGATTTCAGGAAATGGCTTCGCGTCGAGATTTGGAGGCTGGTAGGCCAGGAGAACGTGCCAGATTGCTGGGAAATGACTCCGATGACGACATGATCGGCGTGCCACGAGGGAGTGCGCGTACCACAGCGCCTGACGACAAAGTGGCCGGAGTACAGCAGCAAGTCCAAGGCGTTATGGGTGTAAGCCGCGAAAGGATGTAGTGAACAACAGAGTAGTACTTTAAGTAATCTTAACCAGTGTTTATTGGGGATGCTTGTAAGATACTCCATAATCCGTTAGCTGTGCGAGGCCTTCTGCAAGCGTTATCGCAGTATATTAATTTTAATTCTCTGTTTATCGCTTAATATTTTGGTTACGCACAGCTTTTTTTCTGGTTTATTTTTTCTTATCATCTGTTTTAATTAGGTTTTATTTTTTAATGCGCGAGAGAATCAAAATAGTTCTGCCTCCTTTGCAGGTGATGCAGGATAACATTAACCGGATTTTGGAGCGCGGAGAACGACTGGATGATCTGGAAGAGCGTTCAGACAATTTGAATGTTAATGCCGACCATTTCCGCCGGGGCGCGACGCAAGTCCGACGTCGCATGTGGTGGCAGAATTGCCGAATGCGAATCATCATCCTCATAGTCATCCTGATTATTATTGGAATTATTGTGGCCGTTGTGGTGACGCAGGTCAAACCGAAGAATGCCTCAGCGGTTACCTGAACAGTTAACTGCGTTCTTCTTTGATTTATACGTGTTTTAGCGTTTCCGTTTTATCGATGATCTTGTAATTAAAGGATGATTTTGATAGTTTGTATTCTATGATTATCTGCTTTGCATCTTTTTGTTGATTTTTATTTGCAGTTACTCATAAGTCGTTTGCGCTGTGGTGTCTTTATTATACGCGTATTAGTTCGCCTTTGTTTTATTTCTTTTATTACCGTATTGCTGAGCGCTCTGGTCGCGGATACTCATATCCTTGCTCATATTTACGATATTAGTTTTAATAATAAAATTTGCAACAACCTAAATATGTCGATATTTCGTGCATGCACGGATTGTCTGAAGGCGAGACTGTAAAATCGGGCGATTTAAACCACATTCCCCGAATCCCGCAAATTTTTTTAAAATCGTAAGCAGCGTTTTCCTTAGAAATTTATCGAAGGCTGGAGTTCTTACTAACCTTCAATTTCTATGTGCGATATTATTATTATTTAAAATACGTAAGCAGCGTTTTCCTTAGAAATTTATCGAAGGCTGGAGTTCTTACTAACCTTCAATTTCTATGTGCGATATTATTATTATTTAAAAGCAGCGGTACGACTGCTTCAGTACAAAAATCGGTTTGCTTCGCTTTTTGGATTGTACCGCCGACATCAACTGGAATTACGATATTTACTACTTAACGATTTTAATTTTTGCATTTAGTTGCTTAAACAGTTTCGTGTTATCGTGCAACCGACGATAGCTCAGTTGGCAGAGCGGACGGCTGTAGAGACATAAGCATCAGATACCGTCAGGTCCTGAGTTCAATTCTCAGTCGTCGGAAAATTTTTTTTAGTCGAGATAACGCTAGACACGGTTATTATCTTTTTGTAATAATTCAAAACCAGATATTCAAACGAAATCAAAATAACTAGATTTACTAGCAAACAGTTAGCCACAGTGTGGTTATTTCGGTTTTAATAACTTGTTGCATTTGCCGTACGCGTATTTATTACATAAAATATAAGAACTACAGTACTTTATTGTGCGAAGCAACAGGAAAGGAGAATGCACCGTACATATAACTGTTATTACAAAGTTTTGGATAAGGGAAGGAGAAGAAAACCGGCCAGAAGAAAACGCAAAAATAAGTCACTTTGAGACGTTTATATACGTGCGTTTACAGTCAGGTACAATAAAAGTCGTACACAATCAACGCACATGACATAAGCCGCAAATAGATGTGTAGATGGTGTGTATCGACGAAACACCATTCGGTTTCTGTTTTGTCGCATTCGATATTATTTTCGCATCAGCAGTGCTGTTGCTTTGTCCGTTAGTGCCCAGTCCGGAAGAACACTGCGCCCCACTATCCACGGCCAGAGGTGTAAAATGCAAAACCGACTGTGGAGCGAAACGAGGACCAGTCAAATTCGCTCCAGTAATTTTGCACGTTGCAAATCCATCAGAAGTATCGTAGGCGTTTTGTAAAGTTTGAATTTTTTCAGGCGTCCACGAAAAATTAGCCAGAGCCCGCCTGATTACCGGATGCAAAGCCATTATTTCCGTATATCTGTCCATCTCGGTATATGCGATTGTTCCGTTTGGTGCGGTTGGATCGGTGCCGATAGCGTTCCGCTGCTGTTGCGCCCGGAGAGCTTGTAAACTGCCAAGGCAGGGAATGTTTACGTGCGATAATGCAGGAAATGACTCACAAAAAAGGGGAAATGTACCAGTACGACGGTAAAATGATAATGTTAATAAATTACTGTAAGTACCATACTTACGAAACGTTAACACCAGCAGTAATTACAGTGCGATACGCTTGTCGTACGGCGTCGTGATCAAATTAAACACAAGAATATGTACATACATACTAAGGAGCAAGGAGAAAGTGCCGTACAGAAAAAAATTCTTCAAAACTTACAAACAATTTTCATCGTTTTGATAAGTTATGTCCCAAGCCGGAAAACTCCGAATGGTTATGCGCATACGCCAAACATATGGAATGTCAACCACAAATTTAATGTGATCTGTGTTTGGCTAAAAAGTGAGCGCCACTGTGCAGTTTGTAGCGCGCATAGTTATACATATATTGCGCTCAAATTAACAAAACTAGGAAATGTCAAGGAAGAGCGGGCTCACTTAGAAGACTTACGTCTGAATCGCATCTGGTATGGCCAGGAAATTAACAGCGGTGTCGACAGCGTAGGAAGATTGGCATGAGCTCAAATTGGTTTTTGGATAATAATAAAGTACCCCAAAACACATTTCATCGGAAGTCGCCATACCGCCCTATATAAAGGTATGTTTGACTTTGATTGAACGATTAATTAATACCACACGCTAATTAAAGACGTATTTCGACTTCTGTTAGCAAGTTTTATACTCACGTACAAAGACTGCCGTGTTTCCAGGAGCATTATTTGAGTACTCGCACTGGAATATCAGTTGATCACCCTGGAAAAATACAGGACATGGATTGTGGGGTTTCGAAATCATGTCAAAGAAAATGAAGACAGCTATTACCTGCTCCAGTTTTCGCACGGGATTGATTCCTCTAGCTTCTTGGTAGTTGAAATCGTAATGGTTGTCCTCCGAAAGTACCGGCAGCTCAGTATTGTTTCTAATATGGCGGACACGCAGTTTCCTACCTTATGGGTCGAACGATAATGCTTATTATTTACCAAACAACCACAAAATATAATAGCAAATCTAATATGCAAATGCGCAGACTAATCAGGACATGATGTGCATCGAGCTGCTTGATTCTTTTATTACTTTTTGCGTTGTACGTACGTAAGCACAAATGCACTTACCAAGAAGATGGCTGTGGAGAATTATTTTGAATGCAGAAACGCCATCCGCTGGTAATAACTGAAATGGCCCCATTGAAAAACAGTAACGACAATTACGAGTACTAGCAAAAAAACACATAATGTTTATGTTTTAGCTGCTTTTAAACTTACATTGCCGGAATTTTATAACTCAATCGCTTTTCCATTAATTAATTAACGCACATGTCAGTTGTCAGCACCGGTCATCTAATACTTGCTCAGTCTGTACTTACGTCACGTGTGCAACTGTCCGAACAAACCCCGAATTGTCGAAATGATATGGCCCCAGGGGGGATGATCATTGTATCTGAAGAAAATAATTGGTGACAATGAAAAAGATGAATTACATAAATAATCGAAAGTGATAAGTAAATATTTCATGTTCCGTTGTCCATACAGAATTCTGGTTTGTAGTGAGTTAGTGAAAACGAAGACGTACCTTCAAAACTACTACTGCCAAGGGTCATGATCCCCACATCATACTTGCGTAGTTTATCCGTTAACTGGAAGTTCATCCCAGAGCTGTCCATCCTGCCTGTTAAATTAACATCTTCAAGTAGGCACCAGGATACGATGCATGGATTGTACTTACGTTTTCCGAATGGATTGTTGTAATGCATTTCAATGTAGACAAAGCGACCATTTAATTCCGGACCGATCGGAAGCCCAGCCTCCTCCGGAAAATTTACGTCCTGAACGAAAATATGTAAGATTCATCAAATTCCATAAACGGTTGCTCAGTGCATTTATAGTGAATATCACAAGTCCAACGAAGAGTTTTAATGACCTTGTCATCTTACCGATCCACCAACGGCCCAAGCCGAAAGTATTGTAGCGCAATGTGTTATCAGCTGTATTCCGGGCAGAAGATTAGGATCGCTGGTGTTTTGTGTCATACAGGTAAATTTCTTCGGTCCAAAAGAATCCGTTATGGAGTCGTCGCATAAGTACATCATCATATGATGCACTAAATCGATGTTGCCATCATCGATTTTGGGCACAGTCTACAGATACAAATTAATTTTCCAGCGATACCCATCGGTTTACTGGTAACTTGATCAAATTCTTCTGGTTGAGCTCAAAAAGCATTGCGTAATGAATCAATCACCTTCACAAGTTGGTATTTCTTCTGGAATTCTGGAATGAGAGCCAATTCACAATGATACATGGAAGTGACCCCTTCCGGTATAATAACCTGTTGCAACCAATCTGATTAACTGGGCCGGGTATACGTGCGCCGTACTGTGCTTACATAAAAACAGAAAACTTCAATCCTACGTGCATTTTGCAAGCCAAATGTCCAAAAATTTTTGTTGTGATTAATACATATGCCTCTACTTGGCCAGAAACAAGTGATAACTAACCAATTTCATGATTTTGCCAGACTAAAATTGGTCGCAGATTTCTTTAAGAGCTTAAACGTGTTTCCATGTACAGCTTATTTTGTAAGCTTACAAGCAAATTTAGTTTTCGAGGAGAGATACATCTATAGATTAAAAATTTTTCGAGGCACTGTAATTATCCTTATATTTGGCAGCACAGCAATTACCGATCATTTTGAGAGTGTAACACACTGCTTATTTTATATTAACGATAAGTCAGTAGGCTCAGTATTGTACATTGGGTGAATGACAGCACTGCATAGTGCACAATAATCCTGGTGTAATGTTATATACGAGTACATGTACAAGTGCTGTACTTACAGCGTCAACAAGCACATTCCAGTTTTTAACGATTGGTGGGCTTATCGCTGCTCCCATTTTTCTTACGGCCAAAGATTTGTCGAGCAGGATTAAGCTGCGAGAACCGCGAAAAAAATGCATTGCCGGGTGCAGGTAATCAACAGGTTGGTCGCGTCCCAGAGAAAATATCACCCGCATGGTGTCTTGCTGTGTAAACCAAGCAGACGGATCAGAGTAAAAACACGTACCCGTAGTATTAAAAAGCTTTTGTTGTGGACATATCACCGTTCATAAAAAAATCAAAACCGAAAAAAGCCATTGACAATCCTCACAGTAATGGGGCGGTCCATCGAATCACACGTGTCCAATTTCCGCCGGACACGAACGGCGAGATGCGTAGCGTTTCTATTCGCACTCAACAACGTCCAGTCTTGCTGCTTGTCCAGCTGTAGTTGTACGCTGGCAGGTTGCGAAACTGTGATAAACCTATCCTAAAGTATTAGCAAGCCTGTTTAGCAGACGATGCTTTCCTAAGGACCCATCATTTTAATTTCCTGCTTGCTTGTGCAGAAAAACGAAATTTAAACTTGAAAATTATTGCCACTGTTATATACATTTTGCCAGTGGCGCCTAGATAAATGGTAAAATACTAAAATGTATTCTATGATGCCATATGCATATATTAATTTATATATAGATACAACAGTAAATACTCAATACGTACCGTCACATTGGCTTGACCTGTGTGGTTGTCCACGAATGCAAATAATACATCCGATTGGTCCATACCTCCGTTAGGCGAGAATCCAAAACCCAGCCAGCCGGATGTTTTGGCGCTGAGATGCAGATCAATATAGTCATCCACAAAATTCCATTTTAAATAATACTCATTTTCTTTGTTTAAGAGCACTTCCTGTTCGAATTCCTGAGCAGCTGACGACATGCTTATGGAAATAATTCTCATAAGATTGTAGAATAATCCGCACACCGCAGCATCTGAATGACGCATTCTGACCAATTTATTTTTAAAATATGGTGTAATTTTAAAATTTGATCCTTTAAACAGACAGAAACTGCTGCACAGAGAAAGACCAACGACTGCTCACACTTTCACCGTAAGAAAAAACAACTGACAGGCTTAAGTTGCAAGCCACTTTCACTGCCGATATTATTGATACGTAATTAACAATTACTGCACAACGAAATTCTAACCCGTTGTTTCTTTTGCGCCTCTGGATACGATTAAATTCATCTTCTTTACAGTGTCGTATTGACAATAAAAATTCTCTTTGATCAATAGCCAGCATGTATGCCAGAAATCTCGTTCGTCTAGACTGTTGGAGCATGACAACGTGTGCAGAGAAGTTCACGTCCGCATCGACGGCATTTTAGATCCGAATTATGGAAATCTATGGGTAATGAGTAGGTACTCGAACTACTGACAAATTATTAAATTTGCCGGTAGTAAAAGCGCCACAATGGGTACTCGCTGTTGTCATATAACGGCAAACCGGCGTGAATACGAAAGCAGCAGTAGTAATACAACTCTCAAGAACGCATTAACGTTACGTTCCACATGTTTTGCAAGTATGAATTGCGGAATCGCCGGCAGCATTCTCACAACCCACATCGTAGTAGGTTTTTTTAATATTCCACATACCAGTGATGAGTGTTCGAAAAAATACAATAACATTACACATGTTATTAATTGTTCTGCACCTGCAGTTTTACAATCTACTATCCAGTATCTGATACCTTATAACTCGTGGTTAATGTTTCCTGAAGGCTAAAACAAGTACCGTCAGGATAAACTTTTCCAGTTCCAAAAATCCTTCAAAGGTGAAGCCCCTCCGAATGTGAGAGATCGTGTAATATGCTTTCAGTGTTATCGTCCAAATTTGAGGACAGCTAGCAAATTTTGCGCTATTGCCGATCATCTATAATGTCCATACTTCAATCGTAATTCGGAGTACAATAGATAGACAGAGTACAACAGATACCTACGAGTACCAACAATCGCAGAAAAAGTGTGTACGCGAGTCAGCTTTGTTGTAGCATTTTTTGTTGTTATTCTCGGAAGTATCGACGCGAAAAGGTTTAAGGAAAATGTTGTATTTCGAAAAACTTGTTGTAGATCGATGTTGTAGGAGCGAGGGGCTTTCCTTCTTCCTATAACAATCGTAGCAAACCGGCCAATGGGCAGTTTTGCCAGAATCACCATAAAAGAATTATATGTGTAGCTTTGCATGCAGTTAATGGTGGTGAATGCGAATACAAACTTGAAACCGCACTGACCAAACTGCACAGTAGGTAGAATTATTGATTTTTCGAAAATGATAAGCCGCTTAATAAAATGGCCATGGTCGCTTATTAATATTTTGCGAGCTCTGTTATTTATTATGCGCCTTTCACTGGCCACCTTTTATTGCAGACGTTTTGCGTTATTTAGTCACATCAAAGTTCAAACTGTGTTACCCCACTGCATAGTTAAAATCGTATTGCATTTTTTGATTTACATAACTGATTATACCGTAGTAACTGCATCTCTGCTATGATAGTTTTTTTTATAGATATCCCATGCGACCATGATTGAAATACTGATTTGGGAACATTTCCGTATGATGTTACAAAATAAAATCCTGCTTCCGCTTATTAATAATTAGAATAAGCGGGATATCTCCGCCTATCACGCCTCTGCTGGGCTGGGTCAGATTTCAGTTGTGGTCAAAGTATGGTCGGGAAGTGTTGTACGAGTAATAAGCAAAATTTTTACAACGTTGCTACAACATCCGGGAAACTACGACTACGATTGTTGTAATCGCAGTTCTGTAACAGATAAGCACGAGGAGATCACGAGTGATGCTTTATTGACAAATAAAGGGGAGCAATGCTGCGTAATAGCAGGAAAGCAAGAACATAGCCGTGATGGCCAAGCAAGTGTGTGCTCGAAAAGCTCTTGAGCGTCCGTCAAGGCATGAAAGAAGCAACTGGCGGCAAGCACGTGCTGTGTGCCATCAGCTGTGTGATGATGCGCAGACTGGACTCTATCCAACGCGAGCGTATGAACGCTGAGTCATACTGCGAAAGAGGAACGAGAGAGCAAGTGTGGCTCAGTGTATGCGCTGCGTATATCCGCTTCAGCGGATGAGTGCAGTGCAGCAGCACACGTACGTACAGTGAGAGAGGTGGTAACGGCAAGCAATGGTGCAAGTACGTCCTGTGTGGACCGTACGCACCAGGCGCAGTCGTACGCCTCTGACAGTTCCCATTTTAAGACTACGATTTGTCATAAAATTTCGAATTACGATTAAAGTATGGACATTATAAGACAGATTTTTCATTTAGCAGGAGTATTTCTGCTTAATAAGGGATTACCTAATTTGTTTCGCAAAAAAATTGAGCCGCAGGCCCGCAACCAAGAAACTTCAACGCATAATTATATTCTCATTTTAAAATAATAGTTTGTGTAAAAGTTAAACCTGGCGAATAAGCCTTGACCAACACAAGCATTCCATAAAATTAAATTTATTTCCTTATTCCAAGAGTAATATTTCTACTGGACTGATAGGCATAGCTAGGTAGAGAAAGTACCATCTGCACCTGCAAAGCAGGCTGAGCAAATACAACTCTAGGCTTCCATATCCGCCACACTGGATTTCGTACGCTTCTTCTTTTTCCTCAAAACATCAGCATCAGCCGTAACATCTGAAGCCCCGATCAGGTTATCCGAAGTTTCATTATATTCATACGTTTGCGACTCCACTTCCATTGTTTCGTCCTGTCTCTTGGATTTCTTTCTTTTTTTCGTCGCGTGTGGCTGTTCATTATCAGCCATAAACTGCGCAATCTCAAACTCATTAACGCAACTCTGAGGCCAGCCGCTTCCGGATTCCACTTTCCGAAGCTCCGCTTCCTTTTCTGCCCTCTTTTTCTTTTTCTTCGAATTAGTTGCTGTTTCTGCATTCGGCTCCGATTGCGTCTCTTCTTCAAAACCGACCGTTTTCCCGGTGGCAGTTTCCAAGGCTGCACCGTCGCACATTATTCGCTGTGTAGTCTTAAATTTTCGCTTCTTGGTAGGGGTCGATACAATCGACACCGTCGCATCGGAAAAAGATTCCTCTACCGCCGCAGCGGTCGACAAATCAGTCGACACTCCACTATCACTCGTTTCCCAAAGCCTGCAGAGTGCAGGCGCGATTCACTCCAGAAAAACTGGAAGGCCCGGAAAACTCGACAACCTGGTGAGGATTTTTCACCTCGATAATATCTTCTGTCAGAGGGCTATTCAGCATGTTTTGGTCAGTAATCCACGGATATGGCATATTCCATTACGATTTTCCACTTTTTCAACCTGAAAAGCCGTGTAGTGATAAACTGCTGCTAGTTCACATCTTATAAATAATTTTATTTTTTAACGAAATTTGAAAATTCTGAACCCTAATCCGTTCACTGATGATTTTTTTTTCGATTTTTCAACCAACATAACTGCGTTCAGTCTAGCAACAGGTACGCGCACATCCAGATAGCCTTCTTCTTTGAACAAGGAGGTGTGCGGCCGGTTCGCTAATTCCGCCGCTTCCTGGAATCGGATGCGATTCCCAGCTATCTTCGCCACGGTCATGGTGGTATAATTCGAGGCGCGCACAAAAGTTAGAAGATACGCATGCGGAGGAACCCACTCAATGATAGCTAACCAGATCCCTTCTGTGTTTGAAATGTTATGAAATACACAGGTCAGGCTCTCCGCTCTCGATACCGTTTGCAATCCGCTCTTCGTCTTTTCGCCAATGTGATGGTAACAGATTAAACAGAACGATCAGTTACATAATTATGCCCAATGAGTATCACCAGTTGGACTTCTGATCAGTACCAATTCGGAAAATCTGACGCGGAAATCAGAAACAGGAAGCCTCGTATGTATCCTGAACCAGGCACAGCTTGTACTGGAAATGGGTTAACGTTAACTCAGTCAAGTACCGCTGGAGGGGCCACTGCACTACGGAATCACTGGGAGTAATAAAGCTGGTTCCAAAAATTTTGCGCATACAGGGTACATATACGCAATGGAATTCCAGCTGTCTATGGAATTTAACTTTCGATTGTTAAGATTTTGCGGCTCTTGTTGCCCGCGACTGTTTGCAGTTATGAGTTAGGTTAAATAAATTTCACTGCTGAGCGTTATTTGTAGCTCGGTTGGAAAAACACGGTTTTAGAAAAATGTGAAAATGTTTGTTTCTAGAAGTATTATCACACTTCTGCGAATAAATCGGTTAATCAACAGAACCCTTCTGCATATGCCTCTTCCATCTACTCAGATTCTGGTGTCCAAATTCCACGGATCCTTGACGGAACAAGCGCAGCCGCGTTCTTCTGTATCGTACGAACCCCGTACGAATGACAATACTCTTCGTGCTCTGCATTCATTCCCCTACGCGAAGGATATTCTCCTATACCTGGCAGCTCTGCTTCAAGAACACGCGGATCGGAATGTCCTCCAGTTAACCATCGACGTCCGTAAACTGCCCGCCGGTGGCTTAACGTTTTGGGAAGCCGTCGTGTCGTTAAAATGGCCAAACAGTCTGGTGTTTTACGGGAAGGGCGCCACCAAAGGAGAAGCTACCCGGATTGCATGTGCCAACGCTTGTGCCAGTTTGAAATCTATGGGGCTCTTGGATAGGAATAATAAACCGATTCTGTACACTTGGGACGGTGCGCAAGAAATCAAGAAGAAGCGCTATGCGCCGTCCAAAATCACTCTAGCTGAGAAATCCTTGGCCGATATCGAAAACTGGAACCGGAAATTCTTTGAAGATGTCCTCATTTTCAAAGAATGCGAGGAAAGCCGTGAATCGTTTCCGCTGCCCGAAGAAGTGAAAGAAGTGATGGAAGACGGTGAAATCGAATTCACGGACCTGATCACCGGAGAACCCTTGAAAAGTATGCGATCTCGTTTCGAAATGGAAAACACCAATGATGATCTTTACGCAGCACATATTAGGCAGAAAAACTCTCAGGATTCTAAGATCAACGCTGTTCTGGATTTTCGGAAATCATTACCAGTTTACATGAAGCGTGAAGAAATCTTAGGTGGGTTATGCAATCTGGCGCTTACATTTCACATTCTCAGTTAGAGAGTAAGTTGTAAGACAAAGTTATAATTAGTAGCTCGTTTAATTTGAAATCTATCCATTTTGAACGTTTACTTTAACCGTTCGAAGCGTAATTTTTTTACCTAGTTTTTTTCTGAATTTCATTTTCTATCGCAGTTTACTGTTTACATTTCTATGCTTCGTTGGATTTCCATGAAATGAGAGTGCAGTACTTACTTTGTGGGTTTATTATAATTATATTGGTTGGCAGTGTAAGCTAATTGTTGGTTGACTGATGATTGCATTTTCTTAGTTCGATTTAAATTGTCGTCTTTGTTCTTTACTATCCGCTACCCAGGCTCTCAAAAATTACAGAATGGTACTAGTATTAAAAATTTGTATTGCGCCGGTTATTGCCATCCTTTTCAGGTGCAAAATTAGGTACCAACGCTAGCAAGTATTACCCAGTAGTAATTGTTAATCAGGTTTCGTAGCTCCTATTAGTTTACGAATTCAGTTGATATATGTATATATATATTTTCTAGAAACGATAAAGGAAAATCAAGTCACTCTGATAAGTGGTGAAACTGGTTCGGGGAAATCCACACAAATACCACAGTATTTGTTGGAAAGTCTGGTGGAATCCAATCGCGGAACCGATGCCAGGATAGTCGTAACTCAGCCACGTCGAATCTCCGCTATATCCTTGGCTGAACGGGTAGCTTTCGAGCGCAACGAGGAACTGGGACGTTCTGTTGGTTATCAAGTCCGACTGGAATCGACTCTGCCGCAGGATCCTGGATGTGTGTTTTTTTGCACAACCGGCATCCTTCTGCGTCGTTTACAGACAAATCCCACCTTGAAAGGCGTTTCGCATGTTATTGTGGACGAAGTTCATGAACGCGATGTTTTAATTGATGTGCTACTGTCCTTGCTCAAGAATGCCGTTAAATCCAATCCGGATGTGCGTGTTGTCCTTATGTCGGCGTCTTTCAACTCGGATTTGTTGAGTCAGTATTTTGATGATTGCCCAGTCGTCCAGGTGGAGGGATATCTGCATCCAGTACGGGAATTTTTCTTACCGGAAGTTTGCAAATTTCTTGGTGGCTCTGCATTGGGCAAAGATAATAATGATCCGAGGACAGATTTAGATTTAGTCTTGAAGTTAATCCAGCAGATCGATGCGGTGCGACCAGAAGGTGGAATACTGGTCTTCTTGCCGGGTTGGCAGGAAATCAAGCAGCTAAGAAATCGTATTCAAACGTCGTTTTATCGAAGTGACCGGCATAAAATCCTGGTATTGCATTCGATGGTTTCGTTAGCTGATCAGCATCGTGTTTTTGAAAATGTGGGGCCTCATCAGCGCAAAATAGTATTAGCAACGAATATTGCGGAGACCGCAATTACGATTAATGATATCCGCTATGTGGTAGACGTCGGCAATCAGCGCGGCCAGACCTTTAACCCAGAACGCGGGATCGCGACACTGGATATTCAGTGGATCTCCAAGGCCAATGCATTGCAGCGACGTGGGCGAGCTGGTAGAGTGCGTTCCGGAGAATGCTATCGTTTGTACAGTAGAGAGCGCTACGATGATATGGAGCCGTTCCCTGAGCCGGAGATAAGACGGACGGCTTTGGAGAAGGTAATCTTGGATGGAAAGCTGTTCTGCCAGCCGACAACTCGAGCCAAGGATTTCCTTAGCCAGTTACCGGAGCCACCCGAACTGGAGGGCATTGAAGCAGCGGTTGATGAGCTTATTGAACTGCGAATTTTGAATTCCGACGAGTCGTTGACCGTAATGGGGGAGCGAGCAGCACATTTTACCACGCATCCCCGACTTTCCATCGCTCTGGTTTATGCGGCTCTTTTGCGATGTCTCAATCCCGTTTTGAGCATTGCGAGTTTTCTGACCACAAATCGTGATCCCTTCGTTGGTCGACTGGATAATAAGGCACAAATCAAGAGCTTGAAGGAGAGATTCGCCGGCGGCACAGAGAGCGACCACATTGCGCTGACGAATTTCTTTTCTACCTGGCTGGAAACGGCAAACAACGAAGCCCAGTTGGAAGAGTTTACTGAGAGTTTTGCGGTTGAAAAGGATCATATGAAGTTCATCGATGGTATCCGGCAAGTTTTGGCAGGGCATTTGTTTCAGTGCTTTCTTCTGGAAAATGTCGACGATGCGATGGATCAGAATTCAGCCGTGAATGAATTCGCCCGTAACACCGCGTTCATCAAAGCAGCTTTGACCGCCGGAGTTGGTAATCATGTTCTCAAAACCAGCTACGGATTGATCAAGAAAGGACGGATAAACAAGAATCTTGTGATAACTTTGCCGGAAACCGATACGCTGGTCGAGCTTAGCAAGGAGTCCGTTTTATATGACGTTAACGGATTGCGCCATCCATGGCTTGTTTATCACTCGAAATTTAAATCCGGGGAAACGCGGAAAACGATTGTTCGGGATGTGTCGGTGGTGCCAATGTTAACGATGGTATTGTTTGGAGGAAAAGATCTGAAAATGGTAGAGAAGGATGACGACGAAGATGTTTTACTGTTTTTTGAGGGCAATGAACGGGTGGCGTTTACTGCGGAGCAGAAAATCGCTTCAGCGTTGTTTGAGTTGAGACAGAATATTTCAGATTTAGTGGATATGACTCTTACGCGTGGAGAAACGCAGTCGGATGAGTTGAGTGCTTTGTGGGATTCTTTACGAGAACTATTGGCGGAAATAATACCTGTGTGATATGACACGTTGTTGCTGTTTGTTATTAAGAGCAGCCAGCAGGATAGACAGAATTGCTAATTGAAAGAATAAAATTTTTCTGTCTTTGTTGCTCAAATCAAAAATGCATTACAATATCCATTAAAAATTCGAGTAGATCATGACATAGCCGACAGCCTGACACCAGTCAACTGCTAGTTGACCACACAGTTAATTTATGCAGATAATTGTAGCCACTCTTTATTCGTATTCTGAGCATATGTAATTCAAAGCATATGTAATGGTTGAATAGGCCTTGATAAAGATAAAACTCAATATTAACCCAAAAGTTTTTTTGAATGTAAAATCCTTATGGTTACTTACGTTGGTTATCACTTATCGTCATACAGAAGTACTTCACACTTCATGACAGGCTCGTGTGCGGGTACACGTAAAACGGTTTCCGGCCGATTCAGGCGGTTACAGTCTACAGAGCACAAAGACGCGGGCAGCGACACTTGTTGTGCCGTGGCGCCGGCGAAATAAATTTTGCTTTTGCGGATACGCATACACACAGTGACACAGACACAGGAAGTACAGATGCACATAACCGCAAGACATACAATACATTTTTTGTAGCAGCAGTGGTAGCCGTAGGATTTTGGAGTAGCAGGATTTTGTTGTCTGGAGAAACTTTATGGTGATAATTTCTCCACAACCAAGCACCACTTTACATTTAGACTGTAGTTGTTTTGCCTACAATTGTTAATTATTTAAGCATGCCAGTGACATTCACCGTCATGTGTTTTCACATCTTATAATCATCCAGATTCCCCCTACAAACACTGCTAGAAGCATCGCTCTTTGCTGCCCGACAAAAAGAAGCCCGCTGCATATGGAACCGTGTGTCACCAGATCGTGGAAGCGTCAGTCGCGTTGTCTGGATTTTCAGCAGATCATGGAACCATTATCGGACGGAGCGCAGGCAGCTGGCACTTTTGCTCCCTATACAGCAGTGGAGCCCGACACACTCGGTGCGTCTGAGAATCCTCTCCTGTGGTGGAAGATCTTTGGACTGACCATACACGATTTGTACGACTGGCGGATGGATAAAATCGATGATTTAACTTGCACGTTTTATGGCCTCCTGGGCACTTCGCCTTATTTTGATGCAATTCCCTTGGAGCAGCAGAAACTTATTCTGTCCATGATGACGTTGTCCCCCAAACGTGGCGATGAAATGTTCGCAGATCTCACCGAAAAGTTCCGGGGACAAATGGAAGGAGACATTGTGTACAAGAAAATCGTCGTCAACATGAACGGTTATCAGTTGGGAATCTTTCGGTTTGGATCCAAAGTGTACGCAGTGGAAAACGTTTGCCCACACATGCAGGGGCCTCTTGGTAAGAAACCGAAACATGCTCTAAAGTTGCATGAACTTCGCGTCAATTCACACTTTACCTTTACGGAACTCGGCATTGTTTGTTTTGCGAGTTTGAAATTCTAGCACTTTTTCTTCTCCAGCATGGAAAAATATCTATTGTAATTATTGTACATTAAGTAAAAGACCATGTTGTTTTAAAAATTTATATTTTCCAAAAATTAAATTGTGTAGTGCTGTTTGGTGGCTTTGCTTAAATTTTCAGCTGAAAAATAAAATAGCATTAAATTGTGTTTGCGATAGTGAAATCTTTAATCGTGCCGAGTTTGCAGACTTGTTATACTTATGTGCCCGTTTGTTTATATAATTAGGAAGTAAAATTACAAATTTAGGTTTTTCAGGCATGGGCGATATTGAGGAAATCGATGGCCGTGTTTGCGTGATATGTCCCTGGCATCACTGGCGGTTTGAACTGGACACCGGGCGTCCTTTGCAGCCTCCGCGAAAAAATGGTGCTCGAGTTTTTCCAGTGAAGAACGTGGACTGCGAATTGTTCGTCGGTTTTGAAGGGTATAATCCTGTTGTGTTTACGGATGATTTCTTCTGATTGAAAGAATGGGCAACTGAAAGATGATTTGGAATTTCGGAGAACGGGCGACCGGATCGTTACCGAATTATGCACGACATTACTCAGATTACTGTTCACGCCCTGTGATTTTTATACGACTAACATCCCCAAGATAGAATTTTACACGTCCATTATACAGGTTTTTGAAATTGGCTTTATTTTTCTAACCCGGTTCTTTTTTTTTGTCAAGTTGTGAAATCTGGAGATACTCAAAGTTTGTAGGATCTGCTAGAGGCACAGCGACCACGGTCATCCGTATGAGCATACCATACATTAAAGTTGTTGTTAATTGTTCAGTGATGCGAATTATACTGCACCACGTAAATTAGTTAGGAAGAACGAAAGTTTTTCTGGCGAAGATCTTATCACGAAACTAACACCTCTCAACCCCAACTAACTAAATATATCTTCAGTTTTATTAAAACAAAAGAAACGCGACAGAAGAGTTCTCAAATCTCTATGCGCTGCAACATCATACCATTACCATGCGCCAAAAAAATTTAAAACCTTAATGATCAATTGTACAGGTAGTGTTAATGAATAAAAGCATAACGTCTGTGTCGGATGTGCCGTAATTAGCTAAACGAACCCTTTCAGCAGCACCCAACGCATACCACTGCAGCTTCAGAGAATCAACGTTTTATAAACAGGAACCAGAAAGTGCATACGGGCGATAATTAACAAAAATATCAATCAAAATCTGATTCAACTTTAACGATTCCGCTGCCACCAAGGTAGCCGCCGACCCCCATGGACTCCTTGCCCGGCCCGTCCATGATGTGGCCAGCAGTGAATCCACCGACTGGACGAATATCAGTGTCCAAACCCTCCGAAGCAGCGTCACCGCGGTTGCTTTGCTCATCATAAAACGGCTTCATTTTATTGGCCGGTAGCCCTTCGATCACGCGAAAAATCGGTAACCTGTAAAAACAATAACAATTATCGAAAAGTAAAAGTATATCGCTTCGGCAGTTCTCAAGAAGCACCCGCAATCGCTAGACAAAAATTTTGTGCAAGATGACACCCTCTTACTAGTATATCACACCAAATCTTCATCACCGTACTCAATAAAGTTCAACTAATCTAAATATAAATACGTATGTATATACTGGTCGGCAGTTCATCTCTCAACCTCACACTTACTTGAAAAGGTCATCATTAAAATTAACAAAATCTTTTTCGAAAAATCCAAATTCTGGACCGCGAATCAACTGACTGCATGTCGCCACCAGTCCCCATGGATGCGGTCGGTGAGAAGTGATCCGTTCGATCAATACACGGACAATCAGCTCCTGCAGATGGGGATGATTGGACATATCGCGGAACAGATGCAGCACAACACAATAGTAATAGTGCGTATGGAGATTCGGATAGCGTAAATGGTTAACCAAGGCATTAACCAAGAGGTAACGGCCTGTCAAATACAAATTAAAATCATGTAATAACATCTCCACTCCTAAATTTCGTAGGAAATAACTCATTTCTTACCTTCGTTATCGAAATTAATTGCCAAGTTCTGAATGATATCCATGTGCGAGGTATGTGCTACGCTGGTAGAATTAATTTGGATATTTTTACTGTTCAGTGTATTGACAGCCTGCTGCCCCAAATACAAGACTAGAGCATTCAACATCTGGACATGATAGCGATGACCCGCCACTCGCGACATCTCCAAACGTCCCAACAGATCGGCGAAAAACGTCACCGGGGCTCGACTATTCAGGTAAGAATCCAGATCATTGCGGAAGCTAATCGGCTGCAGGAACAAATGATAGCGCGTAACAATCTTGGGTGGCGCGTATTCAATGCCTTTCTGCTCTTCAATCTTGAAGGTAGCCGCATAAGGATCATCCGTGGCAATTGCCAACGGCGCCGCACTCAGCACCACGTTGCGCATGTTGAAACAATTCAACGGGATAACGTCGACCAAAACACAGTAGTACTCGGCAAGGATCTCAGGATAATCGTGGAGAAGTGTATACAAAAATCGCAGCAATGCCTACAATAAAAAGACGTTTGAAGTCGACAAATTAAAGGAACAGAAGTATGAATATGAATAACTGCGCAGCGTGGATACATTGATCACAAAACATCAAACAGCATACTTATTCAATTACGTACCACGGTTGCTTCGAGAAAATTAAATCTGTGTGTGGCATGGTGCTGGTAACAAACTTACCCGAAAGACAATGGACAACGCTCGATTAAGAGTAAGGTTCCGCACAAATGGAGCAACAAATTTGATGCTATCAACCAGTAACTGCATGAACATTTCCCACCCTTTTTTTTCAGGAATCTCGTTAATACGACGAATCATATCACGATGGAATACCAGCTCCAGCCAAGACGGCGTAAAACCAGGCAGTTTCTGCGGACGTACAGTGTGGTAGAAATTGCAGAATCCCAGCATAATCTGTTCTTGAATCTGGGAAAACTTGAACTCCGAAATGAACAGATCCATGAAAAACGAATAAATGATGCGGTGGAAGGGGTATGCCACAAACTGCATATCGAATGTCTCTTGATGATGGAACATCACACCCGCTATAATACCCAGAATTTTCGAGGTACCCATGGCCGGATCGCGAAGCCAGTTGACTTTCATGGCCACGTTGGTTTCACCGGCTAATCGAAGATTCAGCACGAGCAGTCGGGCCAGAGCATCCAGCATGGGAGCCATTTTCAACCGCATCTGATCCTGGGCCAAGGTGTTTGTCGGAGCCGACGGATCCCCGATCATGCGATAGCAGTCACGGGCGCAGATTTCCACACATGTCTTGAAAAATCGCGTCGCCAGATCGTCGTTCTTCAGGCAGACTTGCATCTCTGGAAGGATCCTCTGGTAGGCAATGCGAACGGACTCCATGGCCTGCGGCATGGCTTCGTTGGATTTTTCGATTGCTTGCATGGCCGGACCAAAGTGCGGTCCGTTAACCATGGTGTACCATTCGCGCAGGATATTTTCCGCTTTTTCACGAATCGGTGGCGACTCACCCAGATCGCGCACCTGAACAACTGCTTGATGGAAAACCATAGCCAGAACCCCGTTCTCCGGAGGCACATCGCGACGCTGGTCGAAGCGTCGGCCGGGTGACAGATCAACTTTAACTTCATCCATTAGGAAATGCACGGCGAATGGAATGTCGTTGTTGCGACTGCAGAAGCGGCAGACGGCTTCGATGGTATAGTACAGGTCACTCTGAAATAAAAAAATACCTCGTTTTGTATTCTGAATTCTATAAATTCTCAACCTTTTTATTTTAACGAATTTTTCTAAGCAAGAACAAAACAGAACAAGAAACAGAACTATAAAGACATTATGCATAAATAAAGAAAGACACTTCAATCAATATAAGCAGTACACCGCATAATTCATATTTTATTACATCAACAGACAGCAATTTGTTCAAGATTTATTCTTCAAGTTCGTTTCACCTCACTCACCTCGCTCAACGCTCCCGTCATCTTCTCATCCACACAGAACGTCCTGATCAACATCTGTGCCAGCCCTACCGCATCACGGCTAGCGGTCGATTCGATGATTTTGCTCAGCATGCTGTCCATCGCCGAAACTAGAATTAGTCGTCCTCTCAATAAAACATTGAATGTCTCAAATGCGCCTGGTTTAATGTTGGGAAACGTATGGGATCCATTGTCCATAACCAGCGTGTGCATGATAATCCGCATGATCATCAAGGGACCAAAGACCTTTTCACCCTGGAACTGCACAAGAACCTCCATGCACACCGTCTTGAAGCGCACAACGATATCCTGCGCAGGAGCCGGGTGATGGTCGGCAGCCTGCTGATTAATCGTTGACTGCAATACTTCCGGAGACAATCCATCCAACATAGTGTCCACTGTGTGGGAGACAATTTCGTGAATAATCTGTCGGGCACCACTGCTACGTATCATATTTCGGCCGTCTTGGATCTTATTTTTCAGGCCGATAATCAGCTGTAAATGACGATTATCTGCTGCGTTGGGAATGAAGTTCGACATGATCCCCACGTGGCCTTGCAGTTTTTGCGCCACAGTGTCGCACAGCTGCAGAATAAAACATTAACCAGGAGTAGGGAGCCAGTGAGAAATTACAAATTCTTACCAGAATAAAATCTTCTTCTTTCACATCTTGAGGCAGCGGCCTCTGCCCAGCTTGTTGCAAGGACTGATGCTGCAGCTGCTGTTGTTGTTGCTGTTGCATCATACGCTGTCGGTACATTTGTTGTTGTTTTTGTTGCAACAATTCCGCGTCGGTCATGAAGCCAGGAATGTTTTTGGCAAAGTGTTCATACACAGCTAACTGTTGTTCGCGAATTTCACCACCCGGTTCCATTCGAAGAATCACCGGCATACGTTCCCGCTGAAGTTTAGCTTCTTCCTCGTCGTACCACATTTTTCCTTCTTGTTTTGCATCACTTCGCCTCTTGGACTGCAAAAAACCATTAATATCTCACACACATTTCTAGACAAACAAATGCAATGCAGTAACCGAGTGAAGTTCCAAACAAACGAGAATCCTTACCTCGTCCTGCAAAGTTTTGGTGATTTCCATAACACATCGTTCGGCTGCGGCTTTCTGCAAGAATGCTGAACAGAGCTCCAGGTTATCTTTGGCAAAGATTTCGCAAGCATTGGTCACAATACGCTGCTGGTCTTCCGACAAATTCCGGATATTTGACATTGACAGAATCTGGTTTTTCGCGCTCACGACCAGCGCATTATGCAGATGTTCTCGCATTGTAGCAAAGGATAATCCCGATGCCAGATGTCGAACCATGTAGGTTCCAGCCTGCCTGACGTGATCCGGATCACCGTCTAGACTGAAATCTTTCCGCACAATCACCAGCGCCGCTGGCACGACAATCCTCATGCACCGATCGACACAAGGCATCAGGAATTCCTGCAGCGTCCGTTCCACTCCGATGCGCAGAGCATTCCGAATCGCCATGTCATTCTGAAAGATAGTCGCATCTGGGTTGAAGAAGATCTTCGGATAGGTACTCTGAAACTGCGGTGGATGGAGATCGCGATAATGGAATCGGAAGCCGCTAGGCTGGACGGGTTGAACAATGGGCACGGGGGTAACAGAAGATGGCATTTCCACTAATCCCGCTTGCTGCCCACCGGTTTCGCCGGGACGACCATCAGATGTCGGGAGTGCCATCTGCTTACCACGCTTCGAAGGCGCTCCGAACAGCTGCTGTCCATGCTGCATCACCCAGCGCACATACTCTTCGTTCTTCAAGAGCGGCGACTCACCTAAATCTGGAACGTTCAACTCTAAATTCTTCGCCAGAACTTCGACTTCAAATTTCAGGTTCAGTTTCGTTTCCGGTTCCGCATGCACTGCTCCCAGTAGAGCCAGGATGGTCCGAATCCACGGGTTTTGTTTATTGAACAGCTTGCTCTTTGGACACAGGCCGAGGATCTTCGTCACTAATGGTATCGCGTAGTGCAGCTCATTCAATCCCTTGTGATATGCTTCCACAATCAAAGCTTTCATATCTAGATCCTTGGAGCGGATTGGCCGGTTCATAGCAATAGTCATGTAGCCCAACCAGGCACCCAAATTCTTCAAAACGGATCGTTCGTTAAGTTTATCTGCAGACTTCTCAGTGCGCAGCAAGCGCTTGATATTCTGAACGGTTTCTTTCAGGGTCAGCTTGTACAGAAGCGGTATTTCAATCTGTTGCATGAAATTGAAGTACAGCAACTGAAAATTATGTTCCTGTCCCGCTCGCTTCAATACGATGTATTCAGCCACCCAGCGCAAGTACTGCTGTGATTCTTCTCCTTTCAACAATTCCTTAATTTCATCGATTTTGCTCTTAACATTGGACATGGACATATTGTTGAAGTGGAATATGAATTGGTCTCGCGTCGTTTCCGGAGGAACTACAACCGGCAGATCGTCAGTATCTGATTCATCGGAGTCACTACCTGCTTGCTGAGCACGAGGTACAGGAGATGCAGATGGTTTCACTGCGCCAGCAGCGACGTTTGCACCAACGGGGACGGTTGGTCGGTTCTGGGGTGGTACTTGAGTGGGTTTCTCCGCCTGCGTTCCCGCAATAACAAACTCTTTCAAAGACGCCGGGAAATCTTTAAAAAAGGGAGTTTGCGTAACGTGCAAGCAGTACTGGGAATACTCATGCAGACGCTCTTTGAACATATCCATGGCCAGCACCGCAAAACGGAAGTGCCGATGCGACGGACCCATGCGAAGGAAATCAAGCAGCTGCCGTAACGCAATGCCCAACCCCATGTAGCTCAAAAACTGGTTATCAATGAGACTCCCAAAGAACCGAGCCGTGATTTCGAATTCTTTATCGGGATACTGATGCAGCCACTGATGTTCTTCGTAGATATCACGCAGAGTACAGTCAAACATTAAGCGGTCGTGTTCCGAGGTCGATTCCTTCCAGCTGCGCATCTTGTCAATCAGAGCCGCCATCGTAATCGTTCCGGCAAACATGGACTGGAAATATTTGAACACTTCGGCTTCGACTTCCTTTGGGTAGGCTTTCTGCACTTCCGGAAGGACACGGTACAAATCGTTATTTGCTCCAGCCGACATAACGCTACTGCCTGTAACGTAATGATAAGGATTAAGAATTAACTCATCATTAATTTAGCACATCCTTGCAAAATCGGACACATGCAAGTGAGACAGATCATGACAAAATGGTACTACTGTACCGTAATTTGTTTGGTCGTTGGCTAAACAACTCGGTTACACTTTGACAAACGAAAATTACTACAAGGGTATAAAAAAGCAACCAATATCAGTCAGTGATGTTGGTTATGTTCCATAGACGGCATAGAGCATACCTTGGTTGATGCGATCGCTCGCACTAATAGGTTGACTAAATGCTGACGGCTTGGACGCTATCAATGCGCTGACGTCTCGATGCCCAATCACACCCAAATTAACACTCGGTGGCGGAGAGAAGGCTGTATTTGCGGTAGGGAACGACCCAATAGGTCCAAGACTGGTCTGGCGGAATACCGTTGAACCAATAGCACCGGGATTGTAAACGGGTGAAGTGATGGAGTCCGACACGGAGGGCATCACGCTGTCCAAATGCGACGGTGTTGGTTGGAGACTTCCAATCACAGGTACGGAATCAGACGGTGATGGAGTCTGTTTTAGTACATTTGGCGGAGGATTCGGACGCTTTGCAATTATCGGGGCATTGTTCAACATACTCATGATTTTCTGGATGGTGTCAAAGCTGATGCCCTGCAAAGTCAACGCGTCCTGCAGGCTGATCAAGAAAATGTTGACCGTATCCGCGGGCAATTGTGCATTTCGTGGTAACGTCTGCTCAATCACATTGGATCAGAACGGTGATGGAGTCTGTTTTAGTACATTTGGCGGAGGATTCGGACGCTTTGCAATTATCGGGGCAGCGATTCAACATACTCATGTTTTCTGGATGGTTCAAAGCTGATGGCAAAGTCAACGCGTTCAGGCTGATCTGTTGACCGTATCCGCGGGCATTGTGCATTTCAACGTCTGCTCATCTTTCAGCAGGCAAGAAAATTTCACCAAAAGAATAAAACAGCGGGAAAATTTCCCTAGCGATGCACCGATTCACTTTAAACATGCGGCAACAAACTTCACTCCGTGGTCTTGTTTTTTATCCTTCATCCATTCCCAGGTTAATTCCAATCTGCCATGGCGTCGATCATCAGCTGTTGTGCCTGCTTGAAAATCGGATACAGAGTCCATCGGTATGCAAAATGGCCAAACGTAATAGTATTGTCAAACATCGTTCAAGCACATACACATCATGTAAAACAAACCTGTGAATTCGGGTGCGTAAACAAGAATTTCTGCACACACAGCCGCATAAGCTGCTGTCTGGTGCGGGACGCAACAATGGAAGTCGATGGACTGAGCTGCAGTAACGACACCAGAAGTAGATCCGGGCAGCGCAAAACAGGAACTTCCATAAGGGTTAAAACTTCTTGCGAAAAGCCTGAGTCGGCAAGATACAGCAACGTTTCAACCAAATCCAAACAAGCCCAAATCTGGATCTCACGCTGGCGGTATTCTTCAGGATAAGATTTCAACAACTGCACATCGGCACGATCACAGGAAAAATCTGAGAAGCAGAATACATCAGGATTTCTCAATGCATGCGTGAACCAGGCAAGTTGAGCATCGTTGTTGGTCCAGTGGCGATACAGCAATTCAATAGGGAACGGTGTACTATGTAAACCTCGCATCAACCCGAAAAGAACCAACTGGAGACCTGGAAACATAATTATTTACACATCTTTCACTATCTGATGGTGTGGGATAGGTATGGTACCTGCGCGATCGTAAACGTAAAAGCCTTCATGATCCATTTCATACACCACTTCTCTCCAACTGAGCCCTTGTTGGTTCTGACTTGGACACTTCTCGCACACTGCAGTGACAAAAAACTCCATCCGCTTTCGGTCACGTTCTTTCATTTCTTTGCGGATGCTCTTCATTTCCGACCTAGACCACATAATGTAATACCCCGTCGTCTGGACATTCTGATCCAATTCGATGGAATCAACTTCTTCTTTGGACAGATCCTCTAAGGAGACAATACTGGCGAGCAATCCAATACAGCGTGCTACGCTTTCCGGCGTAACATGGTCCACACTGATGCCGTTCAGGAAGGCACGGCATGATTCCAGACTTTCGATGGCTTTGAAACCGAATTCAATCAACAAGCGTACCAGAAGATCATGATCGGAATCCAGATTAATCTTGGCGAAGTTGCGCGACATATCCAGATTGCGGTTCAACTCAACGTGATCGGCATCGGCATACGTGTGGTGCAGTAACAACGGCTTCAGCTGCAAAGGAATATGCCGCGGATGAGGATACAATCTCTTTAAAGTTGACCGGAATTCCTCCTCTTGTTCGACGGAGACCCGTTCCGCGAAGTCTGCACGCTGTCCCGGTTCTAATAACAGCAGCAGTTCATGAAACACGGTCTTGTCGGTCTCCTGTAGAAGGCGTTCGTCCGCATCGCAGTACGATTTCAGAATGTCGCCGAATTTCTGCCTGATTAGCGATGCAGCCTGATTACGAATGTGGGGGATGTTGGACTTGATTAGCAATATGCAGAATCGATTTTCTTGCTCGCGGTTAAACTTGAATATACGTCCGCATAATGGAATCAGTTGCTGATTGCTCAAGAAGTGTGATTCCTACGAAAAAAGGGAGACGGTTACATTCAAAGTACAACTGTCTACACCAGACACAATTTACCTGTTGGAGATCGAATGGTCGTTCAAGACAGTAATACAAAACTGTCCGAAAGAGCGGAAGATCAAGTAGAGTGGCGACTTGTTGCACAAGAACCTGAACAGGCAGGGCCTACAAACATATACAGAAAAGCAATTAGCGAAATGGTACTCACGAACGGCAGCCTGCCTCTGCACGAACAAATTAACTCGATAGCGTTCAGTATCAAACGACTAATCCGCAGGAAATTATACCATATTCAACTTGTGACCTAATGACGTCACAATGAAAACCAAGGGCAACGTTCACAATGCCCGAGGGAGAATTCTAATGTAACATACATAATTAAGTAATAATATCACAGCAAAATTATCCTTAAATTATAAATAATAACAAAATGGAACATGTGCTTCACCTGGTGAAAATCTTTGGTTTTGGCAATCGTCTGAGGATCCGCGGATAAATCAAGGCCAGAGAAAAGACTCTGCAGAAGATGACGATACGCAGCATGCCCCTGATGGCCGCAAACCTAAAACCAAAGGAAACAAAATTAAACCAAGGCATTACTACACGGAACAGAACCTAGTCGCAAAGATATTTATCGATGATAACATCAGTCTCGCGTATCGACCACTCCACTTTGTTGGTACATTTCCCCAACGCAATCCGGTGATTCTTACCGTAGCCAGTTCCTGGATGACCGCTTTGTGGTTCTTCTTACTGAGAGCTTTGATCAACGTCTCAATATAGAACAACGCAGGCGTAACGTACAGGTCCGCATGATTCATTTTCCGTCAATGAGATGCACCGATAATGGTGTTAAGGATAGGCATAAAGAGAACGGGACGGCAGCAGCCTCCTTCTGGAAGGAACTGTTATTCCAGCCCCCGCATTTAGTCCATTTTCACTCCAGCAAAATGACTTTCAAAATCTTGGAATGGTCTTTACTGTGAAAATTAGAGCAACATAGCATCAAGTGAAATCTGCAGTAGTCAATAGACTCAATACTGTATATGTTTACAGTTGATCACCCACAGCTCACGGCCATTTAAATCGTTCTATGGCAATAACAACCCTCACAAGGAAAGACTAAACTCTTATTAATTACAAAGTCGTACATCATTAATTTCCTGATTATCTAACTCCCTTATAAACATCGGGTCCATGTCATACCATATGTTATGATCATCTGGAGATTTTTTTTGCTCGCTCAAGGACTGAAATTATACTTAACATAACGATGATACTGATAGCAATCATAATGATAACACATTCAGAAACTGTACGCAAAGCAACAAATCTTCAGTAAGCTGTAAGCAATAATAAGCAATATAAGCCGTAAGCGATTTTCGCTGTGGAGAACCATGTCCTACCTTTGAGCCAAAACCCAGGCTAATGTTGAGTCTTGCGTTAAGAATGAAACAAAAAGAAATCCGAAGAATAAAGTAACGATGGAAAATCACATTGTTGTGGTTGGGATGGGAGAAATTCCGTGATCAGAACCATAAAAATAAATACAAAAGTCAAAACGCAAATGTTAAAGAAAAATCGGGAATAAAATAAAATCGTCAACCGTTTCAAAGTCAGCTCTAAATTCAGTAATGCAGGGCAGGCTGGCTCTTCCTGTATTGCAAGGCTGCCTCAAGCGTAGCGCAAGGGTAGGCTGTACCTGCTCTAACGTGTGCTACTTTTACATGCGGAAGCCAGAAGGGGGTTGGCTCATACTCAGCCTCATAGCCTCATACTCATAACCTGGTGGTGGAAACCGAAATTTTTCTTCAGCATTTTTACCAAATTTTATGAGTCAGAATCGGTCGTGGCACTCCAGTTTTCATGAGGTTTTAGAAGCCATTTTCTTACAGTTGTCTTTTATTTTGTTGTCTTACGACAGGTGGGTTCGTAACGTTTGTCACTTAACGTTTTGTTAAAGGTAAATAATTTCTGGTCTTCGAACTGTAGTTAGTTGTAAACGTTTGGGAATGCAGAAAACTCATTTCGTAGGGGGTGGATGTGGTAGCTGATTGATATAATTATATTCTGTGTGGTCTCCATCTCACTGATTTGCTGATTTCTGAGCGTTCTGGTTTTGCAGATTACCTGATTGTGCGTTAAAATGGCCAGTCGCAAGATCCGTGGAACTGCGGGGGGAAAAAAACGCGCCCAGCGCGCAACCAGCAATGTGTTCGCCATGTTTGACCAGGCGCAGATCCAGGAGTTCAAGGAGGCGTTCAATATGATTGATCAAAATCGGGACGGTTTTGTTGACAAGGAAGACCTGCACGATATGCTGGCATCCATGGGTACGTGAAGTTATTTACACTCTTACAGATGCTCTGATGCACTGGTGTGAAACTGCTACTCAGTTAATGGTTAACTTAATTTTCTTGCAGTTTACTTTTTACTTTCACTACAGTTAGTTCTCGTGGCATTTTAACCGTAAAGTACAGTGGTTGTTGAATTCCGCGCTGCTACACTGAAGAAGTATTTGAATTAAGTAATAAAAACATATTAAGTTGATGCTCATTCAGCGTGTGCATTGCTATATGCAGTGCTACGGTGTATTGTCGAGATTGTTGACTGTACGTGGATGATGTTTTCGACACGCGGTCATTTCTTATAAGAGTGCCGAATGAACATTCCCTCACGTTTCCATCATGATCGAGTTGAATGAGAAGAATATTGTACTATTTTGCAACGTGATACAGTAGATTTTGAATTGCTCGATTTTATTATATCGAACGGATATCTACTCCGTACGGTTGTAATATGTCGGTGCTGCTTACATTTTTTTGTTAGTACTTACTTTTTGTTAGTACTTAGTCTATAATTGGTGTCTAATACATTGCAGCACTTAATCGTTTCACCAAAGGCAAATGAGATAAGATAAATGGCCTGAATTGGCCCTGAAATATATTGAGTATATTATTACTGCAGGTAAAAATCCGACAGAGGAATACTTGGAAAAGATGATTGGCCAAGCGCCTGGACCCATCAACTTCACAATGTTCTTGACATTGTTTGGGGAGCGCTTACAGGGCACAGACCCGGAAGACGTGATCAAGAATGCTTTCGGTTGCTTCGACGAGGACGGCACAGGTACTGTACTGTTTGCAATATGGTAATTAGATATTTGGTTTGACATTTATTAGTTTTTTACAGTGGTAGCGCATAATAAACTATTGCATTTTATCGGTTTTTTAGGCCGGATTAATGAGGATCGTCTGAGAGAATTGTTAATCACCATGGGTGATCGTTTCACCGAAGAACAAGTGGATGAAATGTTCCGTGAGGCTCCCATCAAAGACGGCCTCTTCGACTATGTTGAATTTACGCGCATCATCAAGCACGGTGCAAAACAGGCTGAAGACGATCCGAATCGGATTTGAAGTGTTCGGTCGCTGTAATGGATATTACTGACTGTTGCTGCTGCTTCCAATTCCGGTTTTATATTTTATATGTGCTATACGTTTCCTTGACCTTTGATTCCCTTTTCTACTTAAGCATTGATTTCGGAGCGATTGCAATCTCATGTTCACGGTTTCCTAGCTCGAATCTTAGCAATGGTTGAATCTTTTTGTTTCTTTGTCAGGCCCTGTTAATCTCGACGCGAAATTTCCTTATCTGTTCTTTTGCTGACTTGCGAATCTGAATTATCTTCTTAACTGAAAAGCAATAAATGTATTTTCGAATAGTACTCGTACCTTGATTCACGATTCGCAAGCGTTCTTGTTAGTTGTGACCCTGGTGAGCAGTGGGCACGGATTATACTCAAGATCAAAAGCGAAACAAAAGCCACGATTTTCTAGCAAAATACGGTTTACTTCTGCAAGAGGGTCAGAGTACTACATCGTTTTCGGAGCACATAAGTACTGTAGCAATAAGTGCAGAATATCGCTTCGATAAAAAATGGTAATGTTCAAGACTAACGCAAGAACACAAAGAATTCAGTCAAAAACCAGCCAGATAGGATAAAAGTACGTCTGAATGAATTACCCGTACGATAAAAATAAAAGCAATGATTAAGATATAACTAAGACTTTAAAATAAAAAAAACAAATAAATTACGGTATGCAACTGCCAAAATTTTGCACGTGATTTGTGGTCATGCCAAAACAAATAAAACAATAACTGGAAGATTTAACTGCAACGCAAAATAGTTTTCTTTTCGAACAGCTCACTGATCTGCGTTCTTTTTATCCTGTTCTGAGTCGGTGGGTAGGCTAGGTAGTTCATCTCGTGTTGTTTCCAGCCGTGCAGCTTTCGTCTTGCTTTCTCCAGAACCACTAGCTTCCGGTATGGATAAATTATTTTCAGCAACGGCATCCATAGCGTCGAATGCCCTTTTCTTACCAATTCGTACGCGTATTTTCTCCTCTAAATGTTCATGAGGTTTTCCATCCGGAAGGCGTATTTTAGCCAGGAAAACTTCAAACCGATTAGATTTCTTCCATCGATAGTAGAAGTCCACAACTTCCTTAACGGTGCGGGTAGGAACAGCTGTTTGAACAATATTAAAACGCTTCCAGTTATCAACAATTGCTGCCTCGAAATCCTCACATTCTTTTTCTGACCACTTGGAGCTTTCATAGCGGCCGGGACGAAAGTTTCGCCGACAGCGTCGTAACGCTTCGTTTGTGTCGTAATTGCAATCAAGCAGTTCTTTTAGAAATTCCTCATCGTCAGCGACATCTGTCTGATCCAACTGAGCTGGGTCGATTTCTTGCTTCAATAATTCACGTTCTTGAACGTACGCGGATTTCAAATATTCTGCAAAACCACAAAATAAATAACATAAAAACCCATCAACATTTGGCAGAAACGAGGCTTATGCCAAAATATATACAACCGCAACTACAAAACATACTGGAAAAAAAGTACTACCGCAACACATGCAGTAACACGCATGGCAACAAAATAATAAAATTAATAACACGAATATTTAAATAACAGGATAACATGACTATGATAATAATAACACGACTATGAAAGAAACATTCAGTTTTATCATCAATAATTACCTCTAACGATGGATTCTGGTAAGTGCGGAGACCACTGTAATACTTGATCCGACGGTTCCGACACATTTTCATCATAGAATACATCCACGTCAGGAGTCTCGACCTGATGCGCCGGCCCCATGGGGATTTCGCGCTTCAGCATAAGCAGTCGAAACGGTACAAATTCTTCATCATCCCCTGACGAGGAATCATCTTCCTCCCCTTCATTCTCCACACCATGACTCCTTAATCGTGACAGAAACTTCAACAGATCATTACGCCCCATTTCCGCGCCGATTTCATCGTCGGGATTCGCGGCATCCTCATCCTCTTCGTCACTCGATGAACCGTCCTCCTCATCAGCAAAACTTTCCCCAGCTACAGTTTCATCGCCGTGTGACGCTGTCGCTGCATGGCTGGTTTGTGGCGCCTGATCACTGGCTTCCAGTTCTTCTTGTGTGTACTCGGTTTCCACAGTTTCCTCGGCAGGCGGTTTACTGCGTGCGGCCGCTGCTCCGCCGTACATTTTCAGCAGCTCTTCCAGAGGCATCTCCTGGAGAGTGCGGAGCTCATCCAGTTCTTCCTCGTCCGCGATCCCATTCTGCTCTTCATCGTCCAGCGTCGTTTCGTCGTCTATTCCGTCGTCCAGCTTCGGAGCATATTCCTGATCTGCATTGACAATCTCGGACGTAGTAGAGGACTTCTCCTCCTCGGAACGTTTTAATCCATCCGCTGCAGATGTTTCAGCATTCTGATTGGTTACTGGAGGCAACACTATTTCATGTTCTTTGATAAGAACTGTCTTCACAACAGAATCTCCACTGATTTCGGGCTCGGCAACAGTTTCCACCATGTATGTATCATCCACAATAAATTTAGATATCTCACTGCCAGGATTAACTGGATTTGCCATATTGCATTATACTGATTATAAAAATTTGATGAATACTACACTTCCCAGCTGCAGATACAGCTTTTGAAAAACTCACGCTAGTCAGCTGGAGGTTGTGCAGGTTGCTCGTTTGCCATTCACTTCACTTGTTCGACGATTTTCACACATCCAGTGTGCTTAAATGATTCACCCACTAAGCACACGAAATATGGAAACGGTTATAACTATAACTGGTAATTATTATCCTTAACGACCTTAACCCGACACGATTACAACAATCAAGTAGAAACTGAAAGTTTAAACTTTAACGAAAAGAAACCGATTTTGAGGAACGAACAATAATACCCTGTCCATTTAGCAGATTTTGTAACTTATCAGAAGATGAGGAGCAGCATTCAGTGTAATGTGTAAAAACAGATCTTTTATCAAAACTCACAAGTATCGTTTAGAAATCAGTAGTCTACGTCAGAAATCATGATGAGAGAATCCAGAACAAATGGGATCTATCGTTCAGGACAGCTATATCAACAGTAGTTGCGGTTGCGCGACTGCGCTTATCAGCACCACGTATCGGCGGTATCGCTGGAGCCTCGTTGCCCCTGTAGTCTCTACATTACCTTTTTAATATGCACCCCTCTTTCACTTTTTCCTCTTTTTCCAGGAAATTTTCGTTGCATCACATTTATAGCCAAAAGCCCAACTTAAATTAGTGGGCCGGGGACTAATTTTAATAAGTAGTCAGAAAGTGATTGTTTCCGGTTGAACAAAATTCGGAAGCATTTACAGCTATCTCTGTACGGTGTGTTGAGTTCTTTTCGATTTGATTTACATTTCATCCGATCCGCGGCTTTGCAAAGCTATTCAAGGATTATGTTTCGTAGGCAATAATTATTATGAATTCAAAGTTTACCGATAAGATCATAAGTTCGTCATAATGTAAAACATTACTGTACTGTAATATTACCGTAACCATTAAATTTTACGGTTAGCTCTGTATTATAATCTTATTAATAGATGCTGTATTGGTTTTTTTTTTTTTTTTCAAAGGTAGTTTTTTTAGTATTATCAACTTGTACAAGCCAATGCCATTTACGTTAAAACTATTGGTTCGTTAAAGATCTTCGTTTATTCATTATTTATGTCTTTTTTACATCAGCCACCCCCGTTTGTTTGCAGGTTTGTTTTAATCCAGTTCTAACCTAAAAAGCCTTCTCGCATATCGGTTTCGACTGTATTTTTAATGTGCAGTGTATCTTTACTGTTCTTTGCACTTGATACATCATCGTATGGTAGATTGAATGCCTAATATTGATTTACTTCGGATGTTGGACCGGAATGTGCGGCGCACCGGATTGCAGCTTCGGTGATTACACAACTCCATAATCTTCCCTCCGTAATTATTGAAAAACCCGGGGAATCGAATTAGCAGTACGCGAAAACAGAGTTTGTCCTGGGAATCTTGCTGCGCTGAGTTCGCATCCGCGCTTGAAATTCTGGAACTGAAAGTACACACAAAGAAAATCAAGAAAAATGGGTGAGTCTGAATCTGTCTGATGTGTATTGTGCTGGACTGTAGCTGAATGCTACAGTACTCTGCCGTCTGCAACAGTTAGACACTTTTTCATTTAGCTGATATTTGTTTTGTAGCTCATCAACATAAAAGAACTTAATTATTTGAGGCCTTAAGCTAGTATAACTTCATTATTGACAAATATGTCGCACGTTCTAACGATTGTTGTTTGACTTGTTTGAAGGTGGTGTCAGCTCTGACTGTTGCGGGAAATGCAAACCGAAGTATAAGCGACTGGTGGATGACATTTATCCAGCTACGGCCGAGGTACGATTTCGCAGCTCTTTTATAGTTTCTGCAATTTAAAAAGTTAACGATTTCTTGAAAACTAATTTTTTGAAAATTTTAGGAGGGAATCAACAGATCTCAGCTGGATAAGCTGGTATTTTATTCCCTGTCTCACCCGGAGAAGCTGGATAAAATCGGCAAATATTTATTATTTTGTCTTGAGTATTACATATACCGGAAGCGATCAGAGTGAGTTGTTAATGTGTTTTTCTATCGTTTTTTATGCCGCGATTACGTTAGCGGTTTTATTTTGTTGTATTTTCAAACTGATGTTGAGATGTGCGGTAAACTGGTTTGTTTTCAGGTTTAGTAGAATAACAATGGAAGCGATGGATTCTTTACTGTCATCCTGCAAATCCTCTGATCAGCATACGCGACTAAATCTGTTCGTTGGTTCCTTTTTGAAAATGAATCTGTTACTACTGGAATGTCAGGATGTGACGTTGCAAGTGTATGCCGTGCAGTCATTTGTTAAATTTGCCGACATTCCGGAAGATATCCCTTCGTATCATCGGAGTTACGATCAGTTTGTGGATAAATTTAGCATGATGTGTCACAACGGCGATTCTAATCCGTCTACAAGAAAGGCCATTCGTAAAGCCGGCATGATGGGAATTCGTGGTATTATTCGGAAAACCGTGTCAGATGATTTGCAAGTGAACATCTGGGAACAGGTTCATATGGATAAAATTGTACCATCTTTGATCTTCAATATGCAACAGACAGAAGATAAAACCAGAGGGTGTGTACGGATTGAAATTCGTCCCTGTGATGAGGATTATATCATTTCAGATCTAGGTTTTGACTTTCTTGATATTTTTTATAACCTCATTCTGTTTTTGTGTAGGATTTCGGAAGAATCCAACGGAATCGATGGTATTCCTACAATGGATGTTCAGGAACTGGAATCTTATGCTAAAAGCATTCTTCAGGAAATCTGTGGCCGCACGATGTTTGCCAATATTAAAGCCGTTATGAGCCCAGCTTTGAAACATCTCGATAACAATAATTTGTGGGTGCCGGGTGAATTCGCTATTTTCATTATCAAGACCATTTGCTACGCTATTCCCAATCAGTACGCCTATAAAGCCGTACAGATTATTGTGGGGCATTTGGATAACCATGCCCAGAGTCCACCGGAAATTAAAACAACCATTGCGCGCTGTTTGGCCGAAACCGTGGACATTGCCACGTCGGTTGGTAAGTTTCCAGATCGATTACAGTGTTTACTTTAGTGGATCCAAATGTTAAAATATTATTCTGTGAAACATCGGTGAACCCATGCTGGGACTTCCGATAAAAATGTTTGGATGTTGGATGCGTATTTGAATGCGCTGCTTTTACTGTGTGCCTGTGGTTGCATGTTGCATTTGTATTTCGAACTATGTACGAAATCATTATTGCTATTTGCAGGCCCGGCAGTTTTTGAAGTCTTCAGTGCTTTGCTGCGACATCTCAAAGTGTCCGTTGACCGTCAAATCAAGGCAGCAGCTGTAGATCCCGGCGAGCAGGCTTACCAGGAAGCCCTGGTGGTTACAATTGGTGAATTTGCTACCAATTTGCCGGACTATCAAAAGATAGAAATTATGCGATTCATCATGGATAAAGTAGTTGTTCGCGGGGGTGACGATCATGTCAGCGCCACTTGGTTACCGTTGCTGTTGTTGCGCAGTCTTTTGAAGGTGGCTACCAAATACATCCCCGTACAGATGACCACTACGTTTCCCATTGCATTTCTGGATCTACTTATGAAAGGCTCGTTGTCTCCATCAGCAGAAGTGCGCATTCTGGTTCATAACATCTTTCATACTCTGGTGGACCGGCATGCGAATCTTACCAGACTGCTGGAGGGATCGGATGTTTTACCTTGTCGTCTAGATTTAACACTACAAGATCCACCTTCTGCTGAGGACATTAATTTTGCCAAGAATAATGTTAAGCGCTTGTTGTTGTGCATGTTTGAGAATATTGACCGTTCTGACAACACCGGGAGTTCTTACAAGGCGATTAATATCACCATCATATTATTGATATTGGAGCTGGGAAAAGTCCACGAAGATGTTATTTTGGAGTTCATCCGTTTCCTCTTTGGTGTGCAAGACCTGGCGGTGAACTCCCCGGATTTATCAACATTACAGAGGAACTCCGCATACGGAATTAGCGCTAACGGGATGAGTTTAATTCCCAGATTTATTAACGCACCTCGATTCGCTGCGCATATTGAACAGGTGGGAAATTGGAGCTGTTAAGTATCTGTTTTTACTTAGTGTAAATAGTACAATTACGGTTTTTCATTTTATACTGTATCTTTAGTTTATCTCTTCTGGTCATTGATTTTTACGCGACTAAATTTGCAGATTCTGTCAGAACGGGAAAAAAGTTTCCACTTGACGTTAGCGCCTGCTTGTTTTGCTCAACGATCGATCTCCATGCTTACTGCTAATCAGACGCCTTTGAAATCATTTTCCCGAAGCCCGTCGAAAACGTCAACTCCGGCTACACCGATAGCGAAGGCTTCGGCGACCGATCCACCATTATTCCGCTTGGAAGTTCTGCTGGAAGATATTTCTAATGATCCGAATTTACGGCTGGATGTTTCGCGGTTGGAAACCAAATATAACGCACTGCAGTCTGAGTTTGCAAAACAAGAAATGATGGACGGAAAGAGCTTATCTAGTCGCAGCCAGTCTATGATTGAGGACGAGAATGAACCAGCGGAAATTGAGGCTTGGACCAAACTACCCGCGGTAATAATTTAACAATATTTTAACGATTTTTTATGTACCTTTATGTTTACCTAGTTTACCATCATAATAGATAGTAGAAACGGAACTGTTATCATTTGCAGGATCGCGAGCGTGCCGACAGAGACGAGGACATTAGCGTTGACGCTTTTAGGCGGATTCTTCATGACTCTGGAGATGCTAGAAGAGCTAGCTTAACAGAACGGTCTAAAAAGTTGAACGACATGTGCAAAATTGCTCCCTTCAAAGAGTTGATTAGTTACCAAGAGAAAATGGTATAATGCCCGTTTTTCGTTACTGTGTTCACGATCGAAATATTAATAATAATTTTATTACAGGATAGCCGTTTATCGTTGACCGTATTGAAAATTTTGCGAACTCCACCCGAAAGCAGTTCGGAATCGTCTTCGCAAGCCAGTTTTGACATGTACGACGATAAAGAGCCCACTATCGGTGAGAAATTCGAAATGAAAGTGAAACGCAATCATGGATTGCGGAAATTGAGCAGTCCGCAGATTTTTGATCTGCCAAATAACGATCTCATACATGTGAAGTGAATGGTCGGCCTGGGTTGAACGCCGAAGTGTTTTTTTTTGTTGCTTTTGTCCTTTTGCCGTTTTGTGTCTTCTTTTGGAGTTTTGTGTTTGAAGATTCCATGACAGTGACTATGGTTTTGCTAGTCAGAATGCAAAGTGATTTGGGTATAATTCAGTCTAGGCTGAGCATTTATTGATAGCTTTGGCATTTTTGTGTTAGTATTCGCCACTGTGCAGCTTTTGGCCTGTGTCTGTATTCTGAAACTTTTTGACGTATGTATTTTTTCCGATCGAGGAATCAGTGAACACAAGTATGTATGTAGTTTGCTGCAGGAATCTGCATTAAATTTTGTTCTGTGAATAATGTCAAGACTCCGGAGTCACACTACACTCGTAAGTCGTATAGCAGATATAATAACGAAGACAGTTAGTTTTACCGTTTCCGCAGCATAAAAATAAGGCAAGAAATTTGAATTATTCACTCCCAATATTTTTAAAAACTGCTGGTTGAGAAAACAAGCATTTCAGAAAAATTATAGCTCATGTGTGGGTGTGTTATCAAACGTTTTCTCGACAAAATGGCTTTCGTTAGTGACGGAGGCGTCCGATTTCTTTGCCAGTGACGACATGGAGTATGCCTCGCTGAGTTTGTTCTCCACAACTGATTCGTCTTCCGGTATAGGTGTGTTTTGCCTGCGACTGTGAATTTCTTTGCTAATATTCTGGAGTTTCTCGGTGGCGGAGAGGTAGACATTTTTCGCCTGGGCAATGGACGTGCGTAACTGGGTGGCGCGCTGCCGGTCATCATTGTTGACATAGGTCATCCGGTCCTTCAGCTTATAGTACGGGCGCGCATCCATAATAGAATGCCGGTAATCTTTCTCCAGCTTTTTTATTTTCTCGGTTAGGACCCGCTGCTTTTCTGTGGCATCCGCATGTTCTCTCTGTTTCTGCCGGATGTCCTGTTGACATTCTGTAACGTTGGCTGTCAGAGCGTTTAGCAAACTCAGTGGACCCAACTGCATCGTCCCACCCTGTTTTATTAAATCGGATTCCAGCTTAGCGACCTGCTCTTTATAAAAGACAAATCGAGCGCGGGCTCGGGCATAGTTGAACGTCGCCGTCTGCAGCGCGGCTTCGGCCTGCTTCAGTTCCTTTTTGGCTTCGTAATACGGTGCCGCTTCCGTGACACAGCGTCCGAGTTGTTGTTCTAGTTTTCGCAGATCCCCATTTAGGACGGTCATGGTGGCAGCGTTTTTCTCCTCCAGAATTTGCAGTTGGAGCTGCAGTGTGTTGGTGGTGGTGGCGGCATCGTTCAGTTTGGTGATTTCTTCCACAATGCGAGGATCAACTGGTTCATCGGCTGCTCCACGCGATTCGGTGCTTTTCTTACTGCTAACGGATTTTGTAAGGGATTTCGTTGCTGACGGAACAGCGGAAACAGACGCAGGTGTGAGCGCCACATCCGCTTCACTGGAATCCTCCACAATAGTGTGAATCCTGGGAAACTGTGCACTGCTACTGCTGACGGCTAATTCGGAGCTAACTAGATTTGGTGAACTTTTGGAATTTGATTGTTCGATCGGCCGGGTTAACGTTTTACGGGAAATTTGCTCATATTTCGCTTGTATCAGTCGGGCTTTTATGTTAGCAGTTTCTTTATCATCCGTCATCCTGTAATGTACTGCTGCTACTGCAGATAGCTGCTTGCACTGTAAATGTAAACAAGACAAAATTGCAGCAGTGCCAGTGCTTATTTAGTCAAGGAATGGAAAGATGGGAAAGGTCAGTCTCTAAACCAGATTACCAATGGTCAAGAACTTTGAATATACCAGAATCTGATGATTCTTACTTGATGGAAAATTTTGAATCAGGCTAATTAACAATGGTAATAAGGAGAAGAAGGGATGCTGGTTAACGAGTTCACAACAAGGTCTGTACATACCTGAATCAAGCTTTCTGATTAAGGGAGGACACTTAATTGCTGCCGTCTGCGCTGTTACCGGACACTGACTGGAGAAGATGGACAGTTATAAACTTATAGGTGAAAATGTTTGAGAATGTTTTAAAAATATCTGACAGTTTATTTTAATTGCTCAATCAGATTTCTTGCTCAACTAGAGTAGCACGCGCAAACAGTACAGCGTTAACAGATTTAAATTTTAAAGAATTATTATTAAACTGCATATAAATAAACTATCAATCAGCGGGAAGCCAGAAAGCCTTTTCGGCATACAGTCTGCCAATCGTTATTCACAGGGCGGCTGTCATGTTACCATATGTGACTATCGCATTTTCCTCCCACGGCTGGCAACTTGGCATTTATGGTGATCATTGCAAGACTGCAAGAGCCACAGATGTTTTGGGCCTTTTAGTTTTGGCCATGAATTTTTTATCACGTTTGACTTCAGGATCCAGATTTCATGGCGTGATATTTTCGCGATTGTCGGGTATTTCGAATAAGCGCATTCTAAGATTTAATTGGATCTGATATATTGTTGTCATTAATTGTCTTCCGTAATTGCTGCTTCCTGAATCAGCGGTTACTATATTGTGTTCTGCTTCTACTTCGCACGAGTATGCCAAAGAGAAAACGTGAAACTACCGACGTGTCGAAAAGTCCAAAGACGAAGCCGAAGAGGAAGCAGAAAGCTGGGAAGACTATCGAAACTGCCAAGGAGGTGCCTGTGATCCCCGCTGCGACCCGTGGTTCCGATCAGCAACCACCGAAGCGGATCAAATGGACCAACAAACAGCGGGTCCTCGTTTTCAGCTCGCGAGGCACCGGGTTTCGTGCACGACACCTCATGACCGACATCAGATCCCTGATGCCGCATGCCAAAAGTGAGAATAAAATGAACAAAAACGATAAGCTCATTCAGATTAATGAAGCCTGCGAAATGAAGAACTGCAATTGGACATTATATTTTGAGTCGCGGAAGAAGAAGGACTTGTATTTATGGATGGCTAAAGTTCCCGATGGCCCGTCAGCCAAATTTCTCGTTGAAAATATTCATACTATGGATGAGTTGAAGATGACGGGAAACTGCCTAAAGGGAAGCCGTCCTCTGCTGTCGTTCCATAAGGATTTCGAATTTCAGCCGCATTTGGCACTTTTACGCGAAATGTTTGCCCAGGTAATCCTCGAGCTTTTAGTTTTGTTTTGCAGTTGCTTTTTGAAATTTGTCTGTGAAGTGAAAGGAATTAATTATGAATCATCTATTCTTATCGAAACAATGAATGATGAAATTTTAATTTACCGGTAAGTAAAACATCTTATCATTAAGAAGAGGCTGTTTTTGTAAATTTGTTGTAAAATGTGTTTCGCTGGGTTATAAAAATATGAGAGTTATTTGGTGTACATATAAGCTTCATTGCCGCTGTAATACATCCCGCCAGGGAACACCGTGCGTAAGTCCGTAGCAGAAGTTATAAATTAAACTTGCAATCGGTTTCCATACGACTGGAGTTTTGTAGTTTTTTCTTGGTTTAATTTTTGTACATTGCGACTTTCGAGGTACGTAGCTTTTGTAAATTGTAAGTAATATGAACACTGCAATCTGCTTTTTTTTTGTAGATATATGAATAACAGAAAAATTCGTTTTTGAATGCACTTTTTATTAGGCATTCAACACGCCCAATCACCACCCGAAGAGTCAACCCTTCTTCGATCGTGTCATGTGTTTCTCTATTGCTGACAACCGGATATGGATTCGCAACTTCCAGATTGTGGAAGAAGACGGTGCCTTGGCGGAAATAGGACCACGTTTAACACTGAATTTGATCAAGATTTTTGCCGGCAGTTTTCGCGGAGAATGCTTGTATGAAAATCCTCTGTACGTCTCTCCAAATCTGCACCGGCGCAGCCTAAAGATGGCAGCGGCAGGAAAATACATTAACCGTGTCGAAGTCAAAGCCGATCGGGAACAGCGGATGCCCGAAACTGCATATCCTGTGGAGAACGAAATGGATGATGTTTTTCGGCGAGCGGAACAAGCCAAACAAAAGCCACTAGATGATGAAGCAAATGGTAGCATGGGCGAGAAGTCTAGGACAACACCGAAAAAGAAAAACCAGAAGAAGAGGAAGTAGAATAAAGCTTGAATGGTTTAGTTTTCGTTACGTCTTAGATTACGGGTACTTGTAAATGCGTTAGTCTGCGTAGACATACCATTGTTTTTTCGACTTTTATTGTTTAGCGAGTTTTAACATTGCCAGTCTTCGCATTCATTCATTCACAAGTCACTTCCGCAGACTCTAGAAATGGTCGCTCTTATAATCAGCTGTTCTAGTTTTCAAGTAACCACATTCAGGCATACGCTTTTACCCCAAAATAGATCGTAAAGAAGCCACGAAAGCGGCACTACACATTAAGCTGTTTTAGATTGCAACAATTTAGCATCAAAAGTTAAAAACCAAATATAATAAGGCGGTGACGCTACGGTTTCCTGAATTTACATTGGATCCATACCCGGTGCATCAAGATATTCCTTTTTCGATTGACTAATAAACGGCGATCAACAGCATTTTGCTCTTCTACCATTCCTTCAGCAATAAACAAATTCCTGAGTTGCTCTATAAAAGAAACGATCTGGTTAGGAGTGCTTAACAATTATGCCAGCCACATAACAGAACGACCATTAAAATAATTCGAGAATGAGACGATCGATACAAGCTCACAATACATGTATACACGTATATGGATAACACAAATACGCGCGCTAATTCAATTTTTGTATTTCCATTTCATATTCACCAATTATTACTGACACTAACCTTGCGTAAAGAAATATGCCAAAGTACCATCTTGTCTGATATACAGATTTTCTCCAGCGCACTGAGCTGGAAGTAGAAACCAAGCTATTGTACACTCCGTCCATAATCGCCAAAATTATAGAAACAGCAGCTTACTATTTTTGAATCTCAGCTGAGCGAGGTCATACTTCCCATAATCACGGAAAAGAATATAACCTCCCGGTTTCAGAAACGACACCAAAAGTCTAATTACCGCCGGCATCCTGTCAAACAACCAGCAATAAATAATTATTAGGAATGCTTCAGTTAAACAAGTCTGAAAAACCCACTTCTCGGGACGGATTGCGGATAAGGTGAACAACATAATGATGAAATCCACGCTTTCATTTTCAAGCGGCCAATGCGAGGGATCGTCATCAGTCAGATCGCCCACAAATGCGTGACAGCGTTCTGTGGAATACTGTGGTCGACTCTAACAAACTAGCCTAAATAAGCCGTTGATTTGAAATTTTTTTTCCAGAAACTCAGATAGTACCTTCAATAGACGTATGGCTTCCGGAGAGAAATCACAGCAATACACAAAGGCATTTCTACAATAATATATAAAATCAATTACTGTATTCTATCAATAGTAAGACACTCAGAATGATACTGAAGTCTGTCCGAAACAAGATTTTTATAACAATATAATTACTTGGTGGAAGAGATTAAAGGAAAAACGGTATTTCCGACGCCACATCCGGTCTAAAAGAAATCACCATCAGCTGCATTATCGACATTCGTTAGTATTGTGGCCATTAAGAACGAAACTTTTTTTGAATACTGAATACAGCGTTACGAACTAATGGTACTGGGGTAAGCACAGTAGTGGGCTTCAGTGTAATTTTAAGTAGAAAGAAGTGATGCTGACCTCGAAGACGGTAAGTCGCTTCGGTTCGGCCCCCTCGTCCAAAGCAGAAATACGCTCATCAGCTTCGCAGACTTCTGGAAACTCAGACTCCAGCCACTTCCTGCATGGAAAACCGATATATAACTTCTATACGCACAAGTTCGAGCAAGTCGCAACACTGGTTCACAGAACATTCCAAATGTGCATACCTGTCTTTGAAAAACTGGTCGCAGTGCTTTTGATAGAACTTGTCCCAATACTGATCCGCATTCAGAAGGAATTTTGCTGAATTATTATTAATCCCTTATTTTTTAAACATCGCATAAAATGTAGATAAAGTCATTCGGCTTACTAGGAAATTTATCGAACAATAGCACCATAACAAAAATGCAACTTATTACTTACAAGACTCTGACTCAGGTAAAGGTTCCGCGGAATTCGCCAAGACTCGCACTTCAGCGTTCTTGAGCTGTTCTTCATCCCAGCACACATCATCCCTAAATATTATATCTCCAGTCAATATTTATCCGAACTGGAAACTGCCGAGGTAAAAGCAGCCACAACAGGAATACGTTGGAACGAGCTTCGTTGCAGTTGCTGGTTGCAACATACAGTTACTGTTACACCGAATACGAGTAACATATAACTAACGCAAAACTACAGTACCATGCGTTTTTCTCAAAGACTTTGCTCGGGTCTTCCAGTGTACGATTTCGTACTCGTTCAATACGCTTCAAGCTGCTGGCTTCCGATGCATCCATCCTCGGATCACGACAAAATCAAAATTCATAAATTACTGAGTAATGATCTCCTATCGTGAATCTCTAGAACATTGACTACTTAGTCTTAGTCCACAAACAACCGCAGCTTTGTAGAGCTTCGGTAGAGCCAAAATTGCGAAACTCACTCGAAAGATAATAATTATGAAGTTGCAAAAGCGAAAGCTGCAGAGTGTAGCGCCATAGAAAGTAAAAGTCTACAAATTTATTTTCTGGTAGCACTGTGTACAAATACAAGTACTCGTACTGCAGTCGGTGGTGATGTATGGCGTACAAAACGCGCAAAATTAAAATTACGTGAAGTGGTGAGTTATGAATGGTGATCTATAATTAGTGAATAATAACTGCTGATAGATTAGTGTTGATTAGAAAATGGTGATGTGAAAGTGATGGTTTGAACGCGGTGATTTTGAGTTAATTGGTAATTTATATGCGTGAGTTCAGAGCGGGGAGCTAAGAGCGGTGAGTTTAAACTCCTGATGTAATAGTGGTGATTTGAATGTGGTGACTTAGTAACGTAACTGGCGCCTTGTGCACCGGAAAAGCGATTACGACCTTTGTGGACGCGTGTCTGTGCTCTGATCCAATCCTGCTGGAGGGTTGGGATCTGAGTTATTCACCTAATTCGGTTCATTCTGTGCACAACGTCTCGTGCTCAGTACAGCAATTACAATTCCACTCTCGCATGAAATCCATTGGAAATTGTAGCTGTGCCGCGTCTATGTTAGTGATGCAACAAGGTAAAATCAAAGTTTTTTATTTCGGATCTCAACAAATAATATCATCGCCGACTGCTTAATCAAATTTTTGAATTATAATTGTAAATGCGCATTTTCAGATTAGTTCTTATTTAAGTGTGAGGAACCTTCATGTGTACAGCGAAACTTATACACTGATCCACAAATTTGCATACACTGTTGCACTACTTCATATAAATGTTTATTGAATGTTTATTTTACCATTACTGTGCTATAATATTTCACGAGTAAACAATTTATACAAGGCAACCATTATATTTATACATTAACGCACAGTATTTATAAAAGTTATGCTACGCAATCAAAATTTATCCCTGACGGTTCTTTTCCAAACCAATTAAACGGACATTGCAAATCGCGCCCGCACAAAATAAAAGTCAGAAATTCCAAAATGAGCTTGAAAACCCAAATCTAACTTACAACCTCCAGTCAAGTAAAACTTTTGACGATACTAATGTGTGCACTCGGGTTAAGACTTTGATCTGGACTAACAAGATTACTAAGGTTTATACTCGGTTATAAACTAAAAACAGCACTCTGGTTAAGACTCTGGTTAAAAATACGGTCAACAGACGAATCAACTGTTTTGTTCGGCTTTAGCTTAACCCCTTTCGACAAACTGACTCTCGATCTTTTCTGCAAATCTTCTTCGGAACTATAACTCAAATAAACTTTCGCATTGAAAATGTCTTCATTTCTTTTTATCTTCGTTTTTTTTTCATTAAGAATACTGAAATCAACCTTTTCGTTGAAAATGCTTTTAGTAACATCTACGCAGGGAAGGCGCATGATATACGTACATTTCGGAATAAGAACATAAGGGCATAAAACTCTTCCGCATATACCAATTTTAGCATAGCACAATTTGGCTTAAAAAACAATTTTAACAAAGCTTGAAAAGTTAAAAAACATACTGGATTAAAAAAAAACTAAAGCCAGCCAAAAAAGCTAATAATCTTATGAACACCACGAAAATATATTCAGAAAACACAAGAAAAGCTAACAAAAACAAGTAAAATATAAAAAAACTTAGGAAAACATTCTAATGAGATTATAGATTAGAGCGTAAACAAAAAAGACAGTAGCATGCCGAATGTCTGTGTAGCGATTCAGCAAAATGTTTTTGTACCAAATTTTTCTCATGCCAAAGCGTCCGCGAAAAATTGTTTTTCATAAGCATTTTGCAAAAAATAATTATGTGTAGCGAAACAGTTACGATTCCTGAATTATTGAATGATATTTGGTGTACAAATAAAGATGTTCGTGTTAGCTTTAACGAGAGTGTTAACCCGAGTACTAATGCTAGTTTTGATCAACGTATAAACTTGAGTGGTGATACTAGTTCAAAGCATGGTCTTAACCCGAGTGCTCATAGTAGTGTTGGCAAAAGTTTCAGACCAACGGAATAATTGCATATAATACCTATAATGCGTTCTAAAACAATTTTGCAACAATTTCCATTACATTTGAAACGCTCTGCTACTCGGCAGTGGAAGTATATAGTAGCGTAGCGCTAGCCTCTTTTATTTCCAACATCAGCTAAAAACAAAAAATATACATTTTTTTCGAAATATTTAACCAGAAAATGGTATGCTAAGATAACTTTTATTTTCTGCTTTTTTTCTCTAATAATCTTTCTCAATTGAAATATAACTGTTTGGTCAACGCATATTTAGTGTTTCAAGACAACAGATTTAGCAAACGTGCAGGATGAAAAATTGTTGTGAAAAATGACGGCGCAAAATTAAATGTGCAAACAATTCAAAACTCAGGCTTTAAATCCTCGTCATTAGTAATGTCGTATATTTTTTTGCAATTACGTCATTTCGTCATTTTCAGTTTCTAGTATTCCTTTGGTTTGCCAAAAAACAGATATTACAAAATAAAATGTATAATACCATTAAATTTTCTTTGAATTTTTAAATTTGAAGTTCTGTTATAGTGCCTAACTTCTGTTATAGTGTATTTCTGGCTGAATAAACTTCACTGGTGAACATAATAATAAATTCAATTAGGTTTAAAACATTTTGTGGACGGAGGAATTTTTGAGTTTTTGGGAGAAATAACCAGAGTTCGCAAACACTAAGCTATCTGAGGTTTGAAAACCTGAGTATAAATATTAGTTTTATCAGAGTATTATCAGAATTACTGATCTTAGTTTTAAGCGTAGTCTTAACCCGAGTGTTCATCTTAGTTCTGTCAAAAGTTTCTGCTGACAAAAAATATGTTTTTTAACAGTGTTTTATGCTTAAAATTTTAGCTATTTGCAAACGTGTCCTGGCAAGCCGAAGCATATTACAAATGGAATGAGGTGTGCTTTATCATCTTGATTTCACTACCGCTGTTGTAGGACTGGGGAGCATCATAATGAGCCTTTCCAGCAATATGTCCAACAATATTCCTTATGTAGTTTTCAGCAAAGAAATACAAAACTACGAAACCTTGTGGCTCAAGATCCACAAGCTACTGTTTCCATGTCGCTGAATTTTCATAAGGAACTTGTTTTACGATATTGCTGCAGGTGCCAGTATTTCATATTATATTTTAGTTTTCCCGTGGTAAATTGGAACCTTTCGGATATCAGTGGATGTAAACATAAATTTTATCAAAAAAAGAACATTGTGATAACTTGGATGACTTTTTTAAAACATTGATTACCTGATTGCGAAAACCGAATGCAACACACACCAAGAAACCACAAATTCCAATGGATGTCGAGACGTGTACAGCTGTAAACACTGCTACTGAGCGCGAGACGCAAAGTGCGTAAAATGAACCGAATTAAGTGAATAACTCAGATCCCAACCCTCCAGCAGGATTGGATCAGAGCACAGGCACGCGTCCTTTGTGGTTCTGCTGAGTCATCTGTGTCTGTCATTCAGCTGTGCTAGCAGCTAGTTTTACTGTTTACACTTTACACTTTACAGTACTTACTTGCGATTTGCGAATATGCGTCTAGCTTTTAAAACTGGATTCTTCCCGTTCTTCCCATTTTTTGGGTTTCCGTTGATGTCACAGTATGTCTCTACGAGTGGATATCACTTTGCAGCCTGCAGATGTGTTTGCGTCGAGAGCTGCGACTGTTCCAGAGAACCAGTTGGCCGAAGTGTATGACGAGGTTCCTATTGAAGTTTGCTTTCCTGGAAAGTTAATCGTAAGTGCACTGATCCAAAATTAATAATCATTTAATTATGTGATTATCTGAAAGTCTCTAATATAAAACGGTTTATTTCGTGTGCAGCTTGCAGTCAGGCTGGGATAAATTCACCGCTGAAATGGTGGAAAAGATTAAAAAGGTTTGTGAAAAGTTAAGGATTTTCATCTTGCTCGTAATCGCTGCATTTCGGTGTGCAGCCAGCTTGCGGTCAAATAGTACTCGATACAGTTAAAGTTTTACACGATGATGTTGTCTTGTGCAAGTTGCTGCGCGCAAGGACGTTACGCTTGCAGTGGATTCGGACGAGATTGATATTGAAGGAAAGACTTTTTTGTGGGCGTGCTGAAAATGAAGAACGATAAAGTTGAGGTTTGTGTAAAATTAAACAGGTTAAAGTTTTTCGAAATTTGAAAATCAATTTTCAGTTTTTATAAGTATTTATAAGCTTACTAAATTTGTGATTAAATTATGGTTTAAGTGTTGTTCCGATAAAAGATAATTTGCACAAAGTCAAGTGTGCTGCGTGAGTAGTACCACGGTTTTTCCGTTTACTTTTTTTTTGAATCAGGTTCTGAGATCTTTTTGCACAGTAATTTTTATCCTACTTGATCTTTTTCTGCTTCCTTATGAGCTTTATTCTCATCTTTTTATAAAAAGAATTTTGATGTCAGCAGCTAAAGATGGCTTGCTCTAAATTAATGGAAATGTCGCATCTTTTGATTTTAATCGTGTGCTTTTGTTTTGGTGAGTACGTATACGGTTTATTATGACTAGTAGACCCGCGCAAATTGCGCGCAATATATAGGCTACCGGCTACGGAATAGGAACGATTTAAAATCATAAGGATATCATGATTATTATTATTTATTTTTTGATGAAAAATATCACGGTTAACTTTTCGTATCATGCGTTGTATTGTATGTGCGAATAATTTTTCATGGCCACGTCACAAACTTGGAGCAATCGTAAATTCCCAAGGTCGGATGCCGGAAACAGCACTATGACTCAGAACTATGGAGCACATGTTGCTCATTTGACGTTTCTGGTTTCTGCATATCCCACCCGTAAAAATAATTTTTCCACCCATGCCCTTTAAATCCGAAAATATCAGTATGGGAAATGGTGGGAAAGCGGAATGCAATCCCGTGCAAAAAAATTGCCACGATTAATGTTTCACTTGATGCCCCGCTCGCGCCGCAGCTCGGCGTCGCCTGCGGCTTTGTCTTCGGTTCTTATTCCACACGTTGGAGAACAATCAGATTTTCTGAAAATTTATGACGCAAAGGAAAAACCTACTCTAATGATCCGTGACATCTGGAGCCACCGTTGCCTACTCTTCTCAAATCAAACTTTTGCTGGCTCTGCTGCTGACTTTGATATGTAAGATGTGTATCGAATGACAGACCCCGTGCAAATCGCGCGGTTTAAATCGGCTTCGTAATTCATATCGTTCTGTAGATAATGTTTTGCTGCTGATTTTTATTACATTTTTAAAACGTTTTCTGCCAGGCTGCTTCGCCTTCTGCTGGTTGTCACAGATTTTACAAAACAGAAATTTTAGAAAATCCTTTGTTACTGCTTTCGAGCCGGCAAATTCTGCCAAAAAATGCGTACTTCCAATGCTCACCAGTCACCAGCTAGTAGTATGTCTGATGAGATACAGTAGCCATTGGCTAGCTATAGGAGGTATGACGCTGAAGAAAGCGTCAAAGGTCACCAGCGGAGATGTGAGAATAGCAGCCACTTTTTGGCTGTGGACCGGGTGGTAAATGAAGACCCGGGGGGGGGGTATAATATACTGTATACGGGATGTACTGTATGTACTGTAAGATGTACTGTGTACTATATAAGATGTACTGTACAGTCACTGGGCAACATACATTGTTGACTGCAAGGACCGTTTGTTGTGGTTTTGCGATCGCAACGTAATACAAAAAATGAAATAGAACCAGGGAAAAAATGTTTGTTATATTCTCCAGCAATCGTAATCTATATGTTTGTATTACAAAAATAGGAAACTATCATATTACTCTACGCTGTCACGTCGCAGCACAATAATCGAATATTTTGATATTTTTGCTTTCCAACGCAGACATAAGTCCCGGCAAGAGCGAAATAATAAAAAAGAAAGAATAATAGCAAGGAACTAATATTATGAAAGTCCACCGCGAGGACCCAGAAAAATAAAAAATCATTGCAGAGAGAAAAACCAAATGCCAAAACTCTGCTTACAGTTTCAAAACACTAATCGATCGTGATGACCTCTGGCACTGATTTTCCTGGTCCATCAAAGACAAAACCTTCATCATCTTCGGTATCGGTATCCTCTTCATTCTCGTTATCCGCATCCATAGCTTCGTCTACAATGATGGTATTAATTAATACGTTTGTACAAAGGTGGAGCTATTGACTTACCGCTGAGAAACCAGGAAATGTCGTCGTTATCTTCTTCATCGCTGTCGACATCATAAGCCGTGATGATGAACCGTTTGACCCGAGGGAAGGTATCCACCATCCAGCGATCGTGACCGCGGATTTCGCACAGCTCGTTGCCTTCGACATCGAGTGCGCGCAGCTTTGGAAGACGCGTCAACGGTTCCAGTTCATCGCGATGCCCGAGCTTGTTCCCGACGATGGATAACTTCTCCAAGTTGGGGAAGCACGCGGGTATGAGGCTCAGGTCCTCTAGGTGGTTGTCGCCCAACATGAGTACACGAAGATTAGGCAGGCGTGGCATCCCCTCTAAGGACCAAAGGTTACAATCGATGAGGCTGAGCTTTTCCATTCCTTGGAACTTGGCAAACCCGGGAAGAACTGATGGTGGGACCTGTTTCCCGTCGAACACCATTTGCGGAGTTTGGGGACTCAACTTACTAAACAAATTGCGGTAAGCTACCTCCTTGTTGGCAACGGAAGCTGCAGACATTTTTCTTATCGACTTAAGAAAAGTAAATGATTTCAAGAAAAGAAAACTACGAGTAGGACAGTGCCAGTGCTGCCTTTATATACTAAACAGGGTAATCGTTTCAGATTACCTGTGGTGGGATGTGTAATCCTTTCTAATTACCTTAGACTCTATGGCAACTAGTACGGGTAATCGTTTTGGATTACCTTACGTACGAGTTGAGGTAATCGATATTGATTGCCTCTTCGGAGGTAATCGATTTTGATTACACCAAACTAATATATAAATGAGCAAAACGATTCAGGAAAGTGTCATTAGCGCTTTGTTTGTTCAAAAGTTGCAATAAGTTACTGTGCACATATAAACATGCCCATTCGGGATTGTCCTCTTACCTGTTTTTGTTTAGCCGTCACACCGGTAAGTCACGATGTATCATTTCGTAAAGTTTTATTCCAGTAATCTGTCTGCAGAATTTTTCCGATTCCGTCCGTAACGACAAACGTAGCGAAGACGATAAAAAACACCACGTACAAAATAATCAAAAGAACTTTTTCACATTTTTTCTCAACGTTGCGCCCGAGGCACATCATAGACTGCAAATTAGCCATTTTAAAGGTGATAAAGCACCAGTACGATCGCTGTCCTTAAATAGACGTTTTTGTGCAGGAAGCCAGGATGAGCTTGGAAGATCGGTTGAAAACTTTCGACAAATGGCCTTTGGCGTATGTTTCGCCGCAGTCCCTTGCGGAAGCAGGGTTCATCTACACGGGTGCAGGAGATGAAGTCAAGTGTGTGTTATGTAATATTGTGCACTTCAACTGGATGATGGGTGACCAACCAAAGTTTGAGCACCGGCGAATCAACCCCGACTGCGCGTACGCGGCTATGGTGGCGGATGGCGAGCTGTATTTTCCAGCGATGAAGGAATACCGCGACCGTTTTGCGACGTACGCTAATTGGCCGGGGCAAGTTGTTAGCCAACGTCCAATGGATATGGCTAACGCTGGATTTTTCTTCAATGAGGGAGTGTGGGATCAGGTCCAGTGTTTTTGCTGTGGCCGCAAACTGGCGCAGTGGACCCGCGACGATGACCCGTGGATCGAGCACGCCAAGTATGAACCTCAGTGCGCATATTTACTGGAGAAGAAGGGTCTGCGTTTTGTGCGAGAGGTTCGACGGCTTCACGATATGGACAAGCTGAAGTGGGCGGGTAGTTTGCGAAAGAATCGAATGGATTTTTTGGTGGCGTTCGCAATGGAGCAGGGTGTACACTACACGTACCTGATAAAAGCTGTTCAACGGTATGGGCGCTTTGAGCGCATCATTGATCTAGTGAAAAAGGCAAATGTCATCAAGGCCCGTACCATAGAAGCCCGCTTGGACGAAAACTGTCAACTGGAAAAAGAGTGCAGTGTATGTCTGAATAAAAACGTATCCATATGCTTTGCACCATGTGGGCATGCCATTTGTTGTGTCGAATGTTCTGGTAAAGTGAGAGAATGCCCGCTGTGCCGTCAAGTGATTTTGCAAAAAATTAAGCTTTTTTTCGCCTAATCAGTCTATTTAAGCAGACTAGCATACTAAAATGATTTATTTTGCCATCGAAGAAAATGTTCGGTTTAATAAATGATTATCCGCGCTTTAGCGCTCCTTTTGGAATGTGCGTTTGTGGACCCACAATGTCGGGTAAAACGCAGTTTGTTTTTGCTTTAATTAAAAATAGGTCGTTAGTTTTTGATCGACCACCAGACCGTATACTGTACTGCTACGGTCAGTGGCAGAAGGGTTTTGACGAGTTACGGAAAGACGTTGATCAGGTCGAGTTCGTGCATGGTTTGGATGACCTTTTCTCGGTGGTGCACTCGATCGATAGCAGTACGCATACCTTAGTTGTCATCGATGACCTGGCCACGGATTTGTGTAAAGACGTTCGTTGTTCCGACCTCTTCACCCGCGGCATACATCACAAGAATATCTCCGTCATCATGCTCCTGCAGAACCTGTACAAACAGGGAAAAACTATGCGGGACATAACGCTCAACTCCCAGTACTTGATACTATTTAAGAACGTGCGGGACATTAATCAGATTTCCTTACTGGCTCGTCAAACTGGACTGAAACATTTGGTGGATGCATACAACAAAGTCACAACGGAGGCCTACCAACCACTCATCTTGGACTTGCGTCCCCTCTGCCCCGATTATTTAAGGGTTCGATCGCATGTGTTGCCAAACCAGCAAATACGCATTTATCTCGACCGCAACCGTACCAGCGACCTGCCAAAATGTCCGAACGCGTGAAAGCTTTGGCACCCTTCGTAATAACGCTTCAACAGCTGAAGCCGAAACAGCGAAAGGTTTTGATGAGCTACCTGACCAAGACCCAGATGAAGGCACTGGAAGAGGTCGCTGTCAACATTGTAAAGAATACTGTAAATCTGTCTCCAACCCATGCGGAGAAATGTAAACGCCACCGAAAAGCATTAAAGCTGATCGCTTTGAGGCGGTATCCCCTTAAAGAAAAACGGAGAATATTTCAACAAGGAGGATTTATCGGAGCCATCTTACCTGTCATTGCTGGAGTTTTAACGTCCCTCATTGGTAATGGATGAATTCTACATAGTACCACGGCGTGTAATGGAGAACCGGATGCAGAACCAGCTCCAGATCAACAAGGAGCCACCCGAGGCCCACAGCGTCGTAACGTTGGATGCGCTAGTGGCCGAAACTCTGCAGCGAACCGATATAAGTGAATATGAAAAAGCTAGTCAGCTAAGCAGTATTCTTGAGCGGTTCCTCGCTCTGAAACAAAAAGCCATACCCGATGAAAATCCCTTGGATTTATCGGCAGACGTTGCTGCACAACCGCCACCGATAGCTTCCGAAAAACAACCAATCGTCTCTACCTCCCGAGCGCTACCACCGCCGACACTATCGTCGCTACCAAGACATCCAGTCTCTCGCAAGCGTAAAGTCCTCGAAGAAACGAATGAGTCAACGAAGCCTGCTAAGCAGCCTCGACAACCATTATTTCCGTCGGATCTGCCTACGAAAGGAGAAAAGCGGAACTTGGAAAGCGACTTGGAAGACAGCAGTAGACCGAAGGCAGCACGCATTGCACTGTTTCCACCATCACTACCAAAAAAAGGACGGAAGCGGCGTCTACAAGACGAAAGCGCGGAAGTGCGACCAACCAAAGCAGCGCGCATAGCGCTGTTTGCCCCTACAGCATTAAAGAAGGGTCGGAAAAGACAGCCGGAAGACGTTGAGAGCCCAACATATCCGCATAAGCGACCGCGGCGACCTCTGTTTCCGGTCAACCTACCTGTACGTGGTAAGAAGAGAAAAGCGGACCAGATCGAAGGCAGCGTAAGGAAGCTGCGCTCCCGTACTATCCAAAAGGAACGGGTTCGCCCAGAATCCAGTGGATCACTCTAACGTAATGGCGAGCTTGCTGCCTAGTGTGTTGCGTTTATGCCGAATATTTAAGATCAATTGCGTGTCCACCTGTTGTAACAAAGCCGATGGAGAAACTGATGAAACGATACCTCAATCCACGCGACCCCGGCGGTCTTGGAGGCGTAGAAAGATTTCGAAGAAGTCTCAAGACCAGAGCCAACAGACGGAAAGCACAGGAGATTCTGCAAGAGATCGATGCGTATACTGTAACCAAAGAAAATCGCCGGCGGTTTGCGCGCAATCGGATCGTAGTGACCAACCTTCGCCAGCAGTACCAAGCGGATCTGGCTGATTTATCAAAATATTCCAAAGAAAATGATGGATACAAATACTTGCTTTTGTGATTGATTGCTTTTCCAAAAAGCTAAGCATCCAACCGATGAAAACCAAAACAGCCAAAGAAACAAAAAAATGCTTTGTCGCAGGCCTTCGAAGAACTCGGCGAACCGGAGAAACTACAGTATGATAAAGGAACCGAAGTTGTTAACGCCACCGTCAAAACCTTTCTGAAAGAAAAAAAGATTCATTTCTTTACATCGGAAAACGAAGACATCAAATGCGCCATGGCCGAACGCGTCATTCGCACCATCAAAACACGGATGTTTCGCTTGTTTCGAGCGCGTGTGTCAACGCGGTACATTGACAAGCTGGAAGACTTCGTGTACTCGTACAACCACTCCAAACATCGTGCCCATGGACTGCGACCAATCGACGTCACACAAAACAATTCGTTGGCGGTATTCAACAAGCTGTATCCCACCAGTAAAAACCGGCGACCTCGGTTCAAGATCGGTGATGCAGTTCGCATTGCCGTGCACAAAACCAAAGTGGAAAAAAGCTATACGTATCGATTTAAGGAGGAAGTATTCTACATTAATAAAGTCATCTCGCATACCGTACCGGTATACCGACTGCAGGACTACCAAGACCAACCTATCGAAGGGACGTTCTATGAACACGAACTTTCCAAAGTATCGCACCCGGAACAGAAGGAACATACCATCGACCGCGTTATTAAACGCCGTGGACCAAAGATACTAGTACGTTGGTTAGGTTACGGACCTGAACACGATTCCTGGATCAAGGCAACATGTATGAAGGAGCACCGTTCTACGTGACGCTGCCGAGCGATGTCGCTACGGATCCCAGCAACACTCCGTCCAATTGGACGACTAAACTGAAACATCCCATTACCTTGAAAGGGAAATGGGAAATGGCCCTGGTTGAACTACAGTACCTCAACTCTTTTTTTACTCTACCTGTGGAGCAGAAGATTGAGGTGCACATCGTTCGAGAATTCAGATTAAAGAAGGATGAAGCAAATTTTCTGGAGGCCGCGGACCAAGTTGTCCATACCGACGAGATCACTATTCCTCCTGGAAATTACAAGGATGCTGAATTGTTATTGAAGACTATTAACTCATTGGTACCCAAAGTTGGATCATATATGGTGGATGATACAGTACACGCTGACAAGAGCGCTTTAACTGCGGACAGAGCTTTCACCGTTCAACTGCTGACGCCCACCAATCATCGGGTCCGACTAAATATTGGCAACGATCGGGTTTCCATCGTCTTTCCCCCGTCGTCGATAGTCCTGCAAAAGATGCTGGGATTTGAACATAGTGTATTAAAACCGGATGTGCCGATGGAGAGTAACAGCAATGGAATGGTCGGTCCATTTCCTTTTGAAACGAAGAACGTCAGTATCCAGTACCTGTCATTTCTGGCCAAGCCTCCTAATCCCAAACTGACCAGCTTTATTTCGGAGCGACCGGTCAATACTCTATTGGGAAATCAAAGCCTGTTTGTCTACAGTGATGTGGCCGATTACAGCTTGATTGGCGATACCGCAGCGCAGTTTTTACGTTCCGTACCTATTAGAGGAGAAGTCAATCAGATTGTGGAGGCCAGATTCGACATTCCCCACTACGTCCCTGTGTTACGACAACATTTCGAAACCATAAAGCTGACCATTGCCAATGATCTGGGAGACGACGCCAAGTTCCAAACTGGAAAATCCCTTGTAAAGCTACATTTCCGACCACAACGACTCTACTAGAATGCCTCTCGTGGCGTACGTGCCGGATCCCCGGCGATACGAAAACGTCTTTGTCAGTCAGACGGGTGGCAGCGCATTGATCCGGTATCGAGGAACCCTGCAAAACGGATCGGGTTTCCCGCAGATTTTGAAGAACCTTTTTGCAAAGCTCTCAGCCTTTGCTCAACCCATACTACGGAAAGCAGCACCGCATGCCAAAGCCGCTCTTGAAGCGGCTACCCCTCACCTGCAAGAAGCGGCGACCGGGGCTATTAAAGAGGTAGCCTCGCGTGCGGGAACAGCCATTGGAAAACGATTCGCTTCCCAAGAAGGTGAAGGTGTCCGGAAAAAACGACGAGTTCGACGTAAAGTTCTACGAGTTAAACGTATTCCTCCTACCAATATCCCCGACTTCTTGTGAAAAAAATGGCCATGTTGATGATGGAAAATTCGGAGCCGGCCATGCAACTGGAGAACCAACTCTTTGCATTACCGGCGACTTTGACGGACCGATGGCGCACTGAGCATGAAAAGTTGAACCCCACTACCATCTTAACGGACAACGGATCGGCCGGCGATATCAATTTTTTTCATTCCACCCAGCACATCAGGACTACTCAGTTTGGCGGACATGATACTGGAATTAGAAGTGGGTATTAAAGTCCGTAAGACCACCGGAGAATGGGAACTGATAACAACGGCTGATGGAGTGGCACCAGCCAACAACTTTCTGCACTCCCTGTTTTCCTCATGCCATGTGACGGTGGCCAACCGATTGATCTCAGATGCCGCAACTTTCTACCCGTACCGCGCCTACCTGGAATCACTGTTGTCCCACACACTGGACGCTCAACAAAGCCAACTGACATCCGCCGCTTTCTACTACGACAGTCCAGGTTCCTTCAACAGTGAAACAACCAACAACGGTGAAAAAAATCGAGCGGCACTATTTAATGCGGGGCAATACGTGCAGCTTTCCGGCAAATTGTTTTCGGACTTGTTTGACCAAAGCAAACCCCTGTGCACCGGAGTTCCCGTTAATATTCGCCTGGTGGTGAGCCGACCGGAGTTTGCCCTACGTGTATGGGATACGGACACCACCAAGACTTTCAAACCATTTATCCGTAACGCGCGTTTGTCGGTACGTCGTTACATTCCATCACCGGACTTTCTGACCGCCGTAGCCGGAGAACTCCTGAAAAAAACGGTCAAGTACCATATCGAACGCGTAGTGATGCGCGTGTCGGACATTCCCCAACGGACTCAAAGCACCGTAATCAGCAATTTGCAGATTGGCCAAATTCCCAAGGTGGTATTTATTGGTTTTGTGGACAGCGAAGACTTTCACGGCTCGCAAAAGAAAAACCCCTTTTACTTCCAACACTTCAACATTACACAAATCAGCGTCGAAGTGGACGGACAGAGCTACCCGACAAAACCGTACACGGCTGATTTTGCCCGTAACCTGTCTCTGGAGTGCTACGACGGGCTGCTGGACACTCTAGGACACCGCCCTAGCTTGCATGGCGGCTTACCTTTCAACCGAACCCAATACAACGACGGATACACCATTTTCGGATTCGACCTGACTCCAGGACATACCGGTCGTGGACCACTGACACTGATTAAGCAGGGAAACCTTAGTGTCTCGGTGTCGTTCGGGAAACCACTGAAAAGCACCATTATGATGGTGTGCATGCTGGTCTATGACAGCATTATTGAAATCAACCAGCATCGACAGCTGATTGCAGACTTTACAACATGAATACACAGGAAATTACCTCGGCCCTCCATGGAAATCCTCAGACCACAGCGGTATTTCGTGGGGTCTACGCCAGCGATCAAGTTCCAACGACATTGGCACCTTTTCCGGGAGCGTGTGTAGTGAATACCGACCCAGCGGACCAAGAAGGCGAACACTGGATTGCGCTGTACCAGGAACAAACCGGTAAAATGGAAATGTTTGATTCGTACGGGAAAGCTTTGGAAAGCTACTCTCGATATTTTGCGCCACTGGCGGCCGCCAATGAAATAACCTTACAAAATGAACAGTTTCAGTCTGAGTTTAGCACTGTCTGTGGACAATACTGCTTGTTTTTTATTTTGCGACGCTGTAGTGGTGAATCTTATACTAATATTGTGCATTTGTTTACGGATAGCCGGCTAAGCAACGACAAAATGGTGTGTCAGTATGTCAATTCTTTTTTCGACATCAATACATCCATGGTGGATGGAGCTTTACTCCGTCAAATGTGCAAACGTTTAATGAAATAAAAAAATTACTGATCCGTTTCCGTTATTCGTACGAGTAGATGAAAAAACAGCAATTCAACAGTAATCAGCCGAAATAATATCTCCAACATTGGAACGAATTTGATCGCCATGTTTAGCCAAAAAACCAGCCACATCGAGGTCAAGAGCTTGTTCAACACTTAACTTATCCAGTCCAAACAAAATCCCATGGACCATACGTAATTCCAAAAAGCGCTCCACGGCCCCGTTCCATTCCGCATCGGACGGTACGTAGTTGTCTTCATGGCACCGTTGAAAGGTCCCGTCGTCTAGCTGCTTGACCAGTGGCGCCAAAGCATCAGCAATATTTTCACACAGCGTTGGGAACGTCAGTCCTTCCTTGATCGGGTCCTGGGTTCCCTGTTCTTTTTGAATTTTGGCAATGTCCTTGAACAGTTGCAGGTCCTTCATTAAACTTTTCAGACCGTCATAGCATCGTTCACCGAAAGAGATACCGTAGCGAGTAGGGATCATATCGCCACCCTTTACTTCAAAGCGCCGAATCGTGGCCACGTTGGTGCCATTGAAGCGGCTCCAGCCAAAGTACATGTTACTGTCCAACAGATACAGCGGTGTCAGGCGCCCGGTTTCGGCTGCACTGGCCCGGGCTGCTTCATCCATGTCGGCTTTCTCGGTCAGCATCAGTGCGGCCAAGCGGAGAAAGCCGGTCTTGAACAGCGCGACATTCTTCCCGTAGCTGGCTTTCCAAGAATTGTCCGGCTGTTCCTTCCATTCACCAAAAACCACACGAATCGTACCAATTTTCCCGTCGCTGTTAGGGCCCACGTAGACGAACTTGTCGTTGCCCAAGCGGTACACTGGCTTCCCCAGCTGCGTGAAAGCAAACCGCGGATGCGTGGATATGGTAGCCGGCAAAATGTTTGGTTTGACCTTCTTAGCATCCGGCTTTCCTCCTTCTTCCGACTCTAGACCTTTCCGCTTGGACTTGGGTACAGCGGTTTGCGGACGCTTAGACGTTAATAGATCGAGAAATTCCATGGTAAAAGATAAACTTTTCAAAAGAGGTAAACAAGACAACCTGATGAAGATTCAACCACTTGCACTCACTTTATATAGGAATGCTTCTGGCTCAAGGTAATCGTTTTTGATTACCTTGGTACGAAGGTAATTGTTTTCACTTACCTCCACTCGTACAGAAGGTAATCGTGTTGGATTACCTAGGTAATCGTTTTGGATTATCTCCACCCGTACAAAAGGTAATCGTTTTGGATTATCTCCACTCGTACAAAAGGTAATCGTTTTGGATTACCTCCACTCGTACAAAAGGTAATCGTTTTGGATTACCTGGGTAATCGTTTTGGATTACCTCAACTAGTACAAAAGGTCATCCGTTCTAATTACCTCTCCAGTGAGCAGTTACCGATCGGAAAACGAACCAAATCATTTCGCACCAAGTTTGTTTTGAGCAGTATATTTCATGACATTGTTGTTTTCACCGTGGATGAAATGGCTACGCCTTGTATACTGGACACGGACTGGTTCGTTATCAATGGAACCAAGTACATCAAACAATTGGCGTTTTACTGTCCCGATAAAGCTGAACAGAATCTGTACACGTTTACGCTACCTCGTTTCGCCAATCAACACATCCCCGAGTTGAAAAGACAAGCACGCCACTCACACGGTTTACTGTGGAATACGGAAGGGGATTATCGACACAATCAGGTGACCTGCGCTTTGGAGGACATTTTCCGAAGAGTAGGGCGACCCAGCCAAGTGCGTTTCTTTGCCAAAGGTCTTGAAAAGTGTCGGCTGCTGGAACAGTACTTACCGGAAGTGAGAAACCTGGAATCTCTGGGCTGCCCCCCATACCATAGGCTCACGTCGCTCCCCGTCTCAACTCTACGCAAAGCTGTGCGGTTCGCCTTGTGGTACCACTGCGATGCCCAAAATCACCAATGTTGTTGCCATTGCGGATTTAAACACTATCCTGGACCTGAAAAGAATTGAAGAACACCTTCCTATGGCACAGTACATTCCACAAAAGTTTTCGGGCCTGCTCCTGCGAATCCTGTCGCCCTACAAAGCGCATTGCCAGCTGTACCAAAACGGTAAGATTACCGTTAATGGTGCGCGGTCTGAACCAGACGCCCGGGAGCTGGTTCAGCGTTTCGCCAAAATTCTGGCTAGTGTGGGTTTTACCTGTACGGTTACCAACTACCGTGTGGTGAATATTGTGGGCAATCATGCATTTCCTAACCGTTTGCATATTGAAAAGTTTAGTACGTACTTTCGTTTGGAGTATACACCTGAATTGTTCAGTGGTTTGGCCATTAAACTTAATGTTGGACGTGCAGTGCTTTTCCATCGGGTAAATGTAACTTTTGGGTTTGAAACAGTCTGCTCATTTGTCAGAAGCGGTACGCGAGATTCAGGAAATGATCGATGAATTTAATAAATCATTGCTCTAAGCAAGCTGGTATCCGTACGGAACCGTATTATACTGATCATCTAGTATTCGTCTTTTGTCATAGGTCACCTGAAATCGTTTGACCATATTCGTATTACGAATCGTCATTTTAGATTTGTCACGTTGCAAAATATCAGGATAATTTACATCGACAATGCTACGGTTCGCCAGCATATCTAACATCACTTTAAAATTAATTTGCTCGCTGGTTCGACCGTTAATAGTAAATCCTTTGACTTTTACCACACTCTCACCATCGTTGGTGACATAGGCATAGGTCTTGGCTCCCAAGCTGACAAACTGTACAATGTGTTGTCCAGGCTTTAATTCGTTGGTGAGGTCGCCAAGAAAAATTCCCGTTGGAGGATCCGCAAGACCAGCCCGAGTCACGAAGAATATGGAATCTAATAAAATCCAGCGGATAAATAATGGATTAAAATTTCTTGAGAAACAAGCATCGACTTTGCAAACCTGTATCAAAGTACAGTAGGCGGCCTTCTACCATTTCCATAAACTTGAGCAGATGCAATCGAGCCCAGCACGTTGTAAATCTGCAACAGGAAAATCGTTTTAAAAATAAAAAATAAAAAATAATATTTACTTACGCCGCTAAAATGACATTCGTATGGGGATTTCGATCAACAAAACCATTTTCAGTAGTGTAGGTTATTTGCACAATATCGTCAGTAAAAAGATCCCAGGAGTGAACGTGGTGTTTCCCCGACAGCAGCATGTCGTAAAACTTCTCCGGTTCGCTGATATACATTGTGTTTAATTTATTGTCCTGCATTCCAAGACGGCCCCAAAAACTAAGATGAAAAAATAATTAAATTATTGATTATAAAATTACAACCAATTGTCGTAATTTTAACAAACGAAAATAATCACGTCTATGCAGTAGTTACCTGTTCAAACATAACTTGGCTAACGCTCTCAGACCAGGATTCGGATTAATTTTGTCGTACTCCAAGTCGATGTTTTCATGGTCCTTGAAGTCCTGGATGTATTTCCGCTTTTCTGTCTCGGTTCGAACTTCTGCTGGCCAACCGCTGGCTTCAGTCTTTAGTTTGAGGAACTGATTAATGTAGTTTTCAAACAGCCGATCTTCGTGCTTGTCAAAGTGCCAAACTTCAAAAATCCTCACGATACTGTAGCCATTGTCCAAAGCTTTTTGAATTTCTGGCGTGCACCAGGTGCCGGTAATAGTACGTTCACAGTCAGCATGCTGACACTTGTTGTTCGTATGTTTTTCCATACACGTGCGGCACAAAGGAAAGGTCAGCTTACCACCAGAACGATAGGGTAGAACAGGATATTGAAGATCTCCAGGTGGTAAAACTTCACACGAAACAACACCGAAATAAGAACGTATATCCTGGAAATTCTTTGTAATTACGGTGGGATGTCCAACTGGATAGCGCCTGTTCTTGTTGACGAATGGATACTCGCTATTGACGTCGAAGTAGCAAATCTGTTCGTCTGCAGCTACTTGATGAAAGAGCTTAACAGCGTTAGTTCTTCCTCCGTAAAAGCATCGCGCGGGTCCAAACGCTCGCCAAAGTGCAATCGCGAAACAAATGCTCTCATTTCAGGATTAGACTTTAGCTCCTCGTCAAAGTCGTGCTCCCAGATACAGGTGACACTATATCCTTGGCTTCGTATGTAATCTTCACGGTCCATAGTTTCTTTGTAAATATCGGACATTGGGAGGTTCCGGAACGGGTGCATCGTTGTCGGCGCCACACACTTTGGACAACCGTGAAACCGACAGCCGTAGAATTCGTACACCATGTTGATATCTTGACTGTAACCATCAACATAGTAGGGTCCCACCCTGTACTCGGAACTGTTGATTACGGACTGCACAGAACGGTTCGTATCTTCTTCGACCCACGATAACCATTTCTTTGCCTTAACTGATTGGTGGCGATTGCGAGCGTTCAGTCCATGTGGCAGTAATCCAATTTGTTCAGGTTTCAACATGAAAGATCGCCAGTATCGATTGCACAGACCGGCAATAGTTAGGGAAGACACAAACGGGCACAGACCTTGACTTATCTCTTGAAAAAGCTTTCGAAATTGTTGGCAGCATAAGCGGAGAACCGTAACGTCCATTTTGCAGTATTCAACAAATTCCTTGCGAAAATCGAATAAGTTATTCTTTTCCTGTTTTTCTTTTCGTACCATCGTTGGAAGGACTCCTTTGCCTTGCTATTCATACCTTGGTACCCGTACTCTTCCATTGTCGGAAGGGAACCACTTGGTCCCAGTTTTCTTTTCGGTTAAACCGGTGCGGGAACGTTCCTTTGCTAATTTCTGGTAAGCCAAACGTTGCTGGCCACTTTGCTAAGCTTTGAGGATTATAATTGATGCTGTCTCGGAACCTGATGTTGAGCTGAGGCACGTCAAGCTGTAGTATTTTCCCACCGTTTAGAATAACTTTCGGAACGACACCATTTTTCAGCAGCCAATTGAGAATAAAGTATCCATCAAAAGACTACAAAAAAAAAAAGTTATTTAGAAAAAAAACAATAAAAAAATACAATAAAAAAATACAATAAAAAATACAATAAATACAATAAAAAAATACAATGAAAATTTTCCTACCTTAAAATTATGCGCTATAATGAAATGGTCCCGGTGTCTTTCACTAAACAAAAGGTGCACAACTCGTTTGTGACATCACCACTGAGAGGAGCATCTTCTTCAGGGAAGACCCACTCGCTACCGTTGTCATCCTGTACCACCTAGAATCAAATAACAAAGAGGAATTATTTGAAATTTTTTAAAGAAAAAAACAGCAATATTGATGACGTACCGCTAGATTTGGTATCAGAGTTCCGTCCTCCTGAACATAAGTTTCGAAATCAAAGTACAGAAAATCTGCATTCTCATTCATTTCCAGTTCATCAGCATTAACCTTGTGTGGTTGCATGTAGCACTGGTGTGACTGCGGCAGAGCGTGAATCTGGCAGGTTTTGCAAAATATTTCGCCACACTGGTGAGTGTTTCCGGGTTTTCTGCGTTTCAGCGAGACTATCCGCAGGCACTTCTTGCAAACATACACCGTGCTGCAAAGGCTTTTCTGATTGGGTTTCTCCCTTGTAGCTGCTTTCTTATGCTGTGTGTAGCAGTCCTGTCCAAAAAAGTCTCGGTTGCAGTCGTTGCAGTGAATCAGTGTGCTTGATTCCGATGGACATGATGGTCGAAGGCAAGCCTTGCAAATGAAAGAACAACGATGATTTTCTCGATTAGAATATCCTTTGTCGCAGGAGTAGCACCAGTATCTTTTCTGAAAAATGCTGGTAGTGAGTTCAGCAGGTCAAAATGCCGGTCGTGATGCAGCAGAATAATTCTTTTCTTTTGTGCGGGTCCTTTGAAGACAATCAAATTCGCATGGTCCACACTGACGACAATAATCTGATACTGATGTAAGATTTCTTGGAATTTATGCAGATGCCGAAGATTAAATTCTTGTTCAATAAACCCCGCTCGGTGAACAAGACATTGAGCTTCTTTTGTTTGCAGTTTCTTTCCTCGCAGCAACTTCCGATACAGATTCAAGTTTTTATCCGCATGAGCCTTTCCAATAACCAAAGCGCGCGCAAGGCAAATCTGATCAGAATTCTTGATCACCACAACCGATCTCATTTTTTGCAAACGTCTCCGTAGTAAGGCGGGAACTTCACGATTACACGTTCCTTTAGGGATATCTGTATACTGGAGAGAGATTTCAAAGGATTCGTCAATAACAAACTCTTCGTAGGAGTTTAATACACGTGCGACCTCCGCCATCCACCTGGCGACAGTCAGCTGCGAACGTTGAATGGGCGGTGTCCAAATCGGTCGATTCAAACACTTCGAATCCATTCGCATCCTGACCATTTCGCTCGGTCCGACACCCTCCAACAGAGTGTCTAGTATATTCTCTAAAATCTGTGTTATAACTAGAGGCACATCAGAAAAGGGCAACCTCTCCAGCTCGGACACTTTCACCGAAAAACACTTGAAATGCAATCTGTATTTCTTAGAAAATTTCTCACCGGTGCGTTCAACGTGAATAAAGTCCTCCACAGCATATGGAGCCTCGCTTTCTACACCATCCATAATGTCAAAAATTTTGATAAAACCGATAGAAAACTGAAAAAACTACGCCTTCCAAGCGGCGCGAGAGCTTCTTTATACTTCGACGTGTGTAATATGGGTAATCTGATACGATTACATCTTGTACGAGTGGAGGTAATCCAAACCGATTACCTTTTGTGCCACTAGATTGCGTAGTTCTAACACAGGTAATCAAAAGCGATTATCTTGGTAATCCAATTTGATTACCTCTAATGCGAATAATACTGTGAGCTCGGACGAATGCAGGTTATGCGAGAATAATTTACCGACTCTAGCAGATTTTTGTTTCCAGATTTTATTAAAATCGATGAAAACATCGTCGTTAGAAATTCTAAATCATCTCAGGAACTTCTATATTTTCTGGCACTAGAACAGCGAGTTTTTCCCGCTGCTTTAGTAATGATTCAACAGCAGCCAAGTTTATATTAACACAACCTTCGTAAGAATTAAAGTGACTAATTCGGGTCAACGTCAGGTGCGCCGTTCGCGACTTCTTCTCACACTGCATACCAGCCGCAAAGTCCCTGTACCAGGCCAGCAAGGTGCGGCTGAAGCGCCGATACGGGTGTGACAGGACCTCTTTGCTGTTAGAGCTTTTAACCGAGTTTAACGCATCCTTATGCCAACCTCCGTTGAAGAGGTACTTCAGCAGTATCTGCAATTCTCCGCGGCTGATTTCCAGGATGCTACGCTTTGTGAGGAAAATCAGCATCGCATGGCTAAACCAACCGGCCGGATCCATGTCCCCTCCAAAAAACATCAAAAGGTTCTTCGCCCTCACATCCCAAGGCACATTGCGCAGCGTGGAAGGTATTAGAATGTGGGTGGCAATTTTCTGATTAGTGCGCTTCCACACAGGTGTTGGTGGTTGTAGGAAAGCCATGGCGACCGCTTCGGCTACCCAGTTCCCTGGGGCAGTCCCTTGGTCGACGATAGTGATGGTCGGCGGTGTGCTAAAGTTGTAGCACACTGCCTCAGTACCTGAGAAACAACTCCATAAATATTCAGAAATCGGTGCTATTATTTCATTATACTTACTCGTAGGCCAGATTTCCTGCGCGCTGCTCCCAGCGAGTGGTTCATCCAGAACCATGGGTTCCACTATAAAATTACAAAAATATTCATATTGCACCATTTTAGCATGTAATATCTTTCTTTTGCATTTTTTTAAATTAAATTAATTATCTTAAATTTTCTTTTCTTTTCTTTATTTCAATATTTTCTAAATATTTTCGTGAATATTTAACCATTTTTTTTTTAAATCCTGGTTTTTTGAAAATTTCTTCCATCAATTTTTTTAAATATTTTTTTTGTAAATAAAATTTTTTCTTAATTTTGTTTTATTTTGTTTTTATTTCAAAATGTTAATTATTTTGTACAGATTTAACCATTTCTAATTCTAGCATTAACGATAACAAATCTTACGTTCATGCATGGATTCCAAAACGCTGACGTCCTGCTGAAAAAACTCAGTATCGTTGCTTCCTGCCGCCGCCAAAAACCCATCGTTCGTGGCGTTGTACGTTCCCAAAATGTCGCAATTAGTAGTAGAGAAATCAACTGAAAGAATTAAAAAAGAATATTGTATATTTAAAAAAATACGTTAAAATTAAAATAAAAATTCCTGAAGATAATTATTTATTATTTTATTGCTCCGACAAGCCCTTACCTAATTCCTGAAGGTTTGCCCCATTGACTTCCTTACACCATTCGTCCAGCCAACGATAGTCGGTGTCAGGTTCTTCAGCATCCCCATTTAAAGTGGCGGACGGTACAACAACTGCTGTAGAAGCTGTACGTTCTGCAGAGTTTTATTAAAATTAAAATAAAATTGAGATAATTCTTTGTTAGCTTATTGCTCCATAAAACCCTTACCAAGTTCCTGACGGTTTGCTTCATTCACTTCCTGGCACCATTCGTCCAGCCAACGATAGTCGGTGTCAGGATCTCCAGCATCTGGAGTTAAACGGGCGGACGGTACAACATCTGCTGTAGAAGCAGTACATTCTTCGCCAACCTGGCGGCGTAATTCCTCTAACCAATCGGTGAATGGTTGTGGGTTGTTTACTGTGTTGTCAAGGGATGTGAAAAGCTCTTCTAAAAGATCATCCATTGTTACATATTTTCGAAGCAAAAGATCACGAAAATGATACGAGTGCGATGACCTTTTATAGGATCCCCGATTTTTTGCTTTCCATTAGAGGTAATCGTTTTTGTTTACCTGTATACAATGTTGCTATGCACCAGGTAATCAAAAACGATTACCTCTAGTGCGAGGTAATCGAAACCGATTACCTCTGGACAAATCCTGTTGATATATAAGGATCCAACCGTGGATGCAAATTCCAGTTCATTTGTTTTCTCTAAAGCAGTAAAATTTTCTCATTAAATGATGTCTACAATAGTATTGCTAGCGTTTTGCGGTGTGGCAGCTGTCCTTGCTATGGACAGCCACAACACACCACCTTTTCGCCGTTCATACGCTCGCCATACGACGCGACACCGCCCACCATCACCGTACTGAGTACCACAGCGGCAGCTCCTTCCACCTTCCCCTACCGCGAGGCTTGTATATCAGGAGCCCTCATTCCCCGTGCACAACAATTACCCTCCACTCTATATTCCCCCAACCTGCACGTGACTCCTCAGTTCGTCCAAATGTTTCAGTCCCTGGTTCGTCCGACACCAGTCACCCGCACGGCGAGTCCTAACGGAGCCATCTCGGTGGCGTCAAACTTCCTGTCGACCCGCCGCTCTCCGCAGTCACCACGGGCCAGCACCTTGGTGCCGCTGTTTCCCTTGTCCGCAATGAGCCCGCGATCTTTGGACCCATATCCCCACCGCCGTATTGGGAAGCGCCTTTTTGGGCCCGGTCCGTACCAGCGAACGAATTGGTTGTGCAACGGTCTCCGCGGACTGCGGCTCGGGTGGCCGAGGTGATGGATTCGTACTCCCCCATCTCCAGCCCGTCGCCTCCGGGTACGACGCCGCCCTCGCCGAACCTATCGCCGGTGCTATCCGCCTCTGAGTCGCCAGCGCCTTTTAGCTTTACCCTGTCCACCCCCAACGTATCCCCGGCCCTGTTTGACTCACCCGAGTCGCCACCGCCAGAGAACACGACGACGTACTTCTCTCAGCAACCACAACCCTACTACTCAACGGCAGTGGTCGGGACCCATCACCATCAGATGGAGTCCCAGCTATTAAACCTTCAACGATTAACAGCCAGGATTTTGAACGGTCCTACGGAGATGCGGCTTACCGGAGTCCTCAACCTGCGTGGTGAGTAATACTAATTGTAAATTTTTCCTGCGTTTTTTTACCATGCAGTTAAGAACTAGCACGTATTTTCATAGATCTCATTACCGAATATGCGTACCATCATCACAGAAGGGCGGCCTACCACCAGAGCATGCCATATACCGTGCGGAGCCACTACGCTGAAAGCGCGTCCGCATCGTTGAACAACTGCTAAGTTTTTGTTTTTGTTGTGTTATCTTTAGTACCTTTTAAAAATGCAAACAAATTTCTCAGACATCGGTGTTTTACTATCAGAAATATTCACGTATATGGACCAGATATAATATCAGGGAAAAACTTTCCATTACGCATTTTTTTTTGATTTTCTACGCGATTATTGAATACGCCGTTTTTGGATAAATGTACTTTTTTGGCGTTTATTAGAGTGAATCTAGAGTATCAGTGGCAAAAAAATGGAGACTGCTGCTTTCCGGTCTGTAAACGTGTACTCATATACGTTTCCTAGTTGGTGATACTCGTATATACATATATATGCTGTGTTCAGCTGTAGCAGTAATTGCCTGGCGGAAGGTGGTTAGAAAACCACGGGTGCAGTAAGGGACAAACAATTTATCAGGGTGCATTTTTTTCCTGAATAAAATTACAGAATGAGGTTCTGCGTAGCATTTTGCTGTAAAAATAAAATTAAAGTTTTATTTTGAAGCCGTAAAATTGGACGAACAGAAGCTGAGTTCATTAATTTATTTCAAACTCCTGGTACAGATGCTAGTATTTATAAAACTGACGAGATCTAGCCCGATATGTTGTATGCTACATACATAAACAGGTCCTTCAACAAAAAAACCACAACAGGAATAGCTCTCAGTGTTTGTAAGACCATGCTCACGGTTACCATGGAACTAACTGCTGTAAGGATAAGGCAACAACAATAAATACGTATTTTTAGGACAATTAATATTATTTCTGAAAAATCTCGCAATCTGTAACTAAAATGTTCAAATGCTACAGCAATTCGTTATTGTCTAACACAAAATGCTCGAAAACGTTCATGTCTCCCATTGAATGTTTCGACCATCTATATTCCGTAAATGACCTTTGTGAAAATGTCAAATTCTCTATTGAAAAGTGTTTCAAAAGTATTCAAACAAGCGCGAGCGTGCAGCCGATCGAGACATCTGTCACATGCTCATTAACTGCTACCAGCCAGTTTTACCTGATTATTTTTCTGGTCACGTAGACACGATCATACTCAGTGTCATCCGTGGAACCGGTAACGAAAACCGCGTTGTTTGTTTTGGTGTTGATATGATAAAAAGCCTCAAGGCGTGGGTAGCCATGCGAGACAGACTGGGTTTGTTGATTGGTATGCCGACATTATCTGACGAACAGGCATTTCGAAAGATTGTTAAAGCGGACTTAGTTATCATCCCGTTCTGCCAATCAACGGACGAGGTTGCCCACCAAACGTTAGCAGTGGTCCACAAAAATGGTAAACAGTGGTATTTTTTGTTTCTCAAAAAATTTTACACCAATTAACCGAACTATGAAAACGTATACTTGAAGCGACCGAAATATGAGAAAACCTTTTTTTTTAGTTGCTTATCACTATGACAGCGTCGGAAATGACTTCGTGGAGAACTGGAAACAGTTCTTAAATCAGCTGATGAAACTGTATCAGGGTGACAACGAAAAGTATTATGATCAAATTAAGTCATGGGAGAAGCCATTTAAGATCAACAAAACGAATATTCAAACAACAGTAAGACTTTCAAGCTAATTTAGAGCACCGTGTTAGCGTCGATGTTTTTTCTCTCTCCCTAGTTTTTCATTGTTTTTTACAATTTTTGCAGGTGGTGACCCTCGAAAATGCGTGTGGTCTAATTTGTTTGAACATCGTTTCTCGCATTGTTCTGAATTTCTGCATTTTCAAGATCTGCGATAGAAGCTGTATTGACTTGGCGGTCAACGACTTCATGACCTGGTACCACGCCATCAAGCAAGCAGAAGGGTCCCATGCAGTCGATGAACCGAAAAGGTTGTGCACACTTTTTGTAGCCCAAGCGGGGCTTGGCTGTTATAAGACCAGCTGGGAAGTTGGGCGTTACGAAGGTACAGTTTTTTCCTCCGAGTTTTATTTTTTATTTTACGAGTATCCTAGCACATATCGTGACATACTGTAATTTGCCTACAGAATACGCTGCGATGATTGGATGGTTCTCCACGACACCTGCGGTGGTATTGAATAGCGTGAAATCGTTTGAAAATCAGACGTTTTACAAACTAAAATATGATGGCGGTCGAGTTTCGTATGTCCCTGAGTATTACGCCCTTTGTACAAGCGCCCGTAATTGTTTTCTTAGTTATTCATATGATCATAAGTAATATGGTCTTTCTTAAAATAGTTTGACTATTATGAAAGGAATTTTTCCTGGCTCTATTTCATTTTTTCTGTTACGTTGCGATCGCAAAAACCACAACAAACGGTCCTTGCGTTCACCAATGTACGTTGCCCAGTGACTGTACAGTACATCTTATACAGTATACAGTACATATACAGTACATACAGCACATCCAGTATACAGTACATATTATTATACCCTGGGTCTTCTTTTACCACCCCGGTCCACAGCCAAAAAGTGGCTGCTATTCTCACATCTCCGCTGGTGACCTTTGACGCTTTCTTCAGCGTCATACCTCCTATAGCTAGCCAATGGCTACTGTATCTCATCAGACATACTACTCCAGCTGCTGCCCTTGGGCGCGCTGCTACTTTAAAACTGGTCAGACTTCTGCGGAGGACAGTTGTCTTAATGATCATGCTTGAACTGCGCGATACGCTTCGACTCTTCGTTGCTTTTTTCATCAAACCCTCCTTTCTTTCGGAGTCTGAATTTCGATGAGAAATTAGAAACGCATTTATAAACATTCAAGTTTCGTTCCAGTGAAACGTTGTGCAAGCCCGTGGCTGCTTGGCAGCAAAAAGGTTTTGGCTGTTTATTTGAGACAATGGTGAGGTGGTCGGTTCTGCAATGGTGGATTCTTCACTTCTCCCGTAGACTCGGCATGTTACGTTTTTTCAATTTTTTATGAAACTGGAACTGTTTTTCTCAGATCTAACTTTTGATGGCTCTACTACATGATGAGAGCTATCGAACGATAGCAAGATATCGAAGTTTGGTCTTGTGTGTGGCTGGGGCTGACTCCCCGCAGTTGAATTTTGAGCACTTCTTATTCTTTTAGTATAAAGGATGTAAGCGTCAAACGACGGTTCGGGACTTTTGGTTTTAATTTGGTAGTGTTAAATAAAATATCATACGAATATGTTCTTCAATGGCAGTCCCATTTTTCTTTCTTAATCTTACAGCTTGTTAAATCGTTTAATAATTAATGTACACGTAGTACATAGAGTAGGTGTTTCGAGAATAGAAACCACCGCAATATGCAGTGGCATTTTCGTGTTTGGGTATTACTCAATACTTAAGCAGTTTACCGGGTGGCCGTACAAAATGTCGGTCTCCTGATTTGGTTTGTTTCTCGCGAACCATTTGTCCTATCGTAAAGTAGTTAGAGGCGTTCGATAGAAAATTTAATTAGCTACCAGAAACAGTAAAATCTGTTTCAGAAAATTAAAACATGCTGATTAACAACAGTGTTAATACAAACGTGTGGAAATTTATTTGTCCCGCTCGCAAACTTGTGAACCTGGTGTTACGTTTTTCCACCACGCAAAATTTTATTTTTTCACCTGTTTTACTTAGCGAACACTTTCTGCTTTTAAAGAAAAACAGGTTGTTTGCATGGTCAAATGGTGCATGCTCTGAATGAGCTATGCAGTTCCCGCATTTGTGACCTTTCGAAAAACTGCAAGTTTTTTGTCAGATTTTTTCGCTTATTTTAGGAAAATTTTTGCTCCAAAACAGGCTGCAACCAGATAAGCCGATTCGGCTGATAAATTTAGCTAAATGATTGCTCTTATAGGAATACGTTTAAGCCTTGTCAGTTTCTGAAGCGTCAGAGAGAAATTTGTTATTAAAACACCGGCTAGCTGATTTCACGAGAATCGTATGTGCGGTACTTTGTGCTTACCGCTTTTAGCCCAAACACATCCAGCAAAGGTCACATGTTTTACTTTTGTAAAGCGAGGAGATGAACAAGAAACATTTTCCCTCCCGAAATAGTAAGGTTACACCCATGAAAATACTTCGTCGAATAACGGCAATTTTGAATTCAAAAATGACAAAGTTCAGTTTTGGTTTCCGGGACATCCTCCAACTTCACCCATTTTTTCAAAAGAATTTGTAAAAAATTCAAAGCTTTGTATGATATTGGTTTCTCCTGTTTTTTATATGGAACGGACACTGCTCTTTCAAATGAAACTAGAAAGCTGTCAATTAAAGGCTGGATGGACCAGCAACACTTCAAAGAACGGACCGACATTTTTGTTCGGCCACCCAGTACAAACACAGCTACGTTTGATTTCACCATTTAAAAACTTTTTCGGTTTCTTGTTCCCGGGTTGGGGCTATAATACAATAAAAAAGTAAATAAATATACGTAAAATTTTAAATTTTAACCATAATCACCCACCCTTGGCGTGAGACGTGCTCGTGACATCCAAAGTCGGCCGGCAGGCGCGACTACAGACGTTTCGCCACTGGTTGTCACTTGATTGTAAGTGCTTTCGCTACGTGTCGTTTTATTAAAATTTAAGTACCACCAGTGCTCTTGCGTTTAAACGAATTGTCGTAAAGCCTACGATAAACGGTTTATCGTAAACTTTGCCATGCTTGCGATGAGAATTGCGAGGTATTTGATTTGCTACAATTCCTGCAACAGTACCATCTTGGACAACATCTTTTGTTTGTAATTAGCGATGTTTTTTCGTCATAATTAAGTTGATTTGAATGCTGTGTTCAGCCTCTGTACCCCTTGACACTGTAAACCTGCTTGTGCATACAGACAGCGGCCGCCGCAGGTGCTCATCCGTACGTTTATATTTTCGTAGGGCTGCATATCGCTGGTTCCTCCCTCGGATAATTTGACGTTGCTGATACCTTCATTATGGATGCGACAGCAGTAATCAAGGATTTTATGACCGGGGGAATTGCCGCAGCCATTTTCAAAACGGCTGTAGCCCCGTTAGAGCGTGTCAAGCTCATTAAACAGGTGCAGAAAGACTATAGAAAGCAGCAGCGCTATAAAAGCATGATGGGCGCTTTCATTTGTATTTGAAAGAGCGGGAATAAATCAATTTCTGATGTGGTAATCAGGCCAACGTCTTTCGTTATTTCCCCACGCAAGCCTTGAATTTTGCATTTAAAGGCCAATGTGAGCGCATCTTCTTGTCGGGCGATGACAAGGATAAACAGTTTTTCTCCTTCTTCTTGGGCAAGGTTCTGGCCGGGGGTGCAGCTGGTATGAAGTCGCTGGTTTTACCTTGGATTTTGCCCGAACTCGGCTTGGTATGTACTTGTACGAGTACTATATACTTTCTGGCTCTTTGCGAGAAAGTTTAGTTCGTCGTTTCCATTTAACCGGATCGAAATTGCTGATTATCCGTTATTGCGAGTAACTGAATTATTTTTCTAAAATTAATAGATTTATGGAATTATAGCAGCTTACAGTCTAGAACTTGGATTCCGAGTTAATTACATTAAGACGTATGTTCCAATCCCTCTTTCTGTTTTCAACAGTGTTTTCGGAATTGACATCATTTGTTGTGTAATGTTATGTGATTTCCATAATTTAGTCTCAGAAGTTTGGAATTTGAACAGTAAACACAAATATTGTACAATAGTATTGCAAAAGATTTCAACAGTTTAGTACAGTAGATCGGACATGCATGGAATTGCTGGCTGACTGGCTGACTACGTATGAAATGAGCTGTTTTTAGGAGTGGATGTCAGTAAAAACGCGGGGACTCGTGAGTTCACTGGTTTATGGAACTGTATGAGAAAAACCTACCAAACCGATGGCATTCGCGGCTTGTATCGCAGCTTCAACGTTTCCATCCAGGGAATATTTATTTATCGAGCTGCATATTTTGGTGTATCTGACACATTTAAAATTTACTTCGAAGAAGGCAAAGTGCCCATCATGCTTAACTTTATGATCGCCCTCACCGTCACGGCGATTGCCGAATTTATGGCGTAATTCTAACTCAGCTCCGTTATAAGTACGTTTTCTGATTTTTGTTTGTGCTTTAGGTATCCGCGGGATACCGTGCGACGACGCGTGATGATGTAGTCGGCAGGCAAGGAAATTTTCTACAAGAATTCACTGGACGCCATGATGAAAATTGCCAAAAATTAAGATTTCCCGACATCCTTTATGGGCGCCCTGTCCAACATGTTCCGTGGCATTGGTGGTGCGCTGGTGTTAGTTATTTTCGATGAATTGAGACACGCTATGGAACTGCGGCCAGGTGCGAGCAAGCTCGGTCATTAACTGGACACCGTGTGGAATTGATTGCTATTTCCGATTACCGCAGTTATCGAAGTGTTCAGTTCGAGATTTTCTTGATGTATTTGATTCCTTTGTCATAATGATTTCTTTACTACAATTGTATAAAAAACAATTGTAGTAAAGAAATCATTATGTTTACATACTTAATTCTGTCAAATTTATTTGTTAGATGTTTTTAATATGAGCCGCACAGATCATGATCCAGGTGGGCGGCGCGCTTAACATTTGAGTAATAATAGATGTTTTTTAAGTATGCGTACCGGTTAAAAGTTTGAAAGTCTCGCGTGGGAAATATTGTAGTTGGCTCCGAGTAGTCGGTGACAGATTTTTCGGCTGACGAACGTCGCGTTTAATTAAAATCAGTTCAGTTTCTCAATCATAACATAAAACAAGGATAACAAATTATTGAAATTAATTACGCTGGAACATAAAGAAAATTCCCGTTGCCGAAGGAACTAGTACTCAAATGCCATGCGGCTATTCATATGCTATGCGGCCAGCAAAATGTGCTGGAGAATTTCCTATAAAACCAAACAGATTTCCACTTAACGGTTATCAAAGCCATTAACAGCATGTTGCAAAACTAAATGAAGTCCAATATTCCGTAATCCATTCAAGTCGGATACAAATTCAGTTGATTATTCCACCCAAAACAGGAACGAAAACAAATCCGTAATTTCTCACTCCACACGACTGCCCAGCTACCGCTTAACAATCCCTCAAAAAATACAGCGATTTAGCAATAATTTAATTTAATTATGTGATTTATGGTTGAATTAGGGTGTTAAAAATTCAAATAGTCATTAATAAAGTAAATTTCCCTTACACGTTATTCATTTCATCTGGAAAAATCCCGCCATCTCGCTGTCTACAGATAAAATGCACTCGCGAAGGTGCAGCCGCAGTTTGTCCTTGGACTCGCATCCGATGGGTAGCATAAGCTTATGGCTGCATGTAGATGCCTGAGGGCGACGTTCTTCTTCTCGTCCAACGGAAAAACAATTGCGATTTTCGGAGTGGCCGGAATGCGGTACCCGGAAGTAACAAAACGGAGCAGTTGTCGTCGTTCATGGTGGCTAAGGTCGTGTTTGACAATTTCATCAAACCAGTTCACAATCTGCAGCTGCTCAGCCATCAGCTCATCGCTAATATCTTCGGCATGTTCATTGTACGGCAGAAACTCTTCCAGCAAATCGTCTCCTTCTTCAAACTCTCGATAAAGGCTTTTCTCGAAGAATTTCCATTGAGCACGTATTTCTCTCAGCTCCTACAACGATTTTATTGCAAGTAAGAGCAATCACACGCACTGAAAAAAGTGATTCATACCTTTCCCATCGTTCCGGCCAGCAAACCTTCACTTAGATATTTTAAATTAGAGGCTCGCTTCCCGCACAGTTCATACTCGGCGATGTGTCGACACAATTTCTGGCGTCCTTGTTGCACCAACGCAACAGTCTGCAATATAACACTTCAGTGCTATCCACAATTTAAAGACGTTGTTAGTTGTTCAGTTTTCTTAAATTTAATATTATAGGGCAATTTCGTCGAATTTTACCGGGAAAGCTGGATGATTCTCTGCCCAAGTCTGCAAGGATGTTTCATTTGCCCAGACGATCGGCCCCGTGCCCGATAGGATGTCCTTGATGGTATCGCCGGTTCCAACGTTGAAGCGGAAAATATCATTCACTTCTACTGGCAAGTTCAGAACGTACCGGAAAGCGGAATTATTAAACCACTGAGGAAACGGACTCCCATGAAGTATTGCTTCACGCAGAAGAAATCCAAATGCCCGCAAAGCCGAGATGCCGCCTTCTGTTGTAATAGCTTTTCCGGTTACCAAAGTAATCCCATCAGTCACTTCGAATAATTCCATATCAACATCCGGAATCTTGTACGAGCGGAATCCTTCCAAAAGCTCCGTGATACATTCTTTGAAAGGCCCGTCAAAATCCGACGCACTACAAGAATAAACTTTTTATGTGCATGTTATCTTTAACACGGCGTATTTTAACACAGTTTTCAATACCGGCGCGTAAACTACTGTAGCCGCTAGATGAAGTGAGACCACAGAGTCTGGTGTACGGAAAAATGCACGCCCAATATATGTACTTTGCTCCATGCAAAAATGTTTTGATTCCTCTGCTTCTACCAACATTTGACATGTTTTACTGTTCTTTGCTATTTTTAATTCTTTGCAACGAAAGATATTTGTTTTAAGAGCACAATGACACAGCTCTAATAGTTTTCTATTTATAAATCTGGTTTGTTATGGTTTCTGGGCACAGTCAGCACGCGCATAGTACAAAGTCGATAAAATTTTGTACGTTGCTAGCTTCCTTTAATCCAAACAAATACGAAGTCGGATTTGACCATTGGTCGCTGACCGGTAACTTTTAAGCACAGCCGAGATCTCATGCTTTCAATCGATATTTCACTTGCGCCTGGGTCAACTTCAGGAAATTCAGCGACTTCAATAATCACTCGCAAAATAAAAAAGCATAAATTTTTGTTCGATTTAATCGTTCAAAACCAATAACCTGTTCTGTAACTGCGGGACTACTGGCCGCGACAACGTTCTTCTTCTCCTCTTCAGCTTCGCTGTTATCCGAGTCACCAAGTACGATGACGTTATTGTTTAATTGACGACCAGAAGCACTATCGCTGAACATTAATCGACCGCGACGACGGCGAGGCAAATCCGGTGAAGACGGCGGAGACGGAGAAGTATCGTCTAACCGTCCCCGAAAGGAATTCCTTGATGCGGACACACTTCCAAAGCCGTATGTAGAAGCAACGGAGGCACTTCCGAAGCGGGAGGATGCACTGGATGCACTCCCGAAGCCGAATGATGCACTGGATGCACTACGGAAGCCGGACGTAGAAGCACGGTCGGCACTCCCCAAGGCGGGTGTAGAAGCACGGGAGGCACTCCCCAAAGCGGATGTAGAAGCACGGGATGTTTCTCGCAGACCAAAAAGCGATCGGGGATTTGTGATACCAGCTGGAAAAGTCTTCTTCAGTAACGATAGCAATATAGTTTTGACCTCGGATGTATTTTTTACTTGGAACGTTTCGTAAATCCAGTTCTTCCACAGTTCTTCCTTGATCCTGTAAACACATATTATCATAGCGGCATACGTCATATCGTTTCGTTAATACAAACTATTTACCGCAGCAAATTCCTCAAAGATTTCCCGCGGAATATTCAGTGTACCATGAGCTAGAGCGATATACATGCGTCTTCGCGCTTGGTTTACGGCCCTCTCGGTGTATCTGAAAATCGTATGCGACAGTTCAAACCAGCAGAATATTCTATGCGAAATTACCGCTTTAACATTTTTCACTTTGTACGTACAAGTCTTGATCCGCCCACGATGGAGATAAAATATCCAAATCTGTTGGCCAAATAAACGGACTCTTCAGCTTTCCCGGCTCATCAAGTCGGCTCAACAACGTCCATTCCTGGTTGCCAAGACAATCCCCAAACGTTTCGGAAATTTTTGCGTAGATGTGATGACCTTCCAGTACGTCAAACTCAACTTGCCGAATTAGTCCCGCTTTCCGCATGAAATCTAGTTCCATCTGATATTCGCTGTAAATAACATCAGCTATGAGGAAAACGTATACATTTCAAACATAAAACGTACTTAAAAATCAACTAGAGTACAAACATTTTATTTTTCAATTAAAACTAAACAGATATTTAAGATTTAAATTGTTCTCTAATAAGAAACCCTTACACCCACAAAATTCAAAAACTTACCCCACTCGCTGGGACGGAATCTGATTTCCTTCGGCGCTACGAAAAAAGTAAATCTCCATGGGATATTTACGGTGTACTACTGGCCTCTGATTCACTGGCTGTCCGAATTGGTTTGAACCGGTCATTGAGCGAAATTCCTCCGTTCTGGGTCGCTTGACTGCATACTGCTGCCCGCCACGGCCTCGCCGGCTGCCCCGGCCACTGCCGACCGGCAAAGATAAAATTCCCACATTCGAATTGCTTGAAAATCCAGGTGGTACAGATCCACGTGCCGGTGCTCTTGGAATGCCTGGCTGTCCACCGCCAAATGTACTCCAAGGCAACTCACGCTGCTGGAAGTTTCGCAATGGATGTACTGTACTACTTGCCAGGCCGTAAGGTTCCATACTAAAGGCTTGATATTGACCCTGCCCCGCATTTCCTGTGAAACCCTGAGCTCTGCTTCCAGAAACTGGCGGCTGAACAATTTGTGCTCCGCTTCCTTGCGGGCTGATATCAGCGTGCTGGGCCGTAGTTGTGGATCCGGTGATACTTGCAGCATTTTCATTTATAAGGGAGCGATGGCTAGCGGAGTTTCCCATGTAAGAATTCAATTCGAGATTAACAGCTGCCGATAAACTACAGCGAACATGCAGACCGTACTCGTGATTACATCCAAAAACACTGCATTTAAGCCCGCCCAACGGTCCGCTCCAGGAAAAATCGATGTCAGCCTTTAATGGGATCACACATGGGCAATCTCTTACCCCACATTTATAGCTAAAATCAACCATTTTAGTCACACACAGGAAACGCAAAACAAAAAAATGTTTTGTCAACGAAAATAAGATAAATTCGATGTTTCTACGCTCCACTTTAAAAGAAACCGACTGATGTGAATTAAGCTGAATCTGCCGCTTAAAATAAGTTTGACAGTTCTTACAGTAACCCATGCGTAAGGCGTGGCAATAACTGACCAGCTACGAGCAAGCTGCGAATAAATAACCATTGGCGCCACAGCAGCTTATAGCGGCATGCTGGTGGGAACAAGAACAGACAGCCCACTTGCGGTAACTTAGTTCTTCCATGCCGCTCGCAAATCAATTGTCTACAAATTTTGGCCGGCATAAAACAAAGGCTTCCGCTTATTAGTCGTGTTCCACTGCCGATTTTTACCATACGCGTATTGTTCTCGACAACAAACTTTCTTGTGAAACGATTTTTGCGGAAAAAAGTAAAATAAATCAGCAGAGTAATTCATTCGTCGCACACGGTTCCGGTTTAGGATTCAGCAAAGTATTTTTCTGCAGTAACATCATGCGCTTTGTAAAAAACACATAAAATTTTATTTGCAATGCATTCAACACATTATGCGGCAAACGAAGCTAACCGCCGGTCAAATACAACTATGGAGCTTTGGTTTTTTTGAGCATAGGATTACTCAAACAACTAACAATTAGTAGCAAAAAAACGAGTGCAGTTATGATGATGCAGTTATGACGATCCCGTTATCTTGCACAGGCTAAAAAACGAACGAGAGCGAAACCAAAAAACATAACGGAATCATAGGTGAGCCAGTTACATACTTTTACTTAGCGCGTTATAATACTGTAACGACAGACCTTAGCTCTGTTTATGTCTTTTGGCATGGTACTAATTTGCTTGCGCAAAAGGCATTTTCGAAACTTTTCCCTCCACAATCTGGTTGCGCACTTTGATTCGCAAAGGTGTACCAGGCTTTGAAAGCGAGGTGTTCACATAATCCATCGAAATATTTGTTCCCAAGGACGGTGCGGGGCATCCACTAGTAACCTTGCCAACTTGTTCTTCTTTCTCGTCGACAATAGCATAGCTCTAGGTAAAAAGACAAAGTCACAGCAAATCTGGATTTCGCATCCATTAATATTTCCAGAACACAAAACTTACAGAACATACAGATTTACAAAACATTTACGGACAAACTCCAAGTTTGCAAAGGCACTGTTTCGATGACATGCAAACGATGCCAGTTGATAAATCGCATCCATACAATTTCGTGCGTAATATGGCCGCAAGTTTTCACACTTCGGGCAGGTGCTCCAGTGGAAATAATTCCAACACGTTTTTCTGCGCGCCCCTCTGATTTGGGGAAGTATTTTCTCTGCACCGGAAATCCACCCTCTTTGCGACGGCGCTTTCCTACAATAACGCATATATTTCCAACAATTACAAATTTTTGGGAATACTTTGAAATTTCGTTGCTTGCTTTAATAGGTTTACCTACTGTCCAGGTCAGGTCAGCTTCTACCGGTGTCGCTTGTTCGTTAATATCGTTTCCGGACAAACACAGATCGGCTTCCAGCCGGAGTGAATCCCTGGCTTCCAAACCAGCCATTCGTACCTGCCCCTTAACGTACCACGTACCACGCGACTTTAACAATATATCACATAAAGGCGCAGCATCTTTGGAAAGACAGGATATCTGCAGCAAGTTTGAATTATGCATGGGAACGCTAGAGCGTCCATCGTGTAAGCACTGAGCACGTGCCTCCACGCCATCTTCGCCGGTGTAGCCGCATTTGGTAATTCGGCATCCCTCAAATCCGTACAGTGTACAAAACGTAGTCTGCATGAATTCCAAGCTATCCACCGAATCCTTTAAGCCGGGCTGAATAACTCTTGACATTTCCGGTCCTAATCACTGAAAAAAGGACATATATACGGCAAAAGGTTAAGTGTCACTGTGACCGTAACTTCGAATCAAACGAACGAAATCGAAAGCACATTTTTCTTTAACATAATGCCGAATAGGTACAATACTGACAAAAGTCTGTTTTATCGGTAATATGATAACTCCATGCCAATACATACTTTTAACAGTTTTTTAAACGTCGTCATGCTGAAACAGAACGTGAGCAATTACTTATATAATCCGAACAGCAATTATGAATACAGATTTCCGTTACAACAAACCTTGAACAGCAATCAAAGCTCTTTCCTGCACAGTAACGATGCCAATTTGAGCATCCTTCCCTTTCTTCTGGAAGCCCAAGACTTTTTTCGTTAAATATTCTAGATCTTTTGCCGCACAACCGACGTTAACAACAGCGAAGAGATGTCCGCGACTGGTATTCATCTACACCGTATCATCAATGATGCCACCGTTCTCGTTGGTTAACAAACGTAATGTGCCGCTGTTTTCCGGTTGCTTTTTAACATCCGACATGCAAACAGATTCCCAGAATTCATGCCGATCGTTGCCGTGAATGACCAGCTGTTGCATGTGACACCTGCACAACAATAAAAACAGCATAACAAAAAAAGTAAACATTCACAAGTTTGAACTTTTTTATTCAGACAATCCGATGCATACAGCCATGTAAATATTATTTGGACTTTACGGCAGTGGTAACATAAAGGATAACGTAATCTGCAGTACAGTATTGTAAGCGCTGACTTTCTGACCATCGCTGACCATGAGATACTTAACAGGTATTTTTTTAAGCATAAATTAATATTAACACGAAAACACACTGCAAAATACACGAATTTAATACACTGCAAGCGAGAAAAATGCAAGACCTTCCGTCAGCAATACTGTACTTTCATCAAAAATACTGCAGTGTTTCCGAGTATGGATGTGAGATTCCGAAATGGACTGGTCTTGATAAATCAACGGCATTGACCGGGTCTTCCTGCAAAACGTCTGAGGAAGTCAAATCTGTTATGTTCTACTAAAACGCTCATACCCTTGCGATACGAAATCATTGCACAAGCGAATGAAAACTTTATCCCTGATGCCAATTCCGTTTTTGGTGGCTGAAAATTACAACGACTATGCCAGTGTGTAAAATCGTCGTCCGTGCTAGTCACCAAAGCTGCGATCGAATAATTTCTTCGTTTGATGTCGTGATAGGCGTCCACTCCAATCACCATAAGGCTCATCTGATCTTCTTCTGAAAAACAAATTAACAATACGAAATTTGTTGTCATTATCTTCATAACAGCAGATTTAACCTTACCTTGTCAGCATTTTAGCCATGCGCCAAATGGATCCACCCAGCTTGCAATTGATTTGCAAAGCGATTTTCTGCACAATTGCGCGCAAACGATCTGCTCTTCCCAGTGTACAACTCACAATGACCTGTGAAGCGATTAAACAAGTTTAGAAGTGTGATATCCATAGAAAACCTTGTTTAAATTTTAAGCTAGAGCAAAATATTATACTTTGTCTTCGACCGCGGCTTTAGCAATGCTATGGGCATATGTGATGTTTTGATCGGCAGTTAGCATGATAATCTGCGGATTTCCGAACCGCATGCCAGAACTTTGACTGACGTCACGGAAGGCGCGAGCAAACTCTTCCGCACATTTTTGGTCCCGCTTTTGGAAAACCAAGGTCCAATGTTCCGCCCCTCTGGGATCTATAAGCATTCAGCACGTCTTTAGGAACTTCTTCCGGTGCCATTCGGAAAATTACGTTTTTGGACGACTGTCCAACAGCACGAGTGCTTTTGCACGCCACAATAAGTAACGATGTAATTTCTGCCGGTCTTCATATCCATGGGAAGATGACTGTTGAAGCGTTATCCAAGTCAACCGATCCCGCGTGCTTGCAAGGATGCCAAACTTCCTTAACGCAGCTGAACGAGACCAGAAGCAAACCAGATCAATTCGCATAATAATTCCGACACAATAAAATAATGCACACCAATCTATCACATACTTTGTAACTTAAGTTTTGACAGCGGGCATGTACGGAACAGCTCTTCATCGGACTTACGTGTAAGTGTCGTTAATAACCGGCGGAACGTACACGTATTTTCACGAGGCGGCGTACTGTATTAAAAATTCTTCTGTCACCGCAGCGGTTTCTTCTCAGTTAACATGCTTGCCGCAAATTTAATTCTCACCAAGCCGTGTTGCGTTTTCACCATGAAAACAATGCATCCAACAATTACAAAACGTTAAATTCAGCAGAAGCAGTCAATTACAACGCTAACTTACTAAAGCAATAAACTCACTTTCGCTTTCTGAAAGATTAGCTAGCTTCTAACACTGCCGGTAGTAATATTATCAACGGAAAGCAGTACTAAGGTTTTTTTCTAAAATTCGGACACACTGATTTGTCAGTCTACCATTAACCAAAATAATGTTGTAACATTTCTTTCGCTTCGCAAAAAACCTGAATTCCATGAAATCCATCATCCCGCATCAGATCCATACTAGCCCGAATTACCTGAGCTTCAACAGGGAAACTGCTGATTTTATCGCACACCGGGACAGAATCCTTGAATGGCCAACTTGATTTCTTAAGTACTGAGGGAAATTTTCTGCGACATCCACGTCGGCGTTAGGCAGTGCATTGTCGACCGATAAGATTTCTTCCAGAGCAAAACCTTTCAGTCCCTTCTGATTGCAGCCGAGAACAAACAACTGCCTTGGTGACTTTTCGCCCTCCGTGCGCAATTTGTGGTTATTAAAAAAAGAAATGAAGCTATTGAGCTTATTCTGTATTCTTTCCGTGAATACTAAGTGCAAAACCATCATGTCGCGGGCACTCGTCATATCCAAAATTTGCATATTTTCCATGTGAATGAAAATAGATCGAAATAATTTAATCACAACGCGACCCAAGTCTCTCCACAGCCGTTCTATCCGCTGATTGTGAACTGACGGTCCCATAATGATACTGGCGCGGTTCGGACCCATATAATGCTCCATCCAGCGTGCAACTCCGAAATTTTCACCTAGTTATACAAAATAGTAAAATCAGTCAGAACTGAAAACTGTCAACTCATACACAGAAAAAACACTGATGAAAAGCAACAATCGCAAAACTGACAAAGGCGCAAAACAGTATTGTACACCTTACCGCCGCAATCGCTTCTCACTCTGGACGGCACTCCCCAAGCTTCAGCGCCAACGAGGAAGGCCTGCAGCACTGTACTTGCGCGATTGTTCGTTGCAACGACGAGAGAAATAACCATTCGAGAGTAACCGTCAATAATCCCGTGTATTACGAATCCCCAGCGAACCAACTTGTGATTGCCATCAATGTGCCACAGCGCGTTTGGGCCAGCATTTGAATAAATGCGGCGAGGGACAAAATGGAAAAACCGATTAGCTATGCCATACGGATCCAGTCTTCTCATAGAAGCCAGAATTCTCGTGCGTTGGACTGTTAAACCTCCTGATTTTAACTGGCCGTTAATGTAACGATATCCTACGTTCGGGAACGAATTTAAAATATCCACAATTACGCGATCCAAATCCACATCACTCAATTCCGAATACTGAAAAAGCAAACGAATTTAAATTAACACATAGCCTGCTTATTACGTATATAATGATCAAAAAAGGTAAAATTCACCAATGCAAATCTGCAACGAACTAAAATATCTACGAGTACTGCACCCAACCGTGCCGTGATGCTGGCACATACACTTACTTTCCTATTCAAGCCAGCATCTGCCAATCTGTACGTGACTGTCCTCTTAGAAACTCCATAAAGCTTAGCAATATCATTCACAGTAAATCCCTCGAACCGCAGTTCAGCTAAATCATCCTCCAGAAGGAATATTTTTCCATCTACTTTGGTGTGCTGCGTGATGGGAAAAACGGACGCAGTCCCGTTTTCGTCTTCTTGCAGTAGATCCCGTAAGCGACTGGAGTAGTTAATTAAAACATCAAAAAGCTCTTGCGCTTGCACCGTCCGCTCCTCCGGAACATTTTCGCAGATATCTCTAGTATATCTAACAAATAAAACATTCAAAATTCCAACAAATTGATTTGTCAACCGTTGCTGTTTGGGTAAGTTACCCAAGCAAATAATCCATCTGCGTCAGCGCTCCGTCAACCCCATCTTGATCTTGATCCCCATTCTGGACTGTTAGATAACGCTCCGCACGTCTTACAACCGAGTACGCAAACTCAAAAAACTGATCCATTTCAAATTTCTCTTGGTTTTCTCTAACAAATAAAGTGGGAAGTAAACACTGAAAAACATTAGAGACTTGCTCTTAAATGGATCACCAACTAATCCAGATTCACTAAGTATACTGTAGTACCATTAGAAGAGCCTTTCCAGTACAAATAACTGTCACTTCCAAAAAATACGTTAAATTCCACTCACTCATTGGAACTGGTAGGGTGGAATGGGAATTTACAAAAACTCAGAAAAATTATAAGTCCGGAAATTAGGCTTCCGGTTGACGAGGCGGCAGTCACGTTGCTGAATCACCACTCTATCATCACCACTTTTAATCACCCCAGTCTTATCATCATTGTTAAATCAGCAGTATCTAATCAGCACTATTTAATCAGCACTATTGATTCACCATTTTGAATCACCACTTAAAGATCACCGATTTAATTAAAATCAACAGTTATTAATGAAACGTTATTATTCACTACCTATAGCTCACCACTCATAACTCACCACTTCACGTAATTTTAATTTTGCGCGTTTTGTACGCCATAGTGATGTGCTTCAAACCGGTTTTTCTGCCATAAGATACAAAGTAGTATACAGTACGTGTAGTTGTGCAAATCGGCGCGACTTGATTGAAGGTGTAGTTCTGGCTGTTGCTGTTGTTGTTGTTGTTGTTGCGTTACGCGCGCAAATCGACTTGATTGAAGGTGTAGTTCTGGCTGTTGCTGTTGTTGTTGTTGTTGTTGCGTTACTGCATAAGCGTAGCGATAAGTGTCAATTCGCTACTGCATAAGCGTAGCGAATTGACAAATTCTGATGGACTTTGTCCAACAAATTCTGATATTCTGATCAGGGTTTAAACAAAAGCATTTAAACATTTACAGTAAATTCTAAAACTTTTAATGTTGGCTCTTGAGCCATACCAATGGAATCCCTTTTTTCCTTACGTACAGGCGTAATCAAGCTCTTGTTGAGTATCAATAAAACCCGCACTGTTGTTCGGAACTTCTTCCTGATTTTCGTGACCTTACAAATCTTCTGGACCTCTACATCTGCTTTTATAAAGCCCTTTCGCTACTTACAATTAATTCCTTCGCTTTCCAACCTACACAGTCGATTGCTCCCTCGAAGCGCTGCCAAGAAATTCCAGTTGACATGCTCTACATCTTTGTCTGTATGTATATAGATATAACCGTATTGTAACGTATAATTCTGCACAAATCCCGCAATCGATGCGACATGACTACGAGTATTACGAATCGCAATGCAACCGGTACTACGGGTAGTATTTACAACTTTGCACACAAAGAAGTTCAAAATCGACAGAAATAACGTATGTTAAACTTCTGTACGAGTAAAATTTTACTGGATTCAGTGGATTCACTTTAATTTTTTCGTAACTAAAATTGCAGCAGAAGTACCCTAAAGAATAGCAGAAGATGTCATCGCTTCGTAATCCTTTATTTACAGCTCTGGCGGATTTTTATAAATTATCGTTATCCTGGAATTATACAGCCAGGTACGTTTAACGCTTTCGAGAGCAACATGTTTTAGAAAACTGCAAAACTGATTAAAGAGAAATGTGTGGCGTTATAGTCGCGAACATTTACAACTTTCGCTAGAACATCGGCAAATTTATATTCATAGCTAATATGGTCAATATCGAGGTCCGCCAGTGCCCATATTCTGTGGACATCGGTTAGCCAAGTGCCCCTTCATTCCGCACTTGTAACATGTCATATCTTCAATCGATCGCGGACCCCGGTGCTCCGGTCTGTCCGACCGAGGAGGAGCGATAAAGTTGGCAACAGGTCGTACAACAGAGGAAAGATGTTGTGGCGGTCGGTTTTCTCCTTGCATGTGCGGTGGTTTGGACGGGGGCATCCCGGGTTGTTTGGAACAGGCTGCTGCTTTGTGACCTGGCTCACCACAATTCCGGCAGATTATACTCTGCCGTCTCTGGATCACTTTATCGTCCAGCAAGGGGATTTCAAAACGAGGACTGCAAGAGGAGATTCGATAAGCACTGGCCAACAATGTAATTTTTAGAAGATCAAAATTTTAGTTTAACCATCGTAGGCTTAGGCAAAATAAAGCGACGACTTTACTTCAACACCGGCACAAATACAAAAAGTTGTCTTATCTATTTCGGAGTTATTTACACTGTTTTAACTTTTATCAGCATCAACAATAAGAACAACGAAAAAGGCAATAATAATGAAAACACTTACGAATTTAGCAGCTTACCATGCGAATCTTAAAAAAAGAATACAATTTTCGACACAGTTAACTTACTGAGCAGATTTGCAATTGGGCCCATTGGGACAAAATCCGAAAAGATAAAGGCGACACAATTTCCTTTTTATATGACGATTCTTACATTTTTCACCTAAAAACCATAGAAGGTGAAAAAAGTGGTCAAGTCTGCCGCAAATTCGCACTTACCGTGGCGACAAAATCCCCGGGTATACCAAGCACAGTCTTTAACTTTATCTTGAGGATTGATATGGAGAAATGGACAATCCTTATTACTACAGGAATCTATAACGCAAATGCAATAGTACTTAATACATTAGCCAGTTTCCTACGTTTTCGAGCTGAGCAAAAAGATGGATTTAAACTTACTGAATTTGGAGAAAAAATAACACTCTGGCATTTTGGACCTAAATAAAGCACGCAATTTTTACGATTTTTTAAAAATAAATACCGAAATGCAGGCCGTCGGACGTACATGTCGAACTCGTGGAGGAATTCGCAACTATCTCCCTTCTTGCACAGTCCGCGAAGCCAGTGCTTACATACGACTGTCTTGTCACCGCGAACATGGCGATACGGACAAAACGATCCTTTCGGGCATGTGCTTTCCACAAAAAACTCGCACACAGGAGAAAGTGACTCTAAGAAAAAATCACGAAATGATTCAAATGGAAATCAGTGCAAAGTAACCGTAAACTACATAAAAATTCAGAATCCATTCGAACTGCCTAACCGCAAGGTCGAAGAGGGTCCACTTACTATCCAGACCAGAAAACGGGGTTGGCTTAACTCCTTTGTGCTTCTCCAGAGCTAGCTCGATGTCAAATTTGTTCTGGTCAACTGGTGCGATAATGTCTTGAAACATTTTCACAGATCAAGAAAAAACGTTTCAGTTAAACGTCAGCTAAACGAAACAGCAAGAACACTTAGAACAGCCAGAAGATCACCGTAGACTACAGAGAACACTGGCAGAAAACAATTAACGATTTTATTCCAGCCGTCAAATGCTGAAGCAAATACCATAAACTCAATACTTTAATAACGTTCCAGAACAAGGAAGAAATTCTGGAACGTAAACTTAAAGGGAACGTACGCCGCTAAAGTTAGGAACCATTTTTTTGAAAAAATCGAAACATATTTTGTGATTTGTTTTTGGAAATTTTTTCGACTAATGATAATCCACACTCCACAGTGTTGGTTTTAAAACATACGTACTTATGTAGCTGTCGCATCGAAAAATGTCGCAGTGTCTGCCGCCCGGGATGCTCCGCTTGCAGCCAGCCCGATCGTTTTAGCAGGGCCATATGGTTTTGGTTGCCTTCTGCCTTCTGGCCCGCTGGGCACAAAAAAGATGTTGTTGTGTTTTCGGTTTCTGCTTACGACCGCAACTTTTGATTTTGTAGTTTGTTTACCACGCGTTACTTGCAGGTCTCCAGTCTTTTGAATCATGGTCCTTGTTACGGTCTTGGCTATTAAAATTCCCATTTCCTGCGCCTAAGCAGTTTTTGTTTGCATTTTCTGATAGCCGCCACCTGCTTCAGCGTTTTTGCAGACCGAGGCCAAGTCAATGTAAGTGACTGAACAGAATAGATCCACTGTTTTTCAGTCGTTTCGTTTTGAAATGCATCTATTTACGTTTTATTGTGCTTATAGCGATGGCATGATTGATGCCAAACCAATTGTTGAGTTTACAATCGCTAATGTAAACGGTCGTAGTCGATCGTTTCGGCTGTGAAGATCAGCGCGATCTGTCGACTTGTTGCTTTATGTCTGTAGAACGCTGGCATCATGGCGGCTGAAGAGTATGAAGCGTTAAGCGAAGCTGACGATCCAGATGTTGCCTTCTTATCCGGCAGCGATGATGTGGAAATCCGTCCTGGCCGGTCAAAAAAATCCCTACAAAAGCCCCGACGCGGCTCTAAACGTGCTTCCCACAATGCGGGATCAGCGCGAGCTGGTTCGCCTGTTATTTGGATTGTGCTGCTGTGTCTGCTGCTGGGTGGTCTAGTGATAACGCTCATTGTGATAATGTATCATCGCACGGGAGATCTGACCAAAATCACATCGTTGCATGAAGAATTCCAGGAGGATTCCGCGCACCCAGATTCCGCAGCCTTGCCCAACCACGTGCAATCTCACTCGAATATCATCAGTCCATCGAAATCTCTTACGCACGGCATCGCCAAAAACGGATCACAGTGTGTTTGGCATGCTAAACGCTTGCCGGATACACTAGCGCCCAGGTTGTACGATTTGAATCTCCATATTGATCTGACGGTGGAAAATTATACGGGAATCGTCAAAATTGATTTTGATGTGCTCATACCGACGACAATGATCATACTGCATGGGAAAAATTTGTCCATCGGCAGTGCGGAGTTGAAGAGATTTGAAGCTGCAGGACCAGCGGACAAAGGCGAAGGCATTCCTATTAAACGAATCGAAATCTGCAGGGAGTTGGATCTGATTGAAATATCCGTCGGTAGCACTTTGTTCGAGAAATTCCGGTACAATTTAGCGTTGCGGTTCAGTGCCAAACTCGGGCAGTCGACAGGTGGACTGTATGTTAGTCATTACCGCGATGTTAATGGACAGAAGAGGTACGTCGTAGTTAATTTGCTATTTTTTTCGGTGATTTGTTTTATTATTCTCGACAATTTCGCACGGCGGAAAAACGTTTTGTTGGTTTTTGTTGATCCTTGGCATGTTATATAAATTTTCAGATTTTTCAAATTTGAACCGGTCTGATCTGGGTTTCAGAGCTTTAGCAGCAACTCAGTTCGAGCCCACATATGCGCGCTCGGCTTTTCCATGTTTCGATGAACCGCAGTGGAAAGCTGTTTTTCGCGTTAAAATCCTGCATGATAAAGATTTGACAGCCGTCTCGAATATGCCCAGAGAAAGAACGGTGCGTCGTTGAAACCAATGTTAAAACGCTAACTTAGGTTTCATTGTGCATGTTTTCATGTATTACAAAATTTGCAGGCAAAATACAAATCGTATTTGTGCAGGTTCTATAATACATGAAAATTATACACAGCACCTGATTAAGTGACGAATCCATCTTCTGATGTTATTTATAAAATTTTTGCGATATTTTATTTTTTTCGGTGTGTTTTGATAAATTCAGAGCGTTTCGAGGGTGGACCCTAACTTCTTGGAGACTGCGTTCAAAGATACTCCAGTGATGTCGACGTACCTGTTAGCAGTACTTGTCAGCGATTTCGCTGTGGTTCAGGGCCAGAGAGAACCGATATCGGTAAAATTAATGCTGCTTTGTAGTGTCTTTTTATTTAAGGTTCTTTGATGGGTTTGTTTGCAGGTGGATTTACATGTCAGCCAGAACAAAATTAGTCAAACACAGTTCGCTTTGGATGTCGCGGCTAAAGTGACAGAGTTTTTTTCAGAATTCTTTGGAATTTCCTATCCGTTACCGAAATTGGGTTTGTGGCTTGAAATATTTGCAGTGTGAGGATGATTTCCATATTAATTTTGATAATTCTCTATAGATCTGGCCGCTATTCCTGATTTTGCCGCAGGTGCTATGGAAAACTGGGGATTGATGTAAGCATAATGATGCTGTCAAATGCAGTGATTTTCCTACGGGTATAGGTTTGTTGTTACGTTTTCTGTTTGTCAACTGAGATTTTTATTCAGGCCGTATATTTTGATGTATAAGCAGCCGACGAATAGGTTTAATGTTGGAATGACTGGGATTTACATAGTGATAAAGTATTTCATAGAACGAACACAATCTGAGTATTACTGTATTGTATTGTATTGTATTGTATTGTATTACTGTATCGTATTGATCGTATTGTACTGTATTGTATTGTATTGATCGTATGAAACTGTGGAATATTTGTCTGTTTTCTCCTATGCGAAACGCGAACCACGATTGATTATAAATTTTAGAACATTTCGAGAAAAGGCACTTTTATACGATCCACAAGAATCTGGACTAAACCAGATGGAGTACGTTGCCACCGTTGTTGCTCATGAAGTGGCGCATCAATGGTTTGGAAATCTCGTGACCATGGCTTGGTGGGAACAGTTATGGCTGAACGAGGGATTTGCCGCTTTTATGGAATATCTGGGCGTTAATTTTACCAACCCCGAACTGCTCGTTATGCAGAAGCATTTGGTATCCGATGTGCAAGAAGCATTGTCTTTGGACAGTCTCTTATCCACCCATCCGGTGGTGGCAGCGGTCGAAGATCCTGCAGAGATAGTGGCACGCTTTGACGACATCTCCTATAAAAAGGGATCATCTATTTTGTGGATGCTTTTCGAATCCCTGGGACAAGATGTATTTCGTCGGGGCGTCACGCAGTATCTGAAGTCACATATGTATAAAAATGCGGAGACGAAGGCTTTGTGGGAGGCCTTGAACGATGCTTGGCAGAATACCACCGACGGAAGAAATTTTGGACTGACAGTTGAAAAAATTGCTAATTCTTGGACTATACAACCAGGTCAGTGTCACTATCCTGTGATAAATTGTGTCTTGCTCTTGAAACTGTAGTTGTAAGGAGTAGCTAGCAGATTCTTTGAGCTACAAGTACATTTGTTGATATTTTAGCCCACCACTCTTTGCTTTTCCTGCCTTTGTCTTCGATTGATATCTGCTTTCCATTTGTGATGATTGTGTTTATGGGATGAACTTTTTTCGACTCCTCTTTCTTATGTATAGTCTTTTCGTTTCGATTTTATGGTTCGTTAAAAAACTAATTACTTACCTAACATTTTGCGGAGCTTTTCGTTTTTACTACGTTGATGATGATCCGTTGTTTGGCATTCGTTATTGACTTCTGCAAATATGCAGGATATCCGCTCCTAACGGCTTCTCGCACAGCTGATGGCGTTCACATCACTCAAACTCGTCTCGTACCATTTGGTGAAAATATTACGTTTTCACCCAAGTGGTACGTTCCCATCGCGTTGGTCACGTCTCTGGGTGGTCAGGAAGATAAATCCTGGATGGCGGAAACAACCTTGGATCTTAAAATTCCCGAAATGCAGCGTCCAGTGTGGTATCGTCTGAAGCAAACGGGATTCTATCGTGTAACTTACGATGGTGCCAATTGGAAAGCTATCAGTTCTGCTTTAATGCGTGACCATACCAAAGGATTCACTCCTGAAGACCGTTCGACGTTAGTGGACGATGCACTTAGTTTATCCAAGTAAGTTTGCATTTTAAATGGCTTGGAAAGAGTTGTGTATTCGCAATACATCTTATTTCTTCGGCAGGTTAGGTCTTTTGAATGTTACTTTCGCTTTGGACGTGGTTTCCTATCTTAAAAATGAGAAACATTATTTGCCGTGGAAAAGTGCATCGCCCCTGCTTAAGGGATTGGAATCATTGCTCTACGGCACAAGTTCTTTTCGTAAATTTCGAACCTGGCGGAAAGAGTTAGTTCGTCCGGTTTTCGAGCAACTGGACTGCAAAAACTCGAACAGAAGCGATATCGCAATGAGGTAGAAAATTTTTTTTATTATGGAAACCTTTCTTCGATTAGGTTAACATTCTCTTGCTCATTGCTTTGCTGTGTTATTTAATGGTTTGTTTTCGTCCTACGAAGTTTTTGGCGAAATTTGTTAATACGGAATAATTATTTATTTTGTGGGGAAATTTGTTCATACTTTGTTTGCGTTGTTGTTTTGCAGGCGCTTATGCATCCAAATCTTTGATGAAGCGTGTTATGTAGGAGTGGATGGTTGTATCAATTTGGCACTGGAAATTTTCGCTCAACTGCGCAGATCTAATACGAGGTCTGCCTAAGTTATAACCATCGGAACCGTAGAAAATTATCTCCTGCTTTTACACAGATTATTAATTTAAATGGAATTAAGTACTAAAATAGTCTACGGTAGTAGAACGACAATAATTTTCTAGCTGAACTCTCTGGAATTCGGTACGGCGAATGACCTTCTCATTCCTTAGTGTTCCGGTCGACATTCGAAAATACGTTTATCAAACAGTCGCGCGGCGTGGAACCGAAGAAGACTGGGATTTCTTGTGGAAGCGCTACCTGACGACAACCGTGGCTTCTGAAAAGGACGTCATTTTGCGAGCATTAGGCAGTACGGAAAATATGGCGTTAATTACACAGTAAGAACGTGTTCCATCTGAAGCAGCGTGAGCGTAATTATCAGTGTGATACCTATTTAAAAATTCTTCACCTTATTCGTGCTTTTGTTCTATGCAAACGTTTTTTTTAAATCGCATTTTCAATAGTCACTTGCAGCGCTTTATTTGATACGGCTTCCGGCTTTTGATACAAAATATTAATAGTGAAAGCTGTCACTTTAACAAGTACGAAAGTGACGCTCAAAAATTGTAGTAACATGAAATGCCTTCTCAATTTTTCAGATTTCTACGCGACTCTTTGGATGACAGCCTAGTCCGCCAAAGTGATACGACAACGGCAGTGGCAGCACTGGCCAACAACTACGTTGCTAGAGATCTTGTGTGGAAAACCATTCGACAGAATTGGAATCTTATAATGAAACGGTATAGACTCCATTTACATGTTATTCGCAGTACTCTAGAGTTTTGTTGTTAATTCACCTTTTATGCACAGGCATGGCAGTGACTCTGCCGTTGCAAATTTTCTGTATTGTTTGGACTGGATGAGTACACCAGAAGATCTGCAAGACATTAAGGAATTCTTCGAGCATCCTGGACGCAGCTTAGGCGCCGGGTTGCTGGCATATAAAGAAATTCAAGAAATCATTGGCTTGCACTGGAAATTTTTAAAATTGTATGGTAATGATATCACTAATTGGCTGGTTGCCCGTGGACTGTGATCTGTAAATAGAATGTTTTAGCTTTTACCGAAATTTATGCGCCAGAATGAATCTCTCGGTTTGTTGTTGTTAGTCGTGTCTTCTTTTGTGCTTCCTTTGAATGTATTCTAGAACTGTTCGTGCAGACCGCATTATGTGACTGATTTTCTACTGATAAAAGTACATTTATCGGATTTTATTGCTTTGTATCTTTTTATGTTGTCAGAATGTAAAAAAAGATGGGAAAGTGTTCAAGGACATGTGAAAAGATGTTACAATAAACCGTGCTGACTGACCAACTTCAGATTATGTTGCCGGCTAATACAGCCATGCATATGCTCCGAATGTACTTATACAACAGTTACTGTACGCATACATGTCTGAACGTTTTGTCGTACCTACTGCATGACGTTGTCGGGAGAGCTTTTCCGCTTTTCATCTGCCATCCGTATTTTTGATTTACAGAAGAGAAAAAATGAAAAAATCCTTGGGTTCGTTTTCAATAAAATCGGTGTGTTTTGGCCAGTGTTGCATCCTGAACTTGTAGTTCGTGTGACCAGTAACTGCACTGCTGCCAGTCAAGTACCATTAGGTGCAGATTATGACCTTTGCCCATGATCAAACAGCAGTGAGCAACTGGACCATGAATTAAGGCATCTCGTAGTCGTTAGCAGTAACCATCACTGTCCGTCATGGCATCCATGGGGTTGGTGAAGCGGTGCTGAAATGGCGCATATTGTGCTCATCTGTCTTAAGACATTCAGCATGCATACTCTGTGTGATCCAAAATAGTAATTGAATAAAAGACGCAATCCTGCACTCTTTAGAATGCAACAAAAATTTTACTGACAGGTTGATATTACTCATTTTACTGATGTTTCTCCACGAGAGAATTTTCAGAAGGCCGCTTATGGAACCGATAACTAACCGACTACCACCCAGCAATACACGAAAAGGACATCTTAGCATTGTATCGGCATGGGGGGGGGGGCCGATTATATGGGCGCAAATCTTGCAGATTTCGTAATTTGGATTTGCGGATACAGTGAGTACTTGCAATATCAATTAAGCAATCTTTTTCCAAAAATATCAAGATTTTGGCTCGAGCTGAGGCCCTCTTCTGGCTTTTTTTTCTTTGGCTCCCCCCATCAGACGGTTGAAACGCTTTGGAGAGCTAGGCATTCGATGTGACCTTTCCGCTTATGTTGTTGGATGCAGCTCTGCCGCTGTTGATGCCTGTCATGCGGCGTTCATACCTTGATGGTTTCAATCCCGGTAGACCTTCCATGTTAGCCAGTTTTCAACTTTCATGACAACTTTTTAAATACGTATATCTAGTATCTACTGAAAAGATGCTTACTTTCTAGATTTAGTTACGGAGAAGTTTGTCAGGGGCACCATCGATACACTTTAGGACATTCTACATTTATTCCGACATTATGTGCCCTTACAGTTACGTCCAAAACCAGAAAGGGCGCACATAATCACATTTATTTTACGCTAAGTTCGGCATACATCAGGGCGCCATCAGTAGCACTGACTTTAATTTTAAGCGTACTCATTTTTTAAAACGCCAGAAATTCGCTGCAGTTAGTAGCATACGATGATACGAGACTTATGCCTTTCCCAGTAGTCTTTTACAGTGATTCGGAAGAAATCACGCACACCGGGATTTAAATTTTCCGGTCCGATGCGTAACCTTTCGAGGACAAACAAATTTTACAAAGGTTAGATGGTGCAGACATTAACTCACGCTATTAAGGCGCGCCAAAAATTAGCTGACCGCGGCTAAACGATTATACAGCTAGTAGGCTGTAATGGCTGTTGTGGAAATTAAGTCCCCAGTTTTTTTCATCCCGTAACTGAACTAATGAATAACTTTGCTCACTTACTTGGTGTTATTTCTCCAGATCACTCGTTCCGGATCCATCAGCTTAGCACGTCATCAAAGGTACGCACCAATTGACATTAAAATAAAGAAATAATCCTAAGAATGTTACGTCAAAGCAGAAAAGCAAGCAAACACCTCAATTAGAAACAGGACGAGAGCCACGAAGCCAGATATCTACTTTATCGCCGTAAATCGCTTTGCATCTACTCAGCATTCGTTCCTGTTGAATTATATAAACACGCACAAACACTTCCAGTTGCGTTGAAAGAGATAAACGTCAAAAATCAAACTTTTGTACCATGAAAACCAAAATTACATGAAAAACAGATAAACGAGAAATCCTACAGTTCAAAGTGAATGCACACAAGATTAATAACAGAATATATTTCCAACCACCGCTGTCAACACAAAACGTGCAACTTTCTTCAACAATCTGTAATAAGTTGAAAGATTTATGTAGATAAAATAAACCGCCAAGTCGAACCAGAATGTCACTTGAAAGCAACGTAGAAGAGGAGCAAAGCTATGAATTCAATGACCGCAAGTACCGCACGCAGTCCTCACTTTTTCCTTTGTGAAGATGATCCTGACGCCGACGCTTCTCGTTTCTTGCTCCCGGAATTCTTCTCATTAACGTCTTTGTCCTTTTTCGCCTCCGGAACGTTCTTCTCAACCCACTTCTGCAGAGGATTCATTACTTGCGGTGGTGACTTTGGCTTTTCGACCCATTCAACTTTATTTTTCTTTGCTGATCCTTCAGCAGAGCCGTCATCATCGTCTTCCCATTTACTTTTCGCTGGCGCTTTAGCCGCTAACTTCATGGAAATCTTTTTCGGCTTCCCATCCTTTGATGTTTCTTCGAATGCCTATTCAAGTTGTACATAGGTAAATGTCATAACTTACAACATTAATAATTTTAAATTTTGAAGCTACGTATATACTGTAAAATTCCAAAATCTTTCGCTATGTTTCTGGTAAAATCCCGTAAGCAAATGTTAATCAATTTAAAGCAGGAACTGCAACTCTAAATTCATTTACCGGCATATCAGCAACTATCTCCCCGAGATCAATTTTGAACATATGACTGGGAGTTGGTTCCCAGTTCCGAAGAATCTCAGCAATCTCCGTACTAGACCTTCCATGGACACTTCGTTTTTCCAGTTCGTAGGGCTTTCCAAAAGGCAGTTCCCCAATGACCACTTCATAGCCATTGCGATCACCATATTTATACATACTCAAGAAATGCTCCACTTTTTCGTTACATGCGTCAATCACTACACAGGAGCAGTGCGGATCATCAACTTTCTTTTTAAACCCTTTTTCAAGCTCTCTGCGATATTTGTCTTCCATCTTGGCATCGTAGGCATAGTGGGGCGCCTAACAGGCAAATATCTGGATGAGTAGGTAGGTAACATTTTAACTGGACGACACGCAATAAATTTTACGCACTTAGAACGAGATCGTAATGAAAGTAAGGGCAAATATTTTGGTAAGGCCCCTTCAACAGCCAACGACCATAAGCAAAATGTTCGAAATTTTCAAAAAGACTTGCAAAAGTGATCAACCAGTTTTAACCTGTGTTTGTAATAATAGGTGCACAAAAACAACTGCTACAAGCAAGGCGGACACACCTAACGGAATCCTAAAATTTTTAGAGGATTGCTAACTTGCAGGAATAAACTAAATAAAAGTAGGCAAAACCTGGAACCATCACCGAAGCTCAAGTTGTCGTACTTCCGGATATGTATATATGTCTTTTCATCAAAATAATATGCAGCATGCAGGCTGGTGCAACATCACGAGTATGTATAACACACTGCATAATCATTAAATTTTAATAATAGGTGCACAAAAACAACTGCTACAAGCAAGGCTACTTCGTACTAGCAAAGAAATAAAAGTAAAACATCTGAATAATCCAGACAGGAAAGCACGATGATCAGGACTGGCGTCAAAAACAAAAATATCAAAATTACCCTAAGACTTGCCTTCAAAAAGGATACCCTAAGCAAATCAACAGTTTATGGCGGAAATACGCATCTGAGAGTTTATTGTTTAATAAGACTGCGAACAAGTGTTATGACTGAACATATCGCACAGAGAAATATCCTGCATTTAATTTATCCGACTTATGAGATACAGTAACTGCATGGCTCATGACACTTATCGAAGCAATGCTAAAAATAATATAGCGAAGTCTTATGCAGCACTGCGAAACTTCGTGTGGCACAACGCATTTCAAAAAGCAGATACTTGTATAATGAAGATAATTCAGTCTAGTATACTATACAAGTTCAATTAAATTATGTACATACCTTGTTGACGCCACTGTCATTATCTGCCTCAAAGTAGTCATCCATGGATAAGATCCGCGCTTCCGGTTCAATATCCTTTAGTCGTTTGGCTACCCAGCTCTTGCCCGATCCGGGCGGACCGCGGAGAATAATCGTCAGTTTCTTCATGCGACGACTACCCCGTGGTAAAAGGTCAGCTATTGGAACAATCTTAGAAATTGTTCCACGTCGATCAGCATGTGCACGCTCCCTAAACATATACCACGAACTGGATCACAAACGAACAGAAGGAGCAACAAAGAACATATAATTTCGCTTAACTACTTTATATTACATTCTCTGCATCAATATGTTAGAAAAAAATTACGGTTAATCTTGAAAAGACAAATGCCAGCTGCAATTACATTGCACTACCACAGAAATTACGGCTTAGAAAAATCAGTTACAGTACTTGCACATATGTTATTGCAACGCTGCCGTACATTGGCAAACTTACCTATCTGAATCGAAGCGTGATACCGGCTCAGGACTACAGCGATTTCTTCGCTCTTCACTGACTTCCCCACGATAATAACGTTCTCGGCTTGGACTTCGCTCTCTTCTGTAGTATCTATCCCTACTTGTTGACCGTTCTCTCCTATACACATCCCTCTCCTCATTGTATCTGCGATAACGTTCTCCTTCATCTTTTCTTTCGTCATGCTCCATCCGTGATTCTGAGTGCACCAACTGAATCGGGGGTTGTGGATAAATTGCCGGCACTCCATACTCTCTCGGTCCAATCTGTTGTTCGCGTTGCTGAAGAACTTTGGCGAAGAATCCACTCAAAGCTCGACCAGAAGGTCCTACAGGAGAGGCAAAATTCCGCTCCTGATCGACGGGAGAATGGAAGAGATTTGCTGGTGAATACACTCGACTGTCGTGCATGCTTCCACCATGATCCATGGGCCTATCTAACCGATTTCCTGGAATTGTGACCGTAAGGTCATCATGACGAGAACTAATTTCGCGACGGCGTATCGAATCATCGGGAACATGAAGGAAGGTTGGTGGGACAGACAGTTGCGATTCCATGCGCGTATCCCGCATTTCCGGTGGCCTACCTGGATTTCTTTCCTTATTATCGGCAATCCGTGCGTCATAATCAGGTACGGAGACTGGTTTCGCCTCACCACTGGGTAGTGGCTTATTTTGGGCTGTCAAAAGGAGATACTAAATATTTTTCAAAAAACAGACGTCATATCAGAGAAGGAAGGGAATGCACTTTGCAATAAATTGTCATGTTCTCAAGAACCTTTTCTCGATCACGGTCAACATTCGTTTTACAAATTAGTGTGCAAGGGGAAGGAAGCATCACTTTAAGCTGACAATGAGTTTAGGCGCAAACGGTATCCAACCAGTTTACATTAAGTCAGCATTAAATTTTCATTAACTTCAGCAGCTGCTCTACTATAACACTACTCATAGTAGCATGTACAGTACGACAGTACGAATATAAGTTTCCTCTAAACGAATTCGTTTCAGACAGTCAAATATTAATCAACAAGCCAAGTAACTACCTATGTCTTTCGACCAGCTCAAGTACGTAAAACGTATTCAGATTCAGATGCAAATTTTTCGCAAAAACATTTCGCATTCGGGTGACGTGACTGACTTCTACATGCTGGTTCAACAATTCACCAGAAATCTGTAGCCACCCCGAGTTATGTGAAAAACTAGATATGGTAAATTACGGAAACAAGTGCAATTCACACCACAAAAATTCAGATTCTGTCAGCTGTATTTTGAATCGCTATTAATATATTGATTATGTACTATTGATTATGTATACATCCATGGTGCCTTCGCCGCTGATTTTAACGGGGAAAGTATGGCGCAGCATAGCGGCATAGTATTCGGTCAATGCTGAATACTGTGAAATATCGGTTCGATGCAACGAAATACTATCTACCTTGCCCACAACAACTTTTGCACTTTCAATCGTTCGATCATTCACGTTGGCCGCAACAGCAGACATAATGACCAATTCAATTGCCCCTCACCTAAGCAACGTCTGGTCATAACACACATACCTGTAAAAATAATGGACTGCAGCAGCGAAACCAGCTTGTCAGACTGATCCGTTGGCATTTGACTGCCAAACAACTGTTTGGCTCGTTCCACCGCGTCCAATATCTGTCGTTCGCTCATTCCTAGTTCATGCGCGACCTCGGGATTGACATTCGGCGCAGTAGCGTCCGGCTGACTGACGGCAGCCGGACCGCTCTGTTGTCGCGAGGTACCTTCCTCTGATACGTTGGTCCAAGCACCTTCCACGAATTTTGGACCCAACTGTGACTGCTGAGGACGCCGCGCAACCACCGGCTCCTGAGTTTTTCCGGTTGGCAGAACAACCGGTGGCTTCAACGGACCCTCAGGTGCCGAACTCTTGGGAGGTTTTTCTGATGATGATGTTTTCGATAACTTTGATCGAGGTTCAGTCGAAGGAGCTGGTTTCCGTGCTTTATCGACCGAAGTTTGCGCTTTTAGTGGTGGCCCCTTTTGAGGTGGCTTTGGTGTAGGTATGACGTTCAACCTTTCTTCCATAGACTGCAGACGTCGGATTTCAGTGAACGACGGTAAATCCGTAGAAGATTTTACTACCGATGAAATTCGCTTTCCAAAAACCGGTTCAACTGATTTAGCCGGTTCCAGTGGTTTGGGCGCTGACCTTCCCGTTGTGGTAATTTTCTGTCCGGCAATACTCTTGATTGGCTGCGCTGGAGAAGGTTCGGGATCGCCAGATCGAGGTGCAACCGGGTCTGTATGTTTAGCTTGGCTCAGAACAGCTTCCGTTTTCACAGAGCTAACAATATTAAGGATTTCATTCACTGTTATGGGTCGATTTTGACTCAATGCTTCCATCAAATTTCTGGCACATCCCACTTTTTGTGCGACTTCGGCGGAAAGTCTGGATTCCGGAATCGCTGGTGCCATAGACTGAAAAAACAATGTTTTATAATGCTTAATAATACGCGCAATTTCAATAAGAGGACAGTCGAAACAAGCAGGTGCAGAGGTTACAGAGTTGCTTAACTAACCTGAACCAGTAGTGACAAGCCATACCGATCCACAAACGGGTTTACATAGGGAGCGCCCACTGGTCTCTCATAATACGGCTCTGCCGATGGTTTAATGAACGACAGCGGTTCAGGCGACAAGGAAGGTCTATACGGTGCCGGCGGTGAAAGCCTATCGCGATGCGGAGACCGCGAACGAGCACGCGACCGCCCATAATCTGGAGATGGGGACCGTCGAGAAAAATCGGATTTTCTGGAGGCCGATGGGAACTGCCGGGATCCATATTCGTCCGTCGGCGAATCCCAATTCCGTAAACGATAATCGTCGCGGTTTGGTGACCGTCGGTTGTCTTCACGTTTGGGTGATCTCCGGTCATGTCTGCGTTCATCGGACTTTGCAGTGCGTTTCGTTGCCGATCCTCGGTTGCGTCCAGGAAAACCTGGCTTGCGAGTATCACGAGCATTTTTAATATGGTCGGGAAGAAAGTCTCGGATTTTTCGAAGTTCCGATAATAAGCGCTCTTCCTGCACTTTAGCGTACTCGGCATCAGCAACTGGATCGACATGCGGTTCGGTGGAGTACTGCAATGTATGAAAGCATGATCACGTCTTTGCACCGCGGTTGCATGTCAAAACAAGACGTTCAGTAAAGAGTTCTGACAGTGCAGTAACAATGCAGGCATGCAAAAAAACGGATACCATTTGTTTCCTGCTAATACGCACTATCTGCTTTTTACCGCACAATAAGTACCACCGAAAGTAGTACACTAGGAACATTTTTGAAAAATCAGCAAATGCACATTTTCTAGCATAACATTTATCCGCAAATGACTAATCGGGAGTTACGGGTGTATGTAACTCACAAGTCACAACTAAACAGCAAGGCATTCTAAGCAAAAACGCGGCATCCAGCATTTAATAGTCCACAATACTCACCAAGCGAATCCTTCGTCCCAGCCAGCCGATACCGGGGTCATTGTAATATGGCCTTCCAAATTCCGAGTCTTCTTCATAAGGATCTTGCGGCTCTTCAAAAATCTCCGCCTCTTCCGACACTTCAACACAATCCGCTTCTAACGGCACGGGGTCTTTGTTATTCGGGGACAAGCATTTGTCACGGCGCTCTAAATTCGCTATTCCAGCGTCAACGCTCTGAACCGCTGTGACCTTGAGCTCATCATTCGTCGGCTTGGCTGCACCACTGTGCCGTGGAATTTCCTCCACCTCCCATCCATTATTACCATAATCATCCGCGGCGTAATCTTCAAGGCCAACGTTTGGTTTGATGCTTTTAGATTGCATATTGTTGTTCGGAACCGATTTCTGTTCCGGAAGGTGGCTTCGAGCCGGATTCGGAATATCCCGTGGTGGAACACCTCCATGCGCTGATGGAGCTGGGAATCGCGATTTAACTGGCGAAACGGAATTCGCGCTCTGCGCTGGTGGCACGGGAACGCGGATCGAAGAAGCCATGTTCACGGCTGGCAGCGGCGCAGACACATTCGGAAGACCCTTGGAAAATTCCCCCAGTGAAGCCACCGACCCCCCTTGACGAAGCCTTGTCGAAATCGGTTGGCCTAAAGATGACTCCGATCCGGCGTCGGTAAATGATGCTGTTCTTACTGGAATACCGAAGGTGCTGGCATGTGGCTTTTCAACCGTGTTGACAAATGTTGGTAGCAAATCGTTGTCTTCCAGGGGCGTGTTTTGTTTAACTGGCCGGACCCCTCCAAAGTTCCCCAACATTCTAGGCGTGCTAGCATGAGTAACGTTTCCTGGTAACTTCAGGGGGACCGAGGAAGCAGCTGGCCGTATACTTGGAACAGCATTCGGAAGTGTCTTCTGATATACATTCCGGTCGTTCACGGCTGACTCCACGGCTGACATTCCCTATACAGAATTATTATCCGTCAGAATATTCGATTATCAACATTTACGAAAGTATCTCAAATTAACACTAATAGCGCTCAACACAGCTAGGATGCCACAACATAACGAAAAACGACAATCTTCAAAATAAAGTAAGTATTACCGGCATTCCCGATGAGACTGTAGAAGCAGCAGGTTTGGAGTTCGGCTGATAAGTCAATGTTTTTGCTTCGGGGTTAACAATAATCCGTGGCCCAGCAGAATTCTGAGGATGCGATGATTTGGAGATCGGCAGAGTGTTCTGCGGGGGCGGAGGTGGCGGAGGAGGAGGAACGGACGGTTCGGGAACCGCCGATTGTGCTGCCGCCAGTCGCAATGACCTCCGTTGTGCCAGCGCTTTCCGGTAGAAACTCAAATATTCAAAATATGACTGAAATTGTGCCGTGTACTGCATGAACGTTGAGGCATCACACGCGGTCTGACAGTACTGTTGATAATTGGTATAGTACTGCTGCCAGCGATTTAGATAATCTTCAAACTGCTGCTCGTGTTCGGGTGTGGTGATAGCGGCAAACAGTTGCTGTAGATTGGGACTCTGGCCGGACGTTTCGGTGGATGACTGCTCCGTCGATGCAAACATACCGCCAGGTACGGCGGGAACCGTGGGAGCGGCAGTTAATATCTGGGAGGCGGAATGGATAGGCATAGCTGGATCCTGTGTAGGGACCGGAGGTGGGGGAGGGTTCCGCGGTGGAGGGGGCGGAGGAGGAGGAGGCGGTGGTGGGGGGAGTTCAATGGTCGCGGCCACAGCAGCTGTTGTAGAATTCTAAGCAATTCCATACATCACAATATTATACAATTAAAATCAATCAAAGTAATAAAAAAGGTATCAATTTAATACGAAAAAGTTAACACGCAAAAACTGTTATCAACAGTTATTGCAACGAAGCGACCAAAACTGAAATTTATCTGCAAAGGTGACATGGTCGAACCTGAGTTCCTGTCGATGCCACCTGATGGCCTCGAAGGGCCGGATCCACTGTTTTGGGAAACACACCAATATTTGGTTCGTTTCCGTCATATCCAGCACGGGGCACATTTTCAAGCTGTGCGTATCCTAAATCAGTAATCCAAAAAAGTATACAAAATCAGAATGTATATTAATCTTGAAATTTAGCATAAATATGGCTACACCATAAAGAACCGATTCAATCACTCCTAAGGCAATTAATTTGGAAATTATTAAACAAGTTAAGCAATAAACAACTTAAGCTGGTGGTAACGAGTGTAATTCGCAACATCTGTTGGATAAAATCATAAATATGTTTTTAAAATACCTATGTGGTCACTGGCAACAGCTCAAGGCCATCAAATCCTACAAACACTAGTAAATGTAAGTAACCAAAAGAAAAGGAAAAAAATAATTTAACCAATCATCTGGACACGTCGCTTAGTTAGTAATCGACAAACTATCCATTACGCTTATGGCCAGAAAAGGAAAACCAAAGAACCTCTTCGATATTCTGTGCAAGTCGTAGATAAGCTGCACCTGGATAAGCTGCTGGACCGAGTAAACAATAACGCAGAAAAATTATACGAAGTACAGACATATCACAATTCGTGTGAAACGGGAGCAGAATTGGAAGAAGATCACGTTAAACCAGCTCAAGCTCAAAGAAGGGAAAGAAAAGATGCAATAAGTAAGCATCGATTACCTGCACCGGGCGCTGCAATGCCAGGCTGGAATCCGAAAGCAGAATTGAATCGAGCCAAACTGGCAGCTGAAATTCCCAGTCCCTGCAATCCCTGATAGAATGCAGGGGGTCCTCTTGCTCCGCCAGGCCACGGCGGAGCGTAACCGGATCCCATCGCCAACTGTGCAGCCTGCAGATCGTATAGCGGAGGACGGAACCTTCCGAAGCCAGGATTATGCATGGCTGGGGGAAACGAAGGTCTCATTCTTTCTTATCTTTCAGGCACCACAATCTCAACACATAAAGGACAAGTCAGAAAATCCTCCAGAACAGGCGAAGGGAACGAGGTGCAATGCAGCAGCACTCGGAGGCTGCAGCAATTCACTCATCGGGCTAACAATTTGACGATTTTCGACAGTCTGCTCTTTTCCACAGAAATCGCGAGTACATTAGGAACAGTTCGCTAACCATTTTATTTGGCTCTCACTATCATGCAAACAGTCTAAAAAAGTTTTAATTTTACCTTTAGACATTCAAAAACAAAACATCTTAGTCATAATAATTGTGAGATTACAGATTACTTACTACTTCGATTCCATACTGTACTTCTGTATATTTGTGCCTGATTTTGTGTCGAAAAAAGCCACAGCACTACGTTGCAATGATTTCTGTACTTTTGTCAACCACCCCTATGGGTAGGTTGAGGTTTTTACTTTTTGAGCATATTGCATACGTATTAAAGTACGAAGTGCTGTACATAGGCCCTACACACACTTCCGACTTCCTAGTCACTGACTCACTAGTCTCGGAGAAGCGTCTACGCTGTACAGAGAAATGACAACGGAAACAACATCTCCTCGAAATAATCGCTTTTATTTCAATGAAATAAATGCTAATCAGCATCAAAACAAATCTCTAAAGGTGAGAAAAAGGGCATGAAACCAAGGAAAGCTAGGAAACGATGTTAACGGTTCCGATGCTGGCATCCGAATGGCAAACACGTTCCGTCGTGTTTGAGAAAGCTGGCATATGGCGAGCCGATCCAATGATGGTGAGGCATATGTGCCACTACCCTGTGCTATATGCACGGCACTCTGACATGCCACGGGACGGGATGCCGAAGCCCCTTGAGGCTCAAAACAGGAATGAGAAATGAAAAAACGCATCTTATATGCAACATAATGAGAAATTCTTATATAAAAAAAAAATGTGCCAATTATTTCATCACAGTTAGTGAGAACAAGACGCGGCAAATGCGGCGTAAATTTAATCAAAACGAGTTTATACTCGTAACAGAATCCGTTAAATTCCCATTCCGGTTATTTCCAAAATCGCACACGTTAATCCGTGTTAGTTTTGCAGGTTCCATTCCGGAGTTTTCCTCCAATTATACGCTTTGTAGCGTCGATCCACGACATATGTGCAACATAGTGCATCTACGGCGATTTGATTTATCCGTTTTCCTGCAATTAATGCACTACGGCAGTTCTTTAACCAAGTATTATGCACTGATTTGTGCATCTACGGCGATTCATTTTGTAAGGATTGAAATGAATTCAATCTGGTGCACTCGTTGGGCGTTACGGCCTTTTCGTTTTGTACTCGTTGTACTGTACGGCGATTTAACAATGTTAATTTTGCGACTCATTGTGCACTACGGCGATTAACATGAAGTTGTGTACTCATAGTACAATACGGCGATTTCAATTCCGGTATACACACAGTGTACTACGGCGATTTAATTTTTAGCATTTAATGCTTTTACGGCGTTTCCATCTGCGGTTCGGCATTTAGTACGTTAAGAGCGTTGCTCAATACGGCAGACGTAGTCTTAATGTCGGCACTATCATCCAACATATCCGCTCCTCCATTTCCTCCTGGATAATACAACGGGTCGGTATCGTTATCCGGTATGTGTACCGCGAAAATCAAGTGGTCCACATCGGTAAAGGTCGAACCCTGGCCCATTGCTTCCAGTTCGTACTGCCTGTCCCGCAGGGCTTGGCGGGATGGATAGAGAAAATTGTTCTCTATAGACGGCTTCTCATCCGTCTCCATTACTGCTTCTTCCAGGAGTTTCTGCGCGCTTCCTGAAATCGTCAGTGATTCCACCGACGCCACGACATCCGTTCGCGGAATTTCGCTAGGTGGCGCAGTGATCACTGCAGATTCGGTATTCACAGTCGGCGGTACGGTTGCAGTGTTCTCTGCAATTACTGGTGCAGCATTAGCTGTCTCCGGCGTTTCGTCAGTTTCTTCAGTGTCCATTGACACTACGGTTTTCTTCGGTTCAGGTTGGACTGTCTTGCTGGTCGTTGGAGTGTCGGGAGAATTTGGGGCGACTTTGCGCTTCCCCTGACTTTGACGGTCAGCAAATCGCTTAATGAGATCATAGATCCCGTCATAGTATCCATTATGGATTGATTCGGTCTTCAGTCCGTCGACTTGCATCACACCCAGAATGTCATTTAAGACTTTCGCTTGTTGTTCCTCATTTAGAGGCTCGCCCAAGCGATTAACGTAGCTTTTTAATCGACGATTCTGTTCCTCCTGCCGGTATGTGCGGGCCCAGTGGTGAGCGTGGCAATTGCCCATTAGCGCGGAGAGGATGACCAGAATATACTTCTTAAGTCCCCATCCGATATTAATCGTATCCCATGTAATTTTCATGGGGGCAACTTTTCGCTGTATTGCACACGCGGCACGGCAGAAAAACCAGAACTTTGCTGGATCCGTGTCCGGTAGGATGAACTGCAGGAGAAATTCCTCCGGTTGTTCGGTGTATAAGATTTTAAACTGGGAAATTAATTCCCAATCTACTACGGTAATTTCGATAAGTTTCTCCTTCAGCTGGGAAATATCCAGCGCGCTACGCAGTCCATGACGGCGTGGCGTTTCGTATCGCCTAATCTCCATCTGACGGAACAGATCAATCTTATACATATTGATCGAGTTCTTAATACGGAGATCATATCCGATAGTATGGAGTAAATCCAAAGTGTCAATAATGGCTTTGCCAATTTCGGCTCTTTGGTCGGTATTAACTGTGCCAATTACTGACACAACACGATCCACATATAACTCCAAATCACGACGAATAACGTCGATATCGCGGCGGATGTATTGTGGATGTGTTTGCCTTTCAGGCATCACCAACACAGATGCATCCGGTTTATACGGTGTTGATTTATCGCGCGTTGCGCGGATGTTCCAATTTGCTGCCTTCTTCCTCTGAAATTTAACAGCTGCATTCAGCTTACCGGGCATAATATCGCCTTCTTCAAAAGAATTATCTGGGGTTTTCCCCACATTCGGTAAATTGTAAGTAATTTTATGGCGAGTTTTGCCACTAGCATTGCTAGTGTTGCTAGAATGACTAGCACCTGAGTTCGGCTCGGAATCGAAAACTGGTTCACTTACAGGTACAGGCTGCACTCGCAGCAATTGTAAAGGCGGTTGTTGATTCACTGGCGGTTTCCTGGTCAGCGGCGGAAGATTCGCTAACAGCGGATTAGTTTGCCGCTGTGGGGGTTCTTTCGGTGCTGTCCCGGCTGGCCATGGACACGGAGTTATCGTTTTCGTCTCTGGATCATACTGGTAGCTTCCACTAGGAAGACTCTGTTGCAGGTGAGCAATATGCTCTGGAGGCAATGCGCCCGGTGGTACTTGCAGCGCCATATTCGTATAACGAATAGGTGTTTGTGTTTGCTGCATTTGTGGCTGATATCCCGGCAGACTTTGCTGCTGATGTTGCGGTGAAAACATAACCGACGGCTGCCATTGGCCGTATGCTGGCTGTTGAGACGGCATTTGCTGTCCACCGACACTCGTCGGATAATTCTGTAAATTATGAGAATTATCTCTATTCGATGAATATTGAATACCCGTATTGACCGGGAATATCTCAAAATTCCCACAGGTACTGTTCACTGGAATAGTTACCTGATTCGATGGTGCAGCGATGCATTGCATCAGATTAGCGGTATTCCGTCCGAAGTTCTCCGGGTGTGTCGCACACGACCATTCATCAGCTTGATCGCCAATAAACCTAACGGCACTCTTGTAGATGCCATTATAGTAATATGGCGTGGCACAGACTACCGTCCAATACTCCGGCAGCGTTATGGTGCGATACGCATCCAGGCTGCGCATGAGTACTTCGTCAAACAATCGGGAGACAACGACTTGCGGATTATCCGATCGGTAGTTGGGTCCCAGCGTGCATTCCACGCATTTACGGTTATTCGTATTATTTAAACAGCGATTGCAGGAGCGCATTGGCGCATAGGCGTACGGTAATTCCTCCATCTCTGCAAATAATTTAAAATAATTAAATTATGCAGTAATTAAGGCGTTTTAATATTATTGCGTAGTATACGCATCTAACCACCTCGGAGATACTGTAAAATTGGATTAATTCTCTTCTTCGCTAACGTGGTCTAACACCACGGATAAAACCATCCCGCGATGCGGGTCATTCAACCCGATAATTCTCGGGTCGCTAATTAAGCGGCTTATCGCTAGAGTTACAGCATCGTCCACTTGGTCAGCTATTGCTGGACATACAGTGGTAATATACTGTATGATTTCGTCAGGCGACGATCCCGAAGGGTCGGCAATTTCTGCAATCGTTTTTATAACGATTTCATCCCACTGGGGGACTTTCTCGAATTGCACTCGCTGCAGAAAGGACAGTCCTTTACGACCAAAATAATAGGACGGCGAAGTTTCGCCATTATAACGACGGGTTATTTGTGAAGCTTCGTACATCGCACGAATCATAGACTGCACAGCGTACGGTTGATAAGTGCCGAAATACTCGCTTATCCGCTGTGCTGTGGGATTTTCCCCTCTCTGCTCAATTTTATATATGGCTATTGCCAAATCATTACGCGATGGTTGTGCCAACAAAGTTTTTTGTTCATCTAGGGCTATAGGCCTTCGCCCGAATGGAACGCGCTTCGCGGGTGAATATGGTACTTCCTCTACGTGTTGGCCGGTTAATTCGGCTATCCTTTTACGATTAGTTTCCACTAGCGCATAGCGCCCACTATTCCCTTCTAATGCTGCGTCTACGATTATTCCTGTGGCGATTGCCTCATTAACAGCGGTAGTGACATCTGAATAGCGCTGTTCGGGATTAACCGAGTCTAACGGCATAGTTAGGTACATATACCTAACAATTTCATCGATGGTTGATCCACGAACATTGTGGATGTCCCTAATGGCTATTGCCACTGCTTCTACCATTTCCTGCATGTTATTAACTCGCATGTCGACATATCGACTTTTACGGCTTGCGGTTATCGCATACTTCATTGTTGGTGACCAATTCTCGTAAACTTCCACCAACGTACCACGCTCTGAGGCTACCTTCACGGCAGATGCGTATTCCTCGGCGTCAATTTGTCGAGGGGCCATAATCTGCCTGTATCTCTGTAGCAAATGGACCGGTGCTGCCATCTTATCCTTCTTCCGGACATTATTTATAATGTCCAATGTCAACGTTGTAATATGTGCTATCTGTTCACTGGTCACCGGTTTCGGCGGTTGTGATCGCCCAGTCTTTGCTGGTGATGGTAAACTGACATTCGGTAAGGGTTCCGGAATTTCCGGCGAGTTATTCCGACCATTTGACTCGCTAGAGAACTTAATCAAGTCCTCTTCACTACCTTTCTGTGCCTGATCGCTGCGGGTCTCGTCGATCACGAGACGGGAATGTTCTTCGTCTTCTGATGACGACGGCTGATGTCTCAGCCGCTCCCTTACTTGCACGACTTTTCGTGTGATTTCCTCTTTTTCCTCCACTAATTTCCGCTTCTTTTCTTCCTCACCTGGTGAGGTTGTGCTTTGCACTCGATGCGGATGTGTCCTGTAGGATACTGTGCTAGTAGCTGGCGACGGAGTACGCGTTCCCGATAATTTCGGGATTATATAACTCTGTTCCTCCTTAATTCTGACCGGGTTCGTACCCCTTTTTAAGGTCCCAGCCGGTTGTTGGTGTTCGACCGGCGCTTGGACAACTCCCATAGGAGTAGGAAATCTGATTACGGCTGGCTTTAAACCAGTCTCTTTCCAGAACGCCGGGGGCGGTTGCACTTGCAACTGTGGCCTTATCTGCGTTAAGACTTGTGGTGTATTATACACGTGCTGCGGTATCGTAACTACTCGAAGTTCTTTCCCATTAGGGGCGTCTGTTTTCGTCGGGGCGAACGGACCTTCCATTATGAAGGACTGTCCCCAACGCTGCCTATCTCTGGCCTCTTGTTGCTCGTGGTCAGCGATTAGCTTTGCTAATCGCTCGTCGGCATCTGCCGGTGGTTTCGGTGATCTGCTTCGCTTAGGGTTTGCCTTCAACGCCGTTTCTACTCCTGCCTTTGCAGGCGATTTAATAGGTTTCTTTACAATTGATTCGTACGGCACTTCTTCAATTTCTTTTGAAGCTTCCGCCGCATCACTCTGTGCCTTTGCACGCGCTATCATGGCCTTTGCCACTCTTTCTGCTGGCGGAGTAATATGCAGTTGATCAACTGCAGCTATTTCCTCTGGTTGGGCAGCAGTCGCTGCCAATGAGTGTCTGTATGATGCCAAGTCGCGTTCCCGATTACTACGCAACAATAGCTCGTATTCGGCATACGATGCCACTATTACTGGATCAGTTTGCGTGCTACGTGACATAGTCACTGGAATCACTTCTGGTGCCACATTGGGCAAATTACCGGCGCTTTGAGCGTTCTGGACACTCGGGGCAGCGAATCGCTGTATCGGGCGGTATGCTTGATTTCCCGCTACGGGTGGGGCGAAGAATCGAGGATTACCTCTGCCAACCGGTCGGTTCGGTCGCTGATCGCGGTCCATTGCGGAAATATCTGCAATGGAAAATTACACAATTTAATTGTGAAGTTTTTAATACGGTATTACGGTATTAAAATAACGCTCGTTATTTTTATTTAAACAGTTATTACTGTCAGAGTGCCGTGCATATAGCACAGGGTAGTGGCACATATGCCTCACCATCATTGGATCGGCTCGCCATATGCCAGCTTTCTCAAACACGACGGAACGTGTTTGCCATTCGGATGCCAGCATCGGAACCGTTAACATCGTTTCCTAGCTTTCCTTGGTTTCATGCCCTTTTTCTCACCTTTAGAGATTTGTTTTGATGCTGATTAGCATTTATTTCATTGAAATAAAAGCGATTATTTCGAGGAGATGTTGTTTCCGTTGTCATTTCTCTGTACAGCGTAGACGCTTCTCCGAGATGGTGGAGATGCCTTAAGATCCTCGTCATTCCCTCTAGTTTGCACTCAACAGCGTTCACTCACAAACGCTGTAACACGGAAGTTTCCTCTTCTTCAGTGGAGACCCCGGGTCACCAGCGATAGCCCACAACAACCAGCAGCAGAAGAACCCGTACAGAAGCAAGGAGCGTCGCTGGTTCGGAAGGCACGCGGCCGCCAGCACGGAGAAGAACCGCGGATTGCGTACAAACAGTGGTAGGCAATAAACCAGTGGTTGTTGCGCATACTCTACGGGATTAATTCCTAGCAGATAATACCGAAGTGGGATTATTTCCCTGACTTATTTTAATTTTCCTTTTACGGGTTTAAGGAAGATATCGAGACGATTGCCTCTAACATATTAGAGTTGTCGGAGGAGGAAGTTGTTTGTGATCTGGTACTGAAATGAAGAACGTTTTGGTTATTGTGGTCGACGGTAAAACCGTCAAAATAATCGTGACAGAAATTCAAACCGTCTATCTAGACGATATTCTTTTGTAGTGGAACGATTGTTCCGAATTGATAAGTTATTAATTTGAAGAAATGCAGACGACATTTAACAGGACGATCGTTCTGGCAAGAGTTTCCTTGTGGTGCTAGTGCTGACGAACTAGCTGATTTTATCAGTGGCAGCAAATCGCAAAGCGAAACAATAGGAGATAGCCGAGCAGGCTATTTATAGCCGCCCAGGCCAAGACTAGTTACAGACTGCAAAGCAGCGATACATTGAAACGCATTGACCTACAATGCAGTGCATAGTGTATACAGTGAAAAGACCTATTTCGAAATAAGTCTAGAATTTAATTCTGAATTCTATCGCTTAGTTTTTGACGGCATAATGCCTGTAAATCGTTCACCGCCAAGAAAACAACCAGCTATCGATAGACTGAAGCAGGGCGTCGAAGACGTCCTAAAATCAGCCAGTAAGGCATTGAAAGGAATAACCGATGATCCAGCAAAGGCTGGCACGAGTGACGCTACACAACAAGACAAAGTCACCCGTAGTAAAACGAATCAGTTGAAAGGGACAGGCGTGGAAGTTACCCACAAAGTCCTCGAAGATAAACCTCGTAAACCGAGGAAAGCAACCGTAATGGATCAGGGAGATAATCTCCTTGATACACCATTAATGCAGCCACCGGAACAGTTGTTTTTCCGGCCGCTAACTCCCGAGAAAAGCCGACAGGTTAATCCCGATAATCGGGAAGAAGTACAGGCACCTGTGCCAGAGCGATCCGATAGCACTACCGAATCAACGGCCACAACAGGGTCGTTTTCTCAAGTGAGCGAAAGCGAGCTGAATAAATCCGCAACGACGGAAGAAGAAGAAGAACCTGTGACAGTGATACCGACCACCTTGCGTAAAACGCAATCATATACAGCAAATCTGAATGAATTATTGAATTCAGCGGCAAAGCCGGCAACAGGTTCCAGTATCGTGGAATTAAAACAGGCAACCGAAACTATTTCGGCAAATCAGGTATTGATTAAAGATCTGCAGAGGAAATTGGAAGTAGCTGAGGACGAAGTCCAACATCATAAGAACCAGTACCAACATGCACACAGTTCTTTTAAAAATATGGAAAAAATCGTATTGGGTCTGCGGGCCTTAATAGGCGAAAAGGATGCGGCAATGGCCGAACTAAGAGGAAAAGTAGATGAAGCACGCGCTAAGAATTCCGATTTAAATCAGCAAATCGCTGAGAAGGACACCATGCTTGATCAAGTGTGGCAAGAAAATCAACGATTAAAGACTAACAACTTTAATCATATTACCGATCTGAAAAACGTGCAGTCTATGCTGCACGAGAGCCAAATGGAACATAAATCCCTAATTGGGAAATTTAACTCTTTAGCTAAAGATTACCGAACGTTATATGATCGGCAGATGAATCCGGAAGCCGTAGAATACGGCGAGCGACCGCTCAGTAGGGCATATGCCGCAAATACTGAAGAGTCGCAGGTGTCTCGGGCACAGCATACACCCTCGGCAATGAACGAGAGTGGTTCCCGGGAAATGCCGAGTGCAGACAAACAGCAGTTTATCCGCAGTATTTTGCGGGAAGAAATCCAGCGAGCAGGCATCGGACAAAGCAGGACAGTAAGCCCTGTAAGGAAATCAGATTTGGCTGAAGTGATGCGACAGCCTGTACCACGTCCTAACTACAATGGTAGTAAAGAGGACATCGACAGTTTTATCATAAAATTCGAACATGCGGCAATCGCAAACCGTTGGGTAACCGACGAGAGGAAGATTACCGAACTGGCGTATTGCCTTAAAGATGATGCCATTATTTGGTATAATGGACTAATAACGTCGACGACGCCGCCGACAACTTATAAAGAGTGGAAAAAACAATTAATCGCCCGTTTTGGCGATTCGAAAAGAGCAGTAAATGCACTTGCAGAACTGGCGAATCGCATGTATAAGCCGGGACAAGAAACTTTGGAAACTTATTATCAGTCGATGATGACATTGCGCGATCGCGCAGGATTTAACGGATCACCGGAGCAAGTTGTGAACTTCCTCGTAAAAGGGTTAAAATCCCATGAGAAATTACATGATAAAATAGAAATCATGAGGCCAGTAACTCCGGAACAATTTCTGGAGATTATCCGTTATCTATCGTCGAATAATCCAGAGAAATACGTGATTCCTATCGGCAATACCCGACGTAAGCAGGATCGCGATAGCGAAGTGGTGACTGTACGAACTGTACAAGTACAACCGAAGACTTATGCGGCGGCGGCGGCCAGCCCGCCGCGGCCAATCAGCAAGCCAAACAGTGGGAAACCGAATTACGGTAATCGTAATAATAATAATAATATCCGCAGTAATATCAGCAAAGCTGAAAGTAGTGATATCCGAAATATTGGAGAGGATAACCGCGCACCGTCTCGTAAAGAGCAGTGGGCGAATAATATTAGTAGAATTCAGGAAGCGACCGATCGGTCACCGGCCTTGCAGAAAACTCTGCGTGGCAACCGAGTAGTGAAGTACTGCCAGCACTGTGATTTGTGCGGACATTATTTCCGAGATTGTCAGTTTCGCGATAAACCGCGAAGTGAAAACCCGACATACCTAGCCTACCATGATCCAGAAACTGGAAATCGGCGATATGCCGCTGATTTCTACCAGCGCCGTAGTGGTAGTCAGTCAGGAAGCGAACCTAATTCGCCGGTGAGGCAGAGAAGTAATTCCCGGCAAAGTACCGGCTCAGTAGAGGAGCGGATACGTCCGACGTCAGGATCACCGCTACCGGATAATAATCCGTTTTCTGGTTTGGCGGATCAGGAAAACGAGGAAGGGCGGTAAATTCCGGCTTTACCGACCCGATTCCGCCCAAACCGCCGGACAAAATCGAAATAATTACAATCAACGGATTGCGAATAGTCGAACCTGATGAATCATCGGATAGTAGCAATGCTACTATTAACTTCTGTACGGCCGTCATAAGTCACACTGAACCTAAACGCGCACACCCGCTAATGCTAAATGCATTTATAAATGGGCGCGAAGCGCCGATAATGATTGATACTGGAGCTGAAACATCTCTGATTTCTAACGAATTTGCTAGTGAAATTAGCGCAGCTAAAGTACCGTTAATTAAAGCCTTGCATATCCGCGGAATCGGCGGAGTGCGTGGGTTTTTAGTTACTCACTATTGCCGTATTATTGTTAAAATTCGAGATTTCGAAGTAGTACACTCAGTGTACATTAAACCTACAACCGACGATATCAAGGTTTTATTGGGGCAGGATTTCCTGCAAGAAACCTTTTACGCAGTTCGAAATAATAAACTGCGTTACTTGGAATATCAGCCGAGTAATAAACATGGAACTGTTATAATTAACAGACCAACGTCACCTGTAATTCAGGCAACGAAAACCATAGAAGTAATTGATCTCACAGGATCCGCAAAAGCGGATACGTCAGAGAGCGAAAATACCGTAGAAACTTTACTGTTTAATGGTGATGTTTCCAAACCGGAAGATAGTGTAATCTTCCCGATACCCGTGGCAACAGAAGGGATTGATGATACTGTAGAAAAGTTACAGTCAGAGGAAGTTACCGCATCGAATGGGAGCAAAGTCTTCCCGATAACCGTGGCAAATGCTACAATAAATAGTGCAACACAGCCAAAAGGAATCCCCAACCGTAAATCGGTACTAAAAAAACCGGGGAAAATACGATTGCCAGCGAAGACTACGTTTCGCCGCCTTTGGGGCGAGTATCGGGTGCTGGTTAAAGAAATCCAGGATTTAATCAAAGCAAAGGAAGACGGTATGAACGTCATGTACCTATTCATGGATGATGAAACACCCGTACCAGGGATTGATTCTGCAAAGGCAGAAGAGATCGTGCGTAATTTAGCCAAACAGTACAAATCGGAATATCTCGCTTTGGAGGAGAAACAGTGTCATTTGAGTGAGATATTTAGGTATTTTAAAATACCGTTGCCGTATGTACTACGTACATCTTTGCGAATATTAGCACAATTGACACGGCGTCAATTGCCCGTATTGCCGTATCAATTAGCGGAATGTAAACCGCTGAATAATTTCGCAAACGAAACAATTCCTAAAAC